ACGTGCGATGCAGGCTTCTTGGAACGTGTCATAGACAGTGCCGTTGAACGTCCTCAAGTCCTCGAATGACGTTGGGCCACGTACAACTGTCAGCAGCAGACGGAGGTAGAAAACATCTCCCCCGTTAGGTGAGATGAAATACAGCCGGCCCAGTGCAAAACCCTGCCGTCGTTTATCCCATCGCTTCACCGACGACTTCCAGACAAAGAACTGAGGGATCTCCTGGTATGTGTGTTGCCGTGCGAGCTCTCCAATTGGATCGTCGCGCGTGTTCAGCTCGAAGAACGCGGTGAGCATTGTGCGCTCGTTGGCTGCACGGGCCTGAACGATCTCGGGACTCTCGTTTGGGTTGTACGTCACCAGGTGGTGGCCCGGCAGGTGTACTTGGAGTCGCACCACGTTGGGACTCTGCTCGTGGAGACCGAAGTGGAAGGTACGCCAGACGGCCTCGGGAGCGGAGACATAGCGAGCGTCCAGGTAGGTCTTGATCTCGTCGCGACGGTCGATCTCCAGGGTAGCACGATCGTGGCCTTTGTGGATATACTTGGTGATGTACTTGACGGACGCAAACGTCACAGAGCACTCCACATTGATGTGACAGTTGTACCGTGCCAGGAGGTAGGGGTTGTATGGGACTATCCAGCGGTTGTCGACCATGTGTCGGTTGACGGCGTAAGTCCGGCCGTCATCGGGTCTGCGGTAGCGTGGATAGCCATCCGTATCCAATGACGTAGAGGCTTCGAACGGCTTCGGAAACCCTTTCGTGCATCGTCCGTTCTCCATGCAGGGAGCAGAGGGGTTGAGCACACCACAGGGCCCGTGGACCATGCGTGTCTTGACCGCCTCGAAGAGCAACGGCTCAGTTTGCGGATCAGGCCATGTTGCTCGAATGAGGGTGTCGACAGATGCTGGATCGAGGAGTTTGTCCCGACGGTCGAGGAAGATGAGGAGGTGCATGTGGGGAAGACCGCGTTTTTGGAACTCGATCGTGTAGATGTGTGCAACGACGCGGCCGAAGATCCCGTTCTTGAGGATATCGTGCAGGAGCGCCTTCTTCTTCATCTGAAAGACGCGAGCAATGAGATCTGGACGGTCGCTCGGTGTCTGACCTGGAAGGAGCTCACGCTCAACCTCTGGCCAGCGAGGGTTCGCCGTCATAGTCAGGAAGATGTCAATGTTTCGGTAGAATCGAGCAATTGCCATGCCGTCCTGGAAGAGCTGCTGCATGTGACGTGGGCTGCCGGTGAAGGAGGAAGGGAGAACTATGAGCTGGCCGAGTTCGTTGAGATCCACATCGCGCCCTCCGCGCAGTGCATCCTCGAGTCCACTGTAAACTGCGGCACGGAGTTGCTGCTGGTTGAGACGAAGATAGCGAAGGCGGTTCTGCTCTGCTGCAGCCCACATATCGACAATGTACTGCTGGAAAAGGCGGCCGCTGCGCAGGATCGTGGAGAATTCGTCCGGGCGCACTTGGAGCTGATACGCGTAGAAGCGAGTTTGGGACAACCTGCGTGCTCCGTCGCCCATGTGGAGGTCCCAGTGCCATCCATGTGTTCCAAAAGGGAACAATAGCGTGTAGTGCAGGGGGGCGTACGCGGGATGGGCCTCGTGGATGCGCTGCAGGGCGCCGGACCGTCGCCGGAGGATGATGTCACGTCCATCGGTTGCCCGTGTCTCCCCTTCTGCGCCAGGTAGGACGACTGCAACGTCGTCCGCAGAGGGCAGATTATACCGGCGGCGGTCCCGGTTTGGCTGCACAGCAAGGCGGACTGCCAAGTCGGCGTCCTCTTGGAGCGACAGCACTTCATGTGCATGGCGATAGATAGCGGCGTATCTGTGTGACTTCAGCACAGAGTCCCCTACATTTCAAGACAATCGTGCGCATACCTATGTGTAGCGGACAACATAGCTTGTATCCGCTGTAGTGTATCTCGCCGGAGGTTTGCATTGCGACGGACGCGTTCTGCGAGTGCTAGGCGAGGGTCGAAGATGTAGAGCTGAGCGTAGGATGGGGGGTTGCCTTCTGCAGGTAGTAGAGATCCAGAGCGGTGGCAGAGCTCGCCGTGGATTCTAAAGACGTATGGCCCGTGTCCCGTGGTGACAGAATCGTCGATGGCCACACCGAGAGAGGTGAATGCGAATGCTGCATTGTATTGGCGAATGTTGTTACGGAACTCCACTGCTTGGGGTGTGTCGCCAGTGAGAAGAGTGCGTAGTGCGAGAGGCGGCTCAGGCAAAGGCTCAAGAGCGACCTGGCCCTTGTCGCAGCAGAAGCCGAACAGCGGTCGACTTGCAGAGCTTTCTGAGAGTCGTTCTGCTATCCAGTGGTGAGCTTGACAGTGAACACAAAGTGTATCCATGCGTCCGAGATCGTGATGCCCCTCAGGCTCCTCGTATGGTCGACGTCCCAGTGGTAAGGGTGGTGGTGGAGCGTTTCCTGCACCGTATACAATCGTGACAGCTTGTGTACCTTGTGTACGTGGAGGAGTGGGTGGAATGTTCGTTGCAGGGTTCAACCGTGCTGCTAGCGCTGCAGTCAGCATCTTTGGAAATGGAGATTTGGATGTACTTACCGGGAGTGTGATGCGGAACGACTGGTTGAATACGCAGTTCTCCATGCGGGCAGGATGGACGGAGATGAGGCCCTACTCCTTCAGCCAGTGCTGAGGACGGTCCTGCAGACGTTTCCGTACATGCAGTGGCTTGACACGTTGGCGGAGGTGTACGCAGTCCGAAAGGAGCTGGATCTGCTGCATTGAGCCCGGAATCAAACACATTTAACATGAAATTCTCTACCTTCGATAAACTGGTTCCTCTCGGGTACGTAGTGCAAGAATGCTTGGACCTGAGATTGCGTAGCCCGGAGGACAGTGTAACTTCCGGATGATTGCTCAGCGCGCGCGGCCACCGAGACTGAGGACGTGCCTTCAGACGGCCGGTTTTCATCGTGGCCATCTGAGACGCGCCTGCGCTGCCGGCTCGCTGGTGGGCTACTCTCTCGGGTCGCTCTGTTTCGACTTCGCGAGGCAAGTCTGGCCGCTTCGACCGCCCTGTCCGTGCTTGCGCGGCCCTCAGACGCAGCAGTGCCGCGCCGCCGCGCCGGTCTTGCACCATTAGTTGTGGCTGTCATCTAGGACTGTCAAAGCTGGTCATAGGAGAGAAGACGGAATAGAACGCCATCCTGAATTCACACTCCCTTTCCCGACTTGTCGCGTCGCTACGGGCCATTCCAATCCGAGCGCGCCATCTGAGCCTTCAGCCTTCGGACTTGAGCCTTTCGTCCCGGGCTGGGCTAAAAGGCAGAATGTCTTTCCAGATGGGCAGAAAGCGCGAGAACGTGGTGGACGTGGAGCCGTGTGCATAGCAACAGTGTCTGTCCCTGGCGGGAAAATATTCGGAGCGAGGACGTGTCGCGGCGGTCGCGTCGCGTCGGGCGTTCAGTAGACACACCAGAAATGGGATTTGGCGCTTATCCTCCACTCCCACGCTGAGACCTTCTCTTCGCGCTGCTCTTTCACGTATTTGGCTACAGGGAGATGCAATGGGTTTCAGAGGCAGTCGTGTATATAACTGAGTATTGATATTGCGATTGCGCATGTAAAACCGCGAGCCAGGACGCCGACGGCGAGAGAAGAGTCTACGATATCCGGAAACGGAAGGACCGCTTTCCTTGTACGGAAGGAGCTGTTTCCGAATTGGGGACCACGCTCTTTTGTACTATAAGATGTCTTGGGTGGATGGCCTAGAAAGTTCCTTCACTTTGGAAAGAAGGTTGGCTTCAAGCTGCGCATGAAACATGATATCCCAATGCAACCTTTAGGAGGTAGCTTGTGCGGCCCTGGGGAAGTGCGGCGAAGGCGAGATGGTAGTCTGTCCGATGAGACTGAAAGATGCCGCAGGCTGTCTGGGACAGCTTTCTTTCTCGACGTCGTACATTGGCATACTTATGTACAACTGGAAGTACGCGCATACCTTGTCTCCCCTAGGCAGACGATGTGTGATCTTGTCGAGGAGGACGATTACACCAACGCGCATACCGGGCCGTATATATACCACATACGATCTGACGTATGTAGATCGTAGGCATAAGTACAACACTACTGTATGTCCGCGGCCGGGTCAGATCGAGGTGGTCATCAATATCATCCGGCCCAGAGCTGTTAGCGTTTTAAACGGACGAATCAAAGTTATAAAAACACTCAAACACCCTTCACGGATGTTTCTTACCATCACATAACCGACTTTGCTACCGCCATGTCCTGCTTTTCCGCCATCGTGTGCCCTCTGTGCCAAGAAGCTCCCCCCTCGACCTCCTGAAGGCGTTCAACAACATACCCGGTGAATGTGGCACCAGGAACGCGCCGATCTACCCGAGGGGGCGTCATGCTCACGCCCGAGAGAGCAATGCGCCCCGGCAAATATGGACACCTGATCATCTCACAGCATCCCTGGTGAGGCTGATGCTCACTTCAGCTACTCCGGCTCTCTGGTCGCCGGAATGGCCTCTCGTCCCGGCAGCTGCCTGCGCATCCCCACCTACAAAGCCCGCACCTGATCATCTGTCCTGTCCAACTCCCCCCACCCGCGACATTCAACGTCAACCCCAGGGTCCTACTGAGAACGTCGCGCGATGCATTATAAGTCGCTTTACCCCCCGCTCCCAGCGTTCGAGGACCAGAACGTGCACGACTTCATCTTTAGCGCGCCTGCGCAGAAGGAGCAGCCGGACGACAAGGACCTGCTCATAGACCCCCTCGCGCTCAAGAAATGGACGAAGGGCCAGTTCCGGGAGCGGGTGTACGACTGCACGACCGCGCTGGTGACGCCTGCGATGGAGGGAGGGCTGGGGCTTGCGCCAGAGGGAGAAATGGTCGCAATTATGAGCACGAACTGCCTGGTGAGTGCCTCTGTGGATATGCACGGGGAACATGCACAGATATCATGACCCCTGAGCAAGTGCGTGTAACAAATTATGACTGTCAAAATTCTCCCAGTGCGGGACAAAAGAATTGAGACAGTCATCATTTGCTTCACGGCTCTGCACTCTTTCAGGTGCCGTGATACCTTCCTGTGTTTTCCGTGATAGGGGCATAGCACACGTACCGACGCGCGACACAAGGAATACATCACCTTAGTTCACTCGCTCCTCCGGGCGGCGATCCCATTCGCGCTCATCCCCGCGTCCTCCACCGCGTTCGAGCTGCAGCACCTCTTCCGCACCTCGGAGGCCACGCGTCTTTTCGTCCATCCCAGTCTGCTGCCGCAAGCACTAGAGGTTTCGCAGCAAGTAGGAATCCCAGAGGACCGCATATACATCCTAGAGGGGCGTGTAGAAGGGCGGAAGAATCTTTCAGGGTCGATAGCCGAGGTGCGCAAGCGTCAGGTTCCGCGGGTACCGAGTAGGCCGGTTACGAGAGATACCCTGGCGTATCTCGTCTTCTCGAGCGGCACTAGTGGGCTTCCTAAAGGTGTGTCCCTGTCGATCTCAGGGTAGCGAGGATGGAGGCTGAACCGCGCGCAGCTGTGATGATCTCACAGCGGAATGTGCTCGCTTCCTTGATACAAGTCGCAGTAGCAGGCGGTATCGAGCCCCCGAACCCTATTCTCGAGGTGCGTATACGGGCCCTCGCTATGTGTGGTACGGGACGGCGGCTGACACAGCGGCCTGCAGAAAATCCAACCTGTCAGTCTCGGTTTCCTGCCGATTTACCACACGTACGGGCTGCACTATGTGGCAATTCGGCCTGTGTGGATGGTGCTCCCGACAGTCGTCATGCCGAAGTGGAACGTGGACACCGTCCTCGAACTCATCCCGAAGTACGCCATCTCTCACTCGTTTTTTATGTGGATTAACAAACTGCCAGGTATCGAGTATCGGTGCTGAGTCTCACTCCGCCCGCGATGCTACAGCTTGTGAACCACCGGCGGATTCGGGAGACGGACCTTAGCTCCGTGGTGCTCACGGGAAGTGGTGCGGCGCACCTACCACCCAAATTGGCTAGGACTTTCCACAGCATGCTCAAGAACGCGGAGAACGTTGGGGAGGGTGAGAGCTTACGTCCCTCAGGCCACCGTTCATCATGCTAATCTGTTCATCAGGATACGGGATGTCAGAAATGGTGAGTTGCTGAACGTGGTCTGAAAGCGCTCTTCTGATGCTGATTGCGACGAAGACGATATCCGGGACGCGCACCGCGCCCTCAACGTTTGGTGGCCCCAAACCCGGGAGCTCCGGGATACTGCTGCCAGGCACCGAGGCGAAGATTGTCAGGGACGACGGTACGCTCGCCGGACCAAACGAGCCCGGTGAGCTCTGGCTCCGGGGAGATAACGTCGCCCTAGGGTACTGGCGGAACGAGAAGGCGACGAAGGAGACGTTCGTTGACGGCTGGGTGCACACTGGAGACCGCTTCCGGGTGGACTCTGACCAGCACTTCTTGTAAGTGTTCCCCCTGTGTGCGTGAAGTGTCGCAATGGCTCACACCGATTTGCTGTATAGCTTCGTCGAGCGGACGAAAGACATTCTCAAAGTGTCGGGCGCGCAGGTCTCCCCGACAGAGATCGAGAACGTGCTTCTCGCGCAGCCAGAGAAGCTCATCTTAGATGTCACCGTTGCCGGCGTGTCGGGCGGCCGTACCTCAGACGAGAAGGTTCCCCGCGCGTGGATCGTCCTGAGTGACGAGGGGAAGCAAAGAGGAGCCGAGGCGGTTGTACAGGCGCTACACACCTGGATCCAGAAGAACCTGAGCAAGTACAAGTGGCTACGAGGGGGCATTGAGGTGGTCGAGGAGGTATGCTTTGGCATGCTGCGACAAAACTCTGTTTGCTCATTTGAGGCGCATAGATTCCGAAGAACCCTACCGGCAAGGTGTTGCGCCGTGTCCTACAGGATCGCTACGAGCAGCAGCAGGCGGGCAAGGAACGCGCCAAGCTATAACGTTGTTTCATGGCTTTTGGGTGTATTGCTTTCCTTAGTGGGACAATTTCCCCTCCAGCTCTCTCCAAGATGTATCCCTATGTTTATCTTGCTAGCATTATACATGTGTATATCACGTCGCCGTTCAACCGTCGTCTGCGAACGCCTGTACAATATAAGTCACGGGTAGCCCGGGCACACGCGGCAGGCTGTTGGCACTCCTCAATCCTCGCAAGTGGTTACTGCTACGATGCTGGTCTGAGATGCCGTGTTCCTGGATCTTTCACGCTGACCGGGCCCCAACTAATATCTCTAGTAGCTTCTCAATCCTCTCCATCTGCGCCGAAAGCGCAGCGAGCTTCCCTTCGACGACCATAAACCGCTGCTCCGAGTTCCGCGCCGCATCCCCTTCGCTGTCCGTGTTAACCTTCTTCTTACAGTGCACAAGGCCGTGAGTGGCCTTGTGGTCTCCGACCTCGACTCCACCTTTCTCATCGCATTCTTGGCAGACGAAAACGTTCGACTCAGCTGTGTGTACTCGTCAGTGGGAAACAGGCGTGCCAATGCTGATAGGAGGCCATACCGGGACAGTCGATGCAGTACCAGCACGAGTAGGACACCGTGGCGGAACACGAGATGCAGGACAACTTCTTCTCCGGCTCCGCCGCTGATTCGGAGTCCGACTCGCCGGAGGTGAGCGCGCCCTCCCAACCTGGTTTCGTCGTCTTCGCCTCCGCAGCCTTCTCTCCTGCCTCAGGCTCGGCGGCCTCCGCGGCTTGCGCCCGAGCAGCCTTGCTGAGAAGCTTCCTCGCGCGCTCGAGGCCCGCATCCGACAAGCGGAGGATCTTGCCAATTTCGCGCTCTTGATGGAACGGTCTTCGCACTTTGACAAAGTCGTGGGTGGGCAGATGGGGCTCGGTGAGGTCGTTGCGTGTCATGACAGCTGCTCTGCAGTTTGGCTTGTCACAAAAGTCGAGTGTCGATGGTGTGCCGCACTTCAGACACATCAAGCGCGCACCATAGATGTGCTCGCCGCAGGCATCACAGTTGGCGCTATGTGCGGATCAGCAAAGCAGGGCAGGCGGATGGGCTTCGAGGTACCCACAAATGCGAAGGAATAGACCGTTGCCTGTAGTCCGTGAGGACGTAGAAGGAGCGCACTTCCTCGCAAGTCGCCGTGCGGTTCAAGACGGCGAGGCGGTCCAGGTCATCGTCCGTGGACACGTTGTCGATCTCGCGCGCCACAAGACGGAGATACTCATGCCTGATATCGCGTCGCTCCTTGAGATACGACCACGAGAACAACTTCCTCCGCACTTCGTTGTGAACCGCCGTCAGAGCGTACTTCCACAGGGCGCGGATCTTGTTCTCCTCGAATTCCGCAGGCGGCGGTCGGGCAATGAGAGTCTCTGCGGGGACGCGCTTGAACAGGAAGTGATACGGCTTCTCGTCGTCATTGTATCCCCAGTTGCCGGCCAACGTGTTACCGTCCTCGGCGAGCGTACCCGTGAAGTACGTCTTGCTGAGACATGCTGCATATGTCCTGCTGAAATTGTATTCAATCGACCCATCCTCCTTCTTGGTATACCCGCCAAGGATGGTGAATGCGGTTCCGTGCGCGGCGGTGTCACTTGCCTCGTATGACGCACTGTCCGCAGATGCGTGGAAACAGAATGTCACCATCGCGGTGGTGGGCCAACGTTTCGCGCCCATGAGCCCGGTCCATCTTCCCAGACTAGAACGCGTCTGGTTCAGTCACTGTGACAGATCCGAAAGTGTGTGAACCTACATCATCCTAACATCGTCGTCCGCTCGCGTGTCATTCTCGGTCACAATCTCCTCGACGTCGTTGTAGAGGCTGTCCGCCGCCGAAGGATAATTTAAGAGCTTCGAGATGTCGACCTCCTGGTCCTCCTCCGCGTCAACATACTCGTATTCCGTGAACTTCCACTTGCGCAGGTTCTCAAGAGACCAGAATTTATCGCCGTTGTGCCAGTATTCGAGCTAGACGGTGAGTGTCAACACGGCAGACGAAGGTGCATATAGCGCCATAAGATACGAACTAGCCCGTTTGCGTGCACCTTGAACCGTTGTGCTGGATCTAAGTTTTGCTGCTTGAAGAGCACTGGGAAGGTGTACATATCAGTGACGCTTGTGAGCCCAAAGGTGTTCACCGATTGACGTACCTTCTAGGTCGTTATGACGGAAATCTATCGCATCAAACACCCAGACCAACGTGTCGGCAGAGTCCCACAGCTCATCTTTATGAACGACCATCTTGCGACACAAGCGGAATATCTCATAGTCGCGCTTCAGGAGCAGATAAAGAAGGGGGAACAAGTACTAATAAGCTGTTAGCCACGTACTCAGAGACTTAGTTATCTTCAATGCCAGTGCTTACCTTCTCGATCCTCCCCGGCCCGGTAACGAGTGTGAGTGTGTCTATAGCGTCTATGTCGTACCGCACAGTCTCAAGGCCCTCGCGTAAGCGTTTCTCCTCCTCGTCGACGTAGCTCTGGAAGCGCGCTTCCAACGCATCGGACTCATTCGCGCAAACGAAGGACGACGTAAGGGTGCAGACGCTCTTGTACACCGTCGCGAGATAATTCTCCACGGCCTGCGCGTTTGCGGGATGGATGAGCGACTGTACGGCAAACATCTTCCCCAATAGATCGACGATCTTGTTTCGATAGTATGTCGCCGTCATTTGCCACCCTGTGGGAAATAATGTCAGCCATAGCCGCAAAACGATGGTGGAAAGTCACGGTCATTACCTATCGCCCAATAGGCCACCCAATGTGATAGACTAACATACATTAGTTAGAGCTATCTACGAGCTAGCGTTGGTACTCACCTCCAACCTTTCGGACGCGCTGTCGTGAACTGGTTAACTTCAGCAACTGTAATGAAGCCTGATGCATCATCGTCGAAAGCCTCGGCGATTGATTGGAGCCTATTGATACTGATCCACTCCAGCGCCCACTCGTCGTCGTCGTCGATGCGTGACGGGTTCTCTGCGCCCTTCGCTCGCTTCTTCGCCTCTATCTGCTGGCGGTAATAGTCGCGTAAGGCGAGTACGAAGTGTCGCGCTTTGACGTGTCCTGGCCAACGCTAGACAAAACACGGTCAGACGTAGAGCTTGACAAGGTATTTGACGAGTGCTGACCATTTCCTTCCATATCTCGTGGATTTCCTGAAGAAAGAATTAGCTGCTAGCGTGAAACCAACTGGAGCCGTCAAGACGCACCGGGTCGATGATTCTGTCGTGAGAGCCAGATGTCACGGCCTCGATGACACGGTCGCCCTCGTGGTGAACCACCCGCCGCATCTCCTCCGAAAGTTCTCTCTGCTGCATCTTGAACTTACGCTCAAACACGTCGAAGTTCTTCTTGATCGCGAGCTCGGGGCTCTCAAACAGCTCCAGCTTGAGCGCATCTAGGTCACCCTTTCTCAGGTAGCTGTTGTGCTCGGGACCGTCATGCTCTGCTCGTTTCGACGTTGTTTCAGCGCTAGTGGCCTTGAACTCGAGCAGCTCGTTGAGGGTCTCGTCGCTGTCCATCACCGCACGTGCCCCGCCCTTCTTCTGCACGAGTGCTGCGAGCTCCTTGAACTCCGGTGTCACTGCGGTAGTGAAGAATTCGATCAGGATGTCCATCTTCGAGTCGAGCGAGTCGAGCTTGCGATTTGCGTCGTCCACGCCGATCCCAGTGTGGATGGACAGCGCGAAGGTGAACTCCTTTCGGCGCTTCGCGAATATGTCGATATAGCCCTTGAGCATGCCGTCCCAGAGCGTGCCCTTGATAACCTTGACGACAAGTCGCTTTTTCGAGTAGGCGTCGCAGGCGTTTCCGCATGCAGTGATGTCGTCGGCGGTCTGCTTGACGAGGTTTTGCATGCGAGCCTTGATGGTCTGGCCGCCAGGGCCCACACTCTCATGGTCTTTGATCGACCGCAGCCTGCACTGGAACATGAGAGATCGTATCATTGAAGAGAAATTGCAGACGGGCATACTGGAGCAAGGCCTCCATCATGTCCTTCATCTGGAGGAACAACGCCGCGATCTTCTTATCGTTGTCCCGGCGCTTCAGATCGAGTTCGACGACGATCCGGAATGCTCCAACAGCGACTGCGAAATGATCAGAAAATATTCCGAGTCAATTGGTGAACCGGACGAACTTCCGATGAACGGATGCAGCTTTGCAACCTCGTCCAGGGCTTTGACAAGTCCTGGGAGGCTGTTGGCCAGTGCGTTCACGCCGGTCCGGAACACTTTCATAGCCTCGCTTTCGTATACGGGCTTGAGGGGCGAGGCGAAGGTCTGTGCATTGGTTACGTCTGTCTTGATCGCCCCAAGTATATCGCCTAAGCAAAGTAGGATTGTTAGCATATCTATTTGTGGATCCTACTGTCTGGACGCAATATAAATTCACCTGAGCGGTTTACGAGCTTGACGGAGGTCGACCCCTGGTACTTACTGTACCCACTTTGCGCATCGTCAGTGACCTTGAAGGCATCATCCATTCGCTTAGCAGTATCGAGGTCGTCGGTGTTTTCTGGCTTCGGGGCGTTGATTACAGGGTGTGGGCTATCATCGTTCGTATCCAAGGCATCCGGAGAGGCAACTAGGGGGATGGGCGAGTCCACAGCGTCGGGAGCGGCTTCACCTGGAGGTTCTGGGGGACTGGAGTCCTTGTGTTTGTTGAAGAATGGCGGCATGATGGGGTCGTGAGGGGGAATTCGAAACGGCAGAAATGAGGTGGAGTCCTGCAGTAGTACCGCTGGGTTTTATTTATCCCCTGCCCCAGCACGCCTTCACGCGACAGGGACGTGCTCCGGTGCGCGGCGGCGTCGTGGGCGATGCAGAGGCTTCTACTCGGCGTCGATAGTGACCTTCTGAGATTTGCAATTGTGTCAATAACCCAAGGCCTATGTAGTACTAGGAGGGTGCGCGTGGTCTATTAGTATCACTGATTGATCGCACACTCACTGTCCGCACCGGAATGATCGCTGCGAGGGACAACTGGAAAGGCCCTGGATCCCGCCGTAACATCAGCAAAAGGGGCGATTCGATGCAGCGGGCGAGAGAGCGAGATGGAGGCGCCAAAGCGATGGAAGCGCCCGCCGCCTGCGCCGAGGGATGGCAAGACGCTGCAAGACGCTCTCGCCATTAGGCGCATACGGCGAGGCATTGCATTGTCAAATCGGTCAATACTACCTTCCGTATTACTTTGTAGAACAGGGGCGTAGACCACAATCCACTTGCACCCAGAGCTTCAAGTCGAGTCTTTAAGTCCGAATGGTCACGTGACTGAGATTGGCAGACGCGGCCGCGTCCAAGTCGCGTCTCCCTTGAACTCTCCCTCGATCGCCCCCCCATGTTGCCCTACGCACTAGGCCCACACCTCGCGCTATATATAAAGCTCATCGGAGCCCTTGACCCTGATCGTGCTTCTTGCCCTCGAACCACTATCTGCAACCCCCAATATTGCTCCTCCGTATGCAGCTGCTACGCCATTGTCCTCTCGTCTCCCCCTCAAAATCAACACCGAGCCAACCTTCACCCTTCCTCGGACACCAATCATGTGCTACGGGATGTTATATCAGCACCCAGGTGAGCACCGGTGAGCCCCAATGTGCAGTGCTAGCGCGATGAAGTGATATTTTGGCATATATGCGCACATATATGCGCATATATTGATGCATTATCCTGGTATGCTCTCTCTGCCTCCCTTGTGCGTGCTCGCTAACTCGATTTGCAGCCATACGCTTAGTCTCTGTCCTCGTGTATGTACATCCACACTGTGAGTGAGTTTACTCCTGTTCTTCGACAGGCTTCGGCTTTGGCTCTATGGGCGCCATTGAGGTGCGTCTCCCTTCTCTCCTACTCCCACGCTCTCGCGCGAATAACGCGTGATAACGGAGCGTGGATGCACGGAAGCTAGCTTTTTGGACTGTGTACGCATGCACGACTGCGAGCTGCCGCCCTCATATGAGCACGCATTCGACGTACTCGTCGTGTGCCAGATGGCCTCGGAGGTTCGTTCCCCTCTCGGCCCCGCGGTTTGCGTACTCATCTGTGGACTGTCTCTGGCGCCCCGCTCCGCTACATCCATTTATCGGGCCCTCCCTGGTATGCAGGTACTGCTAATGGCCATGGTGTTCGGCTCATTTGCCGGCGTGTAGTGCTACTTATGTTGTAGCTCCTACTTGTTCTAAATATCTATGCATTTCCTTGTCATTCTCTTGCGCGCCCTCGCGCTCTTTTTTATGGTGCGATTTGAGCACAATAATATCTGTATGATCGCGCGCGAGGCTATCTAGTGTATTGTAAACATAGTAGCCTACTGCAAGATCCCGCATGGGCTATCGTATCCCGCTGGAGGCGTTCGCACGGCGTCTGACAATGCGCTGCCTCCTGCGATGGATGCCACTAGACTTCGTGGATTCACTGTAATAGTTAGACGTACACTACTTGTGCGACAGGGAGATACTTATGATCCAGCGCTATCCAGAGGGCTGCAGACGGTATACCCTGTTTCGTGATGAAAGCAGTGCACTCCGTGGCCTCCATGGGGCTCCCACCGCGGAATCGGGTACCGCAGCCCGAGGGCGTTATATATGGCCTGTTATGGCTCTGCGTTGGAGATGAGGAACGATTGACGTACTGACCCAGGACCCAGGTAGATGCCCTGGATCATGTGGATAACTCGCATCAGGCATTGGGCGACCCGGCCGGCCGGGCTATTCAATGCTCGACACCTGCGCGATGCTTTTAGTGACGGCGCAACAGTGGGCCTGGCTAGCACTGGTGCCAGGGATAATGGGGACTGGACCAAGACTGGGCAGATGGAAGTCGCTGAACGAGATGTGCCGTGATATGCGAGGATCATGTGCTGCTCGCAAGGCTGAAGCAGGGAACTCTGGAAACTGCATTGGAATTTGAGCTTCATAGGTCGGCGAGCATCTCGGACCTCCGTGTGTGGCCGAAGATTTCAACGTTCACACCTGCATACTAGTAGGCAAATTTGTCCCGGCACGATGTATACAGCGCATTGCATGGAGCCATCCTGTACAACCGACGCTTCAGCGTGCATATAAATATTGCACTAGTCAGACATGTTCACCTTGCATCGGAACCTACTTCCGCTCACATCGCATGGTGGCCGGATGCAGAGCGCGTCTGCAGCAGGCGCTCGCTGCTCAACGCGGCGATTGGCGCCCTCGGAAGCCGGCCCGGGGAGTGGGGGAAAGGCGGAGTTCCCTCATCATCCACTCGAGTGCTTGCGGCGGCGCTCCCTCCAATCCGCTGGTGGAGACTCGACCTGAACTAGACTTACGCTTGACATCCACTACGCCTCACTGTGAAGGTTATATCGCGTTGCAAGCGCAAAGGACGACATGGCTGGTGAGGATACGAAGCGTGCCTCGAAGCACAAACATCGCCACGACTCGGACGACCGCGAACACAAGAGCAAGCGCAGGCACCGCGACAAGGCCGACAAGGAGAGCAGTAGGAAGCGGTCGCGCAAGGACGATGGCAGCCACCTGCACATTGTGGACGATGACGCGAACGACGAGGACATGTGGGTGGAGAAGAACATAGACATGGATGGCGAAAAGGTGCGTCATCCGCTTCCCGTTCCAGATTCCTCGTGCTAATGGTCCGAACGGGTAGCCCATTGCGGCGGACATACCAAGTGTGAAGGACCTGAAGCTTACGAGCCGTGCGGAGGAGCGTGTCGGCGACCCGCCCCTTCCCCCGCCTTTGCGCACGGAGACGGTGCTGAAGAGGGATGACTGGATGCTACTGGACCCCACAACACCTCCGGTATCAGAAGCCAGGTCGTCGCGCCCCGTAGGTTCTAATGACGAAGACATGGCGGACGGTTATGGGGAGCCCTCCCAGAACGCGCGGACCACGAGCGGTGCAGTGGACTTCTTCGCGAGTTTGGGGACGGACGTGGTGAAGAAGAAGAAACCAGAGCCGGACCGTCCTAACCCTGACCAGGTATATTCCGGGTGTTTCCATCTATTGCTATGCTCTGCGGCCACTGACGACGTCCTTAGTCATTTATCAGCCACTTGGAGCTCAACACCGCTCTCAAGGAGGGCAAGAGCGTGGACGACATTCCTGACGCTGCGCCCAAGGCTGTCGTTGCCGGCGGCCCCGGCTCGCAATGGCGCATGATGAAGCTGAGACGGGTTTATGAGACCGCCGAAGAAGAGGGCAAGCCCGTCCAAGAGGTCGCCATTGATCGCTTTGGCACGCTCGAGGCATTCGAGGAGGCGCAGGAGGAGCGACGCATACTCGACGAGCGCGAGGGTCGACGAGCATCCCGTGGAGGAGAGCGCAGAGGGAAGGGAAAGGAGCGCGAAGGAGAGCGGCGACTCATGTTTAACGATTTCACTCCTAGTGGGGGGACGAGCCGTAGCTCATCCTTCCGCCGGCCAGACTTCGACCGGAGCGGACCACCCACACCAGGGGCAGGGGACGCAAAACGACTTGAACCGTCGCGGTTAGGCCAAACCACCGGCCCTCGTCTTGCGCAGTCACGCGCACCGATTCCGTCTACTGTCACCCCGACGCTGACGGCGACCGGGAGCAGGAAACGTGCGCTATCACCCTCTTCGCTGAACAAGCTGCAAGCGAAAGTCCTCCGCGCGAAGCTGGTCGGTGCTCCCAATGCGGAAGCATTGGAGAAAGAGTACGATCAGGAGTTGGCGCGTGCTCATGGCGGAGATGAGGGCGACGACAATGTCAGGACGCGTGTTGAAGTCCTACCCACCTTGAATATCCACGGCGAGCTGTACGATGTGGGACAAGGGGGCAATGATGCGCCGCCTCCCCCAGGTAATCGTAGGCCTAAACTCAAGGTACGCAACTGTCGTCCGCCGAGTATGTACGTGATCTAACCAACTATAGGTCGAACAGCGAGATCCCAAGACTGGCGAGATGGTTAGAGTCGATGCTGACGACGACGACATCACCCTTGGGGAGATGCTGCGACAAGAGAAGTTCGGCGCTGGTATGGCTGACCAGAAGAATCTCGATGCGGAGTTCGCGCGTGCCGTCATGACAGACAGCGGATTCCAGGTACGTTTCCTGGCGGGTACTGACGTTTAAGCGTCCTGTCTAACGTGCGTTGCTAGAACAACTTGGACTACATCGACGACAACGCCGACAAGCTCGCGAGGAAGAAGATACGGGCAGACGCCATGAAACGGCAGTTCGCCGTGAATGGTACGTTGCCTTATCATTGCGTCTACTGTGCATCCAGTTCACCCCAACCAGATTACAAGAAGACGATGAAGGTCCTCGCGTCATGCCCATTCTGCTATGGAGACGACGACTCGCTACCGAAGGCACCCATCGTCGCGATGGGCACGCGCGCTTACCTCTCATGCACGCTCAGCGAGGAGTTGGTGGAGGGCCACTGCATCATCGTTCCTATAGCGCACCATTTGTCTACCTTGGAAGGTGATGACGACATGTGGGATGAAGTGAAGGTTCGTAGAGCACGTGCAACTGCCCAACGGAGTGTGTCAACTAACGGACATGGACAGAACTTCATGAAGTGCCTCATGCGCATGTTTGCCGAAGACGACAAGGGCGTTGTCTTCTACGAGACTGTCCTTACGATCAAGGCGCAGAAGCACACAGTCATCGAGTGCGTGCCTGTCCCTTGGGAGCAGTTCGAGTTGATCCCCGGGTATTTTAAGGTGCGTGTCTTCGGTAGGTTTTGTTGCACCAACTCTGAGGCCGCGCGACCTGCCAGGAATCGATCTTGATGTCCGAAACCGAGTGGTCACAACATAAGAAGCTCATCGACTTCTCGGCGCGACCAGGAGGGTTCCGACGCGCCATGGTTCCGAATCTACCCTACTTCATGGTGCAGTTCGACTACAAGGGCGAGAAGGGTTACGGGCACGTTATCGAAGGAACAAGCGAAGCGTCGGGCAATGGGGAGGAAGACGTCGATGACGGTGAGAAGGGTGGGGGAGAGTTTCCTCGGTGAGTACAGTCGCATTTCTAGGAGTGAGGAATGCGACACTTACGCGCCCTTTTGAAGATGGTTTGCGGCGGAGATCATTGGCAATGTGCTAGACATCGAGCCGCGTCGGTGGCGGAGACCGCACCGGATCGACCTTTGGCAAAACAAGGATAGGGTGAAGAAATTCAAGGCCAAATACGACAAGTTCGATTGGACAGGTATGATCGAAAGGTCGTGAATGTGGACCTAATTCTTCGACTGCGGACACACTCTGTATCATAAGCTCATGTAATCACATGTACAATGTAGCATGCCATGCCACGGCATTCTCCGCCTTGACCCACGACCACGATCACGACTCAACAGCTTTCCCCACTAGCCACTTCCCACTGGACACTTGGCCGTATCCATGCAAAGGCCGTTGAACATTCCTCTCGACCTCTGCTTCGACATCATCGATGCCGTGTCCGCAGGCCGCCACCTTGATCACCTGCGGCGTAAAACCCTCCAAGCGTGCGCCCGGACTTGTTCGGCATGGCTAGGGCGCGCCCGTTTCCAGCTGTACCACGACGTCCGCTGGCATCTGCTCGATCGCCCCGACATAAAAATTTTGGGCAAGTTCTCGGACACGATCGCTGCCGTCCCGGAGCTAGGCGCTCTGGTCACACATATCGACATATCAATCTGGGGTCTTCAGTACTTCCCAGACGTCTGGACGGACGAAGCGAGTGCATGGGACGACGAAGCAAGGGGGCCATTCAGCCTATGCGCTGTCCAACACCTTCTCAACCTCCGCTCCATCAAACTGTTTGGCACGAGAGATGCACCCACTACAGCGATCGTGGCATCGCTTATCCAGAGGCTGTCCAGGGCCCCTTCGGTCAGGAAGCTCACTTTGCAATTTGTCGTGTTCGACAGCCTCAAAGCCCTCATTAGCTTACTGGAGCGTTTCCCTCATCTCACCTCTCTTGAGGTCTCGTACGTCACATGGGCGGATGGTGCGGAGCATCCAGCGAACGAGTTGAACTCTTCCGAGTCGATGTCCAGGGATTTGACTCAATTGACGGTGAGCCTAATGAGTATTGATTTGCGGGGCCTGAAGCGCTGCTGACTCCACATCCCCTTAGCTAACAGACAATTATCTGCACTTTCCACTGCTCCGCGTATTCCCGTCAACGATAAAGGTCCTAGAGCTAGGACCACTCTACCATGAGAAGTCTACTCCGGAGCTTCTTGGAGATCATTATGAAGGTGCGCCAACACCGCTACCTGTTAGAAATGGCTGCAGTTATCTCTGACAATCTCCGCCGCTTTTATAGCCCTCTCGAGCTATATAAACCTGGAAATCTTGAAGCTGGATGCTACAATAGGACACGACATCGAAGTAGGGTGGCTTTCGAACGCTGTACTTCACGCTCGCTCTCTCGGACTCGGCGAGCTGTTCCTGCGGTTCCGGTTCGCAGGAGTACCATTACAGACGGCCATCGATCTCGCACGTTGCAAGAATATGGACGATGTTCTGTCGAGAGGGCCTTTCTTGAGCCTTCAACGTATCGTGGTGAAGATATACTCATGCATTGGTCCCCCGGAGGCGGATGATGTGGAGGGATTTGTCGCGGATTCGAGGGGTACCCTGGAGCAGCGCATCGCCGCATCGTTCAATCAATCTGCTCGAAGGGGCGTCAAAGTGATCCCAGACGTGACTTTGCTGTATGTGGGCCGCAATTCGAGGTCTTGGACACTGGAGAAGCTTACCCATTTTGAGGGCATCTAGTGCTCGCGATACTTTACCGGGACATCTGCTAGACGACCCAATCCGCGCTGTTGGACAAGCCCGATAGTATTTCGTAATAAGGATTAGAAATGAACACTCGTACCAGATTCAGCTGGGTGCACATCATACTCAGTCACTCTGTAGTCAGGCGTCGGTGGAAAGAGAGATGATCGAAACGGACGATTGCGGGGGTGGCGGTACACCGCGAAAGTCTCGGACTTGTCCGATTGCATGAGCGGTTAACGTCATTGCTGCCGACCGACTTGGACTAGACCCACCACCATGGCCGCTAGCTTGTGCTGCTCTACTCGCCGTCTGTTTTCACCAAGAGTGACCTCTACGCTGCGAGCGGAGCTTCGGCTCTTCTCGGGATGCCGCATCTTGAAGGCAGAGACTGCACAAACACCAATGGGGAGCCAAGCCGGCACGCGGAGTATCCATGTCAGCGCGATACGCAGACGGAACGCAGACGACTTCGTGCGGGAAACTGAGAAGTTCTTTGCTTCGAGTAGCAGCCAAGTAGTGGAAGAGCCACTTGGGCGCTCATATCTCTATGGTGCGGTACAAGATGCGCAGGCACGTCGTCTATGCTGGCTGAGAGCTCAAATGTACGCGTTATGTCGACCTCAGTGCCTGCGACGTCCGAGCGTATGCTGGAGAAATCCCTCACGACAACATCGGACGTCATTATCTACGACTTGGAGGATAGTGTTCCACCGTCTGCAGCCGACAAGACGGGCGCAAGGAAGAGGCTTTCCACGTTCTTATCCGTCAGTATGTCTTTCTGTGCTGGGAGTCCACGCGCCTGAATACGTAGAAGCACAGGATCGTCTAGCGGACCTTCCTGCACATGAGCGCATTGCCGTCCGAGTTAACTCTCTTGGGACTCCCTTCTTCGCCGCAGACATCAGCATGGCCGTAAGCACGCACACCGCACCGTTCGCTTCTTCCACCTGTACTTACTCGCGTTATGGAAACCCACACTAGATCAGCCTAGATTGTGTGCGCACGCTGGTTTTGCCCAAGATACATTCCGCCAAGGACCTCTACCATGTCTCCGAAGCAGTCCACGCCGCGTGCATGGGCCGGTCGCGTCCGCCAGTACAGCTCGTGGCCAGCATCGAGAGCGCACAGGCGGTGCACAAGCTAGGCCAGATCGCGCAGTGGAAAGCCAAAGTCGAGCATGGTGGGAGGCTATCTGCACTACTCGTAAGCCATATCACTCGTGTACATGCGGGCTCGCACTTACCCAGGCCTCCCGCAGTTCGCCGCGGAAGACTGTGAGTCCAAGTCTCCATTGGGGGTAGGGAATACCGACACCAACGCTCATCGCTGGGGCAGACTGCGCGGACACGGGGGTCATACGCACGACCTCGCGCCAGGAGTTGTTGTACACGCGGTCGTATATCGCGGTGACAGCGAAAGCTCATAAGCTTAAGGCAATCGACATGGTAAGGCAGGCGAACATCGGCATATTCTCATGTTAATTATATTGCATTTGTGTAGGTCTGCGTGAACTACAAGGATCTCGATTACCTGCGGGACGAATGTGAGGATGGGCGGCGGCTCGGCTTCACTGGAAAGGTACGTCCGTTTATCTCCCTCCCACGGATACACATCATGAACGTCTGCATTTCTGCAGCAAGCTATCCACCCCACCCAAGTCGATGTTATCCAGTCAACATTTGTGCCCAGTTCCAAAGGTTCGTATCTACCCTCTTCACGCGCTCACATTCTCATCGCCTATCCAGAGATACTCCGCGCTGCACGGATACTCAAGCAGATGGAAAAGGCGCACAAGTCGAACAAGGGTGCTGCGGGCCTCACGCTAGAGGGCGGTGGCATGGAGATGATCGACGCACCTATGATCAAGCAGGTCCGTTTCCTCTATGCACCTCCTTGCGCTACTGGGCCCCAGAGATACTGACGGAGTACGTGCGCTGGACAGGCAGAGAATGTCGTGCGGGCTGCTCGGGCTGCAGGCCTCGAAATTCCGGACGTCGAATGAGGTACAAATCAAGCGGATCTCCGGCTCTGTATTGTACACGAATCAGAAACAACCTACGAGTGCCTCGTCTGGGCCATCTCCGTCGCCCTCGGCAGCACATCGTCCCATCTTGGATGCTCTCCCCACCCGCGCGCAAAGTCCAGCGCAGCCAAACACATCTGCTTCGCGCACTTTTCAGCCCCGATCCCGCCACTCCCCGTCCCAAGCCCGCTCATCAGCACCCTCTAGACGGGCGGCGCCCCGTCCGGGCGCTCGCGTTCCAGCGCCGGAGCGCGGTGAGCAGGATCCACATACACTCGTACACGAGGTCTACGTGCCACGCGACGCTCTCCGGGGTGCGCATCGTCGGCACGACCGCGACGCTCGTGCACCGGAGCCCGTTCGCGGCGGTGAGTGTAGCGGGGAGCGGGACGAGCGGGCACGAGCCCGGGGGGAGGTAACCCCTGTGTCGCGCGCGGAGCTCGTCTTGCGCGGTGTTCGTGAGTGCCCAGATGTCGTCGTCCACCATGAACGCGCTCTCTCGCGCGAGGTCGTACCTGGACGACACGTCAACGCGAGGAATTTGTGCAAGTACACGACACTCACCCGCCGTCCATGATCTCGAACGTGTTCGCAGGCGACACGACGCAGTCGAACGCGCCGAACCCCCGCGCAAGGGCGGTGGGGTTGAAGCGCACCTCTTTGACCGTGAACTGTGCTGCCACTGCGGGCGACAGGTCCGAGAGCGCTGCGCGCCATGCAGCGCAGAGAGGTGACCGGGAAGCGAGGGACCGGAAGCTTTGCCTGACGGCGCAATGGTCGTTGTCATTCTCGTCGGGATCGCCCTGTGATCAGATGGTGCAGAGCTAAGCACCTTCAGCTGGTGCCTCTGTGAGAAGACGCGAAGCCCGAAGCCCAGGTGAGCCTTCCGTCGTCTAGTGACATTCTCATCGGATACATTGCTCAGATGCTGTTTGTCAAGTCTACGTATACTCATAGGCCACGTCACATATCCTCCTTAGGCAGAGCTTCGCAGACCGAGCCCTTCGATCCAGCTCCCCAACTCCATGTTCAACTGCTCGGTCGCCTCGAATTGTACCCGGTGGCCGACGTTCAGCTCAACCACCTTCGCGTGCGGGAGGTACTTATCTATAAGCGGCCTCTGTATCAGAGGCGTGCCCGCAGCGTCGCGAAGCGCAAGGATGCACAGCGCTGGTTTGCTGATCCTCCAGGCCTCCTGGGGGATCTCTAAACGAGGCCCGGTAGACGTCAGCACGAATCGGCGACATGACGGTCAGAAATGGCTGCGCACTCTCGTCGTCTGGGACGTTCAGGTTTCTGACCACCGCTTTGTAGAAATTGAGCGACGACTTGATACCGCTTTTGGCAGCAATCTCCCGCAGGGTATGATATTCCTATCCAAGATGTCAAGAGACACTCGTCGTCTCCGGTGAGATGACACTCACATCCTGTGTTAACCAAGAAGGAATTCCAGTGGTGCGATTCTCCTCTACCCACTGCTGGCACTTCCCCACCGGGGTGAGCCATTCTAACCACAGCTCAGGGGGCTCAGGGTAGACAAGTTGCAGGAACGAGTCGATCTGTATGCGAGACCTGTTGATAGCAGGACGAGGAACGCAACAAGGTGCGCTTACGTTCTGGTCACAGACCACATGTGCGTCGTCCAAATTGAAGAACTTCCAGTAGCCGTACCGCGGGTCCCCGGTCTGCTCCTTCAATTGTTCGATGAGGGCGTCGATGTCCATCGGAGACGGCTGCGGAGGCCAGTACCCTACGGCGTTCCAGGCATACGCGTGGAAACGCTCGTCGAACAGGTTCGCCATGCGCGACAAGATGATGGAACCCCTGTTCGCGGAATCGGCAGGTACGTATTAGTGTCAATGTGCTTGCTAGAAATTGGCAGAGAACGTCACCAGTCGTGTCCTATCCCGACAACTTTGTTGAGGCCCTCGGCGTCAAGCAGGTCGACAAAGTCCCGCGCGATCAGGGCGAGGCGGAAAAATTCTGGGTCTTCTGGCTTGGACGTCCCGCCGGCGCCGATGTTGTCTGCTGCAAGGATACCATAGCCCTTGGGGCTGAAGTACTCCACCTGCCTGTGCCACTCTAACGAGCTGGTAGGAAAGCCGTGCACGAAGAGGAGGGTTGGGTACCCCGCCGCCGCCGGGGAGTAGAAGTAATGGTAAGTAAGTCCTCGAGAGACTTTGAAGTCCTTGTAAAATGCCGGGTCCATCTTTGCAGATTTGGCCGAGTGGACTGGGCGTACGAGTGAGTGTGAGTGAGGATGAGTGCCATTGGAAGGAGACATTCAAGTGCTTATATGGTGAGTCGCAGTGCATCGGTCACTAAACATAGCTGTGATGCACCACGTGCGAATCCTCTACTCACCGGATGCGTTCTGGGTTCAGCTAGTGCCGTATGTATGAGTAAACGAGACACCTTCTCGAACTGCGCGGGGTGAGTTACGTCGATGGCGCCCTTCATCGCATCCTTCCCAACGGCGTCGAACAGCTAATGACGTCCCATGACGCCCACGAATTGTGCTATGAGTAGATTGATTGACACTTCCGAGTGCTTCAAGAAGTACGATCCAACGTTCCGGGACAACGCTCTGGTCACAGGACTGCACTATGAACCTAGACTCACGTCTGCAGCCCTTGGGCGATTGGCCGCAACCCCGCGTTCTACCTGACAACGCCGCACGAGACGGCGGTCGCGTTTGCGAAGGAGCGCTCGAACGCGCACGGGGCCGGGACGCAGGCCGCGGTCGTCACCGCCACTGTGCACCGCGACAAGGTGAAGGTCTACGAGTTCGACGCGGTGGACGCGTGGTAAAAGGTGAGGCTTCGCACGTGGTACTGACGCGTCCACGCTGCAGTTCGTGGGCTACAATGGCGCCAAGCCACGTCCAAAGGATAAACCACGGCATGAGCTTGTCCGGACTCACGGCACTGTCGCGGGTACGATATCTGCATAGACGAAGACTCGTGAGTGCTCTCCTATGCCTCGGATCTTTAATGGGCTCACAGAATGACGTCTAACGAATAGGATAACCGAGTACCCGTGGCGTACGCGGACCACGCAGGACTATACTATTTTGACCGGCAATATGTCATTGTTACCCAGAAATGGCTTAATCCTCTCGGGGATATCACGGTGGAGGCGGTGTAGTGCAATGGCCACGACCCTTCTGCAGAATAACGTCTTGTCTTCGAGGAGAGAACATACAGCTACCAGGGGCGCTCCTTCAGCGATATCACAAGATTATATTTACCACTAGCACTGTAACCCGCAGATCAGTACACACATACATCGACGGAATGCAGTCACTCACCCCACAACGACACAATGAACAAGAAAACGCTTCCCGTTTGATCACGCCTCCAGCCTTTGGATCTCGACCTTGATCCTGTCCTTCGCAGGTCCAGGAGCACCATGCCCCGCATACTCGAGCACCGCATACGTCGCCTTTGTGAGGAACGACGGGTTCACCGCCACCGTGTTGTCCACAACCTGCGCGTATGCATACATCAGCACCCCGTCGCCAACGTCGCGCCACCACCCACCTTGGAGAAATGCTTCAATCGACTCGGCACGACGAGCACGTCCGGGGCACAGCGCGCGCGGGCTGGGTCATCCTGCGCATCTACGTCGTCCTCCTCGCTCTCATCCTCCTGCGGACAGAGGTACATCATGTCTGAGTGCGTCACGTCGAGGTTCACGTCGTGCGCGAGGTCGAGCGGCACTGGGAATATCGGGTAGAAGCTGCGCTGCTGCAGGATGTGCCTGCACAGGTTCGCCATTGCGTCGGGGCCTTCGGGCGAGGATGCTGGAGACTGCGACTGCGGGTCTACCTCCGCTGCGCGCTTGAAGAACTCCTCCTTGCGCAGATGGAAAAGCACGTCGATGCTGCTTGCGGCGACGTGCACGCCGTTCAGCGTGAAACGCGCGGGGTTTGGTAGCAAGCGGATACGCTGTATACACTCCGGGATCAGTAAATTGACTCGTAGCCAATAGCGAGATGACTTACCGCATCGTTACATAGCGCGCGGGGGAGTTCGCATTGCGGGAACACCGCGTGGTCGCTGAGGATGTCGCGCGTGCTTGGGACGAGCAGGATGGTGCTCCCGGGTGACGCGTCGAGGAACTCGCGCAGACGGTTCACTAGTTCCGCTTGAAACATTTCGCGCGGTGTTGCATCGACGTCCCCGACCTTGATGGCTGGGTGTGTCGCGTCTATGAATGGGCCTGTCTGTGCGTAGAGAGGGGTCAGGGTTCGAGGAAGAATGGGTAAGGGTCACACGGGACGTACAAGCAAGACGACTGCAGGTTTGGCCTCTTTGAGTTTGGAAACGAGGTTCTGGAGTGGCCGATACGCCAGGTCGGCTTCGGGTGTGAAAGGCCCGCATGCGATGAACATTGAGAAATGTGTTTCGGCCGTCTCAGATTTCACTTGAACTCCAGAGGAAGGGTCCAGAGGTGGCAACTACGCATCCAGGGGGGTGGTGAATCATTTAGTAAGCTCGGTGGATCCTCAGCTTACCGAGAGAATCTCTGTGACATAAAACGAGCCTCCGCCACCATTCTTACCCTTCAAGGCGACGATCGCCCCAGGGAACATGCCTTGTCCGCCACCATTGCGTACGCCACGGCGCACTTTCACGTCCGCATCGAAGCGGAGGGGCACGCGTGCCCCAGAGCCCATCATGCGTGATGATTCAAGCACGAGGGAGGCTTCGTTGAGCTTGACGCTCCCGGATGAGGACTCCGCGTCGTGTACGATACGGCCCACAACGGTCACTTCCTCCTGCATGAACGTTGGTGACATGTCCGCGCAGTGTAGGTTAATTAACATACCTCCGTGACTGCAGAGGGATCTCCGAGCTCTTCGACGTCGTAGTACGCCTTCACGAGTTCGCCGAAATGGTCAATACGATCGTCGAGAACTGATATCATTCGCTGAGGTCATGCTATACGACTTCAGGGTGCGATATTACTCACCTTCACTGCGCTCCGAGACTTTCTCGTACATGTAACGGTCTGCGAACGTTCAGCATAAGGCGCTCTCATCATGTGGCTAACGAGACGACAAGGACACTTACACGTCCGCTTCTTCCGCGCACTCTCATCCATCGGAGGACCAACATAGTTGACCCTGCTGGGGCCCGCAACCGAGAACTTGCTCTCCTGAAATCGCGGCAGGTCGAACCCGTCCTGCCTACGCACCGGCTTCACAGGAGTTCCCGGCAAACCTCCGCCCAACCCACCCCCTTTGGCGAAGTTACGCGACTGCGGACCCCCTAATTTTCCTTTCGCAAATCGTTTGGTGAGGTTCTCCCTGTCGAGGTCGCGTTTGATCATGGCCTTAACTTCTTGAATGTCCTTGAGCGAGAACGGGTGTGGCGGCTGGTTCAAAATTAAGGCCTCGTGCTTGTAGAAGAACCTCTCTCCAGACACGTTGTATAGTTGGCATACTTTTACACCTACGCAGGCAAGACAGCATGCGCTCAGAAGGTAAAAAGTATGTTCGCGAAATGGGGAGAGGAAGAGGGAAACGTACATTCTGCGAGGAGAGACTGGTCGAGATCGTCCCCAAAGTGTGATTTGAGCTCGGATTCGATGACAGAGAGTTCTCCGGCCATGGTGCACAGGTGAGATGGAGGAACAAGAGACACGGAGGTGGGAGCGAGAGGAAGGCTGCTTCAGCCATCGTCGCGATCGCGTCGCGTTACGGGCGCGTGCAGTCACACTGTAACATTCGTGTGACGCACGCGCCGGCGCTTACCGGGTATTAGTTGCGGGCGGTAAGCTCTAATTTATTCACACGCTCCTTAGAAAGCTTAGTACCGACTTAGTACGCCTTAGTCGTCCCTTAGTACCATCTTACCAACTTCCTAGTACCGACTTAGTATGATAGTATATCAAACTCGTACTTGCTCTCGGCGAACGCTAGCGCCGCTCGCCCTCGCTCTTTCTCTCAAACCTACCGAAGGGTTTCTCGGACTTCACACATAGACTCACTCGCCAATATTTCCAGATGTGCTAGCTCCTACTACTGTAACTTCCCGACCAAAGCGGCGGGTCACAGGTCACAACGACCCCCGCCGCCCCGCATTTGGGGGTCTGTCTCGCGTCACAGCGGCCTCCGCCGCTTTCGCCTGTGGTCCGGCGCCGGTCACGCCCCTAAATGGCATTTTTGGCGGCCCTGCGGGGCCGCGCGCCGCTTTTCGTACCGGATGGTCACGGTCACCACCGGTCGCGCCGCTTTTTGGGCAACGCCGCTTCGTATCCGGGCGGTCACACCCCAAACCCTCCGCCGGATTGGTCGGGAAGTTACAGTACCTCCGCATGCGTTGACTCCCGAGGGGGGTTTTTGCATTATGGTGCCCTTGGCTCGATCTTCGCTCGTTTCATGTACTGTGTACTCGCGTGTTAGGGCCGCTTCTACACTTTCTCACTCACGCCTGCTGACGCGGCTCAATTCGCCCGAGTCGCATTTATGTTACTTTTTACAGCACTCGGGTATGTATTGTATAGGTGATTCTGTGCTCACCCAAGAATATTTCAGGGTCGGCAATAATCACGCTATCATGCTATCGAGTTGCCGTCTGGCAGTCTGGGATGAGGCAGTAACGTGGTACGCAGTGCCTGCTTATTCTACACTGTCTTCCGAATACTAACTATCCCTTCAGTTTATGATCTCATGCCACATTTTTTTGCATTGGTGTGAGTGTCGGAGGCGTGACCGGAATCATGTCCCAGGTTATCAGCAGGACCCGGGCAACTGCACTAGAGGTCCGGCCCCAGCGCCTATTTCCAAAAATGCAAACTTGTTGGGCTCATAGCCCTCTCCAATCTCATTCGTAGGCCTCGTGAGTGTAGTGGTCGGTAGTGCTGAGCTCAAACGACATTTTGGTGCCACAATCATGCTCATACGTTGGCTCTATGAAGCACAATTTAAACGCCGAGGTTTATCCGAACTTGCATTTTTGAGGGGTCCTTTGTCGACGAGAAAATTCTTGCATCGACCATATCTCTACCAAAACACATCGTGGCGGGATGTGCATTGATTTGTAAGTTGCTACGGCCGCTAAGTAGCTATTCTGCGTACTTATAGAAGGGACTGCCCTTATTTGCGAGCACCCCGCAAGTAATACTTTCGGCGCCTAAAAACGCTCAAAATGGCCGGACCTCTGGTGCAGTTGCCCGGGTCCTTTATCAGCGCGTTTGGTCCCGTCACCGCGGTGCGCACAGTTCGTCCATTTGGAGCCGGACTCGCATTGCGTCATAGTCGAAGGACATATATCTCTGTCCCTATCGAAAACCACGTAGATTGCGTTTGGCCGGGTAAATTTCTTCGTTTCCACGGTCAATTGAGGCTTAGCAGCTCTACGTTTTAGTAGCCCGCTTCAATAGGCCACCATGGAGAAAGTGCTTGAACACTCCGATATTCTTCAATCCTCGATGTTGGTTTTTCCCGTTCTTGCGCGATTGTTCCGCATTTTGAAGACCACATCCAGGATTTGCGGCAGGTACTGCTTTGGTATCGAAGCTGCCTGCTCACCGGGTCCCATGATTATCAGCCTTGCCGTACATATGTACACCTCAACTTTCAAACGAGAGGGCCCGTTGTTGTGCACCAAGTGTGGGTTTGTTTGTTTTGAATTCTGATATCATGTTTTTTCCCGTGTTTATTCACTCCCAGGGAGTCGTCCGTGTCACGGTGTGGGTGTGCTGCAACCGTCGGTGCACTTCGTGTGGCGCTAGTCTTCGTCCTATAATCCTCTTCGTCTATGATTCGGTGATTCTCTTGCGATCGGATCCTTCGGAATTTCACGGTGGTGTGTCCAATTTCCAATGGCCGAGCATTGACGGTACGGGGACCATAGCCCACTGACTGCATTAGTGCCCTTGCTCACTGACGGTACTGGAGTTATAGCTTGCCGACTGTGCTGGAGCAATAGCCCGCTGACGGTACGGAAGTCATAACCCTCGGACGGTACTGGAGTAGCAGCCCACCGGCAGCACGGGAGCTACAGCCCATGGACCCCGCGCGTCGCGCCACCATGCGCTATTTTATGAATTTTGAACAACGGTAAGACGACCTCCGTTATCCTCTTGCTTGGGTTTATCCTCATGTTTGTTGATATCTGCTCCTGTTCGAACGGGATAGCCTCTGCCGCCACAGTGCCCATATGCTTGATCAGCACGATGAAGCCTGGTGGTACCACGTACAAGGACAAGACGAGCTTCGGCGGGCTGCCGTCCGAAGGATGTGGTCATCCAACATGGAAGAGGAGGAGTGCACCGCGCCGGGTAGTAGGGGGAGGCCTTTGGTTGACCGGGGATCTCGGGTAAGATGTGGCGTCGCGACCGAAGGTGTGGCGAACGGCCGTGACGAGCGAAATACGTGCGTACGAAGGGCGGACCATTGACTCGACGATGTCCCAGCCCGCTTGCACGGCGACGCCGTCGTCGTGGACGGTCTTCGGCTCGTCGGCCGGTGTGGCGAGGCATTGGTGGACGAGGCGCCCAATGGCGTGCCGGGCGAGCGAGGGCGTACGGGCGGGATAGCGGTGCGGAGGCCCCTCGCATGCGGGAGTGTGAGACTGGGAGGGGATTGGACACAGCGACATGGGAGAGGACAAGGGGCGAATCGAACATGGGGCCTGCGGCTGGGATTATATACCTGTCCCCCGCAGTTCGCACTCCGCCGCGAGTTTCCGGTGAGCCGCCATTGTGATAAAGTCCGCGCCTTATCACAGCCTATTGTTCTCTGCTTCTAGCCCCGCCAGTGGCGATGGCCAGCCTCACGAACATCCCCGCCGAAGATGGAGGCTGACCGCCCGCGCGCCGGATCTGAGGACGCCCTCCGCCGACGGCGCACCATCCTCCGGTGCAATGTGGCGTATCTTCGTCTCTATGTCCTCGCATTTCGCGCGCATTCGCACTCCTCGACCTACAGTGATCAAGCCGCATCGTTGGTCAAGGCGAGGTTGGTCGACGCCACAACGGCGCGGCTGTGGCGGGCGTGCGCCACCAACATTGACGCCGACGCGCGACGCGCCGTGCACGTGATGGAGGCTAACCCAGTCTCGTCGAGGTCCTCCGGATTCCCGTTGCTCTCGTTCAACTACCAGCTGGTTCAACCTCTTCGCGATCACGCCTTATGCAGCGTTGGAGCGGTCTGATACGTGTTGGGTAACTGTTCTGTGGTTGTGGAGGGTCAACCTCTACAGTACAGCTGATCCACGCGGAAGAACTTAAATGGGTCATAAACATGGTCGGTGAACAAACGTAGCTCGCGATGCGCCCGCAGTCTTCAATATGTTTGGCAGACAGACACCGTATTATAAAACACCATACTCAATACCGCCGCGACCACGCCCTGCCCCCTTTACACCCTCCGCGTAGCATCCATCTCCTTCGCCCTCGGCTCCACATCGTCCCAGCGCGGCCGCTCCCCCCACCCCCTCGCAAAGTTCACCGCCGCGAGCGCCATCTGCCTCGCACACCGCTCATACGTGATCCCCCCATTCCCTGTCCCCAGCCCCGTCATGAGCACCCTTTCCACCCTCGCCGCGCCCTCCGGCCGGTCCCCGTTATTCCACCGCCAGAGCGCGCTGAGGAGGTTCCACATGCAGTCGTACACGAGGTCGACGTGCCAGGACACGTCCTCGGGGGTGCGCATCGTCGGCACGACCGCGAGCACCGTGCACCCGAGCGGGTTTGATGCGGTGAGGGCGGGCGTGAGTGGGACGAGCTCGCATGCGCCTGGGGGGAGGTAGCCCCGGTACTGTGTGCGCAGCGCGTCCTGCACGACGTTCGTGAGCGCCCAGATGTCGCGCTCGACCGTGAACGCTACGGACAGCGCCATATCGTACCTGCGCAGGCATGGCCATTAGCACGGAATCAGTCGTAGGGGATATGGGAGAGGGAGAGACGTACCCGCCATCCATGATCCCAAACGCGTTCGCGGGCGACACCACACACGCGCACTCCCCAAACTCCTCCGCGAGCGCCGCGGGGTCCAGCTTCGCCTCCTTCACCGTGAAGCGCGCGGCGACCTCTGCGGGGACGTCATCCGCCGCCAACGCGTCGCGCCACGCCGCGCAGAGCGAGGGCGCGGTGACCTTGGTGCGCGGGTGCGTGCGTGGGGGTGGCGCGATGAGCACGAAGGCGGGGATGACGGAGGGGTCCGGGTCGGGGAGCGGGCGGGGCGGGCGGGAGGTCGGGAGCTGGTCGCGCGGGTCGATGGTGGATGCGGCGGACGGGGCGGCAGACATTGTCCGGTGCTTAGCGAGGCGGTGACGCGTGTTGAGGCGGAGGAGGCGGCGAGTGGGAATCGATGCTGGAGATCTCAGAGTGGCCAGTGTGCACAACTGCCTGTGCAGGAGGATGATGAATATCTTGATCTACTCAGAGGGTCAACACCTACTTTAGCGGGATGAGCAAACTACAGGAGACGAATGCTGTGCATTTAGTGGAAAGCCTCAGCGAGACGATGCTCTGGGTAGTTAGTGTTACGACTTGCTATGGTGCTATTTTGCTATCTTGTCAGCTAGCGCGATGTGTTCGATGTAGATGCTGGTGGGAACAAAGCAAGCAAGACGACGGTCATACCGCCGTAGCCCGGCCATAGTCACTAGCAATATGGGCCTGGCCGGGCCCGAGGATCCCTGTACGCCTGCTGTGGCAACCGCCCGGGCTAGTACTGTACCAATCTCCATATAATTCTTCCACTCTAACTTCAGCACACACATCCCACACGGGTAAAATCCGACCGTTCCTCCAACGACCGGGTATATATTACACTACAAGCACAGACAGATCATAGCAACGAACGTGAGAGGTATGGAAGGAGGCAACAACGCGTGAGGAAGCAGCAGCCTCGGGGCTCTGCGCGCTGTTAGGGTAAGGCGGGGAGAACGAGCGGGGACGAGCCAAGAATAACGGGCGAAACAGCACTGCAGACAATACGTATAGCGCATAACTTCAGCACACGGCAAGGGAATAGATAGAGCGACGCAAACCGGGAACCGTATACCACCTCAGCGCCCCTGCATTTTACCTTCCCCCCGGAACGAACGGAGACGCAGCGCTCAGTTCTTCTCCTTGACGTACGTGAAGTCGGTCTCGCTCTCGACCGTGACGCGCACGCCGTCGCCACCGGTAGATGGACGGTTCACGCCCGGAACGACATCAACCGCGATCGGGGAGTCCACCTCGGTCGGGAAGATGTCGCCCTCCTTCTGGTCGCGCCCGCCGACGGAGCTCTTCCCGTCCCAGTCCGCGCCGCCCTTGTCGGCCGCGCCGAGCGGCACGGCGTACGTCGCGGGCTGGTCCGCGCCGGGGCGCGCGAGGCTGAGGACGGGGTTCGCGCTCGGGGCGGTGCCCGCGCCCGCGCGTGCAGAGGAGAGGACGTGCGTGGTGTTGCCGGAGCGCGACGGGGCGGAGCCGGAGGAGACGGCGAAGGAGCCGCCGGAGACGAGCGAGCCGCGGACGGAGAGGATGATGCGCATCGTCATGGACGCGGTGAGCACGGCGGCCATGCTCGTCACGATCGTGCGCACGGGGTCCTCGGGGCCGGTGGGCTTGATGATGAACCAGAAGAGCATGTTGACCATGTTCACGGCCCAGATCGCGCCGTACAGGTTGAGCCCGTCGCGGAGCATGAGCTTCCAGTAGGAGAGCGGCTTGATGTCGAGCGAGCGCAGGGAGCGTTGGACGGCAAGCGCGAACTGTGGTAGCTGTGTTAGTGCGCTTGACAGATGGGAGTATCAAAAGAAGCACGCACCGAAGCTGTGTACGTGAGCGTCGCCGACAACCAGTAGATACCGACCCAGTTGGACTTGGGCTCGGCAATGCATCCTTGACCTTCGAGCAGAGGGGTAGCTAGGAAAACAGATATATCAGTCAGTTGATCGTAGTTTATGTCAAGAAGGAAAACCAGTGCTTACAGCGGAAGAAGCCACAGCAGATGGCGGTAACTACCACCTGGAAGGCAAGGAGGCCACCCATTCCAAAGAGGACGTTGCGGCTCTTCTCATAGATGGCGTTGACACGGATGACGTGAACGAGCGAGCAGGCGGCGAGGAGGATAGCAGTGCAGATGGGCTCGAACAGGAAGAAGTGCGAGCATTGCTGTGGACTGGGTTAGCACTGGATCGAATAACGCGGAGAATGATGCAGCCGGAGAAGGCTCGACACGAGGCCGTCCCAAGGTTTATGAAGTTGCCATCCTCCGAAGGGACCGGGGGCCGCGGCGTCCGCACAGACCCATTGGCGCGCAATACCAGAACACGGCCGGGGCTGGCCATCCGACAGTGGAGAAGGAAGACTCACTGCTTGCGACCACTTAGTGTCGAAGAAGGCGACGCCTGGATACGGGATACGTGAGAAGAGGGGTGAGACCTGATAAGTAGGTTACATACCGACGACGGTAAACTCCAGCGGCATGAAGACACGGAGGAAGTGGAACAAGATCTTGAGAGGAGGCCATTCGCGGGTGCGGAGGAGACGCCAGGTGCGGGGGGAGAGGACGAGGGTGTCCCATGCGGCCACGGTAAGAGTGCAGACGAAGAAGTACTTGTGGGCGGAGAGATGCGGGGGGAGGTTGAGGTAGGGCGGGAGGATCTGAGAGAGGTCGGGGACGGAGTCCGAGTCCGTAGAGTTTCCTGTTGAGTTGGACATGGCCGCGGTCTGCCTGAGACGGAGGGGACGCGGGGAGGGGGACGCAGCGAAGGAGAGGGGGAGGGAGAGAAGATAGCTCGCCGTGGGCGGTGAGACGATCAGAGACGCAGCGGGCAAGTATACTCTCCTGGGCGCTAATGGGCGCCTGATCATCAAGCGTCCAATCACAGCTTCGATCATCTTCCCGCCCGCCCGCACAGACGCCCGTCCCCGCTCTCCACAGCGACAGGCACGCCGGCGCACCCACATCCGACGCTGCTGAGCCGACCTCCTCCGCACCACCTCCATCACCGCTCGTCCGCGCTGCGACGGGGATCGTAGACTGCGCTCTGTGCTCACTTCCGCCGCCGTGGCGTTGTCGACGTCGGCCGGACACATAAGCTTCGATCTGACATCGTTCCGGCATTCTGCGCCGCCCAACCTAGCCCACTTTGCCCACGCACCGCCCCTCGGCCCATTTACGCTCGCACTTTCCTTGACAGCACCCCCGGGCTGTGTTCCCTCTTCGCGACTTTGTCCTATATTCGACCCTGCAAATCGCTAACAGTGTCGACGACCAACCGGCATCGTCTCGCGTTCGATGGTCGCAGAGAAGGCATCGCGGCGGTGCGATAGACCAGCATATGCCCGCAACTGCACGTCTGCACAAGTTGCTCGTCGCCTTCTCACTTTGACTACCGTCATCGTAGCCTCTCTTCCCTCTCTCTGACCGCGTGAGTCCTCCAACACCCCCTATCTTCCGCACTACCATCGCCGAAGCTATGGCGTGAACTCCGCCCGCTGGATTCGGAACTGATTGATGGTCAAGTATATACCCCATCCTCCCGCGCTTCGCCCGCGCATGACGAGGGGCTCCGAGCTTATCGCCACGCCGGCGCGTGCGGGGGCACAGCACTTGCCGTGCGCCCACCAAGGATAGGCCTCAGGAGGCGAGAGCAACAGACGAGCTCATGCTGCTCAGCAACCGACAGCTTCAGAAGCCGTGGGTGCATATGCATGACTACTGCGATCGCCTGTAACCTGTCCGCCGGCACAGTCGTAGAAGGTTCGCTTCGCGTGTCGATCGCTGGGGCGGGGTGCGTTCCTGGCCTCGACGCGTGAGTGAGTTCTGAGCGCGAGCCGCAACTTGCCTCGGCCCTCGAGGGCGGCCGCGCGCTGGTTGTGGATGCGTCCGCGCTGGTCATGGGTCTTCGGAAGACTGCGGTGTCCTGCCGCCGACTCGTCCAAAGACCATAACGCTGTTTACATACGTACGTATTGACACTTGCAATATGCTGGGTGTAAGTATGCATATGCATAGAGGCATCAATCTGTGCACGGTCGACCGTGGACGGGTACGACGTTCGATCAGGTACACGAGTTTGTGTGATCCCCGGGTCAGGGCCGCCAGGCGCAGTTACACAGCGTAGCTGTGGCGATGAGACCGTTCATGGCAGCGACGTGGTACCTGTCGTGGACCTGCAACGCCATGCGTTACTGTTTATCGTCATGCCGCCGTCATGCATTGCTTGTTCTCGGGAATACAGCAGGAAGATGCGCGCTGGGGACGGGCGGATCTGATTTCGACGCATCTTTTTTAATATCTAGGTTATCATTTACATGTAGTGCTTGTACAGCCGTCTACTGTAGGATTGATACGAGGTTTTCTAATGACCCCCGTGAACATATATCGAGTCTACTGCGGCAGCGCCGCCTCTATGGTGAGAATCATGACGCGTGGTGTTTGTGACGAATGGAGTGTGTGGATGGGAGGGGCATAAGCATAGGTATAGGGCAGTAAAGGGAGGAGAGGAGGGGGGAGGATGACATGGTGGGCTCAGCCGTCCGGGACCTCGTCGAAGGAGAAGGCCGTGGGATTGACCGTGAGGAACAATTGCTGGAAGTCGTAGAACGGGTCCATGGATCCGAGCAGATCTCACCTCGCCTCCCGCCGTGCCGTACACTATAATAGTAACACTTGTGGCACGCATGTTCAGAGCATATATTTCGCAGTGGGATATGTCACTTTGAATTTTACACTCACCGAGATCGGAGCGTTCGTACGCTCTACACCCTGGACGGATCGATGACGGACAGGACAATCAATCTTATATTACTTAGCTCGGGTCCGCTCGAACCTACTGAGAACTAGCAGAAAATAGTACGTCCACAGAAATCATACGTTCTCCATTCTCAACATCACTGGCTGGTCTTCCGCAAAACGAGCACCCCTAATGAATGAACGGGATGAACGACAGCCACGGCACGCTGTGCGTGTCGTACACGCCCTTCGGCAGGCTCTGGAACGAGTGCCCGAGCAGGATGAGCAGCACGACGCGCGCCATGCAGTACACGACGATCATCGACAGCGCCATGACGTTCATCACCTCCGTCACCCGCTGCCGGTCGATGATCGCGGCCCCGAGGATGATCACGAACACCGCGACGGGCAGTGCGAACAGCAGCACGCTGCAGTACCGCCAGAGCACCTGCCCGTTGCTGTTGGGGAACTCGACGTCCCAGCACGCGAGGTGCGCGAGCCCAACGACGACGCTCGCCGCTGCGGCGACCAGCGAGCCCTGCGTCATATCTGTACCGCGGATGGGTGAATGGGTGACGCTAGAGCAGAGGGATAAACGGGTGCTTACAGGGACTGCTCTGCCACATGCGCTCACTTCCGTGCAAGCGGTCTGTCTCCGTCATTGGCGGCTCCAAAAAGGGCACACAAAATTTCCTCCAGAACGCGCGAAAGGGGCGTACCCCACTGTGGCCGCTGGCTGCGGGTCCTGGCCGGTGAGCACTTGGCTAGGCGCGAGCCTCCGTGTGCGCGGAAGCGTCAGGCGCACACGCACGATGATCCGTTCGTTCACGTTGTACGGCTTCTGGAGCCAGAACCCGTAGTACACGAGCGTACACGCGACGTATGCGCAAGTGATCGTCTCGAGCGGTGCGATCGGGAGGTGCACCGCCCAACGTGCAACAGTACCTGCGAAGAACCGGGCGATCTGCAGCGTGGTGAGTAACTTGAAGAGCGTGTCCGCCTTGGTGTGGTCCGCGAGCTCGTGCTCAAGGGCACGGCAGTCGAGCGCCCCCGGCTCGTGGTGACGCAGCAGCGCCTCGTGCAGCGCGAAGCCGGAGTGCGGGGGCCGCTCGCCTTCCTTCGCCCCGTCGGGAATGAGGGCGCCCATGTCCGCGGCGAACGCAAGGGCGACCGTCCAGTCGGCGTGCCCGTGCTCGCGCATCCACGCGACGTCACGCCGCGCGATCATGTACTCGAAGAACGCGTGGAGGACGAGCATCTCTGGGGAGAAGACGCCGAGCAGCCAGAAGGTGACCTTCACCCAGAGCTCGAGCCAGTAGTCGCGCGCGACGAGCTTCTGGCGGAGGGAGAGGCGGTGCGCGAACGAGCGCGGGACGTCGAAGTGCACGGAGCTGTAGACGCAGGTGATGAGCGTGGAGGCGCACGCGGAGATGATGTCCATCGAGTCGCGCCCGCCCGAGTCGGCCTGGAAGCCCACGCGGGGCTCGAAGGAGGAGAATTGCGTAGGGCGGCCGTAGTGGAGGGCGAGGATATAGGCGGATATGGAGACGCATAAGGTCAGGACAATAAGCAGGCCGAGGGCGCGGATGTGATGGAGGAGGTCGTTCGTGCTGACGAACCGTTCGACGGAGGGCACGATCCCAATTTCGGAGATCGTCAGAGGCATCGCGGGGTACACGCTGCTAGTCGCGGACTTCAAAGTCTGCCTCAGCGCAGACTGCTACACACAAATGCAGCACTCACCACGAGATTCCTTCGGACTTTACGTTTCTGGGGTATGTTTTCAGGCCCAGTCGCTTTTATGCATCCTACATTAAGTTCACACCGCCGCGAATGCGATGCCACATCTCTACGATCGCTAGTACAATAAGAGGGTCTGGGGAAAATAGCGGTTCTGCCGAAACCCTGAATCCTGACAACGTGAGTTTGCTGTGAGAACGGAGCGCGCGGGGCCAGCGACAACCTTGCCATGTTGGGCGTATTGAGGGCTGCTGGAAGGCTGAACCCTCCGACGCTGTGCAACAGAACAGGGCAGAACGTAAGAAACCCGTATACGCTGCGGAGGGAAGGCACAAATCATGAATCACGCACGGATCTATGCATCGCAAGGGTGTGTTGGAGCTTCTGCCTTGCGTCCTCCTCACACACCCTGCCTGGCGACGGAAGTTTTGAACGATGATGTCGCACGGGCATGGCAATGCGGCAGATCGGTTATTAGGTTTGGAAGCATGCAACGCCGGAAGCCTTTTTTTTTTTTTTTTTTTTTTTTTTAACGGTGCTTGCCACGTGCGGCGTTTAACGCCTTTCGTGACAATTGCATGGCGGCGGGGACGAGTCCCCTGTGCCAGGGTCGCAAGCCGTACGGAGGAAATGCCTTATGCACGCAGGTACATGGTACCCCAGTGTGGGACTGCATGCATCCGTACGCGGCGCAGGTTAGCGGCTCAACCATTCTCGCCGTCATACAGACGCAGCGGCTTACCCACTAAAACCCCCGGGAGTCGTGTCCAGTCCGGGGCAAGGGCCCCTTCATTTAGTAGCAGGCCGGTCCAGGTGGCCTCAACCACAGCCGGCTTGAGGGCGCTGCCTGTAGCGAGGCGGACACGGGTGAGCGCACAGTCCATCGCGAGGCGGCCCGCGACAGCTTTCATCCATCGGTTCTCGACATAGTCCTCTTCCGCCCCCCTCTGCAGGGGCGGGCGTTCACCGATGACACGCTCGCAGCGCAGCACCCAAATAAGATGGGCCGTTTCAGAGATAAGAAGTCGTGCAAGACGCGTCGCGCCACACAGAGGCTTCCTTTCACTATCAGTCAGCACTAGGGCATGCCCCCCAAGGGCGATGCCCAGGGTAACATCTGGGAGGTCAATTCCTTTCCGTTTGAGAGCTCCACGGGTCAGCGCCCACGCCACACGCTGGCCCACTGCACTACACTTGCAGAGGATGTGCTCCATCGTGTCTAGGGCACCGCAACAGGCACAGGTGGCCCGGTCCTCGTAGCCCGGGATGTGACTCCAATACTTACCCACGCGCTGGCCCCCGTGGAGGACTTTCCATAGAAAATCCCGGACCTTCTTCGCTATCGGATCCCTTCGCAAGAGTGTCCAGATCGCAGCCACGTTTGGACACTCACCAGTTAGGCTTTCAGCCGCCGATTGCACTGCAAGGACGTTACTCATCGTCGCTCGCCTCACCGGCTTGCTATTCCACATCTGGATACCTCGGTAAGCGAGCCGCTGTGTGAGATAAAGGAGGGACGCGCCCCGCACAGCGTACCGATCCGGTGCTGGGAGGAAGAGCGGCCTCACAGGAGGCGGCAGGTTTGCGCCGTCGCCCGCCAGGCGGTCCGCTTCTTCGTTGCCATGCAGCCTCGCGTGGCCCTTGACCCAGCGGAACGTGGTCGGGGCGCTGCGCGTGCGGAGGAGCGCCACGGTCTCCATCAGGAGGGCGGAGTTGGCAACGCCAATCCACCCCCTCCGCTCCCAGGCCACTAGGTGCCTAGTCAGCCCGTCCACAACATACTTGGAATCACTTACGACGTGCAGGGGCACAAATGGGGGCACCTTGCGGTGCGCCACGGTCACAGCGTAGATCTCAGCAACTTGATTCGTCTGCTCATCCAGCGGGACCCTGACGCCTTCATTGCGGGCGTCATTGTCGCCAAACCAGACCCCCGAGCCAGCGCGTGTGGTGGCAGATCCATTACCATGGGCCGAGCCGTCCATAAAGACTTCGACGTCCTCGCCAGGCACCTGATAGGGGCACCTCAGCCGGAGGGCAGGGCGTTCGTCACGGGATGCGCTCGGGACAAAGATACGGAAGGATTCAGCAATCGGGAGGCAGGTGGACAGCGTCGGATCGAAGAGGATACGGTCGTTGTCGATGCGCGCTGAGACATTTCCGCGCTTTCTGTTCTTCGTGAGCGACAAGCCGTCCATGTTCGCAGGTCGGTCCGGGTTCCATTTCGCTCCTAGGCGGCCCAGGATTCGAGCAGCAGCTACTGCGCAGCGATGTGGGTTGGTACAGGCAAGAAGAGTGCGGTCATGCACGCAATCAGCGCAATCACAAGTCGCCCTTGCCACGTGCGCTGACTCAGCATCAGATAAGCGCCCAGCCACTCGCCGGCATTGGCCGACCGTGCGGACTTGGTGGTTGTCTCGAAGGCAGCGGCACCCCGTAGAGTTCTCCATTCCTCGTACATCAGCTCTCCCGACATGGTACCAAATCGGGAGGCTCTCCCGCAGTGCCTGGGTAGGGTTACGGATCTCGCACTTGACACCGTACTTCTTCGCCATCATGACCATCATTCTCAGACAGCTCGGGAGGCCCGCCTTCGCTCTGGTGCTCACATTCCACGTCTGCAGGAACGTGTTTATTCTCGCAGGCAGCTCCACCGCTTTGGACTCAGCCGCAATTGCACGCGCGAACAGGGCATCCGCAACCTTGGTCCAGGGCGGTCTCTTCAATCCAACAGCAAGGTAGGTCTTGAGCCACATGAGCGCAATCGCTTCATTCCATGCCTTGATGTCAAGGAGCTTAAGGCCCCCCTCTGCAATCGGCAGGTACGTTTGTTCACGCGCCACGCGCGGGTGGGCGTCCCCGTTCCATAGGAAGTCGGATACAATCCTCGTCAAGCGTTGCTCAACACTCGCTGGCATTGCTTGTACCGTGGCACGGAACTGGGTTCGCCCCGCCACCTCAATTCCAATGGCCAGTTTGCGGCCGTTCAGGGTAGGTTTGCCCCGTCCCCACTTTGCCAGGTTCGTGGTGATTGTAGACAATACGGGCGCCCAGGGCGCGGCCACATCAATCCCGTTGCCTATCCACGCCCCGAGAGATCTGATGGCCTCCCCGTCGCGGACTATGTGCGCGGAGTCAGGGATTGGGGGGGCGAGTGGGCTCAGCTTGCGCGTCAGGCACACAGTGTTACGGTACGATTCAGCTCCAATCGGTAAGATCTCAGTCTTCTCCTCATTGAATCTCGCCCTTGACACTCTACACCATGTCGCAGCTAGATCCTGTACACAGCTGTAGTCGTCATCGCCACTCAGGTAGACCGTCGTATCGTCCGCGAACAGTTTAGCAACCAGCCGTTCCGCCTCACCCGGGATCTTTATCCCCCGCAGGGCAGATTTACGCAGCGCGCATGCCAGCGGTTCAATCGCGATGTTGAAGATGAGACACGAGATCGGGTCTCCCTGGCGGACGCCGCGCCATATTCGGAAAAGCTCACTTTTAACCCCGTTGACAATGACACAGCTCTCCGCGCGCGCGTACAGGTGCTGTAGGGTGCGGATGAACGTCTCCGGAAAGTTCATATGCCGCAGGACCCTCCAAAGGTACGTGTGATCAATCTTATCGTATGCTTTCTCCTGATCAAGGGCCACTATAGCCCCATTAACTTCTTCTGCCTCCGCATACTCAATGATCAGTTGTGACAGCTTGATGTGGTCAAATATGCGCCTCCCGGGGATGAAGCCTGCCTGGTCCTCATGGACAATCCGGGGAGCCACTTCCGCGAGCTTCATGGCCAACACTTTCGTCATGATTTTGTAGTCAGAGTTTAGCAGGGTAATAGGGCGATAGTTTGTTATTTCGCGCTTATCTTTCTTCAGCTTATACACCGGGCAGATCCATCCATGTGCGAAGTCAGATGCAGGCGCAATACCATATCACTCGATGTCGTTGAAGACAACGGCCAGCGCCCGGGTCATATTCACCGCAGGCGCACCTCTCTTCACATCGCTCTCGTACCAGCGCTGGTACGTCTTCCACACTTCAGTCGGGAGGCCATCAAGCCCAGCTGCCTTCCCTGTCGCAGCATCACTGATCGCGAGCTCGACATCCTCAGTCATCAATCGTTTGGCCAGCTCCGCCTTGTCTTCGGGCGAGAGACGGACATCCGTGTCCACCAGCGCCTTATCAATGTATGCAGCGTGGTCCTCGTCTTCTCCTAATGGGTCGTCATCCTGTAGGCCATCATAGAAGGTACGCGCTATTTGGGCCATTGTTTTTGTATGGTTCGTATACGTGGGGGGCGACGTCCCGGGTTGAAGCATGGTATACATGACTTCAGTCACCTCCGGCGTCGTATTGCCTCTCATCCAGTACTTAGACATTGTTTCGCTGAGAGCCCAGTGGCGGGCAGCGACTTCCTTTCGTTTCCACCCAAACCTCTTCTGCTCAAGCTTCGTTAGCTCGTTTTGGAGAAATGCAGCCCTCTCCGCACGTGTTCTCTCGTCCGTTAACGGGCTTGTTGTATCGCCATTCTCAAGGAGCTTGCCGAGGTCTTCCTTGATTGCGTCGATGCGGCGCTGTATCTTAGGCACTTTAGCTTTGGCCCTCGCCCGCGCAGCCTGAATTAGATCTTTCTTGAAGCTCAGATACGCCACCTGCGCATTCTCCGTCGGCGTCCTTGCGCGGATCGAGTCCAGCCTGCTTATGAGGGCTGCCGCAAGTTCCTTCATCGTCTTCTTCATTACGTCGTCATTCAGGAGGTGCGGCGGCATGACCCAGCGGCCTTTCCCAATAAAGGGTGCCTTGTAGTTCTCAATCGCAACCGTTACTAGCCGGTGGTCTGTCGGAATGCCAGGTTCTCTCATGTCCCAGTCCGAGCAATCCCGCGCCATCTGGTGCCGCACGTATATGCGGTCCAGTCTTGATTGCACACCCGTGTGCTCTTGGAGGAAAGTGTACCCCTTCTCCATGGGTCTGGCCGTTCTCCACCCGTCCAGGAGGTGGTGTTTTTCGCAGAGCTCACGCAGGGCTTCACGCGGCAGGTCCGGGTCTTCACGCTGCGGCAGCCGGTCAGCGCGGTCCTCAACAACATTGCAGTCTCCCAGCATGAGGTCGACGCGCCCAAGGTTCGCGTCTCGGAGGGTTCGCCAAAAGGCCGCGTTTGCCGCGGGGTCATTCGGTGCGTAGATGTTAAGCAGTCTCAGTTCTCGGTCCTCTGACCACTTGATTATCAGCAGCGCCGCACGGCCAGGTACAATACAACGCACAGACGGGGCAGTCTCTTTGAAGAAGTGTTTGTTGATAGCAAAGGCAATGCCTCTCCCACCCGTAGCGTTGTCTGGGTCCGGCGAGTGCAGGACAAGCATGTTCCTTTCAAAGATGGAGTTCAAGGTCGCGGCTCTCTCATTATCCAGATGCGTTTCTTGCAGTGCAAGTATCGCGAGCTTCTGGTCTCTAACAAGCTGGTTCACAAGCAGCCACTTGCTCGAGCCTTCCGTTCGGTTCTCTATCCCATATCCTTTTATGTTCAGGGAGGCTATCGTCAGTCTCGCTTTTGTGCGCGGTCTACGTCTTTCCCCATCGCCATTCTGTCTCGTTCTCTGGCCGTCTTCCGCTCGTCCATTCACTGCAGGGGGGTCCTCTCCGCTCCGGGGGCAGCTTGCTGTCCTCGCACCCCCATTGCATGCAGAGGGCCTCATAGGATCCGTACGTCTCCTCCCCGCAGTGCCGCCGCCATACTCGGGGGCCCCATCATCAGGTCTGGGGTTGGCAGGCGAGCGCACAGGCCCTCCGGGGGCCCCAAGCGAGGATCCAGTTGCCAGCGTCGATATCCGTTGGGGTGTGTTATGTGAATTGGGGTGGTTTGGGGCTGCTTAGTGTCCCATCTGCAACAGCCATAGCAGACAGTAAGAGAGCATATCCCGGCTCACTCGGTTGGCTATGCGCTCGGGGTTTGCTTGTCTCCTTCCGCAACAAGTTCACCCTCCGGCTTGAGCTTCTCAGCACGGCTCGCCACGACCTGAATAGGTCTCCGTTTTTTGTCATCCCAGCTTTCCTGCGCCGCGGCCAGTATATTTGGGCCGGGATGGACCGCGGAGCCCGGCACGGAAGGGAGAGATCGTGCGCAGGCATAGTTAGAGGGAGGCCGCGCGCCGTTGGTCAGGCGGCAGTGCGGGGTCACGAGCTTGAGGGGGAGAGGGTAGTCGCAAGAAGGTCAGTTCACATTCAACAGGTGGGCGTAATTACATGAGCAGTTTCAGGCCAAGATATTCGAGATACATTCGTGCAAGTCAGTGGCGATCAAGGCCCGTTGTGGCCTCTGTACGGTCCGCCCCTCCTTCCTCGTCCCCCTCCGCCGCGGCCGCGGCCCTGCCCGTCTTGGGCGCCGTGGTAGTTCTCGCCCTGCGGCTGGTATCCGTAGGGGGGCGGGTGCATGGCGTGCGGCGGGAAGTACGGCGCTGGCATGAAGGGGTACGGGAAGGGCTGGGGCGCGTACGCCATCTGGGGGTACATCCCTCCGCCCGCCTGCGGCATGCTTGGGTCGTATAGCGGGGCGGGGAAATAACGCGCCGCGCCCTCATGCTCCCAGCGCTGCGTTCGTCCAGCGCCGCCTTCGTACGGGCGCGCGTCCTCCACGCGCCGCGCGTCCTCAGGACGGCGTGTGTCAGCGTGGCGCCGTCCTTCCTCACGCGGCGGGCGTCCTCCGCCATCGCCTCGCGTCGCAGCGGGGCCAGTGGGCGGCGGGGCGGTTTGGGCTGCGGCCGCCTGCGGTGGTTGGGCCAAAGTCGGTGCAGCCGGCGGAGGCGGAACAGCGGCGGGGACATACGCGGTCGGGGGCGCCAGGGTGCCCGCCGGCGGTGCAGGGACAGCTGGGCACCGGGCCAGGCACGGAGGGGGCCTCGGTCACCGCCGCGGGCACGGGGGGCGCAGGCAGGGTGGCGGCGTGCGTGCTGGTGTGCATGGTCTGGGGCGCGGCAGTCGGCAGGTGTTGCGTTTGGGCGCGCGGCTGGTTGACGGTTGCCGGAGCATGGATGGAGTCCATGAGGGAGGCACGGGGCACCACCGGCGCACTGCCCGCCTCAGGCTGCGGGGGCATCTGCGATGCGGGGGCACTCGCGGGCGCCGCGGTGGGCGCGGGTGCGGCGTTGTCGTTGCGCAGAGGCTCCTTGTGGTGCCAACCAGGCACGCGAATGAAGGGGCAGAGATGCGGCGGGTGGTCCGCCCCCGAGCATCCCGTGCACCTCGTCTCGCGACGGACTTTGGCCGCACCGTGATTGGGCGTGCTGAATGGAACCTCCGCCATCCGGCGGCGCCAGGACTCCCAGTGGGTTGGGCTCTTCGTCAGAGGGGAGCAATAGACGTTCGCGATCATCTTGTTAGGCCTACTGTTGACGCGGGGGCCGAAGTCGACAATGTCCACGTGGATGGTCAGGAGGACCGCGGTGATGAAGTTCTGGCGGGAGGTCTCGCGCTCAGGCGCGGCTAGTGGGCTCCCCAGGTCTTCGAGGAGCTTGGGGAAGGTCTGTCTAAACTTGGGGTGACGAAGCCCTGCCTCGATCTCCCCTCGACCAAGGGGGCGCTGAGCGGTGTTCTCAAACTCGTAGCCAAAGAGGAAGTCCGGCACCGAGACAAGGACGTCGGAGACGCGGATCGTGCCGATAGGCGTCGACCACACACCCTTGTTCCCCGTGAGGAGGACATGAGCCGCCTCGCGCGACCAGCCGCTGCTGAGGATGACACCCGCGTCGTCGGCCTCATTCGGTCCAAGGACGCGCGGGGTCGTCAAGTAGAAACCGTTCTCGAGCGTGATTCGCAGGAGCAGTTTGCGGATCTTCGCACCATGGGCCTGCGCTTTCTCTACGGAGTCCAGGCGCGGCGTGGCGAAGGGCTCGATGGCGAGGCGCGTGCCAGCGGGCTCCTTGTTCCAGTCCCTGACATCTTCTTGATCTAGGCCGCGCTGCAGGTCGAAGGGGCCGCGGAGGTGGCGCAGGGGAAAGAGGTAGTCTGGCTCCATCGTGACCTCGAGCATTTTGGATTCGTTGAGATCCTTCGCGCGGGCGTTCCCGTCGACGAAGTTTCCCATCGGGGGCGTGCGTTGCGCGTCGTCAAAGTCAGGGTTGAGATCTCCGTGCCCCCCAGCCAGCCAGCGGGAGCCATCCGCGAAGGTCCCGTATGGATTCGGCGGCGCAAGCGGAAGGCAGTCGATACTCAGAGGGGGGAGGTCCACGTCCATAGCACACGGCACCGCCCCCGCGTGGTTCACACCGGGGTCAGCAGCCGCGGGCAGGGGAGCGTAGTAGCCAGGAGGAGGGTCTCCGCGGAGGGCGGGCTCAGGGTCGCGCCGACCCTGACCGAAAGGGTCCTCGGCCAGTGCCGGGGCAGGGGCGGGAGTGGGGTCAGGGTCGCGCGCAGGGGCCGCTTCAGGGTCGCGTGCAGGGTCCATCTCAGGGTTCCCCATGGGGGCCGGGTGGCCGTACGTCACAGCCGCCGCAGTCATTGCATCCGGCATGGGGTGCGCGGCTACTCCCGCCGCACCGAGGGGCTCGGGGAGCATGCTGCGCGCCGCTGCGACTTGGTGCATGAACTGCGCCAGGCGGTAGAGCTGGTCATCTGAGAAGGACGGGATGGGCGGGTGCATCAGCGGAGCCGGCACCGTCTGGAGGACCAACGGCTCGACTTTCGGTGCTTGGGGTTGCTGGCGCGGCGGCTGAATGGTGCGCGCAGGAGGGGCAGTGTAGGCCTGTGAGACGGCGCGGGCTTGCTGGCGAGGTTGTTCATGGGAGGGCGGGGATACTCGCTGCCGCTTGCGGGTTCTCTCCGCGGCTGTCTCCTCAGCGTCCTCGTGCTTCGGAACGGTCGGCTTGGCCTGGCCGTCGCTGACCGTGTACGGCGCTAGCTCCGACCGCTGTGTGTCAAGGTGCTGTGGGCCATTAGGGCGCCTGCTCATGAGTACATAGGGAGCACAGTGTGCTTACAATAACGGGCGTCGGCGTCTGGTTAGGGTCCTCCTCGGTCAGCTTTGCGTGCCAATCTTTGTCGTCGGCAGCTCCGGTCGGCTCAGCCGCCTGCTGGTCACCGTTTTGCTGCGTGTAGTGTCCAATCACAAAGCTAAAGCGGTTCTGCGCGCCCGCGTCACGTCCCGGTGTTGCAAATGGGTTCGGCGGCGACGCCATCTGGTGCGCCGCAGCCTCACCAGGGGTCGGCGCGTCCGACGGGGTCGCAGGCTCTTGCGCCACGCTCGCCTGGGTACATTAGCACACAAGCGCGCAGTTGCTAGTAGCAACACACCTCAGCCAGTATCTCTCCATTCTCATTCAGGCCCATCTGGCCGTAGGCAGGGGCCGCGGTAGGCTTCCAGTCCGGCCCCATGATGTCCGCCATGTTCACTCCGCCTGGAAAATCGGGCGGGTTGCCCGCGGGAGCATTCGCGTACGGCGGGAGGTCCATCGTGGGGGAGGTAGACGCAGCAGGCAGAGCGAGGGGAGGGGCAGCGAAGTGGGGAGAGGGAGCGAGCAAGGATGGGGCAAGTCGAGCACGCCGTTTTGACCCTGTGCGCAGGGTCGTTGGTTCCGGGCACGCCGGCGCGTCTTGCCTGCGGCGTCGGGTTGGGGGGCAGACCCCAGCCCCCAGCGGGCTCGACGAGGTGTCGGGGCTGCCTCTCTCAGCTTTCCGTGCGCGCCAGTGTCGAGGGTGCCGAGGACAGTGGACACGACGCTCAGAGGTTCCCAGAGTGGTCGCCCACACAGCACCGGAGATTGCCGGTCTGAGTTCCCGTGCTCCGGCTTCTCCCGTAGGCCCGGGATTACCCGAGTCACGTGCCTCATTTGCTCTCGGGTGGCTTCTTCCGGCTCATGTGCGCCGGTGCCGGGATCTCCCGCTAGGTCCCGAAGTCACCCGGTTTGCGCTCGGCGATACATCACGTTACATCTCCACGTGCTGTCCACGTCATGTTCTTTGGTTTTGTTTGGGTCCGTTGTGGCGGGTTCTGTACTTGTTGGTTTAGTTTGCCCCGTAGTGTAAGCCGTCATTTGTTTGCTAGCTCGTCGCTACCTGCGTTCTTTGTTTCTATTCCAGTTATTTGGGTCCAGCGCTAGGTCGTTGTTTCAATCAAGTCGGCTTCCAAGCGCGTGTGCAGGACGCTTCCGCTCAGGTACGCGGCTCAGTAATTCAATGTCCCGTGACTTGCTCGGGAATTGGCTGGGTCCCTTCTGCTTATTTGCAAGATCCTGTCGCTAGGCAGTTCCCTTCGGTTCTTTTAGTTCTGAACCGGCGCGTGTTCTGCCTGCGGTCATGCGGGCAGTCCTCCTTCACACCCACTCATTTGTGCCACCGCCGTTGCGGCGCGCGCGGCGTGGCGCATCACGCAATCACGCGGCTTCTTCGCTGTTTTCCCGGCGTTCGGGCACGCGTCCAGAGGTGAGTGCCATTTCCGGGGCTGTTCCGCTGCATCAGCCGGCTCATCTCGCTTTGCCGGTCGTCTACAGGAGCGTTTAGCCGGCCTCGTCTTGGCTTGCGGCACCCGTTATATTCGCGGCTGCTACGCGTTCGTCTGCATCTGCTCGACCGTTTGCTTCCACTATCCCTCTATCTCGTGCACCAGTTCTCCTACTCATCCATCCACTCCTCCGCTGTAGGTACTACCGCTGCAGGGCAGTTCGTGTGCTCGCCCAGCTGGTTGTGGCTCTGGCGGAAGCGCACGACGGCGTCCTGCTCGATCGGCACGTCTCTTGTGTTCGCCAGGCCTCGGCGGAAGACCGCACGTGCAGTTCTTATCCACAGCGGGAGATGGACCGTCTTCCCCTCTTCATGGTGGATTGTGAGATACGCATACGCTGCGGCGGTTGCAGCGTTCTCGTTCTTCACGACCAGTTCGGTGGTGAGTCTTTCCATCGTTCTGACCCCCACAACTCGCCTCACGATCTCCGTCTCCGTTGCGGTGTAGTAGGTGCTGCCTCCGCCACTTTCTCCAGCGGCTGGGAGCGCTTGCGGGTGGGCGGGGAGAATTGCGGCGATGCGGACGAGCAGGCCGATGTGGAGAGGGATGCGTGGAGCGATTGGGACATCATAGAGGATGTTTTCTGATGTTTTGTAGCTTCCAGCGCTGTGCGCCGGCAGCCGGCTGCGTTCCAGGGCAAAGACAGTGAAGGGGATGCTTCCTTGGGTCATGGTGGTGGTGGGAAGAGTTGAGCTAGGGCGTCACCAGCTGTGCACCGTTTTATACTCTCACATTGTTCGCTTCCCTTGGATAGTCGCACGGGTCGTTCTCGTCCCGCAGCTATTACAATTTTGTTATGGTCAGCACGTTTCAGGAGTTGAGAAGGTAAGTTTTGGAGGAGGAACAGGTTCCAGAGCTGTTCAGCACTGTTACACGTTCATTGCGTCCTCCAGTTAGATGCGTATTCCACGCGTCCAGCTCTTCGCTGCTTGCCTGGTCTTTGTTTCTTCATCATTCTAGTCATGATTCCCGGTTAACGATTTCCTTGGTTTCGGTCTTCTACATTGTTTTTGGATCAGCGTCTGTTGGGTACCGTTGGCAGCCAGTAGAGGCGGTTTTCATTTAGGCAGTATTCGCTACAGATGAATAACGCACGTAGGCCAGTACGCCAGATTCTGCGTGTTCAGCTAGCTCTAGTGCTAGTGCATTTGTCTGCACAGGTTGGGTCTGCGGGCTGAATTGTCACGCTTCATTGTTCAGAGCACTTGCAAGTATTGTGTGTTATTTCGGTAGGTGCCCTCTCTATTCTCAGTCACTTCAGCACTGCACGACTCATGCATCTATTCGCCGTTCCATCCGGTGGAAGGGCGTTACATGCGCAGCAGTCCAGCTAGGCGGCCTGTTATCCCTTTAGTCTAGCGGGCTCTCTTCCATTTGCGCAGGTCGTTTCGCCCGCGCTCCTCCGTTCTGCGCCCGTCACGCTTGGCCCAGTGGGTCATGCTCGCCGCGCGCTGCGAGGTTCCGCGTCCGTCTTATCTAATCTTATCACTTGCATGGTCACGTGCCAGTGGCCGCGTCATCCATGGTTCATATCGTAATGTCAGGCATCTACCTGCCCCAATCTTCCTCACAGGCCCTCGTAGTGTCCCAGGCAGTGCCTAGGCTCACACGAGGGTTCTGAGGTCGGCAGGCGGGTCGCACAGGGGTTCGGGGTCACCTGGTAGGTGCATTTCGGTCGTAGTGGCCATTGCACCCCGTCTCGCAGTCCTCTTTCACCGTCCGCCATCATCGCGGTCCCCAGCTGTTCCCCGTCTGCGTTTTCTATTTGCTTCGCAGCGTAGGGTCTTCCTTAGTTACTTACAACCTTGATTTGTTGTGGTTTGCCTTCCACACGCCGGGGCAGAGCGTGGGAAAAACTTGATTGTGGTGGTTTAGGTTCAAGGAGGCCCCCCCGGAAGCCTTTTTGACAATACGCAGAAACCTCTGATACCAAAGATGTCCGAGGAATGGTGGATGGCGGAACTGTCAGGCTCTGTCAATCCCCAGGTATGCAGGGATCTCATCGTGACAGCACTCCAAGGCTGTAGCAGTACAAAGGCTAACACTGTTTGGGCTACACCGGGACCTCGTCGAAGGAGAAGGCCGTGGGATTGACCGTGAGGAACAATTGCTGGAAGTCGTAGAACGGGTCCATGGATCCGAGCAGATCTCACCTCGCCTCCCGCCGTGCCGTACACTATAATAGTAACACTTGTGGCACGCATGTTCAGAGCATATATTTCGCAGTGGGATATGTCACTTTGAATTTTACACTCACCGAGATCGGAGCGTTCGTACGCTCTACACCCTGGACGGATCGATGACGGACAGGACAATCAATCTTATATTACTTAGCTCGGGTCCGCTCGAACCTACTGAGAACTAGCAGAAAATAGTACGTCCACAGAAATCCTACTGAAAGCTAGCAGAAAGTAGTACGTCCACAGAAATCATACGTCCTCCATTCTCAACATCACTGGCTGGTCTTCCGCAAAACGAGCACCCCTAATGAATGAACGGGATGAACGACAGCCACGGCACGCTGTGCGTGTCGTACACGCCCTTCGGCAGGCTCTGGAACGAGTGCCCGAGCAGGATGAGCAGCACGACGCGCGCCATGCAGTACACGACGATCATCGACAGCGCCATGACGTTCATCACCTCCGTCACCCGCGGCCGGTCGATGATCGCGGCCCCGAGGATGATCACGAACACCGCGACGGGCAGCGCGAGCAGCAGCACGCTGCAGTACCGCCAGAGCACCTGCCCGTTGCTGTTGGGGAATTCGACGTCCCAGCACGCGAGGTGCGCGAGCCCGACGACGACGCTCGCCGCCGCCGTGACCAGCGAGCCCTGCGTCATGTCTGTCCCGCAGATGCGTGAGTGGGTGGCCCCAGAGCGGAACGACGAACGGGTACTTACAGGGACTCCTCTGCCCCATGCGCTCACTTCCGTCCAAGCGGTCTTTCTCCGTCATAGGCGGCTCCAAAAAGGGCACACAAAACTCTTTCCAGAACTCGCGCAAGGGGCGTACCCACTTCGAGCCCTCCCCCGCTGCAGCCGCCGGCTGCGGGTCCTGGTCCGTCAGCTCGGCGTCGGGCGTGGGGCGCACGCGCACGACGACGCGCTCGTTCACGTTGTACGGCTTCTGGAGCCAGAAGCCGTAGTACACGAGCGTGCACGCGACGTACGCGCAGGTGATCGTCTCGAGCGGCGCGATCGGGAGGCGCACCGCCCAGCGCGCGACGGTGCCCGCGAAGAAGCGCGCGATCTGCAGCGTGGTGAGCAGCTTGAAGAGCACGTCCGCCTTGGTGTGGTCCGCGAGCTCGTGCTCGAGCGCGCGGCAGTCGAGCGCGCCCGGGGCGTGGTGCCGCAGCAGCACCCCGTGCAGCGCGAAGCCGGAGTGCGGCGGGCGCTCGCCCTCCTTCGCGCCGTCGGGGATGAGGGCGCCCATGTCCGCGGCGAACGCAAGAGCGATCGTCCACTTGGCGTATCCGTGCTCGCGCATCCAGGCGACGTCGCGCCGCGCGATCATGTACTCGAAGAAGGCATGGAGGACGAGCATCTCGGGCGAGAAGATGCCGAGCAGCCAGAAGGTGGCCTTGACCCAGAGCTCGAGCCAGTAGTCGCGCGCGACGAGCTTCTGGCGCAGGGAGAGGCGGTGCGCGTACGAGCGCGGGACGTCGAAGTGTACGGAGCTGTAGACGCATGTGATGAGCGTGGAGGCGCACGCGGAGATGATGTCCATCGAGTCCCGCCCGCCCGAGTCCGCTTGGAAGCCCACGCGGGGCTCGGAGGAGGAGAATTCGGTCGGGTGGCCGTAATGGAGTGCGAGAATATAGGCGGATATGGAGACGAACAGGGTCAGGACAATAAGCAGGCCGAGGGCGCGGATGTGATGGAGGAGGTCGTTCGTGCTGACGAACCGTTCGACGGAGGGCACGATCCCAGTTTCGGATGTAGTCAGAGACATCGCGGGGTACGCGCTGCTAGTCGCGGACTCCGAAGTCAGTCCCAGCGCAGACTAATCCATGCAAACGCAGTACTCACCACGAAATTACTTCGGACTTTACTTTCCTGGGGTATGTTTTCGAGCCCAGTCGCTTTTATGCATCCTACATTAAGTTCACACCGCCGCGAATGCGATGCCACATCTCCACGATCGCCTGTACAATAAGAGGGTCTGGGGAGGAGCTGAGCGGGTATGGCCGTGACCTCTGCCGAAACCCTGATTCCCGAATACGTGAGTTTGCTGTGAGAAAGGAGAGCGCGGAGCTAGCAGCAAGCTTGCTATGTTGGGTTTGTTGAGGACTGCTAAGAGGCTGCGCCCACCGATGCTGTGCGGCGGAAGGGGGCAAAACGTAAGAAAACCGTATACGCTGCGGAGGGAAGGCACGAATAATGGAACACGCACGGATATATGCATGGCAAGGGTGTGTTGGAGCTTCTGCCTTGCTTCACCCTCACACAATCCGCCCGGCGAAGGAAGTCCGAACGATGCCGCATGGGCACAATGCCCCTTGGCTATTAGGTTTGGAAGCATGCAACGGCGGAAGCCTTTCTGACGATACGCAGCAACCTCTGATACCGAAGATGGCCGAGGAATGGTGGATGGCGGAACTGTCGGGCTCTGTCAATCCCCAGGTATGCAGGGATCCCATCGTGACAGCGATAGCCCCACGGTGCAGTGCAAAGGCTAACACTGTTTTCGTTATAACGCATGAGCTGCAGACTTCCGTAACGTTGATGCAAGCCGCACGTACTACGCTGTAAGAATCCTTTAGAAATTCACAATCTTGAAGAACGTCATACGAGATGTTGATAGAAGGTATTCGCGCAAGCCGAGGTATTTTTCCCCCTCGCTATAAGTAGTGGGGATCTAAGCGGTCGGCCGGTGAATCGGTGACAATATCTGTGAGGTGCAACATGCCAGTGGCCGCTATGATCGTAAGAACACGGACATTGCCGTCGATTGTGCGCAGTGCTGCAGCATCCACGACTTCGTTAGTTCCTGTACTGGTACGCATACGATAGCACTGGTTACTTTGGTCAGCGACAAACCCTATGGACTCGCGTCAAATCACTCACCACCCACGAGAATACGCATGTACACTGGTACTGCACATCGGGTCTGTGAACTCACCTGAATATAATCTACTCACTCCTCGAGCTCGAGCAGGAGCCCTAGTTCAAACCACGGTCGTAAATAAAACGATGCAGTAGAGGACATACATGGCATGTGTGATGTGTGCATGCGAGACAGCGACATTGATCAGATGCAGACTAGTAGTAGTACAGTATGCGGGGCGTCGGGACGGGCCCGGTTCAGAGGACGAGGGGGGACACGATGAGATAATGCGAAGCCTACTATAGTCCAGATCCAGGGATTGCTGCTGTTGCCTTTGTATCAAACACATGATCGGAGCTGGGAAGGAAACATAAAAAGGGACGGGGGGCACGGGTAAGGGGGGCGCGGACATGTGGGAGGACCGGGGTGGGGATGTGCGGAGGAAGTGTCGGGGACCAAGGTGAATATAAGAGCGTATGGGGGAAAAGTGTGCGTACGAAAAACCCGACGATAGCGAGAGAACACAGCATAACGAGATCATCGAACAGATGCAGCTAGGGGAAACATGGACGCGTGCGGAGCGTATGCGCGACAGGGCGAGCGGTGCGAAGCGCATCCAGCAGTACTCGGAGAGTAACATGCGCCGGAGCGCTAGGGCTGAGCCCAGGTGGCGCGAAGCCAGTGGGCTGAGAACATAGGCGAGCGACAAAAGAACATCGCGCATCCGCTCAGCGTGCATGATGGAGCATTTGCAGTTCCCCAATGAGGCGCTGCACACCACAACGTCAGCACGCCCTTTGCACATGTTATTACAGAGCACTCACATCCGCTTCTGATTTGAGCCTCTCTTCTGGGAGCATCGCCATATGATCAAGACCTTGCTGGATACCGTACCGGAGGAGCTGCATCATATAGTGCGGGTTGATGATCGTCTCATCCGGCCGCAGCAAGTCCTCGAGTGTAGGGGGAGTAGGGGGAGTCGGGGGCAGTGGAGGTGGAGGCGGTGTGCGCGGTGCAGGCTGCGGCAACGATGCCGACTCGGCTACAAGCACACTCCGTGAGCAGCCATACTAGCAATGAAAATCCAAAGTAACAACCACGCACGTTCGAGCCAATTCTGTTCCAGCAGCTCCGGGATCGTCACGCGCGCCTTCGGGTTGCGCGCCAGACAGGCCTTCATCGTGTTGATGATGCTCTGCGGCACGCGCACCTTGGGGAGCTCGACCACCGGCTTCGGCGGGGCGTCCGGGTCTTCAGGCTCGGTGCTGCGCGGGATCACGGGTGAAGCGTACTCGGGGTACGAGATCATATACTCCTCGTCCGGGATCGCCTTCATCTTCTGGATCACCGATAACGCGCTGAACGGCGGCGTCCCGTATACCATCTGATACAAAATGCACCCCAGCGACCACACGTCGGACGGGCGTCCGACCTTGAGGCGGCGCATGCCGTCGGGCAGCTCGATCGTCTCGGGCGACATATAGTTCACTGTGCCGACCTGGTGGTCGCGCTGGATGTTCGTCGTGTCGTTCGCAATCGCGTTAGCGATACCGAAGTCGATGAGCTTCAACTGCCCGCGCACGAGCACGAAGTTCGCGGGCTTGAGATCGGAATGTACGATCTTCTCTTCGTGAATAATGTGCACGGCTTGTAACATCTGAGCAGAGTGGGTCAGCACGTCAACCGAGGACACCAATGCATATACGAACCTGCTTCCAGTAGTACGCGATCCACACTGGATCCATGGGCTCCCTTTGCTGGATCTGCAACAGTTTCGCCAGGTCTACAACAACCATCAGCATCCCTCTCTTCGCACAGGCCGTTGACATCGACACGCACCGATCTCGCCGCACTCCATCACCAGCATCAACGAGCCCTTCGTCCCGCCTGCGCCCGACTTGACCTCGCTATCATACAGCCTGATAATCCGCGCGTTGCCCTCGAGGCGTTTCAGCAGCCCGATCTCGTTCATGTACCCCGCCATCGTCTCCGCGTCGACCTTGTCTAGCCGTACGTGCTTCACCGCGTAGATCTCGTTCTGTGCGTTCATCACCCGGAACACGCGCGACGAGCCGCCCTTCCCGATCATGTCCAGCCGCGCATATGGCTTCTTGTTTACCTGTTCGAAGGAGCCATGGTGAGCGCGCGCTCGCCGCGAGGAAGGGCCGCCGAACGCGGTCGCTGTCATGTTCGGCAGAGCATCACTTACGAAAAGATGCCGCCCAGTGCCCCCGAGGGGCAGCGCTGGCGGGGCCTTCGCGGGTGGTGCTTGCATGGGTTGCGTCTGCGCCTGCTGCTGTTGCTGGTACTGATGTTGCAGCTGCTGGTGCGGCTGTTCAGGCTCTGTTTTCCACTGCGACTGCTTCATTGGAGGTTCTGGGGCAGTCGGGCTCCGCCGGTGCCGCAAAGGCGCGCCCTCAACTGCAGTCGGCGAGCCAGCGTCACCACGGCGGACGGTATCAGAGTCTCTTCGTTGGTGTCGCAGATGCGCATGCTGTGGGAGCTGTCCATGCGGAGGCGAAGGTGCATAGGCGCGTCCTGTGTACATCTGAGCTCCCGTTTGTCTGCTGAAGCAAGTTGTTTCTTCCAACACACCTGCCGCTGCTGCTGCCGCCGCGGCTTCCTCTGCCTCGCGCCGTGCATACCCTAAGAGAGACGATTACTCTTGGCCCGCCACCGACAAGAAATTGGGCAGCATACCTTCTTCCAGCGCAATCTCACGTTCCTGTCGAATCTTCTCTTCAAGCGTGACCCGTCGTGCACCCAGTGACGTGCCAGGGCGCAAATGCGTCATCGGACGTTCTTGCACGATGGGCTCCATCGGCGGAGGGGCGTCGCTGAGGCTCGCAGAGCGTCGTGGACGAATGGCGTGGTGGACGGGAACAGGCGGTGCGGCAGGCGGTTCCGGCTCTTCGCTTGTCTCCGCTATCCTGTCGAACCCAAGCGACTTACCGATGACCGATCGCGCCGGGCGAATCATGCGCGCCGCTCGCAGGTTCTCCTTCTCATCCACCCCGCCGATCCCTGTCTGCGCATATGGCTTCACTTCGCTTTCAGGGAGGTCTTCCAGTCGGACGCGTCGCGGACCACCCAATTTCCGACCCGTGCCTTGGTTCGTGGTCGCGAGCGCGGAGTAGCCGCGCGCCATACCTGCGGGCGTGCTCGACACGGGCCCTGATGCAACACGTTGGAATTGACGCGGGTTGTACATGGACTCTTGTGGAAGGGACTCTGAGCGGGCTAGAGGCGCGGGGCGGGAGTACGCAGCTAGAGCGGGGAGTGGAGAGGGTGCTTTGGGCGGGGAATCGGTCGGCGTTGGCGGGGTCGAACCCTTCGAGGACCCCTTGGAGACGCGCACGATCTCGCCGCGCGAGTTGCGCTCGTATACGAAGGAGAGTTCGGATAGGTCCCATACCATGGAGTCGTCCGAGTTGGCAGGAGACTTGTCGGGCTTGGGCGGTCCATCGCGCGTTGGGGGCGGGGAGTGCGAAGGGGTACGAGAGGATGATCTGCGGCGACCATGATCGGTGCCGTAGGTGGGGAAAGCAGTGGTACCCGGGTAGGATGACCCAGGGAAGAGAGAAGCCATGATTAAGAGAAATAGATCAGCGATACAGAGCGATGCTGGTGAAGGACTGCTCAGCGGTAAGACTCAAGACGAGAACGGGAGGATGCACCTTCAGAGCAATGGAGCTACAAACCTTTGGTCTTCAGTCTATCCCAAGCGCAAGCGCAACGACGCGGAATCTATCTGGGTGGCAACGTTAGCATGCGAGCACTTGTTCCATCAACACCAGCAGACGACGTTCGCTTTGAGCCACTCCCTCTTCCATGCACCTCTGCGAACCTATCTCGCGACGACCACGCCCTGGGGGGTGCGGGGTGTGTTCTACGAGAAATGTTCTGCGTTCCGGGTGATAGAATGTAACAAATATCTCATAACCAAACCGCGGAAGCGCAGAGGTTATGGGATAAGTACCTTCGCGCGTCGCTGCACTTAAAGTGCACCCTTAGTATGGCAGCGAGCACCATGCCGTACACCGCGCGATGTCAAACCACCGCTGGTCGCCTCTGTGGCGACTGAGTCACCAGAACGCGGGATATGTGCTGGAACGTGTTCTGCAGGACGAATCTCACTGCCGTCTGAACTTTCTGCTTGCGACCGAACAGCTTCCGTCTAGTGGTACTGCCCGGTTGACGCGTCGCAGTGTGGATACCATACCCTCCATCGCTCGGTGCACCCCACACGCGCTGTAACACCACTGACCGAATCCTGTACACACCGATTCCTTTGACCACCACGCGAAGGAAGATGTACTCACAAAGTAGTTGGCCAGTGATTTGTGCGCAGTAGTGGAGAGCGGAGGGTAGCGGGGGATATAAATGGTGGATGGCGACGCGTAGAAGTATGTGTTTTGGCAAGAGTGGCGAGGATCCGGGTTACCTTGAGGGCAGGAGGGCAGGGCAAGTGGCAGAAGGGGTCGAGTCGGGGGAACGGAGGCGAGCGTGGCGAGGGATTCTTTGTGTTGGACTTTCAGCGCTTAGTTCAACGCGAGGCGCACACGAGGCAGCGACACGATCACGTGCGTGTCGCCCCCCGTGGCGCGTATATGCTCCCGCCCTGGGCTCTCTCGCGCAGTGCGGTTTATTGCTGGGTATTGTACAGGGTACATTCGTTTGAGCTTCGCTTTCATGCCGCGTCCCCCCTCACTGATCAGACACGGGTCTGGGGCTGCCTGCAGTCCGCCCACGCCTACCGCCTGCCCCGTCGCGGGCGCCAATTCCGCTGCATCGATGGCGTCACTGCGCTCTCACTCCAACTGTTTGGAGGATGTACGGGATGCACTGACGACGAAATAAACCTCACTCACTCACTCACTCTCGCCTCGCTCACTCACTCTCTCGACGCCGCTGCCACTGGCTCGGACTCCTTCGACCGCCCGTCCTGACTCTCCTCAGCACTACGGCCTCTGCTGCGCTCGCTCATCCGTGCACTGTCCGCCCTCCAACGTTTCCCGCGTGATCTCCTCCGGTGCGCTGCGTGCGCACATCATACCGCACGATCTAGCCCATCGCGATGTGCGTTCAAGTGCGTTCGCAGCTCCGCCCGGTGCGATATGCACTCACAATGTCCGATTCACAGCTCTCCCGCCCTGTATTCTCCAAACGCCTTCGTCCCGCCGCGCGATACGGGCAAGTTTACTCGTGTGCAACGTTCGCTAGCTCTGTCCTCGTATACCTGCGACGGCGCTTTCCGCGCCCCGCAAAACTGCGTCTCTCGCGGTACCCACAATCCCGACACCTGTGGCCCTCTTGGCCAGCCCCGGACCTCGGCGCCCCCACTTGGCATGCTAGAAGAACGCTCGCAGTACCCGCAGCATGGCGCCCTTGCATGTGCCAAGGTGCCGTCGACGTCCTTCGAGCGCCCTGCCCCGGCGCACCCGCCGGTCCACGTAGACCGTCCGCAGCCACTGGCACCATGGCACTTGCGCGAACGTCTGTGCGTTGCCCTCGACGTCGTCCGGAAGATAAACCCTCCAATCAGGTGCATTAGCAGCTTCTCACGACACATATTGCGCTCACAGTGTCCGAATTACACGTCGCCCGCGCACAGAATCGTAAATGCTCACGCCGCGTTGCACCGTGCGGCTTTCCATTGCGGCGCAATACGCACGCAAGTACGGCCCGCACATGCCAGCGACGGCGTTCGCGGCACCCGCCAAAACTGCGACGCTGGCGGGATGAAAACAAAGCTCGCGGGCTGGCCCTCGACCTTTCAGTGTACCACTCGCAAATCCCGACGCCCCTCTTTAAAACCTGCAGGGCAGGTTCATCCGACCTAGAGCAACACGCTCCTGCGCGCGCTTAGTTGCCATCCACGTCCTCCGCCCGTGGTGCCCGCTGCACGAAGGCGGCCGCTCCGCCCACGCTCTGCCGTCTCCCCCACGACCTCTTCCATCGGCGCATAAAAATCACTCGCTGGGGTGAAGAGGCAACCGGGGCCTCCAATCATGTACGTCCACAGCTCCCGCCAATGCGAACTGCGGTGATGACGACCCATTTACAGGCCGCCCGCCCTCCAAATCGCAGATGGCCGCGCGGCGTCGCGCGGTACACTCTGCGCTTGCTACACAACGTGCGCGCATACACCGTGGCGGCATGCCGCCGGCGTCGTTTGCCCTAGACGCCGGAACTGCCGCGTCGACATCGGGCTCGCGCCCAGTTCGCCCTCGCGCCCAACAACACCGTCCCCAGGCCGCGCCCCTCGACGCCCCCACTTGAAGAGCTGGCTGTATGCTCATCATATGCCTGCAAACGTGTGGTTACCCGCCCACGGATGCCGCACGCGTCATTCGCGCAGTGTGCCGCCCGAGTGCCCGGGATGCCCAGACAGACTTCCGCCCATCCTGCCGGCGCGTGGATACCGTCGACGGCTAGCAATCGCATATGACCCGATGCATACCACGCTATTCTCGCGCTAGGTAGGTTTCCAGCGTACGTAGACGCAAACTGCGCTGACAAACTCGAATTTTCAAGTAGGTCAAGTACAACAAATCAGATCACCGACGTTATTACCCCCACGGAGATCTCCTCTCTCTCTCTCTCTCAACTACGTCATGGAGCCGCGCTCTGCCGTCTGTGACGACGCTCAGAGCGTGCATCGACGTCGGGAGGGCGTACATCATTACCGGCACCGGTCGCTTCTGCCGCCCACTCGCACAGACCGCTGGCCGCCTCGCCCCGCTCACATACGCGCAGGACACGTATGCCTGACACCGAGGATACGCGTCTCAGAAGAATAAGCGCGTCGCGTCCGTCCTGCGCGCTGTACGCTGCCAACAAGATGGCCTCGACCGCCACTCGCCGGGCCTCTCGCGCTCCGGAATCGTGTCCGGCCCGTTCAAAACACATATCCTACACTCACCCGCACCAGGGCGCATACATCGACCCAGTCTCACGTCGATTCGGGCAGATAAAAGTCGGTCACTTTCGGGCGATTTCATGGGCGAGCCCGAAACCGCCACAAAGAAATGCGCGCCGCGGCCGCCCCTGACGCTCCCCAGCCTCGCCAATTGGCCCACACACCGCTCCACGCTGTGCGCATCGACTGGCGTCGGCCTCACCCCGTCAGCGCGTGCGGGACGACTTCGCCGAGGTACGCGGTTGCCGCCCGCCGCGCGCTTCCCGCCTCTCCTGCGCACTGACATCGTCCCCGCGGCGCACAGAAACGCGGCAGCCACGCCGCCGCACCGGGACGCACGCCCCCTGCGCGTTGCGCGGCGATCCGGGAGGAAAAAGCTGGGCGCGTTTTGCGCGATGTCATTGCGTTTTCGGCCGCCACGGCGGGAAAGTGCACGTCCGCGTCGCGGGACGCCTCCTCCCGCCGCGCGATTCAGCAGTGGATGTCCTGTGCATATCCTGCATCGAGCGGCGTGGCGTTCGGGCGCGCTCGACGGCGTTTAATCGTGCTTGTTTTGCGGCGGGCAGCGGGAAACGGCTCCTCCGAGCATCTCGATCACCGCCGACGCGGTCTGCGGGGCCCGGACGCCTCCTCCCGCCACGGAAATCATGCTTTTGGATGGGATGTCGTGTACGCATCCTCCATCGACCCACGTCGCGTTCAGGCGCACTCGACGGGGTCCCACCACGCGTGTTTCGTGGTGGGCCGCAGGAGACGGTTCCTCCGAGCATCTCGATGGACCTCCGGCGGGGCCCGCGGCGGGGCCCTGCACGCGGACACATCTGCGGGTATCGTCAGTGCGCGGCGCGTGTACAGAGACGATCACGTACGAATAGCGCTCTGCGGAGCGCGCCGTCGCCGCCGACGCCCTCGTGCCATGCGCCGGGACCCACGACTCTACCCGCTGACCCAGTGCACACACGACCGGCCGACGTGCCGGCTGCCTCCGTCTCTGCAACCCCCCCGTACACGACAGCACTACTGTCGTGTCTAGGCGCAGGGCGTCAGCGGCGAAATGGGAGTACGCGACGTGCGCCGCGCCCGACCTCTTTCTCACCGCCGCCCCGCCGCCCCGCCGTACACGGCCCGCCTCTCTGCTTGCATTCCCAGAGGCCCGCGAGTCTCGTACATGGGACGACCTCGCTTCGCGTGAGGAGTCCTGGCCCGGCCGGTGGAGTCAAATTCGGCGTGCTCAGAGGCTCGAGAGTACGGAATAGGTGAGTATATCCTACCTCTTCGGGCTGCAGGACCAATCAGTTCACTCGCGGTACGCCCGCGCCTGCAGATGACGGCGGCGCGCGCGATACGCTAGACGCCTCCCCGGCGCTCAAGGCAATTCCGCCGGCCCCCGGGTGTCCATTGTGGTGCACGGCGACTCGTCCGCTACGAGTGGGCCCATAGGCTATTACATGTCTCGCGCCCGCGGAAGGCCACTCTGCGCGCTGACGGAGACACAGCCGCGCCGGACACCGTGACATGCACAATCCGAGATGGTGCGTACCGTGTCTGTCATGTGCGATTTCCCGCTGACCTTGCGGGCTGGCAGACGGCGGATTCAACGGCGAGGACCCCGCTAATTGACGGTATCGCCGTATGAGGGCGCCAGAGCGAGGAGGCGCAGGAGTGGCGAGAGGAAAGAGAGCCGCGGCGCGGGCCTTTGCAGTTTCGAGCGGTGTCAGCATAGGCGCCCATGTACGTCTGCGTGCGCGACGTGTTCTGGACGGCCGCGATCTTGTCTTTGCAGCTGTCCCTTGTGCGGACGGAGTCCTGATGCTGTACATAGCTCGCAATACGATTTATGTGGGATTCCTGCCGTCCAAAGTGCGAGAACGAGCCCCTGCTCCCCGAGGTCCGCTGCTCCGAGTCCCCACAGTCCCCCGGCACTCCTCAGCGCCAACTACGCACCCACCATCGACGCAGAGTCCGTCGTTATTTCCCTAGCAGAACAGGTCCCAGCGGCAGATCCAGCGCACTCCCCAAGCGAGATCCAGCACGGAGCAGATCCCGTGTGCCTGCGTGCCCGACTCGCCCAGCCAAGCACCGCCACCCGCCGAGCCGTGAACACACCGCACTAAGCACGCACACACACGTCTACGTTGCGAACGAAATATATTGCCTGTCTATGTACATGTGCATCTGCGCGTCCGCGCATGCCAACAGCGCCGCGACCAACTCCCTCCCCTCGCCCACGCCGCCGACGTCAACACGCACCGATCTCGCCGCACTCCATCACCAGCATCAACGAGCCCTTCGTCCCGCCTGCGCCCGACTTCACCTCGCTATCATACAGCCTGATAATCCGCGCGTTGCCCTCGAGGCGTTTCAGCAGCCCGATCTCGTTCATGTACCCCGCCATCGTCTCTGCGTCGACCTTGTCTAGCCGTACGTGCTTCACCGCGTAGATCTCGTTCTGTGCGTTCATCACCCGGAACACGCGCGACGAGCCGCCCTTCCCGATCATGTCCAGCCGCGCATATGGCTTCTTGTTCACCTGTTCGAAGGAGCCGTGGTGAGCGCGCGCTCGCCGCGAGGAAGGGCCGCCGAACGCGGTCGCCGTCATGTTCGGCAGAGCGTCACTTACGAAAAGATGCCGCCCGGAGGCTCCGAGGGGCAGCGCTGGGGGCGCCTTCGCGGGTGGTGCTTGCATGGGTTGCGTCTGCGCCTGCTGCTGTTGCTGGTACTGATGTTGCAGCTGCTGGTGCGGCTGTTCAGGCTCTGTTTTCCACTGCGACTGCTTCATTGGAGGTTCTGGGGCAGTCGGGCTCCGTCGGTGCCGCAAAGGCGCGCCCTCAACTGCAGTCGGCGAGCCAGCGTCACCACGGCGGACGGTATCAGAGTCTCTTCGTTGGTGCCGCAGATGCGCATGCTGTGGGAGCTGTCCGTGCGGAGGCGAGGGTGCATAGGCGCGTCCTGTGTACATCTGAGCTCCCGTTTGTCTGCTGAAGCAAGTTGTTTCTTCTAACACACCTGCCGCTGCTGCTGCCGCGGCGGCTTCCTCTGCCTCGCGCCGTGCATACCCTAAGAGAGACGATTACTCTTGGCCCGCCACAGACAAGAAATTGGGCAGCATACCTTCTTCCAGCGCAATCTCACGTTCCTGTCGAATCTTCTCTTCAAGCGTGACCCGTCGTGCACCTAGTGACGTGCCAGGCCGCAGATGCGTCATCGGACGTTCCTGCACGATGGGCTCCATCGGCGGAGGGGCGTCGCTGAGGCTCGCAGAGCGTCGTGGACGAATCGCGTGGTGGTCGGGAACAGGTGGTGCGGCAGGCGGTTCCGGCTCTTCGCTTGTCTCTGCGATCCTGTCGAACCCAAGCGACTTACCGATGACCGATCGCGCCGGGCGAACCATACGTGCCGCCCGCAGGTTCTCCTTCTCATCCACCCCGCCGATCCCTGTCTGCGCGTACGGCTTCACTTCGCTTTCAGGGAGGTCCTCCAATCGGACGCGTCGCGGACCGCCCAATTTCCGACCCGTGCCTTGGTTCGTGGTCGCGAGCGCGGAGTAGCCGCGCGCCATACCTGCGGGCGTGCTCGACACGGGCCCTGATGCAACACGTTGGAATTGACGCGGGTTGTACATGGACTCTTGTGGAAGGGACTCTGAGCGGGCGAGAGGCGCGGGGCGGGAGTACGCAGCTAGAGCGGGGAGTGGAGAGGGGGCTTTGGGCGGGGAATCGGTCGGCGTTGGCGGGATCGAACCCTTCGAGGACCCCTTGGAGACGCGCACGATCTCGCCGCGCGAGTTGCGCTCGTATACGAAGGAGAGTTCGGATAGGTCCCATACCATGGAGTCGTCCGAGTTGGCAGGAGACTTGTCGGGCTTGGACGGTCCATCGCGCGTTGGGGGCGGGGAGTGCGAAGGGGTACGAGAGGATGATCTGCGGCGGCCATGATCGGTGCCGTAGGTGGGGAAAGCAGTGGTTCCCGGGTAGGATGACCCAGGGAACAGAGAAGCCATGGTTGAGAGAGAAATAGATCAGCGATACAGAGCGATGCTGGTACAGAGGGCTGCTCAGCGGTGAGTCTCGAGACGAGAACGGGAGAATGCACCTTCAAAGCAATGGAGCTACAAACCTTTGGTCTTCAGTCTATGCCACGCGTAACCGCAACGACGCGGAGTCTATCTGGGCAGCAGCATTAGCATCCGAACACTTGATCCACCAACACCGGCAGACGACGTTTGCTTTGAGCCACTCCCTCTTTCATGTACCTCTGCGAACCAATCTCGCGACGAGAACGTCCTGGGGGTGCGGGGTGTGTTCTATGGAACATGTTCTACGTTCTGGGTGACGGAGTGCAACAAAGATCTCATAGCCAAACCACGGAAGCTCAGAGGTTATGGGGTAGTTCCGTGACCGCGGCAAGAAACGCATCGCGCGACCTGATCATACCGCGCCTCGGCACAATGACTCTCACTGTTGCCACTCACTCTTTGTGGAAGTCGTTGGCCTCAGTGAGAGTCACTCTCAACTTCCGCCTAGTGGCACTTCCCGGTCAACGCGTTGCAGTCCGGATACTACACCCTCCATCGTCCGGTGCATCCTAGTCTCCCACAGGCAGACCTATCACGCTCTGCTGGAGGACGGGGAGGGCGAACGTGTAAAGGGCGCATCCCACACGCACCGTAGCACCACTCACCAAAACCTCGACACGCTGATTCCTTTGACAACCACACGATGGAAGGTGTACTCACCACAAGTATCTGGCCAGTGCTTGTGCGCAGCGGTGGAAAGCGGGGGGTATCGGTAGTAGATGGAGACGCGCAGAGGTAGGAGTTTTGGCGAGAGTGGAGGTAGGAGTTTCGCGAGAGTGGCGAGAAGGGTTACCTTGAGGGGAGGAGGGCGTGGCTGCACGGCAGAGCGAGTGGCAGAGTCGGGAGGAGGCGAGGGATTCTTTGTGTTGGACTTTCAAGGCGCCCGCGCTTAGTTCAACTCGAGGCGCACACGAGGCAGCGACACGATCACGTGCGTGTCGCGTCCCACGTGGCGCGTATGTCCTCCCGCCACAATATTATCTCTCGCGCAAGTGTGATTTAGATATTGCTAGGTATTATACAGAATACATTTCTTTGAGCTTCGCTTGCATGCCGTATACTCCTCCCTCACTCATCCGACACGGGCCCTGGCTGCCCAGGGCTACCCGCAGTCCGCCAAGCAGCGAGGATCAGGTCCGCGATGTCGTCCACCCCCTTCCCTTGCCTTACGCTCGAGAACACGGTGGGTCCATCGCCACGCATCAGTTTCGAATCTCTCTCCATGACCTCCAGGGACGCGCCGACATACGGCGCCAGGTCAATCTACAGAAGCTCAGCGGTTTAGACGCGAGATTTGAGCGAGCAGAGGTTGCCTACCTTGTTAATCACGAGCAGGTCCGACTGCGAGATTCCGGGACCTCCTTTCCTAGGGATCTTGTCTCCACCCTGAATGCGGCCCCTTCAGCCAGCGGCGCATATAACGACTGCACAACACACGTACCGAAACATCGATGACATAGATGATGTAGTCCGCAAGCTCACGTGAGTAGTTCGCGGCGAGGTTGTCTCCACCGCTCTCGACGAACAGCAGCTGACAGCCGTACTTTGCCTGCAGGGTCTCCAGCGCGCCCATGTTCGCGCTGATGTCCTCACGGATCGCGGCGTGCGGGCAACCTCCCGTCTCAATCGCGAGGATGCGCTCTGAGGGCAACGCCTTGTTCTTGATCAAGAACTCCTGGTCCTCCTTCGTGAAGATGTCGTTCGTCACGGTCGCTACGAGTGGTCGGCACCTGGTATGGACGTAGGATCGCGGCAGGATCACGTACCGATGTTGAACTCCTTCCGCAACTTCTGGCACAGCGCTAGCGTGAGCGCGGTCTTCCCCGAGCCGACGGGTCTTGCGATATGTTCAGTAAGCACCCCTGCGCGCGACTAACACAAGATAGGTTCGTCCGAGGCACACATACCCGCCGATCCCAACGGTGAACCCGCGCTCCTCGAAGTTACGCGCCGTATAGTTGGGCATATCGCGCTCCGCATACTTGCCTGCACGCACCGCTCCGGTAAGGCCCCGCCCTCGCGCACATGTAGTTGCCCGGATGTATGCTTACCAGGATGATCCAGATGTTCATGCGTGTGCCCATGCTCGTCCGCGCCATGCGAATGGCTCGGGCCGTCCCCGTGCGAGTGCGAGTGGGGCGCGCCGGACGCGCCTGAGAGGTTGTTTATGAACTGCACCGTGTCGGACATTGCGGAAAAAGAAGACGCGTTGATCAGGGAACTTTTGGGAAGCTAGGCAGGCCTGTGCGGGGTCTGTGCGATGGTGGTGGGCGAGAAAGAGATAATTCGTGCCGGCCAACCATGGCTCGCGATAAGCCGCGCAGACGGGCCACCCCCGCTATCGAGCCCAAAGATAAGTCAAGTCCGCGGGCAGCGGCGAAAATAGCACCGGAGGCGCTAAAGCCATATCGCGTCCGAATGAGGCAGCTGAGCAAGTTCAGTAATTTCGAGGCCGAACGAACCTTAGTCCTCGGTGTGTATGTGCTCACGCAGACTCACAAAAAGCTTTCTTGCACACGAATTTTGAGTATCGCCCTCTACAGGTCGTCCGAGGATGTCAACAAGTCCGAGAGAGCCTTAGAGAGGCGAAAGATAAGCGAGTGAGTGAGTGAGTGAGGTTTATTTCGTCGTCAGTGCATCCCGTACATCCTCCAAACAGTCGGAGTTACAATGCTACACATACTAGGTAACTATTGTACCCTACTGTTCGTACGAAATTCGACGTCCTCGGGTCGCTACTCCAACGTTGCACCTTGTCCCAGTCTCTCCCGACGCCTTCGTCAACTGTCCATCCATAGTCTGTTGATTAGAACCAGCTCAATCTGTGGCTTTTATTCCCTTGCGAGAACAAGCAGGCGTCGTTAAACCTCGGAAGGCCGACATTACCTGGGCTAAAACCTGGGTAAAAAATTGTAAAAACCCCAGGAGCCACGACATGCTCCCGCATGTCATGACATAACTCGCCCAGGCCCCAGAGAGCACATGTCCCATCTCAGGACTACTACCAAGACAGTGCGATGGGCGTAGGGTACCAGCTGCGTGCCCTCGTCGTCAAACCCATCCAGGAAAATCCGACAAGGGAGGGATGGCGGCGCAGTTCTCTGCGCACATGAAAGCCACCACCACGCAGTCAGGTCCCAGAGGACCAGTCCGCAATGTTCCATCGTGTAACGATCCGCATATATGATGTGGAGGTTTAAATGAGCACACCGATGGCCGAGTCACAGCTGTGCACTCGAGCCTGCCCGGTGCGCACTCGGCCCTAGTAGGAAAACGAATACGCTCGTATTGCACGGCGTACCGTAGGACAGAGACCACTGCCGTAGCCATAAACGTACAGTGACGGAGAGAGAAAGAGGGTCTTGCGGTCGGCCGCTAGCGAGCTAGCTCGGTCCGGTGACCCCTATACACGCTACATCCAGACTCCTTGAGATCATTCCAACCCATGAAAGACTCTGTGGGCCGTTATTGCATCGTCTGATAACCTGAAAGGCAGGTATGCGATAGAACGGGTCGGTAAGAGTCTTTTTGGGCGGTATGCATACGGAGCGGACCGTGTAGGTAGTGGAGATGGTGCAGCACCGGCGTGCAGCGGGAGCAGATTCTCGGCAGTCGTACTGGTAATCCGACGAGGGACAGATACAACCCCTCACCGACATGTCCATCCCGGCGTAGGCCAAGGAACGCACAGCGAGTGAGTGATTCACGAGCGCAAGGGATGCGCTGCCGTGTATACCCCTATCCGCGCTACATCCAGACTCTTCGCAGTCAATCCACCCTGTAGACCGCTCTTCAGGTCCCTAGCACACCGTTCGACAACCTCAATGGCTGGAATACGGTGGCATGGGTTGTCTGAGGGTCTCAACAGGCAGAGAGGAGCGTTGGCTGAGTTCGAGCTGCAGTGCCACGCTATACTTAACGCCGACACTGCCACTGCCCATTCACACTCTGCCACGCTTCTCCCTTCCGGACGACATATGCCACACTTATTGCATCTGTGCTTCTAACTAGTTGGCTTACTCGGTATATGCGTTTAAATCTCGACATACACAGCTCTATGTCATTCATGCAACGATCTTACCCTGTGCCATCCACTGCGACGTGTAGGCGCTCGATCTAAGTATGTCATAATCAAGTTCACTCTCCCATGGGTAGAGATGTTGCCCATGACAGCGCAGTCAGATGCCATCTGTCAACACCCACAGATCATGTTGAGCAGAAGACAACCTCCACCTTCTTATACACATACGCCGGGGCATCAGCTCGAAGCACCACCACCGAGGGGCGCCCCCAACTTTTGTACAACCTCGACCACGCCAGTTGACAGACGATGACATCCCCGCTGACCGCACCCCAGGCTCCTCCAACATGGACACATACACCTGAAGAGGTGCAAAGGTTGGCGAATGCAGCAATCGCGGAGTACCGCGCCACAGAAGACCGCGTCGCTGCCTTCACGCCGGAGGAGTGCAACTTCGACTCGGTATGTGGTTTAGGCGCATCTTGGATGTCACCCTGACTCGCGTGCATTCTTCGCCAGGTATTTGTGAGTTGCTATCTAACATATGCTTAGGCATGTTCCTCATTGCGATACATTGGCAGTTCGCTCTCGCCCTCGCCGAAGGCAAGCGCATCGCAACAGTAGAACCCCTCGCATTCTACCAGAACGTGTCTCCGTCCCAGGAGCTCCGGGATGCCGCCAACGCAGCGGAAGTTGCCGTGAAAGATTTCCTCGTCGATTCTTCGATGCGCTTGGACGTCTTCCGCGCAAAGCAGGCAGCCAAGAAGAACATCGAGGAATCGAAGCGAGTGCTCTCGCCCGAGGAGCGCAGGCTTGTAGACAAGATGATTCTTGATGGAACTCGAGCGGGTCTCGCGCTGCCTGACACGGAGAGGGAGAAATTGACTACGCTCAACAAGGAGTTGTCCAAAACGTGTAGCGAGTTCTGTGTAGGTGCGATAACTCTGTCTCTGAGTACGATTACTAAAGGGATCGCTCCCGTGCTTACCAGAAAAATTGCAATGAGGAGAAGGTGAACCCGAATTACTGCATGATATTTATCCATGACGGCTGATCGTATTTTTATGCAGGGCCACGTCTCGTTCACGCCGGAGCAGCTGAAGGGTGTTCCTACTGATGTTCTCGCTGGTTACACCAAGCGCGCCGAAGGTGACCAGGAGGTCTACGACATCACGTTCCAGTTCCAAGACATTCTTCCACTTGTATGCCGTCTCCCCAACACCTCTTTCACCAGTGGCCGCACAAACTGACATATTGGTGCAGCTCAAATTCGCCGAGAACCCGGAAACGCGCCGTGTCGCATACCAACGTTTCGATGGTCGTTTGGCTACCAACGAGCCCATGCTTGGAAAGATCCTTGACCTCCGCCGTCAAGTCGCGAAGTTGCTGGGATATGCCACGTGGGCAGACTATGTCACCGAGGTCAAGATGGTGAAGTCAGGGAAGGGCGTCGAACAGGTGCGTCGGCCCGTTTTTCTAAAACTGCTGGCGGTGCACAAATTTGAGCTCATTATATGCGTCTAGTTCTTGACAGACGTTCGGGAGAAACTTCGCCCTGTGGGACTGAAGGACCGCGAGGCACATCTCGCGCTCAAGAAGAGAGAGCACGAAGAGAAGGGCTTCCCATTCGATGGCGAGTATTACGTGTGGGACTCCAAGTATTACGACCGGTTGTACGTCGAAGAGAGCCTCAGCCTGGACGACCAGCTCGTCAAGGAATACTTCCCGGTGTCCTTTGTTGTGCCGACAATCCTCGAGATTTACCAGAACTTGCTCGGCGTCACGTTCGTGCAGATTCAGGGAGATACTTGGCACCCCGGCATGTATCTTTTGTAGTCCTCGCCCGGACGCGTCCGCTCATCTGGTGCTTTTAGACGTGCAGCAATACGCTGTCTGGGAGAAGGATGCCCAAGATCAATCCGACTTTCTCGGATACTGTTACCTCGACATATACCCTCGAGGTACGTTCGTCTGTTCCTGCCGCTGTCGCTCTCATTCCACCTCATCCTATCAGAATCTAAATACCAGGGCGCCGCCGTCTGGCCCCTCATCCCCGGACACGACGAAGCGGACGGCACGCGCCGCTACCCCGTCGCGGCCATAGTTGCGAACCTTGCGAAGCCGGCGACCACGGAGCAGCCCGCGCTCATAACCCACGCAGATATGGTGATGTTCTTCCACGAGATTGGACACCTCTTCCATGAGCTGTTGAGCCACACGCGCTTCGCGCGATTACATGGGACGACGGTTGCGCTCGACTTTGGGGAGGCGCCGTCGCAGATGCTCGAGAATTGGTGTGTATGCTCCCATTCAACGCTGTCGTACATGAGCGAGCTGAGGCATATGGTCACTGGCAGGTGCTACGAGCCGAAGGTGTTAGCGCGTATGTCCAGCCACTACGAAACCAAGAAGCCGCTCGACAGTGAACTCATCCAGAAGATCATTCAGAGGTGCGTGATTTTCCTTCATATGAGTCGTTGCTGGATTACAACTTTATTATCGACAGTCGATACGTCAACGTGGGACTGTTCTACCTAAACCAGGTTTCCTTCTCTGCATTTGATCTCAGAGTGCACATGGACCAGGGTCAGTCACTCGCATGTGACTATATGCTTGCGCGCACCGACACTGTTCGTACGACCTTTAACAGAGCAAGCCGACCTCACGCAGCTCTGGAATGAACAACGAGAGTCTATCGCCCTTCTCAAGGGCAGCGGGCTTCACGGCGGACCTGGTGCGTTCGGTCACATTGCTGGTGGATACGACGTCGGATATTATGGGTGGGGAGCCTTGTAATGCTCCAGGTCCCGTACGATGCTGACGAAACGCCTGCAGATACCTGTACTCGCTCGTCTTCGCAGCGGACATGTACGCGACAGTGTTCAAGGCGGATCCGCTCGACCCTGAGCGCGGGCGTCGCTATCGCGAGCTGGTGCTCCGCCCAGGCAGCAGCAAGGACGAGATCGACTTGCTCAAGGTATGGTGCAAAGTACGCGAGAGTAACCGTGTACAGGTCGCTGACAGGTTGTGTGCGGTATCGCAGGACTTCCTTGGTCGCGAGCCCACTTCTGATGCGTTCATCAACCAACTGTTTGGGGGGTCTTCTGCTTAGGGCTGAGCACCTTGGCAAAGAAGAGACAATGCTGAGGTCATGTGGCGACTTTTGGGGCTCTCACTCTGACTTGCTATGAAGCAGAAGTGAGGCTAGTACGCGTTGCAGATCAACTTGTAAGGGGTCTGTGAATGTACATCAATTTCGCAGAGCATATATGAGCCAATTTACGTGTATTTTACGCGTTCAGTGGGCGAGACTATATCCCAACTTGAGCCAGGAAAGCCAAGACCTCTCCGCTGATCTCATCCAGCGCAGTCTCCCTGTATACGTAGTCAGCCATGCCGCCAGATACACCATAATGATACGACAGCACTTACAGAGCAAAATGCCCAGCATCCACAAACTTCACAATCACGTCCGGGATGTCTCTCTTGAACGCCTCCGCACCCGCAGGAATAAAGGCCGGGTCGTTCTTGCCCCATACAGCTAGGGTGGGTGGGCGGTAGGTGCGGAAGTACTTTTGGAACTCGGGGTAGAGGTCGACGTTTGTCTTGTAGTCGAGGAAATATCCGAGAATGATGTTGACAATGCCAGGGCGTGTCATTAGGTAGTAGTCCAGATAGTACGTCTCCGGAGGGATGACGGACGGGTCTGGCGCCCCGGTGACATACTGCACGAATGCAAAGATATCAGCTGATGACTACACGATGAAAACGGAGCACAAACCAATCGTTTGGTAGCTTCAAGGGTGAGGAGACGCTCGAGGGCCTTCACCTTCTCGGGAGTTGGGTCGGCCCACACCTCCTCGAGGGGCGCCCAGAAGGCTGAGCCCAAGCCTTCATCGTAGGCATTTCCATTCTGCGAGATGAGTGCTGTGATCGCCTCGGGGCGCTGGAGGGCGAGTCTATTGTACTAGGTTCAGCACTTCATCTGCGGACATACATAGGTGCAACGAACCTGAAGGCCACGGGTGCGCCGTAGTCAAATACGTATACGGCAAACTTTGCTATCTCCAAGGCGTCCAGGAAACTGATGACGGTGGTTGTGATCGACGCGAACGTATATTCGTACTTGCATGCCTCGGGGACGACGGTGAAGCCGAAGGCAGGCAGGTCAGGGGCAATGACCCTGTACTTGTGAGCAAGACGCGGGATGAGGTTGCGGTATTGGAACGATGATGCGGGTCGCCCGTGGAGGAGCAGGACGACAGGTAATGCACTATGGTCCTGCGAAGAGGCGGGGACAGCTTCGCGGTAAAAGACGTCGATGCCGTTGTCGACAGTGATGGTCTTGACTTGGGTCGGGGCAGCCATGGTAGTACTGGATACCAGGTAAAATCGCAGCGGGTTGCAGATGTTTCGTTTGGTGACTTTCGATAGACCTCTAGGCATCATCTCCTCACCCCTTTATACGTGGACGCTTGCCTTCTAGTCCTGGGTATGCTGAATCGTACAGCGTTATGACGCTAGCTCTGCTCACTCTGGAGGCATGTCCAATACGAGATTCATCAGAAGGTCCAGCGTGACTAAGCGCTTTGTGGGGCAGCACGTAGTTGAGCCTGTCGATTTCATCAGCTGATAGTAGGGAGGCATGCACGGAAGAAGGTGAGACACCGCCTTTCGGACGGCGGGTGTGGGATGCCTCGGCGTTGGTCATCGTTCGTAGAAGAGTAGTCAGCGCTAACTGCAGCGAGTGGTCGCCTGACCGGACCAGCGCTTGCATCGAACCTTATGGAGAACCCGCAGTGAGAAGCCCCGCGCACGTTCAAGGTTAGCGCACCGGACAGACAGAAAGTCGTGAACTACCGCGAGTATGTATTCGAGAAGAGCCAAGCGATCAAGTCGTCTTGAAAAGCACATTGTGTGGCGTAGGAATTACGAGTGGAGGTGGCGACGGGTACTGGCAGCACAGTGCATGCAGCGTGTTGTTCGCCGCTGCGATATATTTCATGAGCGCGTTGACTTCATGGGGGCGACGAACGGCGGCAGTCGTGTGGGCGTGTGTGGGCGCGAACACGGAGGCGACCCTGGCCCAGGGTTGCGGACGCGAAGGGCGGCGGCGACGGCCGCTGGGGTGCACGATCTATACGAAAGATATCGGGAATCTGGGAAGATGAAGGTTGAATATCTCCCTTCGCCTATAGTATTTGAGACACGTACTCTGCAGTTATGGCTTCGACGCCCAAGGTTTAGGTGATAGGAAGCCTGACGTGGGGGGCGCGGCACAGATGAGTGAGTTCGGAAATGATATACAATCGTACACGATAGCAAAGATACGATACGCCAAAGGATACATAGGACAACAACAGCAAAGATCATGATCCCGCGGCCGCGGCACCCGCGCTCCCTATCGTCTTCGGCATCTTCTTGTCACCAGCGGCGAGCTGCTCCAGGTCCGCGGGCTTGAAATAATGCGGCGCGACTGCAACCGCAGGTTAGCAACGTCGCTTGTTACAATTCACTGTGAAACGAACTCACCCTCGAGTAGCCATGCCGGCTTGATCTCCATGATTTGGCGCATATATGACTTGGAGGTCTGTACAAGCTCGTAGTAGAGCACTGCCTTGACCGGGGGCGTGTGGTTGAATAAGCTGGACGATGGGTGGACATACACCGTCTGGCTCGTCTTCATCGTCCGGTACGAGTCCCCGCTCCGCTGCAACGATGCCTGCGCGCAAGCGACTCGTAAGCCCCCGCCAACGTTTCGTTAACGGAACGAGTACACGACGTACCGTGTTGTAAAAGTACCCCGCGGTGATCGCCTTCTGCACCGGGGTGATGTCATTCGTGTTCGGATTGCTGTCCACGACGATCTCGACGCGCTCGCACAGGCCCGCGAGCTGGTCGCGGATGTCGCGCGCGCGACTCAAACTCTTGAACTGCAGGAACTGCTCGTAGCAGAACTGCTGCGAATAGTTCGTCTCTGCCCATTGCTCCCACACGTTCAGCAGCGTGAAGTGGTCCCCGCCCGCGCGCACGAAGTTCTGCCGCGCCTGGTCCGCGTGCAATTTCTTGTCCTTCGGGCGGTAGAAGAGCGAGCCAGACTCTTGCAGCATGGAGATGATTGTGAGCACCTGTTGCGTCGGTCTGTGTAAGTGTCGCACAAGGGTAGGAAGTGTGAGCGCGCACCTCGTCTGTGCAAGAGTATTTCTCGCTGGCGATGATCGCTTTCGACAACATCGGGTCCACCGGGAACTCAGCCATCCGCCGGCCCAGCTTTGTCAGTTCTCCCCTGTCATTCAGCGCGCCCAGCGCATACAGAAGCTCCAGCGCACGCATGAGCGTCTCGCCGGGAGGCGGATCCATGAACTCGAACCCAATCAGATCGTTGATACCCAGCGACTTCAGCAAGAGGACGACCATGCCTAGATTCGTGCGCTGGATTTCCGGCACGGTGTTCTCCTCGAGCTCGTTCGAATACGCCCATTTCGTGTACAGCCGGAATGCCTTGCCGGGGCCCACTCGCCCAGCGCGGCCTGCTCTTTGATTCGCGGACGCGCGTGAGCACTAGCATGTAGCGGGCGAGTTAGAATTAGCAAGCCCTTAAGCGTTGGGAATGCTTACCGGAACGACGACTAGCGACGACATGCCCGTCCTTGGGTTATACGAGTTCTGCTTGACGAAGCCAGGGTCGATGACGAACACAACACCGTCGATGGTAATCGAGGTCTCCGCGATGTTTGTGGCAAGCACGACCTTGCGAGCGCCCTCAGGGGTAGGCTCGAAGATCTTCGCCTGCATCTCGCTCGGTAGGTTGGCGTAAATTGGACAGATGAGGAGCTCTTTGATCTTGTTTCCGAGCGCGCGGGCGGTCTCCTGCAGGTTCTCGTGCGCGGCTTCGATCTCGTCCTGGCCCTGCGGTGCAAGTTAAGCAGACATCTCAACATAAATGCAGCGTAGCTACTTACTGTGAGGAAAACCAAAATGTCGCCTTTAGGCTGAGTGGTGTGGATCTGGAAGACGGTGGTGATGGCAGCGTGCAAGTAGTTGGCCTCTGGTTGCGGGGTGTAGTGAATGTCGACTGGATATCTTCGACCGGGTACTGTGGTAGATGTCAGTATCGGGTATGTGACAAGGTTAGGCGACAAGCTTACCGTAGAAGACGGGTGCATCGTCAAAGTACTCGCTGAACTTCTCTGCGTCCATAGTGGCACTCGAGATCAAGAGGCGTAGTTCGGGTCTGAAACGCGCGATATCCTGCCAAGAGGCGCGTCAACGAACTGTAATGGCAAAACACGTGAGAGTTGTGAAGACGCACCTTGACAAGAGCAAACAGAATATCCGTACTTAGTGTCCTCTCGTGCGCTTCGTCGATGATGAGCGCAGAGTACCCTGCCAAATCTGGTTCCGTCAGGAACTCCCGAAGCAGCATGCCGTCCGTCATGTACTTGAGCACGGTCTTGTCGCTGGTGCAGTCCTCGAAACGGATTGAGTAGCCAACTTCGTAGCCGACCTTCGTGCCCATCTCTTCCGCTACACGTGCTGCCACCGACATGGCCGCGACACGCCGAGGTTGCGTACAGCCCACCTTCTGGCCGTTTGCGGTGTACCCGGCTTCGTGGAGGTATTGGGGCAGCTGCGTCGTCTTGCCTGAGCCGGTCTCCGCGACGACGATGAGAACTTGATGCTCTTTGATAGCTTCCAGCAGCTGGTCACGGTAGGTGTAGATGGGTAGAGACTTGCGCGTTTCGTCCATCGTCTTTGCTGTGGTATGATATTAGCATGACTGTAAGCAGCGTGCATCCAGTCGCCACATACCTCGCCTCTCTGCCTCTTCCACTTGCGCTTGCAGCAACCTATCCGCTTCGCTCATGTTGCCCTCGCCACCCAGTGTACTTTCCATGACGAACTTGATCGTCTGGCTCTCGTCGAAGACATACTCGTAGTCGTCCACGACTTCCTGTCTGTCCAGCGCGCCGACCTTGAACGTGCTGTGTTTCGCCTGCGCGGCTTCCCACTGGTCGACATCGGTCGTGAAGTCACCGTCCTTTGGCTTCGCATCCTCATACCGCTTGTACAGTACGTTCTCCTTCTTCTTCTTGTCGATCTTGCCCTGCTCCGTGAAATAGTCCTCCGGGAGCTGGTAACCTTCCCACTTGTCGTTAATTTTCAGTCGGTCCTCGACTAAACGGAGGAGTTCCTTCTTGTGTTCAAGTGCTCGTTTCTCCCGCTTCGTCATCTTCATCCCGTGGAACAGCGCCTCGTCGTCCGCAATCTCCTTCCGCAGGAGCTCGATTTGCTGGAGCTCACGTTTCGTTAGGTACTCCTGCCTTGAGTGCTCACGAAGTGAAGGCATAGCGCGTCCCCGCGCGTCCGCATCGTCTGCCAACCGTCGCCTCTCCGCTGCCTCCGCCGCTGCGCCCGCTGCTGCCTTCGACGAGCGGTCCTCGACGACGCGCTTGGTCTTCTCCTTGTCGCGATCCCGAACGCGCTCCGCAAACGCGTCTCGCTCCTGCAAGTCCTCCAGCCGTTCTCGCTCGCGCCTCGCATCCTCATCCTCCGGAATCTCCACGTTCATGTCCTCTTCCTCAGCTCTCCGACTCCGTTCATCGTCGTCCTGCCGTGGACGTTTCCGCACCTTCTCCTCCTCATCACTCTCCCACTCACGCGTGTCTCCCTCTCGTTTCCGCAGGTGGCGTTCCTTCTTCTCCTTCCGGTCCGACTTGCGGCTAACCTCCGCCGCCCCAGCAGTCGTGGTGTCCTCATCGAGAAGGAAGTCGAACTTTTGAGCGCGGAGCGCCTTAGCCTCCTGCTCGGCTTGTCTGCGCGCACTGTCGGACGCCTTCTTGTGCTTGGATTTGCGTGGTACGCGCGCGAAGACTTCCCGTGCGAAGTTGTGAGCGTCACTGGTGTCAGGCAGACCGGATGTATGCAATTGGGCGAAGAGGGCATCCGGTGACTTCGCGGAGGATGCTTTGGACAAATTAGTTACTCAGCTGCTCGCGGGGTGCATACGGCGAGGGCGGGACTTGCCTGAGGCTACGACATAGTCCACGATGCTACGGTCGGACAGGCCGAAGAACTGAGGAGCGGGTTAGCAAGCCCACGCTCGTCGTAGAGCATATTGCACACCTGCAGAGCATTGTCGCTGATGTAGCGTTCCAAGTCAGACATGAAGGTAGGAGGAGAAGGTCGAGGTCGCTGCCATTGTCATAAGCGCCTCAGATCATGCGACCTGCTCGAGCGTCGTGTTAAGCGCCAGAGCGCTCGCTGACTGCTTGTCCACCAACGATGACCAACTGACCTCCCTCGCCGACCGAGGGCGTTGTCTCACACGTTGTTGCGTGCTGTTCCTAGCAGCTGATGACATCGAACAGGCCCAGCTACGTGCTGCTCTATCCCATGAAGCGCTTAGTAACGCTACATTCTACTGCCAGCTCTGATTAATCTTGGATTAGGGAAGCCGCCAGACTCTACGTCGTCGGACCGCTGCGTAACTCAGCATCCCCAGAACCAGAGGGAGACGTCAGTATATAAGAAAGTGATGAATGATGACTGCTGGACTATCCGCCACTGCCAATTGGGATCTACCTACACCTCCAAACCCTCCTCCATATTCTGTGCTGCAATGGCTGCTCCGACTCAAGTCAAGACCATCACTGTCGACAACGGCATCGACGTCTTTTATCGTGAGGCCGTACCCGTCTCTTCGCAAGACCCCAGTGCGTTGCCTGTGGTCTTGCTCCTCCACGGCTTCCCTTCATCGTCGTTTCAATATCGCGACCTCATCCCGCGTCTTGCCCACAAGTACAGGGTAATTGCCCCCGACTTGCCCGGCTACGGCTTCACGGTCGTCCCCGAGGCACGCAAGTACGAGTACACGTTTGCGTCGATCACGACGACCATCATCAGCTTCCTGGACGCGCTCAAAATCGCGAAGTTCGCTGTGTATGTGTTCGATTACGGTGCGCCCACGGCCTTCAGGTAAGTAGCGCCTATTCGCCGCCGCAGAATCAGTATTGAGCACAAAACTTGCACAAAACAGGCTCGCTCTTCAGCGCCCCGAGGCCATCACAGCCCTTATCACACAAAACGGAAACGCATATGTGGAGGGCTTGGGCGCATCCTTCTGGGCGCCCCTCCAGGACGCGTGGGCCAACCCGACTCCGGAAAAAGTGAAGGCTCTCTATGCCTTCCTCGACCTCGCGACTACCAAGTCGCAGGTATTTAACGACCATTTTCTCCATGTAGACCTGCGCTGACGCTTTAATATTCGCATAGTACGTCACCGGGTCGCCGGACCCGTCCGTCATCCCGCCGGAGGTGTACTACCTGGACTACTACCTGATGACACGTCCTGGCAATGCCGACATCCAGGTCGGCTTATTCCTCGACTACAAAAACAACGTCGCGCTCTACCCCGAGTTTCACAAGTACTTCCGCACCCATCGCCCGCCCACTTTGGCGGTATGGGGCAAGAATGACCAAATCTTCGTCCCCGCGGGCGCAGAGGCTTTCAAGAAGGACCTCCCAGACGCGGTCATCAAGTTTGTGGACGCCGGGCATTTCGCTCTGTAAGTGATGTCGCATGTTTACCGGGCCAGGTGACTGATTGCGCGCACAGGGAGACTGCGCTGGATAAGATCAGCGGAGAGATCTTGACCTTCCTCGCCCGTGTTGGAATCTAAATGCACCCACAGGACGCGTCGGATACTCTAAACCAGTTCATGTTGCCCCGTGAAATCAATGTACCTCTAGAAACTCTCATGAAATGATTTCGCTCCAACTCATCGTCTGCGTCGCCGCAAGTCGCGGTAACCCGTCTGGGTTTCGTCTAAGGTATACTCGTAGTCACCCCCGACTCTCTGTGTGTACAGCACGTCAACCCTGAGCATGTGTAACGCGGCACCTGCGTGGCCTTTCATCGTCTTCAAAGCGGCAATCTGGCAAGTCAAACTCGACGTGCATGACGCTATAGAAGATCTGTGCAAGCAGAGTAGTATACATATCGAGCCTCACATACCAATTGATCACCATTCTCGAGTACAGCAGTGCAAGCGTCATACATGGCCGAAACGGTATCAACAAGGCGACTCCGGCGTAACGATCCAATTGCAAAGCACCATTTAGCGAGGGAGTAGAAAAGCACGAACAGAAAGCATGACAAACGAGAGCAGATAGGAAGAAACGATGTGTGGAGGCGGAAAGGAACGCAGCGAGAGCGTCACGGTGGGCTACGGGCGCTGGGTGCATCTATACCTTCTCTAGTAGCTTCTTAAATAAAACTGATTTTTCCTCTCGGGCCTCCTCGAGCGTCTTCTTGAGGCCCTCGAGCATCTCCTCCAGGCGCCTGACTTCGTTCGCTCGCGCCTCCTCCAGGCGCCTGACTTCGTTCGCTCGCGCCTCCTTCTCGCGCCTGACCTCGGCTTCTCGCTCTTCCCTCTCTCGCTTGAGCGACTCTTCAAAGCGACGCACTTCGTTCGCTCGTTCTTCCCTCTCCCGCTCCCTCTCCTGCTTGAGGGTCTCCTCGAGACGCCCCACTTCGTTCGCTCGTTCCTCCTTCTCCCGCCTGACCTCGGCTTCTCGCTCCTCCCTCTCCCGCTTGAGCGATTCCTCAAAGCGACGCACTATAGCTGCGTGCCCCTCCTCGATGCGGCGCAGGTCAGATGCGTGCACCCGGAAAAGCCGCTCTATTTCTTTCGGCCGTTCTCTCCGCTCATTCGCCAGAGACTCCTCCGCAGTCTTCATAGCCCTCTTATACCCCTTCAGTGTTTCCGCATCCGGCCCCAGAATAGGCGACGACGGGATCGAAAGGCCCGTATCTGTGTGCGTCTCCTCAATCAACTGCACAATAAACATAGCAAAGTAAGACCGCCCACCGAAGGAAACCTCGCCACTCGAGATGTCGCGTATAGTCTGTACTGGCGCGCGACGGGGGTACTTACGCGCGCCTGCGTCGCCTGGGGGCGCAGAACACGCTCGGGCGCGGGGACCGTGACGGGACTTCGCGGAGTTCTCGTCGCCCCCAGCCACGCTCGAGGTCGGGCTCGCTATCCCCGACGTAAGCGGACTGCGGCGTCGCTGCTCGCGGTCAGAGTCGGACGGGGCGGAGCTTCGACTGCGGACCGACGGCGTGCCGGGCGCGCGGGGTACGATGGCGGCGGCGGAGGAAGAGGAGGATTTGTGGGAGGGCGCCGTCAAGAAGGAGGAATCGGGAGATGAGGAGGGGTGCTCAGAGCCGGACTGGTCGTGCACCGAGGGCGCCGATGCGGACTGGCCGTACACCGAGGGTGCAGATGCAGACTGGTCGTGCACCGCGGGTACGCCCTGAACGCTAGAGCCGGCATTGGAGCGTAAGCTAGAGGTGCTGTTTGAGCGCAAGATATTAGCGAGCGAGCCGCCGTCGCTACCCTCGATTTGGCGATAGACAACCCTCTCCGAAGCTACAGTATGCGCATCAGGATGAGGGGAGGGAACGAATGAGTACGATCCTGCCAGCCGACCTCAATGGGGAACACATACTCTGCACACTCCCTTGCCAACTTCCCTGCGAGCTTCCCACCATCCTTGCCTGCGACAGCCATCCCTCCGAAAAAGCTCGATCCGATAGATTGCGATCAATAGAATTTTCTGAGGCCTGTCTGGGGTTGGAGTTCCCTAACTGGGTCGTTTCGAGGTCGCTGGCTAGAGGCGAGAGGATGTCAGTGGGGCTGTGCGTGTAGGGACACCTCGAATTGATATATGCGTACGTATGCGCCCTTGCGACGAGTGACCGCCGTCGGACAAGCCGTACCTAGCATTTGACAAAGTTTCTAGATCCAACGTAGCTAGCACGTTTTCCTGCGGCACACGGTGCAACTGGCCAATAACTTCAATGGAGGAGTGGCCGGTGGAGGCGCTGTCGTCGTCCCGCGTGTCAAATCGCGAAAGGGATAGAGGCGGTGAGGACATGTCGAGACGTTTGGATCGGCGAGGGTGCCGTCGTGAGCTGAAGAGATGGGGTACACGGCGCTGGAGGATGGCGTTAGTGTCCAAGCTTGGCGGGGGAGAGGGGGAGGAAGTGGAAGATATATATTCCATGTCGCAGACGATGGTCGATAGCTATTGCAGATCCCTGTGAGGTGCGTTCGTTGCACGAGCCTGAGTGCCGCGGGCCCGCGTGTCCACCGTGAGGGACGGAGTCCAACGAACAACGTTGGACCACCCAAACAGGCCAGACGTGCGTGCCCTGTCGCGTGGCACACCGCCCTCACCCATATAAGCGCCCATTCCTGCCGCGGGCCCCTTCCTCAGCTATCGTGATCATCGTCGCTCTTTATCCTCCCACCAGCACACCCAGCACGCCTTAAGCACACCGCTATGATTGCCATGATTGAAGGGAGTGCGATAAATCAGCGTGTGCTGACCCTCGAAACACTTAATGATCTCCTCTAGCCAGATTGATAGTGTCGCACATCGCCGGGCGCATGCTCTGAGTGCGCACATCCAACGGCCAAATGCGAGCCACCCCCGCCTGGCATTTGCCCTGGGGCATGTACACAGAGCTTCGATGCTCGAGCCCTAGCGCCTCATACTTATCCGTGCTCACACGGCCCAAAGATCAAAATAGGCTTTCAGATGAGTACCTAACGCCGCAGCACGAAGTCTCTTGCGAGTTCACTGTGGCAGCCGTCACCGTGAGTGTAGAACTATGGTGAGCAGAAAAGCAAAATGAACGTACTAGCACAACTAGCCATTAAGCCGACGCCCGTAGGATCATGTCGGTCAGGTGGTCCCAGGTCCGTAGAAGGGCTGCACCGGATCCACACTCACATGAGAAAGCCTTCCTCAATGCGCCTGACGTGCTCACGCTACAGTATGACATATATACACACCGCTGACGATGACCGAGCGAGCGTCGTCGACCCCGGACCCACCACCACCTCTCGCAATGGCCACCTCCGCAGAGCCTAAACTTTCGCCCACGATTCGACAGGGCGTGCTAAACCTCCCGGGGGCAACGTTCGAGACGCAGCGCACCGCCGAGCGGCTGCTCGCCGAGGACCGCGAGCGGCACCACTGCTTCTGGGGCCGCGTCGGGTTCCACAACCACCTCAGCCACCAGTAAGTTAGACTTATGTATGTCTCCCGCGTGGTTGCTGACCATGTGTAGCATCCTCGCAGCGTACGACCTTGGTGCGCCGGCGGCGCTGCTGCAGAAGATCTTCGATGCGGAGAGCAAAGAGCCGTGGGACCTATACACAATGAACCGCACCGAGGGGGGCGCGGTCGAGCCGCTGCAGGAAGAAGTGTCTGCGGAGAACTGGACGAGGTTCTTGGGTGACGGAAAGTAAGTGCCCGATTGCGAGCTGGTAGAGACTGCAAACTGAATGACATCCGCGCTGAACGCGCCAGATACTACCCGAGCTACCTCGCCTTCTTTACGCGCGAGGTCGTGGCTCACGGCACGGGCGAGACTCTGGAGAAGTATATCTTCGCGCCTGCGGCCAACGGGAACGGGGCACAGATGCTGTTGCGGTTCATCGGGGGAGCGTGAGTCGTTCATGCAAATAGGGCTAGATGGAGCTTTACTCAGCCGCAGATGCTGAACATCTCGCCAGCCTGCACCCGCTGATCCAGATGGGGGTGCGTCTCTCCTTTGAAAGAGGCTCTTGCAGTGCAGAGACTGACGCCCCTCCGATTGCAGTATGCGGTCGAGTTCGGCAGTGACCCCATGGTCGCGCAAGGTATAACCTAAATGCGAAAATGTCAGACACACGTACTTCTGACACCGCCCATGCAGCTCTGGCCCAGACGGCCGTCCACGATGCGTTCCAGCCGGATCTATTCGACCTCACAAGCGCGCCTCCCCCTCAAGACACACTCACCTACAAATCGACAGATCACACTCACCGCCAGCCCTCCAAAGGCCATTCCCTCCTCTCCATCCTCCGCCAAGCATACGACTCCGACATCATGAAGCCCGTCATGCCCTACGATCCCGACGCGCTTCTCTCTGCGCGTCTCCGCGCAGCCTGCGCCGACGGCCGCCCCGCCGAGATCCGCCGTCTGTCCGCTCTCTGGCAGATCGACACAGCGCGCGGACAGGCGGAGCTTGACGACAAGGCCGAGGAGCTCCTCTGGGCGGCGACGCTGCTGCTCGTCGGCTCGGGAAGGCGCGGACGCGCGCCGCGACTCGATTTCTTCCTTATGCACATGCTGAACGCGTCGCTGTTCGTGCCGTCGCTGCTCAAGGCGGTGCCGAGTATGGAGTCGCGGGCGACGCTGCTGCGCGCGCTGGTCCCGGTGCTGCTCATCTACCTCACTGTGCGCGGGCGGCCGCGCATCGACGCGGAGCTCGCGATGTCGTACACGGACGCGCCGCGCGCGCCGAATGAGCAGCGCCTGCAGCCGGACGCGTCGGCGATCGGAAGTCCGCAGGAGCCTGCAGACTTCAATCCGTGGCCTGCGATGGTGGCATCGGTGGTGTACGCTCCGGACGCGCACACGCTGAAAGCTGTGAGGACGATGTACTACGCTGCGCAGCGGTATGGCCGTACCCCGCCGGGTGGCGCGATTGGAGCATTCGACACGGAGGGACGCGAGACGCACGCTGGTATTGCGAAGGTCGATGGGTCCATCTTCGTGCGCGCGGCGGGGGTGGTGATGGATACGCTTGGGTGGGTCACTCATGGGCAGAAGGAGGGATCTTGGGATAGGAGCGCGCTGGGATGGGATGATGCGTGGAAGAACGAAGACTGAGACGACACGCGCTGTTGAAGCTGTATCCCTTGCTCGTCAGAGCAAGGATCTCCACCCTCATACGAGGGCCTCAAAACCGTGCGCTACGTCATTGCTGACCAACTTGTGCGCCAGGCTGCTCGGCCCGCGCCAGACGCATTTGGCAACGAGGCTCGACTGCATGCTCATTCCTCCACCGTACCTCTGACTCCCGTCCTACAGTTGGACGTATAGTACCATGTACGTTCAGGTTTCGAGCTGCAGCCTCGCATGATTACCAGAGGCACTTGTCTTACAAGGAACGAGGTGCAAGGTCATTGCTTTGTAACCAAGTATACGCCCGCCGAGGCACTGCGTGCGTATGATCAAACTCTGGTAGATCGACTAGCAGCAAACGGCCAGTTGCTATGTAAGACTGCAATGAAATTACACAAGCCTTCTTTGAGGTGCGTCAGCCCTCAGATACCGAGATCGGTTGCAATTTATGAACTGACAAGCACCCCATATGTATAGCGAATTAACAATGGCATCTAAATTGCCGATGCAGATGTCGACTAGGATACAGGCGTGCTGGCGTAAGTATTGGTCGTGTCGAATGCGCTGGCGATGAGTGTGCAGACGATGATGACGGTAGACGGTCACGGTGCTTAACGACACTTCGCTTTGCCCATCCTCACCGTGATCTACAACACCAATGGTGACCAACTGCGAGCCCAAGTACGTCATCCACCCATTTTTCTACACCGCACATCATGTGCTTATGTGTATGTTTAGTAGCAAGACCACGGGCCTGTACCAATTTGTGAAGGGAAACGTCAGCGAGACGGCCGCGACCTCGCCAACGTCTCTGTCTGGACGCAATCGGGCAAGGGGCACACCTTGAGTAAGGCCGAGTACAGGCCGCCCATGCCGAGGGATTTTGCGCATTGCCCTAGGGACTGCATTGGAGGAAAGAAGCCGTCAGTCGGCGTCGGGGGCATCACAGGCGGCCGCTCGCAAGAGACTGGAGGTATGTAGTGTTTCTTGCTTCTCGGATACCGTGTCAAAGCCGATTGCTGACTTCACGAAATAGCTATGAGGTGACCTAATCCCATAATACGTGAGCTAAGACTCGTGAGCTGTAGAATACATAGGGTCCTCAGTCATTCGCCGCCGCCACCACCGTCACCTCCTCTCAGAAAAGACGACAACAGGTTGGGAACCTCAAGCACCAAAACTCGAAGCAGAAAGCAACATCGCTAGTCTCGCGGCGTTGCTGAGTTTTCGATCCTCCATCTCCGCAGAACAAATTTAAGTAACGATATCTCGTATGTACTACCACTAAACAATCAACGAAAAAATATCGGATGCATGACACCCTCACATTTGCGAATTTACACGCCGCTATAATATTGTATCCGTACGTACACTGGTAAAAGTCTTATGTATCTCTTGTTCTGTCGTCAACGAAATCAACCGACGAGCAAGGGAAGCGCCGCTGCAGGCGCCGTTCGAGTAAAAACTTCTTACCATTGTTGTATTTGTATCCCATTTCATGTGTAGCATCTCCGAATGTCTGCTTTTTTGTGTGCTAGTCAGACGTGGGGGGTGAACATCCGCGCGCTTGCGACGGAGGTGGAGAGAGAGAGAGATGCGAACGCCGAGCGCGACGCGTTGAGGTCGACACGGCTATCGCGATCACGTGGGCTGCGCGACCCTCAGCGAATTTGCTGGAGTCGCGACGGTCGCGCCCCAATCTCAGCTTCTCCCGCCTTCTCCTCAGCATGCACCACCTAGCGACACCCCATCTATATAAATAATCTCGCGAACTACTCCCCTCGCCCTACCCTACTGACACTCTCAACATCTCAGCTAGTGACATTTACACACGGGTACGTCTTTTTTCGGCCAATGTCAATGGCGAAGGGCTGCGCTAAGCAGTACTTACTCTTGGCTCTGATGCCATTAGATATTATGCCTATCTCAGACGTACTCAATAACTCCCTTAATCAATCCCCTGGCTCTTCAGTCGTGCCTGCCAAACGTACGCTCGACGATGCCAGACAGGAAGAGCAGCCCGAAGCCTCAGCAAAGCGGTCCAAGATCCTCGACCAGCTCGAGCAACCCCCCACCTCGTCCTCATCACACGCTCCCGCCCCCCCTCTCCTTCCCCCACCTTGCGATACATACATCCAGCTGCGTTTCCAGCTCCGCCGCTTCAAAGGTGTCTACCGCGTCGCTCAAGTCCCGCTCACCTTCACCTTCAAGCACCTCTACGCGTACCTCCTGTTCCTCTTCGGCTGGTCCGGCATGCACGCGCACACGTTCTCCGTGCTCTCACACGTCGAGCTCTACGCACGTACCAACCGCCCTGGGGAGATCAAGAAGAGCCGCTCGTTTCGCATCCCCGAAGAACCGGACCGCGACGACGACATGTGGGCGTGGCAGGAATGGGCGGTGCACTACGGCGGCGCGCTGGAGAACCCGGTTCTGCGCGTGAGCGACCGCGGAAAGACTTATGAGGATGCGTGGCTGGGCGAGCCGCGGGACGGGGACGATCCTTTTGACAGGGTACTGGCGAATCTCAAGGTGCCGCGCAAAAGGCCCGGGGAGGTGACGCTGGAGGATATTTGGAGCAAAGATTGGAAGAACAACCTCAGCAAAGGGAAGTGCTCGAATGAGGAGCTCGCTATCAGGTTCGAGTACGACCTCAGCTGTGAGTCTCTTGGACACCATGAACCGGCGCGGGATGGACTGAATGGTCTTGTGTACAGCACCTTGGGAGGTCGATATCACCATAGACCCAGACAAGAAGGGGCACTATCTGTGGAAAATGGGCGAGCCGAGCAGCCATCCTGAGCTTGTAAATGCTAAAGGCGCGGTAAGCAGATATGTCTTCGCTCATGTGTGGTGGCAAAGCTCGGCTCACATCGGAATCGCATAAGGCGCCAGTGGAGGATGCTCTAAGCTATCACAATGCAAGTACCGCACACGGATGATGTCTTTCTTGCAATATGCTGACTGCTGTACAGGATATCGACGGAAAGAAGAAGACGGTATCGTCCTTGCTTTTTGAACACAGTGCGTTTGAGCGCTACCTCAAGGGGGAAATTCGCTCCGTCGTGCGCAACACCGAGCAGGCCGTATACGAGAAGGACCACCCGCCTGCGTCCGTGCTGGAAGAAAATGACGAAGAGTCTGATGAAGTGGAGGAAGATGACCTGTAGTAGGTACGTCTTCACGGCTTCCCTCCGTGGAGGCCGCAGTACCTCCGCACCCGGAGCTCGCAGAGTCCATCGATCCTTCTCGCCAAGTACTATATGCAGCCCGTCTAATGCAGTGTACTATCAAACAAGCATCACCCATGATCTACGCGGCAGGCACACGCACTACCGAGAAGGTGTCGAGTAGGTCACTGACCTCCATAAACGGATATAATGCGACTCCAGCTAATCTGACAGTGGGATGGTTACGACGCGCAAGGGTAGATTCGGTGCCGACTGTGGCCAGCGGCGTGAGTGTCCGAGTCCCTCTTCTCGCTCGAGATGTGCGTCGTGGGACGGTGGCAGGCGGGGTCCTTCAAGTTACCGTAGCTGAGTTTAGCACAGCACTCTTTCATTAACCACTACCGCCTCCCCCACATAGGTTTAACTACGGCCATGCACATACTCCTGCAGTCTATCCCTGCATATTCAGAGAGGGTATGCGCATAGACTCATACGTCTCCGACCAGTGAGCTCGGCAGTGGACGGCACTGACCAATAACCGCGTGCGTGTCGGACGCCCGCGCGTGGCTGGTAACCATCCGTCACGCCCACCCCGCCCACGTCAATGTCGACACGGGCGTGCACATCCCCCGCCAAGCTGTCAATGACACGCTCCCCTCCGACTCAGAGCGCACCCGTGTGTCCTCGCGTTGCGCAGAGGATGCAGATCCCAGACGTGCGGCACCGGCACGCTCGGTGACGCCCTGCCACTGGCAGATACTATATACGTGCGCCCCTTCCCCCCGTCTGCCGTTTTCGCTCTTCGCCCTGCAGGTTCTAACCGGCTCTCGTCGCCCCCTCCCGCTCATTTAGATTCCCTTTGGCGTCCGCGCTGCTGCGCAGGAAGCCCCACGCCGCGCTGTGGAATCCGGCCTTCGTCCCGGCTCGGTGTACATTAAGGCCTCGTGTACCTGGTGTGCTATAAGGCCAGCTGCTCCCGCGAACCTTGTCCATCGGCTTTCGGTGCAGCTTGCAAGCAGACCGCGAGGCCCTTTGCCCTCCCTGCTCTCCTTTCCTCCCGTCTGCCAGGAAGCGACAGCCTGAACTCGCACAGAGTCGTACCTGGTACGGCACTCGAGATACCGTACAACTCCGCGACATCCAAAATGGCATTCAGTACAAGCTCACATCTCGACAAACGTGAGTCGGTAGCCCCTATTCCCCACGGTGCCTACGGGGAACAGCGCAGAGGGTACACGCTTACTTACGGCATGCCCTGTGGCGGTTTGCACTCATAGGTGTCGACGCGGCCGAGCTGGGCACGAACGCGCGAGGAGACCTTGCCATATGGTCCGCGTTCAAGATTGGCGGCGACCAGGTGCTGCTCCCACTGCTCGTTGCGACGTTCTTGCTCTCGCGCACGATCGTACGGCACCCCGTGGTCATCAATGTGTGCTGCAGTTGGATCATGGCTGGGATCGTCTCTTCCCTCCTGTACGTCCATCTCTTTTCAGTGAAGTCAGGCTTAGGAGGTAGAGGGGTTTACTGAACCACATTCTGCGCAGACTGTACGCGCGTCAGGAGACGGGGCCCGAGCCAGACAAGGGACTCTGTATCGTGCAGTCAGTCTTGATCTCTCCCGTCCCTCCGATGTAAGTCCGGATGTTCGGTACTATCCCGTGACACGATAATTGTTGATCCACTCATTATCCCTCGCGCTGAATAGGACCTCCGTCGCAGCCCTTGCACTAGTGTACCACACATGGTCGACGTTCAGGCCGTCCGCCCTGAGGAACCGAAAACTGCGCAAGCCGTCAGGCTGGAGCAGACTCCAAACCGCAGGAGTAAGTGGAGACTTGCCGTGGGTGCCTACAATGTACGCGTGCTAAACAAGCCGCGTAGCTTCTTGCAGCACCGTATCTAACCCACTTGTGTTTCGCTGCCGGTGCACTATACGTACGCTCAGTTCGATCACCCAATCTAGCGGATTGTCTAACATCTGGTGCTCCAGGTGGCTCTCCAGGACACTAGCAGGGTCAATCGTTCGCGCAGGTTCTTCTACTGCTCCGTCAACTACGACCCTTTGTGAGTTCTACTCCCTGGTATCATACTCCTGATATGAGCTAAGGACTTATGCGTGGTTTCCAGCTCTAACGCAATGGCCCTGTTCACGGCTGGAGTGTGCCTGATTGCTACTCTCCTCGAAGGTGTGTATGTAGTGTTCTTGATATGCACGTTCAAGCATTCACGGGCTCTATTTCAATAGTTCATTTGGTTTGGATCTTGTCCCGAAACTGGAGGGCACTACGCCGCGCGGGTAACGATACTGGCATTGACGTGCAGCTCATCATCCGCGTGGGCATCTTCGTGACGTATGTGTTCTGTGGCATGATGTAAGTCGCTCAATCATCCTCGGTGAGCGAGGAATGACAGCGATACTGAATCGCGATGTCTACACAGAGTCATGGTGGCCAGCGTGTTTAGTCCTGATTCCATCCTCCCGGATATGTTCGCCGCCTCCGTAGGAACAGCCTTCTTCGCCGTGTTTGCCACGCAGCCGGTGAGTGGACGTAATGTAGCACCCGCCGGTGGTGTATCCTAATCACTCTCTCGAAATCCTAGGATGTCCTCCGTGTATGGGCAAGACTGCTCACCTGCCGCCTCCGCCGCCCCAAAGCGGACACCCGCGCTTCCTCCCCAGTATCCACGAGCACATCAAAGACATCAAACCTCGCGTCTTCGCGCTCCCCCACGCCGTTGCCGACATACGACCCGGACCTGTTCAACCGCAGCGACAGCACGCTGGATGAGAAGGCGCGCCTCGCCGCGCTGCACGCGTTCTACAACGCGCGCGTGCACGACATCGGGGCTGGCGTCGAGGTAATCAAGCGGCCCGAGGATGCGTTTGTCGTCGGGCGCGGGCCGCGTCGTGCATGGGGCGTAGACGGGAACAGCGGGGGGTGTTGGGATGGTTGGGAGAAAACCATGCGGTGAGAGGACAGATGAGCGTTGAGCTGGACGGATCCTTAGTGTCGGCACGTACATATGTTACATCTTTCGAGCGCATCCATGTTCCTTGTTCACTGCATGCATCTCTTGGACTACGCAATGATATACTCTGTAATATGATTCAGTAAGCTGTCCTTCCTGAGTACACAGTCATACGGCCATCCAGCCCCGCGTGGGTCGCAATTGAGTGTACCATCGCCCCTGAAGCCCCATACACCCATATGGTGCAGTGTTTACATTGTGTCACTATATTGTGCGCAGTTAGCATACATCGATTGAATGACGGACTCGCAGATCCAGGGTCGCGTCAATAGTGCCAAGTCAGGAACGTCAAACCAGGATCTCGGACGGGAGACTCGGGTAGGATGTGGATAAATTGCCCATTATATTGTAGTACAGCAAGTAGAAAATACACTATTGAATACAGTCTCGAATGCTTCCTATGATCGGTACATATGTATGTGTGTGGTTACGAGTCCCAAATGGCGCCGAAGGCGGGGATGCCCCTGCTCATCATGCCGTAGACGACCTTCTGCGTCAGCTTTTGGTTGGAGATGATGCACACCGCCTCCGCGTCGAACTCCTTGACGAGGCGGTAGGTCAGCTTGACCATGTCCGGCTTGCCGTGCTTGCGCGTGTCTGCGACATATCGTGAGCTCCGCCGCCCACAAGCAAGAAGCGTGAGAGAGAAGCGGCTCACCATAGATGACTGCACCCGGCGACTTCTCGAGGATCGAGTCGACGAACTTGTCGCCGAACGTCTTCCGCACGTCTGGGGACGTCCACAGGAGGCGGATAGGGATGGCCTGTGCGAGGATGCAGGGCGCGCAGGGCCCGATGCCACTGCCGGTCGCGACGAACACGACGCGGCGGAACAGAGGCGCGATGCGGAGCACGCCGTAGCACGGCACACCGCGCACCCAGAGGTGCTTCGGGGGCTCGGTGATCATCTTGCTCGTCCAGTCGCCCGCCTTGGACACCATGAGCGAGTATCCCGTCTTGCCCGGTTCGGCGATCGTCGCAAACCCGTGCCACTCAGTGAGCGGGCTGTCGGAGATGCGCGTGAAGTGTCCGGGCTTGGGCGTGACTGTGAGAGGAGAGTTTGTGTGAGCATGGGAATCCCGAATAGAAGGTGTGCCAGGAACGTACCATAATCGAAGTAAAGCCGGACAGCGTGGCTGGACAGCACTTCCGCGCGAACGGGCACCTTCCGGAGCCGGAGCCATGGTAGGATGATAGAGCTCGTCATGACCACTACGAGCCAGAAGGCGGGTGCATGGACGAGAGCCTGACCGAGAGGCTGGGTCCGCGGGCGGTAGTCGTTGGTGAGTAGTACGACCTGCAAGAAATTACGCATCAGCGATCCGGCGATTTGGACATGCACGAAGGTTCGTACCTGGCACCACACCAATGCAGTCGCGGACCAGCCCAGGAAGCGGTGGGTGCGCTCAAACGCGTCGTGGTGGGTTGAGCGGACCTTCGGGTACGCGAATAGTACGATGCCGACCAGCAGCACCAATATGAAATAAGTTATGGCGACTGTCGCAGCTGAAGTCTGCGAACGGGGCGGAGGATGAGTAATGGCACAGCTAGATTTCTGGCGGATCTTACCTGCTCCCCGTTCAGAAGTTCCCGTGTAGCTTGAACGGTGAAGAAGATCAGCCAGACAAGGCCGCTGATAGCGCAGCCAGAGTGCACTGAAGATGTCGGTTAGTCTAAGTCAGGTGTACAGTGCGAACCGAACTTACAGCCTCCGATGTGGTAAACGCGGGCAACAATGCGGCGAATCGCCATCGGCCAGCTAGAAGGAGAAGCGTTTGTACCACGCGGGCTGCGCAAGTTAGAGGGCACTCACCTGCTCGGCACGGCACATGCGACAGTGAAGAAGGCATTGATAACGTAGTCCTGGCGCATCAGGATAGCGCAGAAGAGGTTGGAGACGACGATAAGGCCGAGTTCCTGCGCGTTCGCGCCGCCCTTCGCCAGAGTAGCGATGAAGATAGCCATATTCGTAATGAAGACGATGCCGAACATGCGGCGGTAGAGCGAGAAGACCTGGTGACGGATGTTGCGGAGCACGTGCCCATTCGTCTTCTCGGGCAGCTCGTCCTCCTTGTAGCCGTCCCAGACGTTTCCGCTCTCGAGCGACGAGACGGAGACGTTGCCGCCCTTCTCCGTCACCTCAGAGATGCTGGAGTTCGAGGAAGACTTGCTGAAGTCGCCCGTTACAGTGACGAGCGCGCCCGACTTCTCGTTGATGCCGACCTGGTAGACGGGGAGCGGCTGCGGGAGCACGTTGACGATATCGGCGAGGAGCTTGCCGTCGTAGGGCGACGGGGTGTAGAACTCGGGCTTCAAGGGGATAATGGAGAGCGCCTCCTTCTCGGCCTTGATGCGCGCGATCTCGTTCAGCGCGAGCTGTTTGAGGACGCGCTTGTCGATCTTGCCATTGCTCGTGTATGGGAAATCGTCCATCGTGATGTATTGGGTCGGGACGGCGTAGTATGGTTGCACAAGCGCCGCCGAGGCCTTGACAGACTCGGGCTTGACGGTGACGGGGGTCACGAAACCCCAGAGCTCGGACTCAATCTGTAGTTGCGGCATCGGTGAGTCTCTAAGTCCGAGGATGACGGAAAGAGTGGGATGCGTACGAGTAGCGCGGTCGCGTTCTTAACAGAAGCACACGTCTGATCGTACGTTAGCTACTGCATGTAGTCGATCGGAGAGATCAAATTACCTGCATGGCCGCCGACACTCCGTCCAACTCCACGCGGAAACCCTGCGCAGCATGAGGGTGGTGAGGACGATGATACCACCAACGCATATTCGAGCCGAGCGCACCTTGACTTTCACCTGATCATCGACGCGGCCAAGGTGCTCGAGCTCCCCATTTTCGCGCCACCGGCCAAGGTCACCGGTGTTGAACATGTAGCTCCTGCGGAGTGGCCGGCACGTTAGCGTACTGCGCAACTTCTCAGAAGGTGGAGGTGAAACGAACCCGTCGCCAGCGAATGGATCCAGCGTGTACCGCTCGGCGGTTTTCTCTGGAAGATTGACGTAGCCCTTGCTCACGCACGCGCCGCCGCCCCACATGACGCCCGCTTCGCCTATCGCCACGGGCTTCATGTTCTCGTCGAGGACGTAGACATTGGTGTTGGGAACCGGCCCGCCGATGCTGAGGAACTCGCCCGGGGTGTGCAAGTGCACGGTGTTCACGATGGTGACCTATGGGATGCCATTCAATCGATATGGACGGGGGAATAACCTGTGAGAGAAACGTACCTCCGTGGGACCGCAGCAGTTGTAGTAGTGCGCCGCCTTCGCCCACTTCTCCGCCAGCGCTGTAACGTCATCGAGATAAGCGCCACGGGCGAAGCCTAAGTTGCGCAGCACGTACGTAACGGACATGGCTCGCCGGCAGTAGCGACCACCTTGATGTTGGTGTAGTCGGCGGGATCGTGAGGAGCTAGATCAGCACCATTCAGCACCATGTTCGAGTCGATCACTCATGCGCTAGAAGCGTACCCATCATGCTCGGCGTCGCTGGAAATATCGCGGTACGTCAGACTACAGCACATGATATACGGAGCGATGCACTCACCAATGACGATGTCGACGGTCTTCATAACTGCGCGCCATTCTTTGGAGGACTTGCCTCGCACGCAGAGGGTGCAGCCGTTGCTGAGGCTTCCGAGAATTTCCTGAATTGCGAATGAATGGGTGAGTCAAGAGCCAAAGAGAGCTGACAGTATACCTACCCAGGCGGCCATGTCGAACGCGACATTGAGAAGCTGAGACACCCTCCGTCCCGGGCGCATCTCGATGTTACCCGGGGCTAGACAAACGACTGGAGAAGAAGCATCAGAAGGCTGTGGATCTCTCCACGAATGACAAGCACATACGGTTGGTGACATTCCCATGCATAACCTCGACGCCCTTTGGCTTGCCGGTGGTTCCTAACGGAGACCATGTTAGGATCCGTATCGCTTGGCACCGAGGAGTGAGTATCGCTTACCGGAAGTGTAGATGATGTAGATAGGGTCCGCGAAGGAGCTGAGGTCCTGCGGCTTCGAGACGTCCGCAGTCAGCGTCCCGATGTCCTCGAGGCAGAACGCGGGCGTGTTCGTGACGCGGTGAACGTATTCGTTCATGGTCAGTACTATCTTGGCGTCGGAGTCCTGGAGCACGTAATCCAGGGTGGACTGGGTGACGATAGAGCCGTCCAGCGGAACGTAAGCACCTCCGGCCTTCAGCACGGCTATGATCCCGACGACCATGAGGATGGAGCGCTGGACCAGGAGGCATACGCGGACGCCAGGGCGGACCCCCGACGCGCGCAGGTGGTTGGCGAGGATGTTGGCCTGCCTGTCAAGCTCGGCGTAGGTGATGGCGTCGCCGAGGTGCTCGACGGCGACCGCGTCCGACTGCGCTGCAGCATGGTGTTCGAACGCATGGTGCACGCAGGCGAACGGGGCCCGCTGGCGGGTGCCGAAGCTGAAGCGTGCAAAGAGCCGTTGGTCTTCGAGCGAGAGCGAGTGAAGCGTCGAAGCGGCCATGTCTGCGGCGTTAGGTGTAGCTTCCAGTCGCGGAGGGAAGTACTAGCCTGCAAGTGAGGATGGAGAGATTGAGGCGGCATACGCCTCGCGTTTTATATTGCCGACGCGCGCTGCGGGGAGGTGGAGTTGCTTCCGTGAGGAACTAGATCCTCATGCGACAGAGTGCGCTTCGGGGCTGTCGCGCCACTGGGCGGCAGCGATGAGCACAACCGACGTAAGCCCGTCGTGTCGCAAAGAAGGGTCGCCAACATGTGTCACTGCCGCTACGCATGCGCAGAGAAGACAGAGTGAAGGCAGCAGGTGATCGACCACACGCTAGGAACAAGGGCGCGTTGCTGGCGTCGCTGGAGGCTGCTGAAGCCAGATCGTATCGGAGCGAAGATCGCATCCGAGATGAAAATGCGGAGATGGTCGACAGTGGAGGACACATGTGGCGACCAGGAGACAGGGCGGCCGGGCGTAGCGCGAGTGCAAGCCGGCGGAAGCTATGCATCATGCAAGTAGGCGCGTAGCGGCGCCGGGGAATGGTCGAGGTATCGGAGGACGGCAAGCGCACCGAGTCCGCAGGAAACTCGCTAGGTTTGCGTCGGACTTGCCCAAATGATCTGTTTCTTCCCAAGCCTTGACGGGGCCAATTACTCTGAGTGGTGGTGGGAGAACCTGGGACAACGTCAGCAGCGTTCGCGCGAAGCCGAAGTTTTCCCCAAACCGAGACCGCATACCTCGCATGGGCAGATACTCCCACCACGCCGACGCCGGGCTTGCGCTTGGCAGGAGGCTTCGAGTCCTCGGGTCGTCATCACACATACACTCGGCACACTCTTGGGTGTGCAGACGTACTGCCAGAATAATGCTCCAGATTCTGATCCACGCAGTCACTGTCACGCCGTCGCCGTCGATAACGACGAACAAATGTCAGTCCACTATTGACTGCAGCGGCGCCAGCTTGGCCGGTTCGGACCAAACATCAAACCTGCGGGTGGGCGGAATTTTCGCGTCTCGGACAGAATTTTGATGTGCAGCTGAAATTGGAACGAAATCGCAGCGTATGGACGACGGCCCCACCGGTGATGGATGGAACTGTCGATACCATGTGCTGCGGCTCGTCGACGATGGCTATGCAAGTGAACGGGGTCTGGCAGGCTACAGCAGCCAAACGCTGACACAGACGACTCCGAGAACTCACGGCATATCAAGAGGACCATCACCTCATCCAGAGCGGCACATGGTTGATAGGTCGTTGGAGACCAGAGGTACGCTGGGCAGCGTGAAGCAGGTCGATGAAGAGCCCAATGGAAGAGCGCAACCTGGCGCCGTATGGTGGTCGGCGGTCGACAGAGGCCGAGATACAACCAACTTCTCCACATGCGATGGAAGTCCACATGGCGCCCTTGTTGCACGAATGTTTTCGCTAAGCGGTAAGCACGAGTAAGCACGTACACCATTGCCCTGACAAGCCATGCTGGTTCCCAGGGCCGCCGGGGGTGGGGACAGGATGAACGTAGTGGAGGAGGAAGAACGAGCGACAAGGAATGAGAGGGAGCGCAACGCGCGGGGACGGGCAGGGCCCACCTTTTAGCCTCGATAGCCTCGGTCGTGGTCGGTGGTAACCCGCCCCAAGCTCTAATGAATCGCCCTGCTGAAGTCGCACTATCTTCGGTTGCTCGAACAGGTTCAAGCGCACTGGGAGGAGCGTATGGGGGCGCCATGGCGCGCTCCGCCACCTATCGCAGAGCAACAGTGGAAATACGCCGGAGTGCGACCATCGGACGGGCGTATGCGCTCCCCTCTTCTGGCTCGAGCCAAGGTTCCTTCTCCAGCTGCCCGCCTTACTCCATCCAAGAAGCTGCTCTGCGCGCCCTAATCATCCAAAGAAGCATCGACCCGCCAGAGCGGATCCGCCTCGCGGCGGCGTCTTCGGGGCATGAGTATCTACGCCGCACACTCATGGTAATGTCCAAGCTCGCCATTTCAGTGAGTCCTTCGTGCTCTGAGTATCATTGACATCTTTCGCAGTGCTAGATGTCTGATATTATGTGTCTGTTGCAGTGTCAGGTGAAGTTCTCCATCCACGCCATACCCAAACAAGTCCGCAACTCGTATGCTCATGGCGACACCCGCGACGTGGTGTGGTCCGGCCACCATCTTGTCGTAATTCCTCTGCCTCACGCAGCACATCTCCGTGCACATACCGGGGAATGCTCTTTTCGCTACTGGCTTCCAGCTTCCAGGACGAACCTTGTCGGGCGTGTGTCCCACGTCGTACCCTCGGCTCGGAGCGCCGGCGCGCAGGTAGGCGGAGAATAACACTTGCGCGCAGTGTAAAGGTGGTAACCGGGCTGCGACACTACGCCGCGACTGATGAGGACGACGACGTTTGAAGGCCGCCAACAGTTGCAAACGGTACACCCGAGGTCCACGGTCCGGGAATCAGAGGGCGTGTTGAGTGCAGAGTGCAGTGCATTTGCAGAGAATAACACTCCGAGTGCCGGGTGGAGAATCTGCGACACGCATGGATTTACAGGGCTATGCTGAGTTAACATGTGCGTGACGCGACTTCCTGAGATGTAGAGTACATACCTCGGTCAATCCCTGTCAATCCTGGTCCATCGGCGCGTTTTCCGAGTCGTCGATGCAACGTTCCTTTGATCTGGGACAGATGTGCAATAAGCGGGAAGTCTGGCTCTAAACCTGCGGGGCAGCCCCGGGGCGCCCTCAGAGATGCTCGGACACATTGTCATCTAGAGCATCTACCACCCTTGTTAGATGCGCTTCTGTCACGCACCATGCGGGGAGTGTACAGCGTCCGGCCGGCGTGACTGCGTCCGGGCTGCGCCGCGCGCATAATGAGCAGTTCTCCGGGGAGAAATCGGTGGGATATGAAGGTAAATGACGCCGTCAATACAAACAAGCACGCAAGCCGTCCGGTCCACATGGGGCGGCGACGCAGATCGTAGAAGCACAGTGCCAGAGGGCGAAGCGACGAACCATCACGTCGCCGAAATCAGGCGTAATGGCTCGCCGCCGACGTGGGTCCGGGGACTAGCCGAACCGGTGTCGCTCAATTATCGACTTCTGCCTTGAGTCCCTCGAGACACGCCTGCGCGGCGTTAGTGTCGTGCCGCGGCGAGTCGTCGGTATGGGCTTACCAGTAGTACTCCATGACGTTACTTTGCCCGAGCTTTCGCAAGAAGTTCTCGTCATGCGTGATGATAATTAGCTGGAAGTTGGCGATATTTCTGCGCTCGTTGATGATGCTGTCCGGCAACGCGTGAGTGCTCACATGCCCGGACGAAATACGAATTTGCTCACTCGATGAGGCTCGATGCGAGCGCGTCGATATTCTCGGTGTCGAGCGCGTTGGTGGGTTCGTCTAGCGCAAGAATCCCGCAATTTTGCCCGAAAGAGTCCGCAAGTGCAAGACGGATGATGATGGAAGCCAACATCTTCTGGCCTGCTGAGCAACGTCCGCGCATGTCCATCTCGACCTGATCCTTTGTCATGACCACCTGAGGTGATGAAGCAAAAATAAGTCAGCGCCGCAGAAAGCCCATAGGCTCGTGCATTACAGACCCGGTAGTTGTACGACCGCTTCGTCGCCCCACCCTCGCTGTCCGAGGATATTTTGATACCGTCGATGTCTGCGGAACATGCGGCGTAGACATTAAGTTGGGGGTACTGAACGGCAGCCCGGATGCTCTTACCGGTCCCTTGATATGTCTTGTTCCACAGGTGACGCATTGTATCGTTGACTTCCTCCATCTTCAGCGAATGATACTTCATGATGGCGCTAGAGCGGACACGACATCAGCAGGTGGCCAGCAGTATACGGCATGTGTGTACAAACTTGTCCAGGGCTTTGGCATACTTTTCCAAGTCGTTGTTGGCCATGTCGGACATCTGTCGAATGGTGAGACAACATTGACAGTGTAAGTGATTAAGTCAGACCTTGACTCTGATAAGCTGGTCTCGATACTTCTTGTGGACATCCTTGAAGTCTTCGGCATCGTGCTCGAGAGTCTTCAGTTGCGACTTGTACGAGCTGAGCTCTCCCCCAATATGAGAGTACTGCAACGCTGGTCAGCAGCCACCGGGGTCGCAACTGTGAGCTGAACGTACCTTGGCCTGCAGTTCGGTCTCCTTCTGCTTCTCGACGTTCCACCTATCCGTCCATATGCGCTTCGCCTTCGCCGCTTCTTCCATGTCGATAGCATCCAGCTCCGCTTGGGTGGAGGCGAGCTCCCGCATGAGGCGGCGCACGCGGATATTCTCGCGGAGGTTTGCCATGGTCATGCCTGCCTCGTTGATCTCCTTGTCGATCTCACCGACGGTGGCGCGGATCTTTTCCAACCTAAGCCCTAGCTCCTGCACCTTCTCTTCCTGGTCCTCTATTTGCTTCGTGACCTCCTTGAGACGACGACCGCGCTTCTCCTTCACGTATCTGCCGTACTCAATCTGAGCGACCATATATGCCGTAGACCCTCCGGCAACTTACCGCTCGATGATCTTGTTCATGCTCTCCAGCTTGTCGGCACTCATATTCAGATCCTGCGACGTCTTCTGCGCCTGCGCGATCTTCGCATTCATCTCGCGCTCCAGCTCCTTGTGCTCCCGCTCGAGCTTCTCAATCGGCGCCTGCGCGTCCGCAATCTTCACATCCAGATCCTGCGGGGATAAACGGCTAGTCAGCTTGCGGAACGCCACGACGGTGGATGCGGGGCCCCACTTTGAGTCTAACGTTGGCCGCGGAGATCTCGGCTCTCATCTCCGCGATCCTGCGCTCCAGCTCGTCCTTGTCGCGCAGCTGGTTCCGACACTGGCTCTCTTCGAGCTCTAGCCGGTGCAGGTCTGTCTCGAGGGACCGTAACGCCGTGTTCTGCCTATCGCGGTCGGTAAGGAGATTCTGCTTCTCGCGCTCGTTCGTTCGCCTGTGATAGTGATGAGCGTGTATAATACTGAGCACACCATCCGAACAACGCACAGGTCAGTGGAGATCTTGTCGAGTTCTTCTTGGACCTCGTCCGCCGTCTTCGCAGTACCGCTGGCGAGGAGATCCGTCTCTAGTGCCGCAATCTCTTGCTTCAAACGTGCAATGTCCTTCTGGGCCTTGGTGATGGAAGTCGCATGCTGCTGCATAGCGGCAAGCTCTTTCAGGTCCTTGGTGACTTCGCTAAGTTGCGCAGTGGCCTACACAAGCAGTTGTTATTATTGGATACTGCAATTATATATACCTCAAAAGAACATACCTCGTCGGCTTCTGTAGTCAACCCGGGGATCTCGGCCTCCTTGACGGCCAGCTCCTTCTGGATCGCAGGAAGTTCCACACTCTCGAGCTTAGTCTTAGCAGCCGCAAGAACCGCCAGGTCCTGAAGCCTCTTGAGCTCAGCTTCCCAGTCCTGAAGTTCCTGCTGGAGACCCTTGATAGCTTCGGGGGTGCTCTTCTTCATCGCTTCGGTGATCTGCATGCTTCCTTAGAACCCGCCGACACGAATAGATAACGTTAGACCACGCACAGTCTTCTCGAACTTGTTCAGTTCTTGAGCGTTCATGTTCCTCACGCAAAGCGGGCAGCACTTCTGCGACTTTCCGGTTTGAAGGAGTCGCTTGTAGACATCGTGAGAGCCCGCAGACTTGCCGAGATCCCTAGTGGCAATGTGAACAGCGTGTCTCTGTACAGAGGGGGTGACACGTACTCATTCCGAACGCCGATCTCCTTGCTCGCAGTGTCGACAGCGTCCTCGATTGTACCATCACCTTCGGCGTCTCGGAGACCTGCTTGCAAACGCTTGTCGAGGCCTGAGAGCGTTGTCAGATGGATTCTCACGCAGTGATTAGAATAGAGAGCTACTCTTGATCTCGTCCTGCTTAGCCTTAGCTTGCACTTTGAGACTTGCAAGGCTTGTCTGGGCGGCTTGGAGGTTCTTGTTCGCTGTAGCTACTTGAACTTCTAGCTCGGCCTGCTCTCGCTCCTTCTCCCTTGACATGCTATCAGTATGCGAGGATGCCAAGCAGATATAGTATCGCTCACAGCGCAATCCTGTCAAGCTCCTGCTCCATGGTCTCTGCCCGCGCATCCACGCCGACGAGCTTCCGGAATCTCGGATTGCAGACCTCGAGCCTGCCCTCAGGAGAGTCAGACAGAGTTGATCTAGCGGTCAGAGGTTCCTCACGTGGTCTTGATCTCCGTATCCTTCGTCTTCACCTGCGCCCTGTGGAGGTCCAGCTTTGCTCTGCTGTCCGCTTGCAAGCTGAGGCTGCGCAGCTCCGCGTTGAGCTCATCTCGCCGCAGGTCCAACTGCCGCCCCTTCGAGTTCTTCTCCGCGATCTTCTCGTCGAAGCTCGCGTTGCGAAGGTCCTCGCGCGCCTTCTCTAACCGACGACGCTTCTCCTCGATATCTGCGCTCAAGTCCGCCAGCCGGGAAGTCAGTAGACGCGCGGCGTCAACCTCGCGCTCGGCATCGGAAATTTTGGTTTGCAATGTAGACTGGAAAATCGAATGTCTTGGGTTGAGTGCAGTCGTGAAACGGGAGTCGAGGTTGACTTACCACCCGATCGCGCAAGTTGCGTCTCTCCTGCTTGTGGCCTTCCAAGGTAGTGTGCAGTTGCCTCGACTGAACGTTGTACTCGTCGTTGTGGGCACGTCCTTCTGCCTGAGTGCTCATACTCGTTGATTGCATTGAATTGTTTCACGATTGAGACAGCCTACCTGCAACCTGTCGGTCTCCGCGTTCTGCCTACGTTTGGTGTCCACGAGTGTACTGATAAACTGCTGGACCTGGTCGCGCTCGAGCTGAGAGTTTTCGAATCCCTTGATGTGGTGTCGTGAAGCGATGTCGTGAATGAGCTCTTCGCGGTCCGCGATGCGCTGCTCTTGTGCCTGACGAGATCTGTCAATGCAGGCCTCACCGTGCAGGTGTCAATACTACATACCTTCTCGTCCGAGAGCAGTTGGCCTTGCAGGTTGACCAAGTTGACATGTTCAGTACGAGCCTCCGCGATGTCGTCCTCGGCGTCCTGCTGATGCCCTTCCTCAATGGTGCGCCTCTGTCTCTGCCGCACTACATGGTCGTCGTATGTCCTCAGACGGTCTGCGAGCTCGTCGTCCGTCCCTATATTGCTCGCGTTAGTCATAAATTAGCAAAACGGCCGACAGTGCATAGCATACCCTGGATTTCCTGCAGGTTCTCTCGCGCGAGATTGAGCTCTTCCTTGTACTGCTCCTTGCGCTGGTTCAGCTGATCGGCCTTGATGTAGATCTCGCGAAACTTGCTGCCGGTATCATTCAACTGCTGGTTCGAGCGGACCTGCTGCTCATATGCAGCACGCAGGTCGTCGTACTCGGTCGCGAGCGACGCGATCAGACCGTTCATTTCACCAATACGTGATTTGAGCTTGTCCGCATGTTGCTTCTCACGCGAATAAGACTCGAGGCGCTCGGACTCGGCCTTCAGGTCAGCCATACGCTCCTTCCGCAAAGCCTTGATGTTGTCAAGTGCTTTGGTGTACCTGCATTGCGAGCTCAGATGCGCTGCCTCGGCTAAGCTCTTCGCAAGGTGCTCACTTGGTCGCCTCAAAGATATCGTCGAACTTCTTCTTCAAGGCAGCGGGTTCGGACAGAGGCCAGTAGGAGTCCTCTTGATGGCAGAAAATGACGTTCTCCAATACGGCCTTCGAGACCCCCAGCAGATGGGGAATCTCGGCGTCCATCTCTGCACATTTGGTTGAGATGACCCCGCGCTGCACTCCATCCATGAGCTGAGCCACACCGCAGACAAACCAGATGCGTACCTTTCCCCCCTTCTCCGCATTCCCATCCGCCAGCGCAAGAATGCTCTCAAGCGTCTTCATCGTCAGCGTGCCGTTCTTCCGCACGGACACAGAGAGGTTGCGCACAGCGAGCATGCGCGAGCCGTTCGCCGCGTAGAAGCGCAGCTTCACCTGCGCCTTCACCTCCTTCTCGTTTGCCATCTTCGGGTCGTGCACAAATGCACCTCCGCGCGTATTTGGCGGTTGGTCGCCGGTGGTGCCGTACTTGAGGCACTCGATGATCGTCGTCTTGCCGCTGCCATTGTGGCCGACGATGACGGTGACGGGGGAGAAGAACTCGATGACGGAGATCTGCTTGTCGTCAAACGAGCGTATGCCGCGTATAGCGAGCTTGTTGATGTGGGCCATGTCGTGCTACAGCCCCGTCGTGCAGCCGATGGCGAGGGGAAGCCCGGAGAGTGTGGGGATCAGCAAAGAGTGGCAGACGCGCGCAATTACCGACGCGACGCGACACGCTCGTCATGTGACACGTGGGTGTATCTTGGGCGCTTCCGCTCGGAGATGGGTTCGTTCAGGACGACCAAGTACCGCCTCCTTGTTACCGACCCCCATGTCGTTCTCTGGGTTCGACGATATTCCTCAGTGGGGAGCACCCACCCCGTCTACGGGAGATATTGTGACAACAGCCATCAAGAAAGACAAAGTCATCAAGTGCGTCTCGCATGCCCACTCCGCGAAGTGAGGCCTCAGATTGACACCTACCGGTTCATAGGGAAATCGTTGCTGCTCAGGAGGACCTACGCGGTTGGTCACCCTCATCACTATCTGGACTATTGGACACTTATGCTCCCCTCAAGCCATGTTGGCGAAGGCCAAAGGCGTCCAGGGAGATGTTGACAAACTTGTCTCTGGCAACGAGACGCTGCAGATGTACATCGACAACCTTACTATGCAGATGGCAAAGCGCCGCGGGTAATGATGACCAGCATTTGAAGCATTGAAACAATGTTGCGGCCGGTCAGATTTCCGTTTCTCAACACTTGTACACTACTATCAGGTACCTAGAGTTCGGACAGCGTTTTGGGACCTCGCGTTGCACAACGAATGTCTTCCTCCCCTATGTTACGATAATTGTGAAACTTCGCAGGTGTATTTTCAGGATGTTATTGCACCTGTCTGCCACATTTGAAAGAGTTTGGTGAAGTTGGTGACGATTGCGAGGACGAACAGTGAGAGGGACCCAGTTTTCGGACGTTTTGATGCGGTTCAGTAACGCAATGTCACGGTGCCGACCACCGCCGCATTGAGTCTCCGACAGGTACAGCAGTGGCGCGCCACCGTCTGAGAATCATCGCACACATCGGAGTTGCAACACCTACGGTAGCCGAGGCGCGGTTGTCACGCTTCGTACCTCCTCTCACTCAACTACTCAACTATCCATTCTTTAGCAAGCAGGAGAACGTCGGAAAAACATGATGCATACACTCTAGCTCATGATGTATACCCCCAGCAAATTTCATGGGCAGCGCTGGCTGCATGTGGAAGAGCGCCGAGGTTCTCATGTGAAAGAACCGGACCTCCTTACATTGTCCTTCAAAGATCGGACCCTCCTCTGCAACCAAAATCGCCGGAATTTTTGTAGATAGTAGACCAGATGTAGATGTATAAGTGTGCCAGTTTGCATGACTATCGGATGTCTGGAAGAAGGGCTATCATCGGAATGTCCGAACTCTGGGTCCCGTCCGAACTCTAGGTCCCTGATAGTAACATACAGCTCTCCTTGCGCAAGTTGCTACTCGTGAGTCAGTTCATCAGTGCAAAATTAGCTACCGCCTTACTCCTGGGGAAACGATCCACGTAAACCGAGTCTTCTCTCTGCGAACATGTCAGTTTTCTGTTACGAGGATGATGAGCTCCACGTACCACCCAAAATGGTACCTGATCCACGCAGAGCTCGACCTTCTTCGACTCGCACAACTCCAACAGCTCCCCAAACCGCTCGTCTTGCGCGGCACCGGCCGCGCAGGTAACCACCCGCAAACGCGACAGCTCCCCCACCGCCTGGATGACTAGCCCGAGCGACTGATCCTCCGCAGGCAGGTTCCTGCAGCTCAGATGTTCCAGCCCACGCGGCAGGTTGTCCAGTTTGAATAGCGTCGACAGCTGGACGATCACCAGCTCCTCCAGATTCGGGCAGTACTTGAGAATTGCGGTTGCACGGAGATTATAGTTCATCAAACGGAGTGAGCGAAGCCTCGGTCCAATCTCCTCGAGCAGGGGATCGACTTCGCGTCCGGGAGCGTCGCGAAAGGATGCGATTCGCAAGCTTTCCGCGCTCGAGGACAGCAGCCAGGAGAGGATTGCGAAGCGCGGCATGCGCATGAGCGTTAGCTGGTAGAGGCGAAACGTCGGGGTCCACTTCGGCGGAGGTGCAGCAACCTCAACGCCCAGGTACAGGAACTCGACGCAGGGCCAGATCTGAAGCAGCTGGTAGAGGATAGGGCTCTGTATTCCGCAGGAGAGAATCGCGAGCGAGCGAACGCGGAGCGGGATGGGAGTGAGGCTCGGGTCACGGCGGGATGTATAGCCGTTGGTCGCAAGATGGATGAGATCCTCCATGGCCTGCAGGGAGAATCTGTAGACGGCAGCGACCTGTAGAGCGAGCTCGTGCAAGCGGGGGGTGCGGGAAAGGATGTCCGCCAGGTCCGCGTCGTCTAGATCGGCTCCGGATTTCTCGCCCACATACACCTCGAGGACGCGCACATGCTGTCCCAGGAGGCGTCCGTGCTCAGTCTCTGGGCCTGTTGCTTCGCAGAACGATATATGGGCCGGTCGTCCGTGAAGTCCACTCCCTAGCGAAACCGTTCGGAAGAGGAGGCGTTGCGAAGGCTCGCGCCAGGCCCGCGAGATAGAGGCGCACGCCTTGAGGGTGGTCCGCTGCGGTTTACCCTTGTCGTAGTATATGTGCTCGAGGATACTATCGATGAGCTCAGTGGGAAGTGTGTCCATGCGAACTGTGAATATCATCAGTCCCGTGTATACACCTAAGTAACGACCATTCCGGTGCAAATGTCCGACGACTAGTACTACAACTTTTTGGAGTTGCTCACCTGTAATATTCCACTCCGGATCCTTGGTTCACGAGAAGACTGGTGGAAACAGCTCCTACTGTCTCGTCCAGAGCTACGGTATAAACGGTGTTGCACCTGCTGCGAGGCTCGAGCTGCTGCGACGGATCGATTCTTGGCACTTCAAGCTGTACTTGAAAGGGCTTACTTAGCAGCTACGATCGGGCGTTTAAAGCGCGTCGCGTCCACAAGCGCCCATTCACGGTGACGCGTCCCGCTTCTCTGTGGACCCTGACCTCGTCCCATCAACTCCAAGTGCCCCTTGCACATTGCCACCCACCTCGACCACTCTACCTACACATGGCAGAAACTCGTCTCGCATTCAAGGCTGGCCGTGCCTTCCGCCGCGGCAGCACGAACTTCGTCGACCCCGACCCCACCAAGGGCGCGCTTCTCCTGCAGAACGGCGAGGACGGCCTGCTGCACTTCATCTGGAAGAACCGGTCGTCGAACGTGGTCGATGAGGTGCGTAGCGGTATCTCGGCGTCCAAGATGCCCAGACGCTGATGCACATGGGTTGGGACGCCGTAGGACTTAATCCTCTTCCCCGGGGACGCGACGTTCGCGAAGGTCGAGCAGTCCGCATGGGGGCGGACGTATGTCCTCAAGTTCTCGTCCTCTAACCAGAGGCACTTCGTACGTCCCCAGTGATCATTGTTCTACTATACTTACTCACCTCCTATATAGTTCTATATGCAGGTATGCATCACCCCGCCACCGCCCGCGCCGCACCGTCTAACATCCTGTATCTACGTAGGACGCTGACGCAAGTCGTGATGAGGAATTCGTCGGAAATATCAATCGTCTCCTCGTAGACCCTAGCATCGTTCCCATCTGGTACTCTGCAGGCTACAACCCCAACACCCAATCCGCGGGCCCCTCTACCTCCGCTGCGAGCTCGTGAGTCCCGTCTCTCCAGTGCCTGCGCTGTAACCACCGCTGACCTCGGCTCCCTCTTCGTGCCAGATCCCAAGTGCCCTCAAGCGGATTCCAAGCCACGCCCGAAGAGCTCGCGCGCATCCGCTCCATCGTCTCCACGCTCGGCGCCGGGGGTTCTGGGGGCGCAGCCGCCGCACAGCCCCAGCAAGAGATCTCGCTCACGGACGTGCTCACCCCCGCGAACCTGCGCCCGCTCTTCGCTGCGCGCCCCGAGCTCGCGCAGGCGCTCTTCCCGCACCTGCCCGCGGACCTACCGAGCCCGCCGAGCGTTGAGACGCTTGAGCGCGTTGTTGCGTCGCCGCAGTTCCGCGCAGCGGTGCGTAATCTGGACATGGCGCTGCGCACTGGGCTCCTTGGGGGACTCGTGCGCACGCTTGGGCTACCGGAGGAGGCGGGTACTGGCGTGGAACCGTTCCTTAGGGCGCTGCAGGAGCAGGCGCGGAGGGAAGAGGGGGACCAGATGGATACGGACTGAGCTCGAAGCTTGATATGTTGCACGCCGTCGTTTCTCTAGTCATTTTTTCCAGTGTAAGGGGTGAGATGGAATGCGTGAATATCCAGAGTACATAGCCAAGTCCACTGATACAGTAATGTAAGAGACATCCAAGACAAGACAGAAGGACAGACAGAGGGGGGGGGATTAGTGGCTTCGCCCCGACAACCACTGTAAAACAATATCTCTAGAACATCGAAGGTTCAGTAAGGCTGCGTGTGAGCTGCGAGGTGATCGCTTACAGGTTGTGCTGACTCTTCATCGAGCACTGCAATGGGCTGTAAGATGACAACATGCGCACAGGACTGATGGGCACCTACCGAGTAGCACTGGAGATAGAGGGAATTAGTGAATTGGGTTTGAGCAGCCTCAGGCGCGAACTTACAGATACGGGTCTGTTCGTGATCTTGTCTAATTGTCTACAACAACCATTAGTCTCATCATAGCAAGTCGTGGAGTTTGCGTGCTTACAGTGCTTTAATGAGCTCGTTCACGGACGCATGTCCTTCGAGGTCATTCTTGTTACCAAGCTGAGTAGGGGGGAACAGTGAGCGTCGGATACTCGACAGATGCAAGGAGTAAAGCGCACCACGAGCAGTGGGACGCCGTGCAGAGTGGGCTGCGCGAGGAGCTGATGAAGTTCGAAGCGTGCAGTCTCGAACTTCTCCTTCTGAGAAGCCGGAAGCTCGGGGTCAGCGCCGTGTGTCATGCGCAGCATCTAAGTGGACCTCACGTCTGAGGAATCGACCACAAACCTGGAGGGGTTAGGATAGTCAGAGCAGATTTATCAGGATTTCTTCTATGCACTTACACTACTGCGTCTACACCATTACAGTACCGCTCCCATATAGAGCGGTATCTCGGTTGTCCTATAGGAAGTATGCGTTTGAGGCATCATGCTCGAGTAGAGACAGACATACCGGCTACGTCCCATATCTTCATGGTGACATTGCCCTTTCTGATCTTCCTCAGGTTGAATGCGACCGTTGGTACGACATCCTCGCTCCACTGTGTCGTGCCGATGAATTGAGCGGCTGGCGCGGAGGACAATACGTCTTATGGACGTACCTGTCCGGAGCCTAGTACGTTCACAAACGATGTCTTTCCTGATGCCTGTTCGCGAATTTCGTGAAGATTGGTATGGTCAAGTGTGTGATGGTACATACCTGCAGTCCTACTATCGCAATCTCCGCCGTCTTAGAGAAGAACAAGCTGCACTAAGTCAGTACCGTCCGGGCCGCTGTAAGAATTCAGGAGAAGTGCCGCACCCGCTCAGCCACTGGAGCAAAGAAGAGAAGAAGCCAGCCATTTAGCGCATGAAAGAGGTTGAAAATGAAGTCCAAGGAGGGTATGCGAAGTCGGAGGACTATCGAGAATGAAGTACGAGTTGAAGCTGCCGCCGGCGTCGAGGAGCTCGACCTTTCGGGCGACTGGAGGAGCCGGCAGAACGCGCCGTCGCGACCGTGGCGGTAGCGCGCGGATGCAGATAGGCGCCCATGCATACGCCCACGTGCGGCGTCTCATTTTGGTACGCCGCCACAACGCCAGAGCTTGGCCAGAGCCGAGCCGAGGACCTCTCCTCGTACTCCTCGCTGTCTCGGTCTCTGCCTCTGTCTTCGTGTTGTGCTGTCTTGCTTTCGCTTGGGGTGTTGGGACTGAACGATCGCTCAGGCTATACCGGAATACGTCTTAGCGGCTTGCGTCCTTTGCATTCCTGATCTGCACCAGACATGCGGTCAATAGCACGATGGCCTGCCTTTGCTCCCGCTAGAAGACTGCGCGCTCCTCGTGCTATACGGGTTAGATATAATTCAAGTGCGTCTGCTGCGCCAGGGCCTACACGCGACTCTCCTGTGTCAGGCGCTGTTGATCTGGGAGGTCCGGTGGCAGGACCGTCTACCACCCCAGATCCCCACTATAATGTCGGAATGAAGGTGTGTGTTCAATCTCGTTTGCAATCCATCTGATATCTGACGCGCTTAGGATCCGGTGAGTTCCACTGCAAACGCGGCGAGACAGCCTCCACCGCATTATGTGGATGGGAAGGGGTTCAAACCAATGGACGGTGCGCGTTGCTCGCCTACAATTTCTCTTCGCTCGGTACTGATACGTATCACAGGGCGAGCTATGCGTCCGATTCCCGTGGACGACAGTCTTGACGATCCAGAAGCTCTGATGCTCTCGGAAAGTACCCTTCAAGACAACCACTTCCAGCCATTAAAGGGTTAGCGTTATTCATTTATTCCAGTATCTTTCCCCGCTGAGCTTTCTGGGCTGCAGATGTACAACCGGGCAAACGAAAGCTTATTCCCTTGTTGCAGCATAATATGCGCAACGTACTGGAGAGGTTGGTGAACGCTACCGCACTACAACTGGTATATTTAACACGCGCCTTCTAGACCAGGTGTACATTGGATTAAGGATCCTGATACGGGGGAATACAACTTCCCGAAATATCTGGAAACAATACCCCAGGTCGCGGATTTTGCGTTTGACAGACTACCTGGGTTTGTGCCCAGTTCGCAGGACAAGGTACAGTCCCCGTTCACCTTCCCTCGGCCTATACTTGACTCGTTCTTTCGAATAGAAAATCGTTGCGTTGGCGAAGAAGGCGAACTGCAAGTTCGCGGGCTCGACGTCATCCTTGACGGGCATTCTTGTCCAGATATACTTGCTCCTGTCGGAGGAGAAGTATGTCAATATCCAGGATCTGAGTGATGAATTTAAGGACGCCGTACGTTTATGTCCTGCCAAGTCACATGTGCTACTAGGCTGACTGTGTGTCATTTTAGCCAAGATTCTTTACCCCTGGTCAACGAATGCCGGTATCTGTGATTTTGAACTACCAAGACGGTGTCTATACCACAGATTATGATGGGGAAAGAGACGAAAGTAAAGAGGATATTATCCTGCTCCCGATGGTGCGTTTCCTTAGCATGACACGACCAACGCTGGTGCTGACACCGCGCAGGGGACGTTGCTGGAGAAGTTCTTTACCCTGCCTAAGAAGTCTTTCGACAAGTTCAGAAAGACTTACACGGGCAACGACCATCCCAAACTAGAGGATACGCATCGATATGCGAAGGTACGCTCAATTTCTACGTCAAAAGTCTATACCTCACGCGTCTTCTCCAGCATGAGGGTTTCTTGCTGCGCTCCCAGCTCGACTGTCGGGACGATTCTCTCCCCGGTTCTGGCGTCTTCGATCTCAAGACCCGTGCGATCTCAGTTATCCGCCACGACGTCTACAATTACCAGGTGCGCATGTTCAGCAGCACGCAGTCTCCGCCCGTCTCATACCCACGCTCCTAGAACTACCTCGACCACAACATCGAGACGCTCACGGGATGGCAGCGTTCCTTCGAGAAGGAGTACTACGACATGATCCGCTCCGCCTTCCTCGAGTACTCCTTCCAGGCGCGCATCGGCGGGATGGACGGCGTGTTCGTCGCCTACCACAACACCGCGCGCATCTTCGGCCTGCAGTACATCTCCCTGCGCGAGATGGACTCGCGTCTTTTCGGGCGCGAGGACGCCGGCGACCGCGTCTTCCTGCGCTGCGTCACGCTCATGGCGCGCCTCTACCGCGAGATCACGAGCTGCTTCCCGAACGAGTCCGTCAAGGTCACGTTCGAGAAGCGCCTCCGCGTCGTGCGCGCGTGGGTCGAGCCGCTCGTGAACCCCGACCCGAGCAAGCCTCCGCCCGTCGTCGAGCTCCAGCTCCATATCAACAGCATGATGCATGGCCGCCGTGCTCGCGGGCAGTACGCCGTATTTTCCGACTACCCTTGTGAGTGTTTGTCTGCCCGTGTCAGTGTCGCGTGTGCTGAAGTTTGTGGTACATAGGGACGGTGCAGTATCGTATCGAACGCAGCCAGGCGGAGCAGGAGAAGATCCTGTTGAGGCGGGATCGAGCGTATGGACGGCAAATGTCGATCGCCCACTCGCTCCCGAACTCGCGCGGCGACCCCGTCGATTCTGCGGCATTGCCAGCAGGCGCCGCAGTAGAGGACGCAGTCGCCGACCCTGCCCTCCAAGCGGACCCCGTCGAGGGCGAGCCCACCATCCTGAGGGATGAGGGCACCTTGTAGACACCGGGATGATACTGTCACACGGATCGGTACACTTTGCATCTGCACGTAGCACACATACATCTATCGCAAGATCTTTGGCGTCGAGCCAGAAACGTAGTCGCCGTATAATATACACCGTAGAATACCTCAGCCCTAAAGCGTCCATTCGTAATGAACCTACAGCATATTCCGCTCACCCCTCGTCCGTTCCGCCCTCTCTACATCTACCTCATCGCCCGTCCTGGCAGACCCGTTAGTCCCCTGCAACCTTCTCGCCGAGACTCAAGGGCTGCGCGTCCGGACTCGCCGGCCGCTGCGGCGGGCTCGCGGGCTGCGGCGGCGGGCTCTCCGTGCGCACCGCATCGGGCTCGATCTGGTCGTCCTCCGGGTGGTCGTCGTCGTCCTCGACGTCGGTGTGGCCCTCGGAGCGGCGCTCGTCGTCGCGCTCGATCTCGCTGCGCATGTTCGCGACGTCCTGGTCGACCTTGGACGCGACACGGTCGATCGCGGCCTGCGCGAGCGAGACGCGGGCGCGGTGCGCCTTGAGGTGCGCGGCGCGGCGCGGGGGGCGCTTCAGGCGGCGGCGCGCGACCATCACTGGCACCGAGCACTTCTGGATGAGGTAGTGCGATGTTGAGCCAAGGAGGATACTGCACACGAGATTAGTTGCGGCCATGGGTTAGGTGAAGGATGGGAGACATACCCCTTGAGGTTTCCGAGACCACGAGAACCGACGATAAGCATGACGGGTTCATAGAAGTCGACGATGTCTGGGCACATAGCACGAGAAAAGTCAGCGGCATATCACGGACGAACAAGACGCTTGGTGCGCTCACCCAATATCATATGCCTGCTGTTCTTAGCATGCCAAGCTTGACATTGGATTGAAACATTCAAGTGCGTGCGCTGCAGGAGACCCGTTGCTTGGCGGACGAGGATATACGCCAAGGCCTGACGCTGTATAGAGCGCGAGCGATCAGGCACGCCATATGTGGGGAAGGACCAGAAGCCCAAGGGCACTTCGCACTCACCTCCTGCTGGGCGCGTAGTTTCGTCGCACGATCGGCCGGATTGGGGATAACCGGGTCGACTGCAGCGCGGGGTGGGTGAGCATATATAGTGCGATCAGTGAAGCGGTGCCTTACTCTTGCCCTCATTCTCGACTACCGTCACGATGATCCTGGACAACTGCTCAGCCTATGCGTACACTGGACCTGGGAAACCACTCACAGCTCGTCGCCGTCTCGCAGCACAGTGCCGATTCCCCACTCCAGCGCGAACCGCGACTCCTCGCTCAGGTCGCTCGCGAGCACATACCGCCGCCGGGGCCTCCCGGTCTCCTGCCGGACGCCGTCTGGGTCACCGTGCGTTATCGTGATCGTGCAGCGGTCGCGTTGGAAGACCGGGCGCGAGGACACGAGGGACATGGTGTCGTGCGGCTTGGTGCTCTTCCGTCGACGGGGGCCCCGTCCGCCCCCGGTGCCGTTGAGTGTGCTCGGGAAGTATGGCTCGGGCGGCATGATAACGTTCACACCCTCCCCGAGGTAGTCCGGCATTTCCTGGTCGACGGAGGCGGCAGGGATGAGTGCATTGCGCTCAGTGTTCAGCTCGGTGATATCGTCAAGCTCCTGGTCGCCCTCGCTCCATGATTCCTCGTCGGACCCGCTGTCGTCCTCGGTCTCCTCCCCGGACTCGTCGTCGGATTGCCCGGAAAGGGAGAACGCGTTGCGCGGGCGTACGCGTGACACCTCCGCGTCCGATTCCACGTCCGACTGCGACAGTGCCTCGACGGTGGGGGAAGGGTCGCGGTCGCGTGTGCGGATGCGCCTGAGATGGAACGGCGACTGGCTGCGCGCACGCGAGCCAGAGCTGTCGCGGTCTGCCTGGGAGCCGGCGAAGGAGGAGGAGCGGTACTTGTCCTTATCTTTCTCTTTCTGCTGAGATCGACCGCGCCGTTCATCGTCACCACCGCTGCTCCGAGTGAGGGTGAGGGAGGAGAGCATAGAGGTCAAGGACATCTTCGAGAAGGAGCCGGAGGCGCGGGATTCATCTTGTGGGGACTTGACGTTGATGGCGGGTTGGGACTGAGTAGAAATTGTGCGCTCGAGCGCGTTCTGTGACTGCGGTTCATCTTGGGTCAGCGATGTAGACGAATTCGAACGTTTCTTGGAGGTCAAGGGGGTGGTCGGGCGTGGAGATGTCGCAGTGGTTAGCGATTGTCCGGAGTTGGACCGCTTGAATGGCAGGATGCCACCGGAGCTGGAGCTAGAGCCAGAGCCAGACGCCGCGGGCAGAGGCGAGCTGGGGATAGGGCCATATGTCTGCTCCTTGCCCTCGACGGTGGTGGGGAGATGGGGCTCTTTGGAGGACTTGCCGATCCAGCTGCGCTTGGTACGCGTACCGTCGGCGCGATCCTTGCCGCGTTCGGACATGGTGCTCGTCGGAGTAGGTCGTCGAGGTAGAGTGCGAGGAAGAGGATGGAGTGGGTGGTAAGACGAGAGAGAGGCTCACCTCGGCCTTGCCAGCGTCGCCTGAGAGGGCCTGTGCAAGGACGGAGAGTGAGTGAGTGTGGGACGGGGAGCACGAGGGATGGGACGAAGCAGTGTTGCCAAGACTCGGGAAACGCCAGGGCAATTGAGAAGGGATGGGACATACAAATTCAGCTGCCTCTTCCACCCTCCCGCGCTTGTTCTGCTCTCTCATCAGCTCTCATGTTCTGCCATCCACACACCGGGACCGCGCACGAGTCACCTCTAGTGCAAACTTCGCCGTGCTTTCCGGTATTCCGAGCTCCTGCAGCTGCGACACATTCTCCTGCGAGAAGGACGCCATGTTGTGCCAAGCGTTCCCAGGTCAGGCAGAGTAAGACACACAATGCGCGAAGCTAGATCAAGGCCAGGCAAGCGCAGCGAGTATCACGTCTTCTTGCAGCAGAGAACGGCGCGGGCGGGAGATGGGCGGGAGATGGACGACCCATCGATAGCGGGTCTGCGTTTATATCGTCAGATGACGTTCCGCTCGTCCGACGATGCGCCCCCGACCCCCGCCAAGGCGATCGAGCCAGTCCCAGCTCCTCCATCACATACACCAACTACTGCACATTCATGCGCTTATCATATGTCCTCGAACCCCTATGTATACACAGGCCAGAGCGTTCCAAGCAAGCCAGGTAACGTCTAATTCTCAGCGCGGACCTCCCGCTGCTCCCTCTCTCCAAACCCTATCGGAACTCACGAACCAGACGCAGCTGATTGGCCGAACAGCTGCTTCACGAACGCCTCCGAGTTGGGCTCCCTTCCAAGGAAATCCTGCGGCACACGACCATTAATTAACCTACGGCAGCGAGCATGCGATGCGCCGTACCTTGAGCAAGTCCATCTCGTCTTTGCTGCTCCCCGGAGCGAGAATCTTCTCGCGATAAAGTCGCCCTCTAGCTGGATCGAGTGGGTCTTCCTTGAACACAGTCGCGTACATGTCCGCCGCAAAGACCAGAGAGTAGGAGTATCTGTTAACAACTGATCAGCGTACTGGATCCCTAGGCCGCCACGAAATTAACGCCTAACCCGTAGTAGCCGACGCTATAATCCCCGACCAGGTGGTGGAAGCCCGCATGCCCGGGACATGGCTCGGGGGTCTTCAACAGCGCGACTGAGTCGCGCAACTCGCTCCAAAGTTTGGTGTAGTCCGAGCCTGCGGGGGCTGCGAGTCCGGAGAACCACGACGTCAGCCAACGCCGCTTCGGAATTCGCGTACCGCCTCGGACTCACGCTCGGAAAGGTGGACCCTCAAGTCGAAGGCGGCGAAAGAAACCTGACGCAGGTAGAACATCCCGACGTTCGTGTATCGGCTGCAAACAATTCTGTCAGCGGTCGGCGACGCCAGGGACAACCACATCCCCAACTGACCTCTTCAATATCTTGTTGATAAAGTCCTCATCAAGAGGTTCCCCTGTCTTGTAGTGCTTGGACAGGCGCGTCAGGATCTTCGGCTCAAAGCACCTATCGGCCCAGTCAGCTCCCCGCACATCACCATCCGCACGACAATATGAAAGCGCACCAGTTCTCGAGCATCTGCGATGGCGCCTCTGCAAAGTCTAACGCGCCCGTCGTCCCATGGAAGCGTGCAAAACGCGTCGCACTCAACAACTCGTGGAACAGATGCCCGAATTCATGGAACAGCAGCGTTGTGTCGAAGTGCCCAAGCAGCGCCGGCTTGTCGCCCCGCGGCTTCGCGAGGCTCGCGACGATCGCGGCTGTGGGATACTGCCGGGCCCCAGACGCAGTTGTGTACCCGGGCACGAGTGGCCACACGGACGTGCCGGGGGACTTGTTGTCTGTTTGAGGGCGTGGGTCAGCCTGAGGGTGTGCTAGGACGAGGCAGCGTGCTAGGGTGCGTACCACGCGGGTAGAGATCGATGTAGCAGTGTCCAATGAAACCAGACTCGTCAGTCGCGCCCTTCTCCCATACAGCGTACTGCCGCACATCTGCCCGCCACATGTCAGTTACGGTTAGCACATGCTGCAGACTGTTCTCGACCTACCGGGATCCCACGTTTGGCCCTTATTGTCGACCTCTACGAACTCAAGCTCAAAGAGCTCCTGGTAGATGGCCAAGATTGCGGGAACGACATGTGGCACGGGGAAATGCTCCCTGAGACGCTGCACGTCAATGCCGAGGCGTGTTTGGATGAGCTTGTGGTCGTAGTAGTTTGAGTCCCAGGCGTAGAGCTCCCCGTCAAACGGAAGGTCTCGTTCCGCGTGTTCCTTCTGCTTGAGCGCGAGAAGCACCGCCCGGTCTTGCAGTCCGACAGGGCGCAGCCTCTGTTCGAGATCCGTGAGGAACTGAGAGTGAACGGCACGCGGGGTTGGTACAGATACTGGTGAAGCGTAGCCCGGCTGAGGCGCACCTCCTCGACTGCTTGCCCAGTCTTTACCATCTTGACCTCCGTGACGTAGTCCGCCCAGCTGGCATAACCCAGCAGCTGTGCGATCTGGCGACGGAGGTCGAATATCCTGCTCAAGATCGGAGCGTTGACCGCCAGGCGGCTCTCGTATGCTGCATATGCGACCCGGCGTGTCTCCGGATTCTCTGCATATCTGGTCTAAGCAACAGCGAGTGTCAGTGGCTTGAGAGGAAGGAGGTTGCGCTCTGTTCTGTGGCGAGATGGACGTACGATGGAACCCCACTCTGCATTCTTGAACGCCACTACGTAGAGCTCCTTGTCACCTTCGGTCCGTTTCGTATATCCAGAAATCACATCGGACGGGACACCTTTGAGGTCATCAAGGGTAAATGAGTGGCTCCCCTATACGTAGACGGAATTATTCCTCCAGAGAGCTTCACACAACCGCAGCGTGTAACACCTACGTTTTCTTCATTCGCGTTTTTCTAGCCACGCGGCTCGTAAGTGAAACGCTACGATATTGGACGGTGGTATGTCCACTCACCCTGAACGCCATGCTCGCTTGCTCTATCTCCTTCTTCAGTTTGATCAGTCTCTCCCTGTCCGCTTCAGGCAGCGCGAGGCCTGCGCGCGTCCCGTCCAGGACCATCCTCTCGACGAGCCGGCGCTCCTCGGGATCAAGCGCAACTCCTGAGGCCTCGATGTTTCGCTTTGCATCCTGTTTGGCACGGAACACGTCGATACGCATAGTCGAGTCGACGGTGAAGTCGCGCAGGAGGCTGTCCGCGGCGTCAGACGCGTCGCGGACGGCCTGGGATGGCGAGACATCGTGCAGGAACGTGAGCGGCTGGACCGTCGCAATGCGCTCGGCTTCTGCGTGCGCGAGTGCAAGCTATGCAGCATGTAGGTTATATGCGGCATTCTAGTGTGGTAGCAATAGCCTTAGATGAGAGCACTCACGAATACCTAAGATAGGACATGATTAAACGGAGGACGGGGAGATTGTGGTGAGATACTTACAGTGTCGAAGTTACATTCTTCCGGGCTCAAGGAGGCGACTTTGTCCTCTACTCCCTTGTAACGGGCGATCGCCTCCTTAGTGAGCCTGACGATATCTTCCCGCGGATGCGTCCACGTCGGGGCTGGCTGAGGTGGTACGAGCGTTGCCATCGTTGGATGCGTGAAGGAGACCTGTGCAGCATTATCAGCGAGATAAGTACGGTTCGGAGAGCGTGGGCATTCGATGGCTGATGTGGGAGTCTATATCTCTCAACGGCGGATGCTATGAAGGAGACAATAATCCGGGTGACAGCATGATTCCGCGGCGAGGTGTGAATTATGCCAAGTACTTACTATCTCCTGGGGACCTCATGATGTGCGAGGCAGTGCGAGCGCGAGAAGGAGCCATGAGACATGAGAAAATCTTCGCCCATCACGGTTCGTGGAAGTTCAACAGGAACAGGTTCTGTTTGTTTCTTATGACAGAGCGATGCTGGGAGAGTAACCAGTTTCCGGGAACCTCAGCAGGCGGAAGGCGTGAAAGTGTGTGAAGCATTCGCTTTCCAAAGCCACTGCAGTGGGGTACCGGGGACGTAGGGAATGTAGCTACAAGATGATATCTATGGGGTGAATTAGATTACTTGCGAACGGGTGAGACATTACAAAGATCACCATTACTGGATACAGTTCGAACACGGCTTGAGATACCTTAAGCACCTCTCGCCACGTAGCGCAGCTTCTCCAGCTCTGCGAGCGCAGCCTCTGCCTCCTTCATCCACTGCAGAGCGACGGCGACTATACCTGTGAGGATGCCTGCCGTACTCCACCAGAGGACATCAATCCAACCCTGGCCCAACAGTAGGGCATACACGGGTGCTACGAGTGGCAGGATGATAGTGACAGGGTGGGAGAGTGGAATGGGCGGTCGAAAGGATGGTGGGAGAGCATTTGTCTGTACCGCGTGCCGTAGCCAGTGGTTCGGAGGAAGCACGTTTAGGCTCAGGTTGCATTGAATCGCTGTTTGGAGCAAAACCAACAGACTAGCAAGAGGCACAGGTGCTTCTGAGGGCACGTCGGGGAAAAGGACGGCAAAAGGGGAGCGTTTTGGAGAGCGGAATGCATATAGGGCGTGTCTGGTGTGATAAACTACCATCAATAGTTGCACAAAATTCACACTAGCGATAGACTTACAAGAGAAATGAAAGGCCTATGGCTGCCTGCAGTCCTAAGAGGTATATCGCGTTCGAGCTAGCACTCGTCTGGCGTAAACGGTCGATGACCGCCTCTTGCTCTATGCAGAGATGAGGTTATCATATAATTGCATGAGTGTATTACAGCATGCTAACCTTGCTCGTCCAGGATATGATCCTCCTGGTCCTCGTCTTCAGAGAAACGGAATGGTACCCTTTGTCTCATGTCGGCCATTGCGAAACCGTGCACCGTCGAATTCCAAGCTCGAGATCGGGTTTGGGTATACAAGCTTTGGTTATATATCCCAGGAAGGTGTAGTGAGACGTAGGCCTCCGAGAATACAGATTTCGTGATAGTTCGTGCAGCTGAGAGTAAGAGGCAAGGAGAGCCTCCCGAGGAACCGCGCATCGAGGCACGTCATGGACGTGCTATAGATAAGATAAGATCCATGTTAGACATGCAATCGGGATGATATTAGATCTCAAATTCACTGGCTTCTCCGGTCCCAGAACTTCACCACCTCGACATCCTGCCCTCATATCCTTTGCGCCGTCCAAGAAACTCCAGGAAAAGAGAAGGGCACATAAATCTACGAATATGCCGTCAAGCACTGAGGTCGTTCCGCAAGAAGCCGTAGAAGCGGGCCAGTTCGACGACGCTCCGGAGGACGGCTCTGTTCCACCGCCCGCTGATCCGCGGCAGGGGCACAACTTCATCGACGACGAAGCGCTCCTCGCATGGTCCTCAGAAAGCTCAGACGAAGAGAGCGAACCCGACGAATTCGAAGAGGAACAGGACACTCTAGAGGCAGAGGCGTTCCAGACTCTTCGGGCGGAGGACGAGGACTGGGAGATCGCGGAGCGAGGTATGTTCCCCTCTCAATACACCGTCCTGCACGGAACGAACCGCCCACGCAGATTTTACCAAGCAGTACAACCGGCTACGACAACACGTAGCGGTCCGAACGGGGTCAGCGCAGGGTGTGGCTTCGGCTCTCAATTCTCGATCCACGGTTGCCGCTCTGCCCGCCGTTAACCGCCCTCGTCCCGCTAAGGCTGCCAAGGTTACGCCATCCGCATCCCAGCAGGAGCATACGAAGGACAAGACAGAGAACCAGCTACAGGCGCTCTCTAAATTCTCCTCACGGCTACGGAACCTCGACACGCCGTATGATCTCAGCGTAGGAGTGAACCGGAAGGGGCCCTCTGCCACTGCGAACATGAAGGACAAGAGCGATCGTGCCACAAATGAGCAGGTTCTCGACCCGCGAACCCGAATCATATTGTTCAAAATGATCGGTCGCGGACTCATCGACGAAGTGAACGGCTGTGTTAGCACGGGAAAAGAGGTATGTGATTTCTAATCATCTTGTACAAGAATCTGCTGACCGACGATCGCACAGGCCAATGTGTATCATGCGTTGACCCCAGAGCGCAAGCATCTCGCTTTGAAGATATACAAGACATCTATCTTGGTTTTCAAGGACAGAGACCGCTATGTCTCGGGCGAATATCGGTTCCGCCGAGGTTACAGGTAAGGGTCGCACTGCGAGTCTTTGGAGTTTGTTAGGAGATTAATGAAATGCCCAGCCGACACAACCCCCGCAAGATGGTCCGCGTCTGGGCAGAGAAGGAGATGCGGAATCTCAAGCGACTAAAGACCGCGGGCATATGTTGTCCCGAGCCGATCGAAGTGCGCGAAAACGTGCTGGTCATGACATTCGTGGGCGACAAAGATGGATGGTCAGTTGTCCCTCTATGGCACGCTCAGCCATTTCTAGCCGCTAACGCATACATGGACGTATAGGGCTTCCCCACGTCTCAAAGACGCCGACATCCCCGAATCCGCGTTCCCAGATCTCTACGTGGAGCTGCTGCTCATGACACGGAAGATGTTCATCGACTGCAAGCTCGTGCACGCCGATCTGTCCGAATACAACATCCTCTACCACATCGACGACACCGAAGCGCCCCCGGCAGATGTAGACGGTCACACGTCCGTAGAACCTTCGACGTCCGGCGCCGCACTAGAGGAGACAGAAGCGCAGCCGGCCCCACGAGGGCACCTCTGGATCATCGACGTCTCGCAGTCTGTTGAACACGACCACCCGCACGCGTTCGACTTCCTGCGCGCCGACTTGCACAACGTCGAGGACTTCTTCTCCAAGCGCGGCGCGCCCACCATCGGCCTCCGGCGCACCTTCGAATTCGTCACACGCGACCGTCTCTCCGACGACGGCGCCTCAGCGGAAGAGACCCTGCGCGCGTGGATGGCGGCCCCGGAGCCCGACGCCCAGGAACCGCACCCGGATGGGGAGAGGAACGGCGGCGCGGCGCATGAAGACGAGGTGTTCATGCGCTCATACATCCCGCGCACGCTGAACGAGGTGTACGACCCGGAGCGCGACGTGGACGTGCTCGCGCGGGGAGACGGCGGGAACCTGATCTACCGCGACACGATCGGGATCGTCGCTCCAGCTGAGAAGGGCGCGGGGGATCACGTCGACGGTGCCGCGAGCGGGGCGCCGACAGGGAAGGCCGCGCAGCCGAAGAAGGCCGTGAGTTTTGCAGATGGGAAGGAGGACCCTGAGTCTTCGGATGAGGAGGGCGAGGGGGCCGAGCGAGCGAGCGAGGAAGATTCGGAGGATGAGGATGAGGCGAAGAAGGATCGGAAGCCGAGGGGCCACCGGCATGAGGATAAGGAGGCGAAGAAGGTGAGCTCATCTCCGAGTTACATGGAACAGCGAAGCTGATTGCTTTTTGTTTGTCAGGAGCGCAAAAAGGCGTCCAAGGAGGAGGCGCGCGAAAAGCGCAAACACAAAATTCCGAAGGCCGAGAAGAAACGCAAGGTCAAGGCGACTGCCCGCGGTGGGTAGACACGACACACAACCTGTAGAGCACACAATATTCCGTCCACACGAACCATGCATGTAATGATATACGGCCCATAGAGCCAGTTTCCGGTACAAACAATCTGTATGTATGTACGCATAGCCAGCCCGCGCAGCGCGCCAGGCCCGTCCAAGCTCCAACCGCAATGTCCTTTGCGTTCTTTCTATACTACACCAGCGATAACTGCACGAGGGCGAACAGAGCGGAACGAGATGGCTCCGAAGTGCTGAGCACCAAGGGCACTCGACTAGCGACGCCCCGAGCTGGGGTGGTCAGCGGAGGAGCACAGGGTATACATGTACACTTGTAGGGACTGCGAGGGGGTTGGGATACAACATCTGTACAACAGGGCAGGCTACACTGTCGGTAGCAGGGGGAAAGCGAGTGCGCATATATCGACTAGAACGTCGAGGCCCAGGCCTCGAGGTCGAACTTAGTCGTCCTCGCATTCTCGATCCACGTGTGTTTCTGTGCGGCGAATTAGAACCTTGAGATCTAGCATTATGGGTGACTCACGAGTAGTTCCTTGGGGGTCTTTCTCTGGTCGGGATCCTTATACAAGCAGCTGTCCACGAAGTCGTCCGCCTCTCTCGGGAAGCGGCCTTCCGGCGTGAGCCTTGGCGCGGGCTCGTTGACGATATGCTGCAGCAGCTCGAGGATGCTCATCGTCATACCGCCGCCCTGAAGACTGACACCCTTGCTCTTTCGCTTCTTCCTCTTGTCTCGTTGCTCCTTGGTCCTCGGCGGCAGCGCAAGGGGGTTTGGTCGACTCGGAGAGAGCGTTCCCTCGAACTCGGACAGGTCGGAGTCGTCAGATTCAGAGTCTGCGAACGGGAACCGCCCGAGCGCAAGCTCGATCAAGGAGATGCCGAGCGACCAGACGTCGGACTTGACCGTGTACTGCGCGCCTTGTATACGTTCCGGCTGTGTCACACGAATAGCTCTTAGCAACAGGGAGTTTTACGCAGAAGGTCGCAGTCACTCACGCTCATGTATGTTGACGTACCCACGAAAGTGTCCGCAATGGAGTTGATGAGCTCGCCGGAAACACCGAAGTCACAGATCTTGATCTGTCCCTTGGAGTTGCAGAGGATATTCGACGGCTTGATGTCTAGAGAAGTTGAATGTGGGGATATAAGACCGGCCATGTGAGATGGGCTTACCACGGTGAATGATGCGGTGCACGTCGTAGAGATACGTCAGACCTTCTAGCACGGCGAGCGCTACCTTCCCGACGACATCGATATCAATGGGTCCGATCTTCTTGTAGATGCCGTCGAGCGACCCCTTGTCCATGTGCTCCATGCATATGCAGATGTTAGGGTCGGAAATGAACGCGCCATAGAACGAGATGATGTAGTCGCAATGGCAGTCGTGCATGATCTGCAACTCCCGGAGGATCTGCTTCCTCACGGAGGGCTTTGCGTCGATCAACACAATCTGAAATGATTCGGGTGCGTCGTGAGACAGATATGAGGGCAGACAACGCGACAATACGCGCACCTTCTTCGCCATGATGGTGCCCGTAGGCAGATGCTCGACCTTCTTCACACTGCCTCCGTTGCCCTGTCCCAGCTCCTGGAGGTCCTTGAGGTCCTCATTGCGCAGGTCGTGGTACTTGTTCTCGGAATTAAGATCAAGGTTGGCGAGGGTAGTTGACAGGGTGGTGTGGTAAGTCATGCGATGCGCAGACGCGGACCCCGTAGGTGGCGCGGAATTTGGGCCGTTCACGGTCAAGAGGTTACTGGTGTCAGGATCAGCGGCAGTCGCATTCGTCGAGATCTTTGGCGCCTTCAGCTGCATAGGCGGTGGCCGTTTCTTGCCACCGCCAGCAGGTACGGGTGCAAGGCGCGTGGGCTCTGGCTGAGGGGGTGGGGGTGGCTGGGCAACGTCGAGCTGGAGCGCCTTGAAGTTGCGTTTCTTGCGGACGGGGCCCGAGGGGGCAGGGGTAGCCATCATGCTTCGCTCGGGGGAAGAGCCTCGAGGAGTGTGGGGTAAAGACGCAGCGACCGACGACGACAACAACGGGAACGATGGGGACGACGGCGACGGCGACGGTGGAGGAGTTCCCCAGGATGGGATGGAGGCGTTGGACCCCGATGCTCGCTTAACATCCCGCTTACTGCTTACATAATACGAACGGCCAATTCCGAGCGCCTGTCGCGTCGCGCGTAGGCGCCCATTAGTATCCCGCCGCCGCCGTCGACCGCGAGCTCGCTGTCCTTCGCTCTCGACTATGAAGCCTCGCGCAACCTGCACGGTGGCTGTCTCGGCGCTGCGCCGCCGCCCAATGCTCGGTATTGCTGTCGGTGTCGGTGCGCTTGCGGCATGCCGCCAGTCTCTGCCTGGTGCAGCCATGCGCATGCTGCAGGTCACGCCGTCTCTGCTTCCGTCGGCCGCTCGCGCTCTGCATGGCCATTATCGATCGCAATCCACCTTCTCAGGGTTGTTCTCGCTCTCTACAGCTGACTCGATAATGGCATCACTGAACCCGCCCCAGGCAGCACCTAAATGGACACACACGCCGGAGGAGGTCCTCAAACTCACCAAGGACGCGATCGCGGAGTTCCGTGCGCTCGAGGACAGCGTCGCGGCGCTCAAGCCCGAGGAGTGCAACTTTGATTCGGTGCGTCACACCACACTTGTGTATGATGCGAGCTGAGCCTCATCTTCCTGATGAACTTGTTACTAGGTATTCGTAAGTCGTTGCCTCTGTGCATTGGTTCTCTGCCCGCGCATCTGATCGCTGCCCGGCGCCGTAGTTGGTTCTCGCGCACGGAGAGAACAAGTTTGATGCAGTAGCCGAGCCGCTCTCGTTCTACCAGAACGTCTCTACGTCGAAGGAGCTTCGCGATGCCTCCAATGAGGCGGAGGTCATCGTCCGCGACTTCGGCGTCGAGTCGTCTATGCGGATTGATGTCTTCCGTGCCAAGCAAGCCGCTGAGAAGAACATCAAAGCCTCGGGTAAGAAGCTATCGACCGAGGAACAGCGTCTGGTGGATAAGATGATCTTGGACGGCACCCGCGCGGGCCTTGCGCTACCCGATGCCGAGCGGGAGAAGTTGACCACGCTCAAGAAGGAGCTGTCTCAGACTTGCCTTGAGTTTAGCGTAAGTGGAATGCATGTTGTATATTTAACGCATTCGTGCTGAACACAGTGCACACAGAAAAACTTCAATGAGGAGAATGTATGTATGCTTCGCCACCAGGGCTACGCCGATTCCACGGGCTGACGTCAAACTCCTAGGGCGTCGTCTCATTCACTGCAGAGGAGCTTAAGGGTGTTCCCGCGGACGTCATTTCCGGTTACGCTAAGCGCACGGAAGGCGACAAGGAGCTCTACGACATCACCTTCAAGACACCCGACATCTTCCCTCTCGTGCGCCTTTTCTGCCCAATGGCCCACGCATAATATATTGACCTTCAGGCTGCAGTTCAAATTCGCAGAGAACCCAGACACCCGCCGTAAGGCTTACGAAGGTTTCGAGAACCGACTAGCGATCAACGTGCCCAACATGAGCAAGTTCCTCGACCTCCGTCGTCAGATCGCGAAGCTCTTGGGATACCCCACATGGGCTGACTATGTCACGGAAGTCAAGATGGTTAAGAACGCGAAGAGCGTCAAGGAGGTAACATTTGCGACACTTGGTTCGCGCATCGTGATCGACTGCTTATATGCTGTGTCCAGTTCCTCACCGAGCTGGAGCAGAAGCTGCGCCCAGTCGGTCTGAAGGACCGTGAGACGCTCCTGGCGATCAAGAAGCGGGAGCACGATGAGAAGGGCTTGCCGTTCGACGGCGAATTCTACCTCTGGGACTACCGGTATTACGACCGCAAGTTCATCGAGGAGAGTCTGGGCCTTGACGATCAGCTCGTGAAGGAGTACTTCCCTGTCGCAGTCGTGGTACCCGCCATCCTGGAGATCTACCAGAACCTGCTCGGTGTCAAGTTTGTAGAGACAAAGGGCGAGACATGGCACCCAGGTAATACGATAACGAGTGGGACGTCAGTGCCGATTTAAATACTTTATTTTGCAGAGGTGCAGCAATTCGCTGTCTGGGAGAAGGACGCCAAAGACGAGTCCGGCTTTGTCGGCTTCTGCTACCTCGACCTCTTCCCGCGCGGTACGTCCAACCTGCCGCACTGCGTTACGGTATCTGATATCCTCTTGTCAACAGCCTCGAAGTACTCGCACGCCGCCGTGTGGCCACTCCTGCCAGGGTACGACAAGGCGGACGGCTCGCGCAACTACCCGCTTACGGCGATGGTCGCGAACCTCGCGAAGCCGACGCCGCAGAAGCCCGCGCTGATGCGCCACGACGACGTCGTGACGTTCTTCCACGAGATGGGGCATGTCTTCCACGGCCTTCTGAGTAAGACGAAATTCGCCCGGTTCCACGGCACGAGCGTCGCGCGCGACTTCGTCGAGGCGCCGTCGCAGATGCTGGAGAACTGGTGCTTCGAGCCCAAGGTTCTGGAACGCATGTCGAGCCATTACGAGACGAAGAAGCCCCTTGACGCGGAGCTCATTGAGAAGATCATCAAGAGGTGCGCGTTTAACCTACGGGATTATCGCTGCTCTGCGCTGACGCTGTTCAATCAGCCGCTACGTGAACGTCGGCTTGTTCTACCTACGCCAACTGTTCTTCGCGAACTTCGACCTCAAGGTGCACACCGACCAAGGTAGGCCAACTATAGTTTACGACGCGAGCCTAACTGACCACGAAGCACGCCTTGGTAGAGGCCGATGACTACACTAAGCTCTGGAACGAAATGCGGGAAAACATCTCTTTGGTCAAGGGCGGCAACCTCGGCGCAGGCCAGGGCAGCTTTAACCACATCGCCGGCGGGTATGACGCTGGCTACTACGGGTACACGTACTCCCTGGTCTTCGCTGCGGACATGTACGCGACGGTGTTCAAGAAGGACCCGCTCGACCCCACGCGCGGCCAGCGGTACCGCGAGAAGATCCTCCTCCCGGGAGGCAGCCGCGACGAGATCGACTCGCTCAAGGTACGCCTCAGCATGTCGTCCCGTGTCCCCTCGATTAATTGTGGTCCTGTGCACAGGACTTCCTCGGCCGGGAGCCCAACTCCGAAGCGTTCATTCAGGAGCTGTTCGGCCAGTCGACATCTAGCCTGTGAACGCGAACATTCTACGAGCGCATTGGCCAAGGGCAATGGTCAGGCGATAACAGTGCACAAGGGGGCGTCGTTATCCCAACCCTCGCAGATAGTTGTAATTCAAATGCACAGCACCACCTCTCCTCACCGTCCGATGGTCCCTGCGTGAGAGTCGAGTTGGAACGTTTTTGTGTCCTTTGCGGATAGGCCAGAGCATGCCTCGAGGCGCTGTTAGTATGTGAATGTCGCCAGCCATGACACGCGCATCATTCAGAAGACGTGCTTGCTAAGTCCTAGTAGGCAACATGAGGCAGAGCGACAAAGGCTCTTCAGCGTTGATGCGTCCCTGGGGATCCGGAAGCGAATACATGGGCGCCTAATGGCGCCGGACCCGCGCTACCGTCCTTGGATTGTGGCGGGTGCACCGTACAGACGTCCACCACCGTCCACGTTCCCTCTTTACCGTCATGTCCCTCCGCCTCGTTGCACGGCTCGCACTGCCTTGTCCGTCCCTCGTGCGCACGCTCGTGAACAGGGCTGCTCAGAAACCCATTCCTCCGCCGCGTGGTACGCCCGCTGCCGTGTCACAGAACTTCTTTCTCTGAAGCCCAAGCCGCGCTTTTAGGCACCATCGCCACACCCCAGGACTTCCTCAAGGCCATCGGGCGCTCCTCGGAGACGAAGTTGACCCCGGAATCGTGGGAGGAGCTATTCCACACAAACGGGCATCAGCTCAGGAAGGCGGGGCTCACGGTGGAGGACCGCAGGTACGTGCCCGCATGCTCGTATATGGCAAGCGGCGCACAACGCTGGCGATGCTCACCCACGTCCCACCTCGTCACATCGCGTACAGGTATATCCTCTGGAGCGTCGAGAAGTTCCGTCAAGGGCTCGACCCGTCGGAATTCGCGCACCCGCCGAAGCCTGCAAGCAAGATTCGAGGGTAAGCTCCATGCGTTCCTGCGCCCCGTTGCGATGACCGCTTAGCCCACCCCTTCCAGACGTGGACCGTCAGTGCAGAATGGCAAGAGGCTGCGCTCGAGAAGGCACCGGTAGACATGGCGCTCCGTCCTCATCACCCGCTTTGACCGAGTACCTGTATATTTGCGTACCCTAATACTGCACAGGCAGTGCGTCCTGCGAGGCGTGCCCATTCTTCTATGATAGCGAAGACTGATACACGCATAGTTGTGTTCCCACAACATGCAGCCTCGAGGACGGAGTGGCACTGTTGTGCGCGTGTCTAGGTTCTGGAAGACGGGTGAGGTCCAAGTAGGACCAGAGGAGGCAGTCCAGTGCAAAAAGCTCCGGTACGGGGAATCGAACCCCGAGCTACCGCGTGAAAGGCGGTAATGTTAGCCGTTACACCATACCGGATTGAAGTGGTAACACTTGGGGCTAACATGGCCCTTAGACCGTATATGTCCGGTGATCACACTTGTTAGCCGGGTGGCACCAAATACAATGCACCCGCAGCACGTTGTCGACGCTGACTTGAATTCGACATGGTGTGCACCCGAGTGGCGTGCTGGAGTGCGGCATGAGCGGACACAGCGTTATCAGACGTCGATTCTAGTGAGGTTGGATCACGACAAAGCAGCCGCACATGGTCCGTCTTCATGACCAGTTACCATAAAGGAAGGTCAGTAGGATGTGAGGCACCTTCGCGGAGATCTGGCGATCTGCCGCCTTGTTTTTGGGCCCGCTTTACTCTGACAATTGGGCTTTGACCGTCGCCTGTGGCTTGGACCGCCCCGACCCGTTGGCATAGCCCGTTATTCCAGCTTCCTACTCTTTGTCCTGGTGCTCCTACTCGCCTTATAAGTCTGCGCATCATGGGCCTTCTCCCAACCACCCACCTTCCCATCCTCCTTGTTCCCGCGAGCTTCCCCGAGAGCTTCTCAGAATGCACCCCAACCACCTCACCGAGCAGGTCGACCACGACCTCCAATGGCTGGCGCGCGAAGCGCCCCAGTTCCACACCGGTGCCGACGCGCCCCCTTATCCATTCTCCGGTACCCGCAACGGCGACGACGGGTCGGACGCGAGCGACAATGAATCCGCCGGCTCGGAATCAAACGACGACGACCCCTACCACCCGTACAACACCGTAGACCCCAACCAGAAGTGGGTGCGCAACGGAGACTACGTCTATGCCGCAGACCCCAACCTGCAGAGCAGCTAGTACGTGAATGTCTCACTTGCCTTTGTTCGCATCACTCACCGAAAGTCTGCCTTTGTAGTCTCGCCCCGAGCACTCACGTCGAGGACAGACCGTACGTTCCTCCGACCGGTGAGCAGTCGAAGGACAAAGGCCTTGGGCTGTTCCTCTCCCCCGACGACCTCGCACCATCGTCCTCCTACGACCCCTACGTCTACCGCGATCTCGCGCCGCCACAGCAGCCACAGACGCTCTCCCCTCACGAACTCACCACATCGCTGCCCCTGAACTCCTCCCCCGAGCCCTCACATTCTGGCTATGAAACCTCACGCGCGCGCCGCGCTCGAGCGCACAACACACAGCGTGCTACCGCTCGCGCGGCCCAAGACCTCTCGCACGTATACTCCGTTGACACCGACGGCGAGGCCGACGCTTCTAGCGGCGACGACGCGTCGGAAGACGAGTACGTGCCCTCCCCGCGCATCCGCCCTCGCAAGCTCTCTTCCTCCAACCGCTTCCAACCGCACCAGCCGCAGGGTCGCATCAGGCCCCGTGCCGCGCCCCGCGTCTCCGCCTCCCCGTATCCCTCTTCCTCCGCATCGGCGACGTCCGCGTCCGTGTCCGCCACAGAGTCCAGCTCCGCGGCAGGAAGCTCGCGCCGAGCGGGGTCGCGCAACCTCCAAATCATCGACCAGGTCGCGCCGCCGCGCGGGAGCTGGGACAAGACGGGGCCGTTCGCGTACAAGTGCCCGTGGTGCAACCATGTGCAGAGGAACAAGCGGTCCCCCGACATGGAGCGCCACATCCGCTCGCACTTCCGGCGCGACTCAGACTCGCTGTGGATTTGCTGCGGGCTCCCGCCGGACGAGGCGGCGGAGCATGGCGTTGGGCCGAAGGATAACGGGTGGGTGTTCAACGGGAGGTACATGGTCGGCGGCTGCCACGAGGACTTCAGCCGGATGGACGCGCTGAAGCGGCACTGGCGGAACAACAACAACCCCTGCATTGGCTCCATCCAGTACGCGCGGATGGACAAAACCAACCCGTGAGGGACCGCGTCCGAGACGTCGCGGCACCTTTCATGACAGCATAGACTCACTCACCCATTTCTCTCTTCTTCATACCCGCATATGCCACACTCCTCTTTGTACATACGGGCGCGTTCGCGCAGGACTTGTTTTTCGCACTTCATCTGTAGCCTTCCCACTCTTCGGTCGCACTGTAGCACATACCTCTCAATAATCACTCCCAGCCTGATTTAGACGTCTCCACTCGGTGTGAACAGGCCTGGGCTGAAGTTGCGAGGTCGCATTATTATGATACAGTGAGCACGGACGTACAGCGGCCACAGCGGCCCGTGGCAGACCACAGAAGATCAGCGCGCCCGCTTCGGAGGCCTCATGCCGCGTCTTCGCTGAGAAGCACATATTCGCGGGCAGATTCTCCAAACTTGATCACTGGTGGAGGGTCCAGCTTAGGCCGATTCCCACAGAAAGAGACGACAGGGACGCACCATCGCCGAGCATCAATTCATAGTATCGCGATGTAGGGATGCGCTCGTCGTTGACAATAGTGCCATTTGTAGACTCCAGGTCGATTATGAAGGGCCTGGGGCGAAGTCAGCACATGCCACTGGGGTTCTCGTGCAGTGGAGACCCACTTCACAGCGGACTTCACGTCGCCGAACTCGTTCTTTTCCCGAACTTGCCGATCTGCGGGCAGATGGGGGGAAGGTCCAGTGAGACGTAATACTCAGGGTCTGGGGGCGACGCACATTGTATCACGGCATGTTGTTTCGAACACGAAGGGTGCTCCACGGCGAGATCCACGACGGCGCGGTCTCTCCCGATTAAGTATGCACTCTGCCTGTGTATATGCAGCAGTTCTATACGTCCCGAGAAGTGCGGGTTGAGTTCTCGAACGCAGATGGGCGAAGCGAAGGGCTCTGGCACTCACCGACTTGCTCCTTCCCCTTGAACACGTACAGCCGCCAGCCCACCACGGGTTTCCGCGCCTCCGGGGGCTCGTGGTACTTGAGCACGGTGTTCGTCCCGTCCGCACGCTGCACCGTCTTCGTCTCCGCAGCGAGAAGGCCGGACGGCGCAAAGTTAGGTTTCGTCTTGTCTTCCGCGGGGACAGAGGGGGACTTTGAGCGCGATTCAGGCTTGGGGGACCGGGCCCGCGGCGACGCAGAGCGACGCGAGGGCCCAGGGACTAATGCACGTCGCGAGTCGCGCTCTCTGTCGTCCTCTCGCTCGCGTCCGCGGCCGTGCCCCCGGTCTCGGTCCCCGTACCGGCCTTCGTCGCGAGGACGGTCGCGAACCCTGTCATCTCCAGGCCCTCGGTCTCTTCGACTTCTGTCCCTATCGTCCTCGTTTCTGCGGGAGGGTTCACGTCGAGACCCACGGTCGTCGCGGTCTTCCTCGCGGGCATAGCGGTCGTGGCGAGAACGAGACGGTCCCTCATCGTCGTCTCTTCCTCGGTATCGCGGTCGAGGGGATTCGCGGGGCATCTTGTAGAGCAGTGAGTAGAGGGAGCAGGAGCAGGTGGCGAAAGTAGCGCGTCGGCGGCTGAAGATGCCTCTAACTTAGGCGCCGCATAGATTAGCGCCTGCTTGACGGTCCCCCGCCGCATACTGGCCGACCGAGCTTGTCCAGGACCACGAAGCACAGAGCACAGAGCAATCGGCTAGTCTCCTGCAGACCTCTCAGTGCAGGGGATTATTATGTTCTCTGTGCAACAATGACGAGGATTGAAATATCGAAGAGTCGTCGTCGCTAAGCGTTGTCCGCCAACCCCGGCAGCTGGCGCACAAACATCTGGTCGTAACACTGGACAGCTTCAAACCCTCCTCGGTACGTTCAAGCCCACAATTCATAAACCATTACCCTAAGCTAATACAATATAAACTAGATCGTCTCATCTCGGCCAGCCGTCATCCGTCTCTCAGTTGCAAGCAAGCGTGCCGATCGAAATGCCCTCGTACGGCCCCAAGTGGTTCAGGATATTGCCGAACAGGATGTTCGAGACCGTCTTGTCCGTGCACTGCTTGTCGTCGCCGTCGTCGTCGCCCGCGCACGACACCGCGTTCCCGGGCGACACGATGTGGATCTCCCCATGGGGGTGCACGAAGCCGAGGAACCGCCCGGGCACGATCGGGACCAGGTCCTTCTCGTTGTTGATCCGCACGAAGTCGGGCACCTGTTTGGGAATGAGGGAATCAGAACGCTGCGAGGGAAGGGCCGCGGGGGCGAGCGCGCGCGGGACGAGCAATGGAAGAGGCTGGCTGACCTTGCTGTCGATCAGGCTCGCGAACGCCTTGTTGCCGACGCGGGGCGTGCCGTACGTCACGCCTTTGACGTGAATGCTAGAAGGCAGCTGCAGCGTGAAGAAGAGCGTGTCCAGCTCGGCGAGCGCGCCGCCGAGGGAGTGGCCGATCTGCAAGGGAAGAGCAAAAGCGCAGCCCGTCAGTCCTGCCAGTTTGAGCTGAAACGCGCGGGGGGTTCGCGGCGTACCACTGTCACTTGCGTCGCGCCCTTTTCTGCGATCAGCTTCTGCACCTCTGGGAGGATGGTAGATGCTGTTTTCGCGTGCTCGTCCGCGAACCCGTTGTGCGCTTGGACGTCGCTGTCAAGCCCGGGGAAGAGCGTGGGGTCCAAGTCGTCGAGGAAGAAGTTAATGTCGGTCAGGTCGGACTCCCTGTATGGTATAGAGTAAATACGATAAAGAGAGTAAACAGCCGAGGTAACGCACAATTTAATCGGGTCAGTGCCTTCGTGGGCAACGATTACAGAGTTATCTTCAGGCCAATATCCGACGAAGACTGGGAATATGTGTCAGTGCTACATCACACTAAATCAAGAAGGCACTGGTGAAACATACACTGCTGTATCGCATTGCCGTCGCCACCCGTCAAGGTCGGCTGGAACCCGGGCAGCGCGTCGCAGGCCTCGCCACACTCCCAGTTGGTGACCTTGCTCAGCGGGCAGTACGCCGCGCGGGCGAATTGCGTGAAGGGCGCGAACGACGCGAGTGTGTCCGCCGCAAGCGCGGAGACTGCGCGTTTCGAGGTCGGAGCGGCCAGGGCGGCGCTCGAGGCCGAGAGGGCGTAGAGAAGAGCAGGGGTGAACCGCATGTTGAATCGTTGACGAATGGGTGTCGAGTGTCGTGGATGCGAATTTGGGCCGGAAGACCTCTGGACTTGTTTCTGCGCGGACTGGCGTGGGTGGACCTTTGAAAGCCGGAGGGAGGACAGAGAAAATAACCGGTGGACGCCTGCGACCGTTAAATAGCAAAGAAGGACGTGCTCAGCAGAGAGGCCGAGAGAGATCGTGAATGGAACCTGTCCACGCGAAGAGAGCTGGAGAATGAAAAGGGGCTTGGAGGAGCGGCGGAGGACGCGAAACGATCGCGAGGACATGCCTAGCGTGCGCCTATTTCCCGACTACGCAAAGCACTGCTTCCGCGCCCGCACGACGCGACGGACCGAGAGGATGTCTCGCTACCGTTGCAATCATCGCGGCCATATTGCACGACCCCGCCACGGCATCACCGTTCCGTAGCACGATACCCGCTTGGTATCCATGTGATGCTACATTGGTGCTTGGCGGCGGTGCACAGGGGCTGCTCCCCATCGCGCTGTGGGATGGTTCCTGCATACGAATGGCTCGTCAATCTCAGACCAAGAAATCAAAGCTCGTACGCGTCGAGATGGGGCCTGACCTGGGGGATTCCCCACACGCTATGCACGGTCACATTACCGGCAATGTCGTGCCTAGCGTGAATATTCCAGATGGCAGTGAGGTTGCATGATGCGCTGTGTACATCGTCGTGATTGTCGCTGGGTGATCCAGGATGATCCCAACATGTCTAGTGTTGCATTCCTGCTTTATCCCAAAAAGGAAAGTCTGGTAGTCGCATACACGATCAGGTGATCGAGTCCGCCCGCCGATGCGCGCCGCCGCGGATTATTCGCCGGAGCGCCTGTCTCCGACGAGGACTCAGGAGGCCGGGGACTTTACGGCCACTGTGTCCCCTGCGATCGCAGGAGGAGGTCAGAGAACATCGGAACTTGCGGAGCCGTAAGGCGAATGGAAGTGCTTGTATGGCATCTGTGGCGGTCTCCGACGGCCATTGAGTGTCGCTCGGCATTCAACGGGACCTCCGCAGGCTAGTTTACGTCCGAGAGCATCCGCCCAGAAATTGACCGGTCCTCCTGCGCTATTATTCAGAAATTTTCAGCTAAGTTCGTCCACCTGTCAGCGCGGACGCTTACCCTCCGTTCGCCGACCCCGGCCCTTCTTTCGCCGCATGCCGCTGCAGACCCTCCACGCGGTGAGGGGCCATCGTCCTCCGCCGCGTTAGCATACCAGAAGACAAACTAGTGCATAGGATCGGGTGCAGTGGCGAATATCCCGAGGGTGCCCGACAGTCGACGTCAAAATTCGTCCACCCGACGTGGCGGATCCTGTTCATTAAGACAGGGGTAAGCACTGCACCCGCGCCGGAGACACTGGGAGTTGTGGGCGTCGGTGTCGCTCCTGCGATGTCCACAGCCTGCGCGCATGATCGCAGCGTGCGCACCCCCGGGGGCAGGCGAGCGCGGGGGGCCTCGCCCCCGCCGCACCCCATCTGGGGGCGTATTTACCGCACATGCGCGTGTTGACGTCAACGGCCCACGCGCACGCGCGCGCAAATGCGTCCTGGCGTCCGACTGCCTGATAGGACGCGCCTGGCGGCGGCCGTGATGTGACCGGCGTGCGGGGCGTGCGTTCTCTGCGTTCTCCCGGCTCTCCCGCGATACATCCTCCGAGATGTATTGCGCCGCGCGCCGACGACGCGCAATAAAGACATACATGTCGCGAACGGCACCAGCGACCGGGCGGCGGCCACGACGCTTCGCACGGCGCTTCTCTGTGCGCGCACACGTTCCAAGGCGTGGTATCCACAGACTCCATCTCGACGGTGCTCCCCATGTCGAGAGCCTGGAACCGGCAGCGCGCCGCGCTGGGCGGACGAGCGGATGGCATGCACCTCGGCAGCCTCTCTCGCTATGTTCGTGAGGGTCGCTCCCACAGGACGTCCGGGAGTCCGGTACTCACCAATTTACAGCCTTGGAATCTTGATCGCCGAAGTGGGCGTGGGCCGCTCTCGTCCCGCGGACGTTCCACGGGGAGAGCGACGTCCGGCAAACAGCCTAGTGCGTCCGCCCGTGACAGTTCCAACGAAGGCTTCTGAACACATTAAGATTGGATACGCCTCATTCCAGCCGCGTTCCAGAACGGCAGCGCGATGCGCCCCATAATCTTACGCGTTCGCGAGGTCGTGCGTGATCCCTAGAGCCACCCAGACGGGCGAGATGGGGCGCTCGGGGGCCAGCTGGCACGACAGCGGCTGCTGGGAGCGCGCGGTGGGAAGAAGATGCGCTGTATGTTCATATGGCTCCGACATGTCAGACACAGATTGCCCAAGGCGGAGCGTCAATGTGACAGTGGCCGGAGCATGGAACACGAAGATCCAACCCGCCCATAGGAATCCGGTAGCGCGTTCAGTGTTTGATGAAGAGACGTTGTCCGGCTGAAGGTAATCAGGGATGTCGCAAGTAAACTCTCTTGCCGTGCCGAGCCTGGAGAAGGGCGTGCAGGGTGACAGGTCTGGAGCGCAGTCCGCACTTGACCATCCTGAGCTGAGCAGCAGGGACAGTATGGGGCCGTTGGCTCCCAGGGCTGTATGATCCACAGTGGCCTAAGATAGCGATGTTTTTCCGGGGAGCGAATGAGAACCAGGCAGGAGGCCAGCGAGTAAGCGCGTCGGTAGACCGTCGCGAGACGGCCGTGACGGCAGCCCGTCGATGGCAATCCGGCTGCAGCGTTAAGTAGCGACAAGTTTTGCACGATCATGCATCACCGGCCGCCTGGACAGTGACAGATCGCAAGGTGGCGCAGGAAGAGGTCCGGGAAGAACGTTCGAATGGGAGTTGGGAGCAGGAAGACGAAAGACAAGCGGGGGCTTTAGAGGGGCAAGACAGGACATTGGGAGCGAGCGCGGCGAGGTATATCAGGCTGGGCGGACAGTAGGCGAGGCCCGTGGAGAGCGTGGGTGGGCATGCTGTGCGAGAAGACGGGTATTGGGGGTCCACATGTGCGGGCGAGGTGGGAAGAGGAGGAGACGGATGGGGTAGGGTCGCGGTGTCGGGTGCCTCGAGGGAGATGGGCTGGCGGGGCCGTGCGTTGCGCGAGCGCCGTCTGGGGCTGGGATGTCATTTCTGTCGAATGAGAAGAGAATAGGCTCGCGCGGCGAGTGCAGATTGAGAGGAAATTGAATCGCGCTGGGTGGGAATGCGGGAAAAGGATTCTGCCTGGGAGAGGAAGAGAAGGGCGAACGTGAATTCGCGCAGCGCCCATTGCGTTGGTCACAGACGGATCTCGGCTCGGCCCGGCGCGCTGAACCTACTCCGCGCAGTCGAAGGCCGTCCGAGGGTATCAGGTATCACCCTCACGCTGCAGCCCCCCACGCGCCCCCATTCAGCCCAGCCCACCCCCAGCGCCGCACATGCGGGCGCAGGGAACGAGCGTGCACACGGCGGCGTGGAGAGCCAAAGTGAGAGGCGGCGCGCGCGGGACGAGGGAGCGGACAGAGAGAGGACAAGCGGAGGGAGAGAGAAGCTTCCCTGCCGCTTCGGTGGGTTAATTGGTGTTACATAATTGAAAGCGGAAAATGAAAGAACTAATCCGAAAGGAGGTGATTCGTCGAGTGTGTATTCAAATATGGCCTCCCGCTTCTTCCTGCCTCGCCAGATGTTATTTATCCAATCGGCCTGCGCTCGTCCATCCACCCGCCACCCTCGCTCTTCCCCAGTCGCTCGCTCGCGCCCTCTCTCGTTTCAACGCCCCGGGCGCGTCCCAGTGCGCCCGCTGCAGCTACAACTACCTCGACGGTGCCCATCCTACTAACGTCTTCTACAGCAGCCGGTCCGCCAAGAACCCCCACCGCACCCCGCCACATCATACCCGTGCCCGTCGGGTGCATTCAGCGAGCCTAAACTCGATTGAGCACCCACAACCCGATCTCGCATTCATATACACCATGTCGGGCACGCACCCCTTCCCGCTCTCCAACAATCGCGCCTCGTACACTGGCCAGGATGTCTCTCCCACATATCCCTCGGGTCCGGGGACCGCCACGTACCCGTATCCTTCTTTTCAGTCGAGGCACAACAGCTTCGACGCGCCCCATGGACGGATGGATCCTGCGACGGCGGCGTCCATTTCTGGTATGTTCCACCACCACGAGGAAGACGAGCCGCAGCAGCACTATTCGCGCTCCGGGTTTTCAGGCGACGCGTTTTCGCACCCCCACGCGCACCAGGAGTCGCGCGAACAGCTCTGGCATTATTCGCCGCCCACGGCCGAGGCTTTCCGGGCGCGTCTTGAGCAGCCAAATCACGACGTAGGTGCGCCTTCGGAATACGAGCCTCCCATGGCGCAAGGGCCGCCCCCTCCAGGCCCCTCCCACGGCCAGAACATAGCACAGAGCGGGCTGCCCGCTTCCATGCGTTCCGAGGCTTCGAATTCGTCGGCGGGCCGTTCGCGCAGGGAAAAACCGCGGCTCGAATTGGCTGCCGACCAGCCTCTGACCACCCAGGGGAAGCCACGCACGCGTGTGTACGTAGCGTGTGTCCAGTGGTGAGTGGAGCACTGCCGTCGTCATTCAGTCCGTCGCCCTAACTCCCGGGTGCCGCTAGCCGCGGCAGGAAAATTCGCTGCGACGGCGCGAAGCCGGTCTGCCACAACTGCAGTCGCAGGGCGGAGAACCCCCAGCTGTGTTCGTACGACACGGCTCCCAAGCGGCGCGGGCCCGACAGGGTACCTGGGGCGCGCCAGCGGTCGGCGACCGGTCCCAACGACAAGCCGCGCAGGCGTAGGAGACCCCCGCCCCTCGACGCGGGCGGCCATGTGTTCGAGTCCTCCCAGAGCGCGAGCACGAGCCCAGTGGACTACAAATCGGTCACCTTCAGCCCGACGGGCCACACCTTCATGACCGACGCGGGTGTCGCGCATCACGACAGCTTGACAATTATCCAAGAGGTCGGGCCCGGGCAGTACCACAGGCACCGTCAGGATATGTCGCCGGTCTCCAGCGGGCTCGGCACCCACTACGCCCAAAGCCACGACCGCACTATCCTCGGCGGCGGGACGCTCCATGCGCACGTAGGTCCATCAAGTGCTCTAGCCGACATCAATGTTGCCGCTCACCCTGCCCACATAGACCCCAGCGGCCGCTTATGAAGCGATCCCGCTTGGGTCACCTCTGTCCGACGAACCTACTGCCGTCGGGTATGCTGCGGATATCCCCGTCGCGCAGGCACACCCGTTCGGCCGTGGGGTCGGCGAGGAAGGGGAGTACGAGTATGGCGAAGATGGGAGGCCGTCGGGGCGCCGGGAGCAGAAGGACGCGATCGCGGCAGACCCCGGGGTGCAGTTCACGCGGGAGACGTGGTGGGACGCCCTCCTGGTGCTGTACGCGACCGAGGGCGATACACACGAGGCCGCGCACGACATCGCGCTGACGATGTCCCCGGGAATACGAGAGGACACGACGCAGAACATCACGGCCGATCTCCGCGCGATCTTCCGCGCCTCCCCGTACTGGCTGAACTTCATAAACCTGCCGCGGTTTTTCGGGACCTTGCTGGATCCGCGCGCCCGCCACAGGGTCCAGCCGAGCTTGATACTGGGCGCGCTCGCGCTCGCCACATTCTTTAGGAGCCACGAGGGGGAGCTTGGGGCCGCCGGGAGGAGTCGGGCGTTGAAGCTTAGGGACCAGGCGCAGAGTGCCTTGGAGGCGAGCTTGAGCTCGCGGTGGGTCGACCCTAGCCTCGTCCAAGCTGCATGGGTGAGTGTCCGCCTAAAAATGCCCGGCGATTTTTTTCACGGTTAACATCCCATCTGTCGCAGCTTATCGCATTCTTTGAAATATGTGCTCACCCGCTACATTCCACGCCTCGCGTCCGCTCGTCCATGGGCATGCTGGACGCCCTCCTGCGCAGCATGGGCCTCTTGGCGATAGACGCGGAGGACCCGCGCGCATCCATTTTTACCACGGGCGTGCCGGCAGTGACAAATGCGTTGGCGCGCCCCGTGCGTCACCGACAGCTCGCCGTCCAGGATTTTCCGGCCCAGGCGCCGCCCCAAGAACAACAACTTCCTCCTACGGACGATCAACACCTATTTGCCGTTCAGCAGTGGCAGCCCGAGCCGCCTTCGACGGACCCGACAGGACAGCCGCCCACTCAGCGGCCGACGCCCCTCTATGTCCACCCGCAAGGCTCTGACTTCCCGCCGCTCCACGACTCCCAGCCATCGGTGGATGCCCGACTCCCCCGCCGGCCTGTCCATGCACATCCGGAGCAACTGGAGGAAGATTCCGATGCGCCCTGCACCTGCATGACGTTTACCCTGGGGCACACCTGGCCGATGGTCCGCGAGTTCGCGCCACTCTGGGACATGACGCCGACGTGGCAGAGCGAGTGGACGGAGAGCGAGATCCGGAAGGAGGAGTGCCGGCGCCTCGTCTGGAGCAGCGTCGTGCTCACCGCCGGCCACAGCTCGTACACCGCGGCGAGCTCGGCGATGGAGGTCCAGCAGCTGTTCTTGATGGACCCGCGGAACGTGAGTAGCCTCCCTTCCCTTCTTGTGGCGTCCGGGGCAGCTTCGTCTTCCCCAAATTCTCCTTCAACGCGAGATTCTGACGCGGGCTGGGGATCGAGGCTAACTGAAACTTCTAGTACGCACTGCTCTTCCCTGGCGAATCGCTCATGCACACAGACGCGCCGGGGGATCCGCCCGCGGTACCGCCGCCGGACAAGGCCTCGGTGTGGGCGCTGTACACCCGCGCGATGCTGATGTGGAACAGCTGCATCCGCATGCGCGCAGACAGCACGCTTCCCGACAGCGAGAAGGCGGCGTTTGCGGTCGCGGCGTGGCAGGAGATCGACGCGATCGAGGACGCGCTCGAGCGGCACACCTGCGGGATCGAGCGCTCCTTCCTCTTCCAGGGCCGCGAGCTGCTCTTCAAGTGAGTATTCCCCACTCCTTTTTTATGTTGTTGCTAGGCTGCGCATGCTGACGGACGCACCGTGACTTTGTTTGACTTTGACTGATGTGGTGTGTGTTTGGCTTGGCCCGACTGCGCGCGGTGCTGGTGGTGCTGCCGCGGAACGAAACGGACGCGTGGATCTGTGCGGGATCAGCTCGCGGATGTGCATCGCGTACGAGTTCCAGCGGTGCCTGCCGCAGACGACTGCGTACGTAAATTATTCTTCCGCCGCGTGGCGCGCCCGCGTCCGATGGGCGGACGTCGGGCGCGGCGTTGTTGTGGGTGGTCGTGTACTGATGCCTGCGCTGTTGATCGTTGTAGGCACGCGAACCTGCTCTTCTACCGGAGGAAGGCGGAAGAATGGCGTACGTGTTCCGCTGCCTGCCCTCGTCTTTTTCATCGCGGTGTCGCTGATGGTCGTCGCCGCTCCCCACCCGCCGTAATTTCCGCTGGATGGACAGTTACGCACCTGGCGTCTCTTGGGAAGCGCGTCCTGAACGCGGGGCTTCCGTCCGTCACGGGCCTGCCCGCGGCGAGCCTGGCCAAGCGTCCGTTCCTGCTGTTCTGGTTCATGTCGCAGATCGAGAGGTGCGTGCTCGTCATGCGTGTGTGCGTATCACGTTCATGTGCCTGACTGTGCCTCTCGTCCCTCCCGTCCCCCCCGTCCCCTCCGCAACCTTCGTCACGGTCCCGCACATAATTGAAAACTGTGCCTGCGCGCCGCTGCCTCCCACGCCTGCGTTCGTGCTTGGGGGCACTCAGGGCGCTGACGCTCTGGGCGTACGATCAGACGCTGTCCCTGGCCCTCGACGTCGCGAGGGCGCTCTCACGTCCGGTTGAGTACCTGATGAACCTGTGGCCCTGTCCCGGTGAGTTCGCGGATTGTCGCCGTGGCTGCGTTTGGCGGGCTCATGCAGGTCTTCCATTTTGCAGAACAGAGACGGCGGTGGGACGATCTCTACCAGAAGCTCGTTGGTTCCTGCTATGCTGCCGGGGTCCCGCTGTCCTCTCCTTCCGAAAACGATCCACCTGCTCAGCCCCAACTTCTACCGATCGCTGAGCAAGCAGGATCTACACAGACCTGAACCTCAAAATACCATCTGAACTCTGGCGGCCACAGTCTGCCGCTCAGGCCTCCAAATACCCGTCTCATGTTCGTACATCTTCTGTTATCTCGCTATGTTATGATGCACTCGTCGCGTTTTCCCTGCACGCTATATTTGGTCGTCCCCCGCATCCGTCCCGTCCCATCCTACATTATTATCCCCACCTCCTACTGTGTCCCCGGAACATCTCGCATTACCCTCCTCCATACGATACGATATTACAGCACACGGACATGATGTGCTCTTTCTCGATTTGCCGTCAAATTCTCTCAGGTTATGAACGGACTTCTGGTCAGTGCCGCCTACTACCATATTCTGTAACTTTATCGCATGTTCTGCTTTGCTTCGGACGCCCGCGTATGTATCATAGCGGCCTACTGCACCACATTTCCTGGCTACACATACCTTGTACTACTTATATTTCTCTTGCGATGATGAAGCGTTATGTATGGACGAAAAGTGAGATGACATAGCCGCGGGCCGCGGGGGTGGAGAGTCCGAAGACAAGTGGCAAGCGCTCGCGGAGGTTTCGTGACGAAAGGGGTGACAGACGCGTTACGTCACGCGTTACGAGCTGGCTTGGGCGCGTCGCGAGCGCCGCGCCGAAGTCGAGTCTGCTTCCGCCCTCGCTGCTGTTCCCCTCACCTCGTCTTGTGGACCCCTTTCGCGCTCGCCTCCATCAGCGACAACATTCTTGTGCGAGCCACACTGAGACAGGATGGGTATCAAAGGCCTCACCGCGCTCCTCGCCGAGCACGCACCCAAAGCGTTCCAGGTCTGCTCCTAGACGACCTCACGCAAGGGGGCGAGCAGTTGACCCGGTCTTCAAACAGGAACATGAAATGAAGACGCTTTTTGGGCGCAAAGTGGCAGTAGACGCGTCCATGTCCATCTACCAGTTCCTCATCGCCGTACGTCAGAAGGACGGAGAGCTGCTCACGAACGATGCCGGAGAGACCACAAGGTGCGTCTGAGCCATGCTTTGTAGCCCCAAACTACTGCTAAACACGCGTATTCTAGTCACCTTATGGGCTTCTTCTACCGGACCATCCGGATGGTAGAGAACGGCATCAAGCCTGCATACGTGTTTGACGGCAAGCCGCCAGAGCTTAAGTCCGGCGTGGTAAGTCCTCAGCGCATTCCTCCCGTGGCTACACTCCTTATACTTTGCACAGCTGTCCAAACGTTTCGAGAAACGCGAAGAAGCAAAGGAGGATAACGAGGAGGCGAAAGAGACGGGCACGGCAGAGGACATGGACCGCTTCTCCCGTAGGACCGTCAAGGTCACGCGCGAGCACAACGAGGAGTGCCGTAGGCTGCTCGGCTTGATGGGCATCCCCTTCGTTGTCGTGCGTTTCCCTCTTCTCTCATCTGTGCTCCCGCGCTCATCACGTATGCGTACGCGTAGGCGCCCTCAGAGGCGGAGGCGCAGTGCGCAGAGCTCGCACGCGGGGGCAAGGTGTACGCGGCGGGCTCGGAGGACATGGACACGCTCACGTTCGGCGCGCCGATCCTTTACCGCCATCTCACCTTCTCTGAGGCGCGCAAGACTCCCATCAGCGAGATTAACCTGCAAAAGGCCCTCGAGGGCCTCGAGATGAACATGTCGCAGGTGCGCCGTTTCGTTTTATAGCTCATTCATATATGACAAGGAACTCACGATGCGTTGGCGTAGTTCACCGAGTTGTGCATCCTGCTCGGGTGCGACTACCTCGAGCCTATCAAAGGTGTCGGCCCGAAGTCGGCACTCAAGCTCATTCGCGAGCATGGCTCACTAGGAAAGATCCTCGAACACCTGAAAGAAAAGTACGTTCCCGGCTTGCTCCATACGCTTCACTTAATCTGACAGTCCCTTTTATAGAGCTGCTGAGAAGGAAGAGGCGGCCGAGGAGGGCAAGAAGAAGAAAGGCGGCGTCCAGATCCCCGAGGAGTGGCCCTGGGAGCAGGCGAAGGCCATCTTCCTGAAACCAGACGTCACGCCTGCGGATGAGCTCGAGCTCGAGTGGAAGAGCCCTAACGTCGACGGGCTCGTCGACTTCCTTGTCCGGGAGAAGGGATTCAAGTGCGTCGCTCATTGATATCTTCTTCTGCGCTGACATCATACTGACGCTGGGGTTACGCAGTGAGGAGCGCGTCCGGAAGGGCGCGGAGAAGCTGGCGAAGTTCCTGAATGCGAAACAGCAGGGCCGCCTAGACGGGTTCTTTACGGCCAAGCCGAAGGCGTCGCCCAAGAAGAGCGACAAGCCGGCGGAGAAGGGCAAAGGCAAGGGCACGAAACGCAAGGTATGCAGCCCAGCCTTTGGTGTGCACGACACGACTGATCACCGACATGGGTTTAGCAGGCAGATGACAAGGACAAGAAAGAAGCGGGGAGCAGCAAGAAGACGAAGAAAAAGTAGATGACGGTGTGCGCCTGAGCCGCTGTCCCCGGGACTTTTCTGTTCGTCTTGCTGTCTGTTTTGCATCTTAGCATATGCTCCGCTTGTATACCTCACTTGTTGTATCAGTAGCCTAGTCCATAAGCACCCATCCAGTCCTCGCACACAGGTTCAGATATCGCAAGTAAATCAACATTGGATACTCTGAGCACGAACATCGACGCGACGCTCCTCTCCCTCCCGACTATTTCTTCGTGTTCATCTTCGCAATCGCCTTCCCACTCCTCACCCTCTTCTTCGGCCTCTGCTGCTCCTTCGCAACCCCCCTCTCCTTCCCGCCCGCCGGCCTCGGCTTCCTCACGCGCTCCCTCTCCTTCTCCCCCACACGCGACGACTTCACGCCCTTGTCCGCCAGCGCCCCCGCACGCTTCTTCGCGAGCCGCCGCGCGACACGCTCCGGGTCCGTCGCCTTCGCGCGCTTGCGCTCGTCCTTTGGCAGGTGCGCGAGCTGCGCGCCGAGCTCGGGGTTGCCGCGCGGGACGGGCCCGTGCCGCGCGCTGTGCATGTGCGGCGGGTCGGGGCGCGAGGAGGGGGTGCGGGCGGGCGGGCGGATGGGCACGTCGGATTTGAGCTTGGGCGCGCCGGGGAGGGTTTTGCAGCGCTCGACGCGGAGCTTGCGTTTTGCGAACTTGAGCTTGGGGGCTTCGAGTGCGATGATCTCATCTACACATTGACGATCCTGCAGAGCGCACAAATGCGAGGTTAGTACGCGTAGGCGGCAGGGAGATGTAGTGAAAGCGAGACGTACCACAAATTGAACGTACGCGAACCCCTTCCCGAGTTGTGTATCGCGGTCGCGGATGATGCGCACGCGCTTCACCCATGTCCGCGGCCGCTCCCCGCCTTCAGCCTCCTCGTCTTCGTCGCTCCCGCTGCTCTCGTCGTCGGCGCGCTGCCCAGGCTCGCCCCGCTCCGCCTTCACGACGCTCTCGAAGAACGCACGCAAGTCCTCCTCCTTGCTCGCAAAGTCCAGGCTGCCCACAAATATCGTCGCCTTAGGGTCTCCCACCATCGTCCCGGGTTTCGATCCTGCCGCGCCCGCACTCGTATCCTTCTTAACGAGATCGACGCGGAGCGTTCGCCCCTCGAAAATGCTCCCGTCCGCCTTCTCCGCGCACTCCGCCGCAGCCGCATGCGGGTCCATCACTGGAGCCGGCGGGGGCAGGTTCGCAGGATGACTGCCAGGTGGAGGCGGGTGCGCGAACACGACGTACGCGTTCACAGCGTCGACGTGCTCGTGGATCTCGTGCTTGATGAACGCGATGCGCTTCTTCTCGTTCGGCATGAGGAACGCCTTGCGCGGCTCCGCGTCCTCGTCGTCGTTCGGGTTGTCCGCGCGCCACGTCGCGGTGCGGTCGCGCGTGTGCTCGCGCGCGGGCTTCTTCGCTTTGCCGCCGGGGGTCGCGTCCGTGGGCAGCTCCGCGGTCGGCTTCTTGAAGGCGACGGAGCGGTAGCGGACGGACTCGATCTTCGCGCCGGGGACGAATACGAGGAGGTGCCGCTGCAGCTGCTTTTGCATGGGCTATCGCGGGGAGGTGAGCCCACGGGGAGAACGGACGTGTACGGGTGCGCGCTCACTTTGGACTTGGTGACGTCCACGGCAACATTGCCGACGAAGACTGTGCGCGCGTCGCGCTGCTCCGGGCTCTCTTCTGCGGGGACGTATTTTGCCTTCCTGTGCCGGGACTGGCTCTTGGTCTGGCTGCCTTTCAGAAGGGACTCATGTACGAGTTTTGACGGGTCGCCTTCTTCGTCGGAAGAGTCGCTCTTGCTGCTCTCGGCCTCCTCCTCTGCAGCAGGAGTGGGCTTGGGGGAGTCGCGCTTCTTGCTCTTCTTTTTGTGCATCTGCTCTTGAAGTTTCGCGTCCTCGTCCACTTCGCTTTCGCTGCTGCTAGCAGCTTTGGCATGTTTCTTCTCTTTCTTCCCGGGTTTCGAGGCAGACTTGGACGAGGATGGGACATCTAGTACGAAGGTTGGTTGAGTCTCCACAAACTGTGCGTCGTATTACCATGCGCACCTGCAGAGTCAGATTTTGACTTCTTCGCCTTTCCGCTCGGTGTGGCTTCTACCGCCTTACGCTTCTTGTCGGATGGTGTCGTGGAGGTGGCAATGGCGGTAGGAGCAGAAGAAGCAGGTGCTATTGGGCGTGGAGGAGCGACCGCTGCATTGGTGCGGAACAGGTCGTCGAGACCCTTGTCAATGACCTTGGCTTTGCCCTTGGCTGGGAAGAGCAGCGACGAGAGGCTCATGGTGGATTTTAGTGCAGCAGCAGAGATTCCCTGAGTCCGTGAGTGCGAGGGGAGAGTACAGCGTCCGATACAAGATGCCAGGCTCGGTACACCCGGCGCTAGGGGATATTTTCCTGCAGGAGGTGGCCGGCCCGGATACCCGAGTGAGTATAAATGCAACGGCGCTTAGCCGTCCTCTGGTCCTGTCCTCGATCTCTCACCTCCTCTGCGCGTTCACTACAGCTGGCTGCAGTCTTGCGTTCAGGGACAACAGTACGCCGGCGAACATAACCGTATAAACTATTTCCAAAGGGTGCTGAGTGGCACTGATTTCCAGCGAAGAGCTTCGCGCGACCCGAGAACTACTCAACTGACCACGTCTGCTCAGAGTCTTCGCATAGCTGCTTAACATGAACCTCCGATGTACCCTTCGCGAAGCGAAACTACTCCCTCAAAACAGGACTGTGGACTGTGCATGACACACTTCTCTGCGAAACATTGCGGTAAACACACACTCCTCCGTCATTCTTATTGACGACATACCAAGCAGCTGACGGGCGGCGTGGGGCGGCGGCCGGGTCGCCCATTATCCAGCAATCTTATGACCTATCTTGCAGGCGCGTTACGCTCCAAAACAAACATATGCGTAATCCCGATCTTTATGTTACACGCCCTACACAGCTCAGCTGTCATGAGAGAGCATTCGCACGACCCCCGCTTCTTCCCCTTGGTGCGTGACTCTGGGAGAGCACCCCGATTTGAATATATAGCGAAGGATCCTCTGCGAAAACACAGAGCGCGGCCGTCGTCGCACTCCTTCACTGAACCCCCGCCTACTCATGCTGGATATACACGCCGCGTCGCTCTTACAGCTCTTCACCTGGTCTCTCGCGCTCGGGGTATTCGTCGCGGTTTGCTATTCCGTCGTACGTAGGCTGCACCGGGACAGGCAGAACGAACGACTTCCCCCAAGCCTACCCGGACACTGGCTCTTCGGGAGCGCGCCTCCGACCTCATAGTGAGTCCCACCGCACCCCACGCTGGCGCCACACAGTCGCCAGATCTTGACGACTTCAGTGTGTTGACGCCGCAGTCTGCAGCGCGCATCTACAGTACACTCGCCTCGCAGAAACATACGGTCCCGTGTTCACTCTACGGTATGGCTCGCGCCGCCTCTGCGTGATCACTCGGCACCAGGTGCGCGCATCTGGCATGCGCCAACAACACCCGCAGTCTCACTCCATGTTCACGGCAGGCCGCGACGGACATCATGGTGAAGCAGTCGCATCATCTTGCCGACCGCCCGCGTACCGTGGCCGCGGGCGAGCTTCTCTCGGACGGGATGCGTGTGCTAACGCTGGGGGCGGGCGACCGCCTCAAGAAGTACAGGAGGTACGCTCAGGAATTCTCCCGTTTGTCCGAGACATGAGAGGTGCTGACGTCAGTCAGTGCGTTGCATGCGACACTGCAGCCGCAGAATGCGGCTCGGTACGAGCACATGCAGATGCATAACGCGCGGACGTTTGTCCTTGATCTGCTGCGCGACCCCTCCGAGTTTCTCAACCATGCGAAGCGGTAAGCAAGTTCTTGCCGTTTTCATGAGCTTACGGGCATACGAACACTATTTACGGAACGGTAGGTATTCGGCGAGCGTGATCATGTCGATTACGTACGGGAAGACGACGCCGACTTCGTACTCAGACCCGGAGGTCAAGCAGATCAACCTTGGTTTGAAGCGCCTTGGCAACGCAGTGCGCCCTGGGGCGTACCTCGTCGACTCGTACCCTTTCCTCAAGTACATTCCCTTCTTCACGTCTGAGCTCCGGCGCTTCCATCGCGAAGAGCTTGCGCTGTACCGCAGCCAGCTGCAGGGCGTGAAGACGCGTCTAGTAAGCATTATTCTATGTGCATAACCAATTGACTTGTAGATTAAGAGTTCTCTTTGCCATGTAGGCGAAGAACGAGTGTCCGCCGTGCTTCGCGACGTCCATTCTGGAGCGCCAAGAGGAATTCAACCTGACGGACGACGAGCTGGCATACCTCGCCGGGTCGATGTTCGGCGCTGGTTCCGACACCGTACGCCCTTCCTGTGTCCCCGTATCCTCCCGCTACGCTTACACTATGATAGACCGCCGGAGTACTACCGGTCATAATCATGGCTGCCGCACGGCATCCTGAGCTGCAAGCCAAAGTACAGACGCAGCTAGACGCGGTTGTCGGCCGAGACCGGTGTAAGAGATTTTATACGGTTCTATGAGGGTCTTGGAAGCTGATGACCGCCCATAGTGCCTACGTTCGCAGACTGGGACGCGCTCCCGGAGGTTAGCGCCTTCGTGCAGGAGGTGTACCGGTGGAGGCCAGTTACGCCGTTAGGTATGTACTTTCGTCTCCCGAATAGCGCGAATGAGCCAATGTTCACCCATATTCTCATCGACAGGCTTCGTGCATAGAGCAACGAAGGACGTGGTTTGGGTGAGCTTGCCCACATCACTCTTTTGACACATTCTCTGAGGGGTCGCGTAGAAGGACTATGTGATCCCAGAGGGAACAGAGGTGCTCGCGTGCCACTGGTGCGTAAGCTTCCCTATTCCGCAAAGAGTAGTGGTTTGACCTCCGGTATTACGATGTAGGGCCATCGCGCGCGATCCGGACGTCTATCCGGAACCGGAAGCGTTCAAGCCAGATCGCTGGTTGGACGAGAAGGGTAAGATGAAGGAGGATCTCAAGTTCTTTAACTGGGGGTTCGGACGGAGGTACGTATTTCCACTTGTGTTGTGGCTTGTACGCTCACACAACGCCGCTCTAGAATCTGCCCAGGCTTGCATGTGGCTGAGCGGTATGTCCGAACTCGCGCCGCTGGGGCGTGTGCTCATCATGTCATCACAGGTCGGTATTCATCAACACGGCATTGACTCTGTGGGCGTTCGAGATCTCGGAGGACCCGGCGCATCCGGTCGACACGATGGCGATCATGGACGGCGCACTCGCCCACCCATATCCGTTCGTGGTGCGGTTCAAGCCAAGAGTTGCGAATTTGCAGGAGAAGATACTGGCTCACCACGAGTGATCCGCAATTGCGTACACTGTGTTACTGATATCATTACACCAGGTTACAACACTTCCCCCTTTGTTTTACTAGTATGCGCATTAGCAGATGGGTAGGCACCCAGTTCGAGGTGGTCGAATCCCACTATTATCAGATGTTCAAGTGCACCCATTGCATGGTTAGGTTGATACCCTGGGATACTGGCAGTCTGATCACGTATCCCCTGTGCAAGGTGCATACCATCAGGAAGGCAATCCACTGCGTGCTCGATCGTGTCTAGACAGGCTACGTAACGTTTGATTTGCAGTGAGCGACTGATATGTATTACCTCCCTCTTGACCAGCTAGATCTCCACAAACATTTTCAACCCACATGGGTACAAATTTGCTCACAATCTGCTCCCTACCGAGTCACTTCTGCTACGCGCGGCTCGTGCGGATGCGGACGTAGGAGTGGACGCCGCGCACGGAGTGAAGGCTTCGCCAGCCGGGCTTGAATGTAGAACTCAAAGCCTATGTGTTGGGAACAACTCACACCGAGAAACGTTTCCACGGATGTGCACGATCGGACCCCAGCGCCAGCCTCAGTTTGAGGGAGAAGGAAGACAAACTGTGCGTGAGGTTTGGGCTTTTGGCGCTGCTGCTACAAAGGTATATAATATACATTCGAGTTTATACAACCACGTGCATACGAACCAGTCCAATGACCTCAAATGGCAGAACGTGGGTTAGCATCAGGCCATCACTGCCACCTCCGCCCACCGCACCATCGCAACTACGCAGCGATCACTGAGGACCGCCCATTCACACTGCGAACTCCTTGGTGTGGCTACGATAAAGGTCCGAGGGCTCAAATCGCGCACCGCCCCCAACTTTTGTGTCTGATATGCGCACTAAATCAATGGGCCGAGCTCCGAATCGGAGGACGTAAGGTCAGCGGGCTGGCCACCCAATACGTCTCGGTCCGCGCTTACTTCAAGGCAACTCGCTTAGCTACCGTGGTGGGCGGTGTCTGCATTGACAGTGCCGGGGCGGCGGGCGGGGCATATGCACAGCCGCTGCGTACATCCCAGGTCCCTATCCCCCTCCGAGTCCCCTGTCCGCTCCTTGCAACCTCCCACCATCTCCTAGCTTCCCGGGGCGTCCCTTCACCTTCACCTTCCTTTACCTGCGTCCGCACCCCCACTATCACCATGATTGACGAGAAAGCCCCACAACATCCTCCGCCCGCGTACGGGCAGCCGCCGCAAGGCGCAAGCTACAACCCCTCGCAAGGACCGGCGGGATACTCAAGCCCACAACCATACCCTCAGACCCCACAACCGTACCCTCACACCGAGGGATCGAATTCGTATGGCGTGCCCGGGGCTCAGTCCCCGCAACCAATGGGCACCCCGGGCTCGGGGCCCCAGCCAGGATACCCCCCTCCACAGATGCCTTCCCAGATGGGCCCTCCACCACAGAGTCAAGGTCCACAGCTCACCGCAGGAGCGGCGTACCAACAACAACGTGAGCGACGAGTCGTACAGCCATGCGCGGACGTGAGGAATGCTGACCAGACGTCCGCCAGTGTTCGCGTTGTGCGCGGCGGGCAACCACGACTTCGAGACGAAGCACGGTATCGCAGGTATCATCTGCGCGATCTTGTGCTTCCCCTGTGGTTTGATATGTCTCTTGTGAGTAACAGCGCCCGGCGTCGATCCCGCCCTCGTGCGGTGCATGGGCGGCGCGCATGCGTATCCCCGTTGATGATAGCGCTGACCACTCCCGCGTGCAGCACGGACGTGGAAAAGCGATGTGTGCGGTGCGGCGTCCGGGGCTCTGGGTAGGTTGAAATTCGGATGGCCCGTGGGAGGTAGCAGCGTCAGGGCGTGATATTGACGACGGGCGTTGATCTGGGACGAGGGGCAAAGGATGAGTCGGGTTCGGGACCGCAGTGCGCGCTGTTGGATGCGCCTTCCTCTTGCTTCGTGTAGATGCTGTGCAGTACCGCCGTTCGCACCTAATTACATCCACCGTGCTGTGCAGTGATATCGTATGTTCGTATCCTGACACTCTACCAGACCGTAGTGAGTCCTGTCATGTGGGCTTGGCCGCACGATGCAGTATGCGCCCGGAATTACACGATGTCGCGGGATGGTGTCTGCGGTCTGGTCGTCAAGCCCGATGGCGGCTTTACGACCTCTTACGACATGACCACATTTGACAGGTGGCTGCTCTTCGGGCTTCCATCTCCTGTCAGTGATCCACCGCGCGTGAGCAATGTGTGCGAGTGCTCACTGATGCACGCGCGACCCCAAGGATCGCCGACCGCGTCGGACAGCCACTGCGCACCCAATCATACTTATTTGAGATTCGCAGGTACTTTTACGCGGCCGCCGGGATACAGCAGCAGGGCCACAGACGGACCTTGAACACGATATATCAAATCGGCCGCTTTACACGTACACATGAGCGCGACAACTGCGAACTCACTGGCAGTTCTTGCTGATCTGCAAGGCCCTGTGGCTGCTCGATGCCGGCACAGGACCGCTGCCAAATGCATTGCAGCCGCCTGCTAGTGACATGGAGTCAGCGGAAACGACGTACTGCGTCTCCGCGCCATCAAAATGCCTATGCGGCGGGGCGGGGTATTGAGATTGTGGTCTGCGTACGACGTCCGGCGCTGATGCCTTCCGGGGGTAGAGGCACACACGCGAAGGCAACGGCGGAGCTGGGTGGGTCTTGGCCTAGCGACTGGAGGTGTATATAATGAGTTGTCGACAGTGGTGTTGATCCTCACCCACCTCAGCTCGTCCTTTGCCCTTTTACATCCTCCCGCGCCCTAGCCGCACGCCCGCTCTCTTCGCCGCCCTCCCACATTTTAATTCGCCGCTCTTCGCGCCTTTGATACTTCCTCTTTCTCTTCATACCCACCCGCCCATCCCTATACCAAAATGAACGCGAACGTCGGCAAGCAGTACCAGGACAACCGTGCGTGCACCCCCCGTCCTGGACCCGGAGCGGACTCGCTGACCCGCCTATGACAGTGATGGCGATGTGTGCCACGGGCAACCACGACGTGTCGAAGAAGTACGGCGTGTGCGGTATCATCTGCGCGGTGCTCCTCTTCCCCTGCGGTCTGATCTGTCTCTTGTGAGTTGCCGTGACCACCTATATAGTGGAAGTGCAACTGGCTGACATTGCACCCTCTAGCTCGGACGTCGAGAAGCGTTGCGTGCGCTGCGGCGCGAAGGTCTAGGGGAGCGACTTGATGACGACAATCGAGTTCCTTGTAGGGGCGACGCTGGGGTTGACGATGCCAACGGGCATGGTGTATATTTTGTGTCGATACCAAGGATTACTGTACATCCTATCTATTTCGGAGGTTAGTGGCTATGTCGATTTTGACGGATGGCGCGCCCACCATGTTTAAGCACGGCACCGCCGCAGTGCCCACGGTATTTGCACAGCTCCAGATAGCTCCCCGTCACGACCGCTAGCTTGTACAGCAGACACCCTTTCACAGCAGAGATCAGCATCATACACGGTGTGGTTTGATCCTGAACATCGTACGCTTCTTATTTGTAGAATACCTCGCGCCGCGGCGAACGCTCATGCTACCGGTGCCGTAACGGCGCGACAGACCTTGACGATGCGGGCATAGCAGAACCCCCGCACCCTTTGCACCAGAAGTCTTTCGATGGAAAAATGAAGTCCGACGTTTCGCGTTTTATGCCGCTCCCTGCGCCGGTAGCGAGGTACTTCTGCTACGGTGGTCGGCGCGACTGCGGCACTTTCGCCTCCTCCGAGGTCGCCTAGGAATAACGACCAGGGTCAAGGTGTAGCACAAGTAGCGCCCCGAAGAAGTCTTCTCTGCAGCACTGTGGTAATGCGGCCGCGACGAGCATCACGCCGCGGGGAGCAGCAGCAGCTCCAGGCCTTGCTTTGCTCCACAGGTAGCGCAGTCGCCTCTACGCAGCCGGGGAGGGTATTCGTCGCTGGGCCAGGTGAGGCGAGCTTGTCCATAAGCGCGAGAGAGTTCAATGGGGCGCACCACTGCCGCCCTCAGGCTATGTATATCAAACCGCGTTCCTGCACTCTAACCCCATCAGCAGCGCGGGCTTCCGTAACGAGTGCGCTTGGCGTACCAGCACCCGCCCCGGAGCCGCGTGTACTGCATTCAGATCGCCGCCTTGGCGGACGGGTACGGTTGCAGACACCCTGAGGCGCACACGCGCTGCGAATGACCTGCGCGGAGGAGCTTCGCGAAGCTGCGTGCAGTGAAGCCTGAAATCTAGTCCGCGGCGTTTACGCGCGTTCCCAAGGAAGAGGAAGTGTAGATTCCGAGATTACAGGGAGATTGACCGTCTCGCCTGCGGATCGCGTTTCGGGGAGGGCGTAGGTTGAAGGCTCCGCTTGCATGGGGGAGGCGCGAGGCTACGCAGGGCCACTGCCCGGATCCGCACCGATCGTTGGACTGGCGAATCCCCTGTGTGCCGTGCTACGCTGCGCCGGAATGAGATCAGTGCGGCTAATGTCGCGTACACTCACCGCTTCTTTGAGTTCGCCTACAGGCGTCGAGTAGCAACCACGGTCACTAACTCCGTTCAAACTCCCTCGGAGCCATGGGCGCCTATGCGGTCGTCCGACAGAACCTGTTCATAGCGGAAGGCGAAGAAGACTCAGCCGCTGCGACCACCAGGTATAGGTACGGGTGGGACGTCATCCACCGTTGACGTTCGCCGTCCTTATTGTGTAGGAGGCAGGGCAGCGTACCTTATCCCTGAGGACGCATGTCGGCGAGCGCGACCATCATTACGACAGGAAGACGTGCGATGTCCTGCAGGTCGCTGTGGCCGGGCCTTTCTCCGCGGCAAACTTGGAAAGGCCACCAGGATCCCTGGCAATCCGCCCAAATGCCTTGGACAGAGTGGGGCATCCGGAAGGCGTATTCCTCGACCCGTTGGGGTTTCCTGGACGCGCAAAGGCCTTGCACCCACGCAAACCGCAAGGCGATTCTGGATGAGGTTTGGCGTTGAAATGAGCAAAATCCCCGGGTTTATAAGGGCCGTTACACAGTCCCCGAGCCAAATGAAGTCCCACAAGACGTACTCCTTACGCACGGCGCGAACTAAACCGCGAAATTTCGTAGGTCGCTGTGTAAGGCATCTCGAAAGATTGCCAGGGGTCCCCGGCCAATGCAATTTTTCCTGTTCTGGCGTCAGAAGGCCGTGCATAAGTCAGACAAAGTGCAGCGGAGGAGAGCGAAGTATGATGTCTACGTTATCGCGCGGGTGCGACAGGGTGCGACCTGACCGGTATCGTTTCCGCCCTGTCAATGTCCACGTAAACCGCCCTTGCTGCATTGGCCAGAGCTCGTAGACCGCCCGGCGAAACGCCTGAGGGAGGTATCCTGAGTGATGTGCTCACCCGTGCTTCCCACAGAAGTACCATGCACGGCGTGCGGGGTCCAATCATGTCGCGCAGCGGGCGGGGCATCGAGCACGACCCCAAGTTACGTCCCCCGCGTGTCCGTCGTGTGATCCATTTGCGGAGGCGGCTGTCAGCTTCGCGTTCCCATGGCCGGAAGAGCTTCGCGAGGCTGGCAAAGACGGAACGCTGCGGATGCGCCGTAGCAAGGGGAGAACGATATGGCGGAGGCGGTGAGGGATCGAGAGCGGGAGAGCGTTGACGCAGCAGCATCGAGGGATCCCGTCAGGATGGGTAAAGCGAGGAAAGCAGTCTTGACATCGTCGGGGACGGCGAAGAGAAGGTGGATCGCGTCGTGGGCGTTCAAATAGACGACGAGATCGAGGAGATGGGTCAGCCTCGTGGGCCGGACCTCCGCACGCGTGATATGGACCCTTAATTCGCGGCGGGTAAGCGCCCGTGCCAGGCGGCGACTACGCCGTCCACATTTTATAAAATGGGTCCCGCGTTCATTGCGCGCGACCGCCCACCTTCTCTTCTTCGACCCCGCAGCTCTGCGCAACGAAGGCGGAACGAGGTCAAGAGCGCCGAGCAGGGACCGTTCGCCACACTTGTCTGCAAGTTTTAGGATCATCGGCTGGGCAATCCGCGCCGCTCGGCATTCGTTCCAGGGGCCTACACCCAGTACCGAAGCTCTTGGTACTCCGTTATCATCTCCACCACCTTCCTCCTCGTCTTATAGCCCTCTTGCCTCTCTCTTGACGGCCACGACCACCCACGACGTCTTGCACGACCTCCCACTCTCTCCTCTCGTCCACAACGTCTTCTCGGCGGGCTCCAGGCGGCCCGTGAACGCTAGACAAACGTCCGAGACACGACTCCCGTCACGCCTACATCATGAGATTCCATCCGGTGAGTCTTTTTGAAGTCCAATATGTCTGCGCTAGTCTCATACGTCCTTTAGTTCGAAGTATCCATCCCCCACATCGCCTATGCGGCGCTGGGTGGATTTGTAGTATTGGTGAGCACCAGCATACCGCCTTGGCTTTCAATGCCCTCTCACCCTCCTTCCAGTTCGGCATGTTCTCGCTTTTCATTCGTGAGAAGGTATGTCGTGCACGATGGATACCTGGAGGCCCGTGACACTGACCGTGCGTAGCTCTACATCGGAGAAGCTATCTGGGCTTTTCTCTTCGGAGTGGTCATAGGTGAGCCAAGAACTCGCTCCATCACCAGAAGATTTTGCTAACTTGATCAGGACCATACGGCGCCAACATTTTCGACCCCCGGGGATGGGGAGGAGGCGACCGAGAAGTCACCAATACTATCACGCTTGAGGTCACTCGTGTCGTGCTCGCCATCGGAGTGTTCGCCATCGGAGTTGAACTACCCAAAACGTACATGAAGAAGCACTGGAAAAGTTTACTCTTTTTGCTTGGCCCCGTCATGACTTGGGTATGTGCATACGCTCTCGCAGCTATAACATTTTCTGACGTCGTCCGCAGGGTTGGTTCGTATCCGGTGCATTGATATATGCGCTCATCCCTGGACTCAACTTCCTATCATCTTTGGCGGTCGCGGCGTGCCTCACCCCAACAGATCCTATCCTCGCGGCAGCCGTGGTCGGCGGAAAGTACGCAGACAAGCATGTTCCGGCGCATCTACGACACCTCCTCGCAGCAGAGAGCGGATGCAACGACGGAGCCGCATTCCCTTTCCTCTTCCTCGCCCTTTACCTGATCATCGACACTTCCACCGGTCGGGCAGTCTCCGACTGGTTCGTGCTCCTTTGGCTATGTGCGCATGCTATCTCCGCCTTCATATGCGCGTTATATGCTAACACATGTGATTGGTACAGACCAGGTAGTCGTCGGCACCATCTTCGGCGCATTGATCGGATTCGGCTTCCGACACCTCATGAAGTTCTGCGAGCGCAAAGACCTCATCGACCGACAGTCATACGTTGCGCAATATGTCTCTCTTGCCATACTCACCATCGGCACTACGACTCTCCTCGGCTCAGACGACCTACTCGCTGCATTCTCGTGCGGAACCGCGTTTGCTTGGGACGGTTTCTTCAATAAACAAACAGAGGAGGCCGTATTCTCATCCGTGATCGATTTGCTCTTCAACATCGCCGCCTTCGTCTTCGTCGGCGCGTGGATGCCGTTCAGCGACTTTGCAAACCCGAACTTGACACTGTCGGTATGGCGCCTAATAGTCGTCGGAATCCTCGTGATGGTCCTCCGGCGGCTCCCCGTGGTCATTGCGCTATACAGGTGGATCCCGGACATTAAAACCTTCCGCGAGGCCATCTTCAGCGGCCATTTCGGTCCCATGGGCATCGGTGAGTACCCCAAATCGGCTTACGGGCGTGGAAACGGACGGACTAACACCCAATACAATGCACAGGCGCCATTTTCATCTCCACACTCGCCGCCGAGCAGCTCCCCACCCCGCACGACCCGCCCGAGGGCCAGCAGGAGCTCCTCGCGGCGTCCATCCAGCCCATCGTCGCGTTCATGGTGCTGTGCTCCATCGCGGTGCACGGCCTCTCGATCCCGTTCTTTACCTTCGGACGGCGCGTGCACTCTGTCTCCCGCACCTGGTCGCGCCACGACACGATCGGGACGGGCACGTTCGGCTCGCGCCGCAACACCGCGACGCGCACGATCCTTCCCGAGTGGACGACGCAGATCCGCCACGTGCAGCCGGGCGAGGAGATCGTGATCAACCGCGACCGCCTCGGCGGCGCCGGGCAGGAGCGCGAGGAGAGCCTTACGCCCGTCGCCGGCACGTCGTCCGAGGAGGAGAAGCAGCCGGAGACGCCGCGCGAGGCGGCGGAGAAGGCGGAGGACCCGCCCGACGGCACGGAGACGTACCAGGAATGGCGCGAGGGCCCCCACAAGGTGGTAGAGCGGCGCGCGGGCCCTGGCGAGGAGGTTCGTTCTCTTCCATTGACTCTCATTCAGCGCGTAGATTAGAGTGCTGATCGGCGGTGCCGAATGTAGGTGGAAGTCGAGGTTCAGCGGAACGCGTACGGCCCCCACGAGACGACGACACACAGAGTACGGGTAGCGGAGGACGCGTCGGCAACGGTCATTGGCGAAATCCGCGACAGAATCAGACACGCACCCCAGGACGTGGCAGACATCCTCGACCTGGCCGAACAGAGCGTCAGGCGTGAAGCCCACGAAATGGGTGAACGGACGAGGGAAGCCGGCCACGCCGCAATGCTCGCACTCAGCCCACAGTCGTCACCACAGAAGCGGGAGAAAAACAGCGACCGCGCGCCACGAGAAGGAAATGGCGCGGGCAGCGAAGACGAGGGGTGGATGTCCGACCAGAGCGGGGGCACACCGTCGGGCGCGACGACGGGTAAGGCCCGCTCAAAGTCCCCGAAAATCAAGATCCCGAAGCCAAAGATTGCCACGTCGCGCCCAGTGGGCAGCAGCTCGCGAAAACGCACGTCCATCCGCCGCGGTCTACTCGGACAACGACCACAAGTAATTCAGCGCTCGCAGAGCGAAGACCTCGACGCGCGGCGCTCGACCGTGCCTGAAGCCGAGGGTGAAGGCGAGGAGTCCACCTCGGGCTCGGGCGCGCACACCCCGGACGAGGGCCGCGGACGAAGTTCTGGGCAGCGGCCGCCACCAGGCCCGCGCCACGGCTCGGGCGCGCACACACCACGACACATGCGCATCGACTCGATCAAGTCTGCGACGCAGAGCAGGGAGATGTCGCCCGCGCGCTCCGTGCGGTTCGCGGACGAGCAGCATGACCGCAGTGGGCATGTCACGCCAAAGATCACGTCACCAACAAACCCGTCATCGCCCGCGGAGACGGAGGCGGAGGGTGGCGAGCAGGAGGACGATTCGCCTCGGAGCCAGGTGCGGTTCAGCCTGCCGACGGGGCACGAGGAGCGCCAGTCGTGATGAGGGAGTCGTAGATGCGCGTCGCTTGGAGTTCGGGCGTGTTGTGTACATAGACGGACGATGCCACGGCCGCATGCTGGGATCGCGGACGTTGTAGAATATCACCAGGGGCCGTCCCTGTCTAATGCCTCTCTTGCCTTTGTAGCATCTTCGCCGTTTCTTTCTGTTTCATTCTTACTCTCTCCGTCTTCTCGTCTTGTCTTGCCTCGTCCAGTAGCTAGTCGGTTCCGTCTCGCTTTCCCAGATTCAACTCGTCCTGCACGTCTTCTCGCGACTCCCTGCACGTTCCCGGTACCGGTGTATCCTCTACATAGTTTACGCTCGCATCTGCATCCGTCCCCCATGCATCCGCACATTCATCTATCCACTTTCAGGCATCATACGCATCGTATCGCAATATATCACTATCTATCCTGCAAAGTCGCGACGCTGTCGCCAGAGTCTCCTTAGGCCTCAGCTTGCCAAATACATCCTCGGGATCCCACTGAGCATCGAGCGGGAACACACGCTCAGCTCGCCGCTACATGGTACATCCAGGCACCAAGCCTCCCTAGTACTATTGCGCCGCCATCACCGTCTGACGCCGCCACGAACATCCACGATTTACGCCTGCTTGACCTTGTGAGACCCCACCGCCTTGGCAGGTGCGCGCCCCGCGTCCGCCTCCAGGTGGCGTAAATCCAACCCGAGCCGCCCAAGCACCCCGCGGAGGAGCGCCAAGAAGGCGCAGACGAGCGCGCCGAGCACGCGCGGTGCGCCGCTCGCCTCGAACGCCGCAAATGCGCGCGCGAGCCACACGACGCTCGCGCTCGGGCGACGGTCTGCGTCTGCGATTTTGAACGGGAGCGAGGAGGGCGCAGAGGAAGGGAGGAGCGCCGCGGCGGCGCGGAGCCCGGACGTGAACCCGTCCTCGTGGAAGCCGTATTTGAGCCAGGCGCCGGCGTAGGAGAGCCCGCGCGTGCGCTGGATGGCGGGCACTTCGGATTGGGCGCGGATGGCCTGTGGGGACGGGCGGCGTGAGCGTGTTGGGGCAAGCGGGAAGAAAGGGAGGCGGGGGAGGGGCGCACCTCGAGACTGAGGATGGGATGGTCGTACTGGTAGCGGCCCATTGTGAGCTCGGGCGCGGGGTCGAAGGATGGGTTGAGCGTGACCAGCACGGAGCCGTGTTTCTCTGCCGAGAGGTGCTGCAGCTCGTTCATCCAGTCTACCGGTGATTTTCCGTCAGCTGCGGAGTCGACGGAAACAACAGGAAAAATAAGGTTTACATGTCCTGTCGGAAGTTGGGAAGTAAGTGAGCATGGCAGCGGAGGAGATGCCGTAGGCTGTGAGAGGCTTACAGAGAGACCTGGTTCACGTTGGGAAGGTATCGTCCAGCGGCATCCGTGACTGACTGCGTCAGGTAGTTCCAGCACGACCATGCGAGCCGGGACACCGGCATAAGCTATGAGAAAAGCGAGAACAACATAAGCATGCATGCACATGAGAGCATAAGGAGAAGCAACGAACGCGCTCATCGCAGTGCAAAACCGCCTCGTTCTTGTTCCATCCAAACGCGCCGAGGATGCGCGTCTCTTCCGGAGTCATCCCGCCGCCGGCGTCGAGAATGCCGACGGTGGTGTCCGTATGGCAGGCAAGGATGACATGGTCAAATGTGTAAGTTTCGCCCGACGCTGTCGTAAGCTCGACCTGGTGCGTCTGGCCGGAACCTGCGCCATTGATCGAGATGGGAATCGACTTTGCGGCACGAATGGGCGTGGAGAGATGCAGCTGCGACGCGGGGAGCTTGGACAAGATCTTCTTCACGTATGTCCGGCTGTCGACAGCGTGACGGTGAGCGAATTAAGGGTGGTGGAATAGAGGGCTCTGAGTCATTACCTTCCGCCTCTGAGGGTGAGCCACGAAGGTTTGCCGGTGATCTGTAGGAGGTGGTGATTATACATGAACTGGATCTGCGGGAGCGATAGTTAGCCAGGCCCCACAAACGTTTCTGTGAGCTATTTTACCAAAGTACGCGCGGGAAAGTCTAAAGCACATTTGTCCGGAGGGGTACTCCAAATGGCGGCGGTCATGGGCTGCGGAGAAGAGTGAGCAGGAGCCTTGAACTAAACACGCACGCTCTTGAATAATGCATACAATGAGGTAATTGTCGCGGAAGGAATCAGAGTAACCATGCTGCTCGAGGTAATCAATAATAGAGACTTCTTCCTCTTGCACACCTTCGCGTTCAAGCTCAAGCAAGAGTTTTTGTGCGCTGGCATTGAATCGCAGAACGTCGTAGATCAGGCGCCACATATGCGGGTCTAGAAGACGCGAGGGCTGGCAGAAGACTGTCGCGAGGTTGTTCCCGGCCCATTCAAACGCGCCCATGTCCCGCGAGACCGCGAACGTCATCTCCGTAGGGAGAATACGTTCTGCAAGGTCCGGGTACATGTTCAGGAAGTTGATGAAGTTCGGATATGTGCTCGGGTTAAAGACAATCTATCGCTCCAGGTAAGTTGCCTAAGATGTTTGTTTCGACCAACGTCACTTACGAAACCCCTGAAATGTCATTGGGTTCGTGTGAGCAGAGGTAGTGAAATAAGTATATCATGCGCTTTCACTCACGTGTCGACATCTGTGGATTCTTTTCCTGGACGAGCATAAGTGACCGTATTCGCATGTCCGCCAGGGCGCGAGTCGGCCTCGAACAAGTGAACCTCGTGGTCAGTATGTTCGTTGAGGAGCTAGCACAGCAAAGTGGTAAGTATGGGAGAACTCGCGAACACGTGGCGGAGGTCTTTACCCATGTTGCCCCAAGACCAGAGACGCCAGAACCGACTATTGCTATTTTCATTTTATGTTTGCGTCGCATGCAGTCGAGGGGAAGGTTGAGAGGGAAGAGGTGCTCGGCATTGCATCCATCCTTGACCGCGCGTTGGCATAGAGGCGGGCCCGAAGTGCTGGTTACGCCACCCACGCTGCCTCCCGATCCGGATCCCGACGCCTCGCGGTCGGACGCCACCCCGTCATTCGCCCAACTAGGCTACGCCGCACTCGTATCGTTGTATCCTCCATCCCTCACACAGTACGCCAAGATTGTTATGTCTCTCGCGTGTGGCTGGTTATCGTACAGTCAAGGCACATGTCAGTTGCTAGTAGGTCAGAGTTTCAACACATCTCCGAGTTCTACATACAAGTCCGGCTCCCGAAGCCGCTTCCCGGCCTTCTCCGCATGCGCCCTCTCCTGCGCCCGAATCAGCACAAACCACGAGTATAGCGAATCGATATCCAACCAGCCATAGTCGTTTGTGAGCACGGACAGTTGAGGAAACAATAGAGAGATAACCGATGCCACGCGGGTCTCGTTCCAGAGCAGGGACCCTGACCCGTTGAACTTCCGCAGAGCATGCACCGCAGGCCCCAAGATGGGCAGAGGAGGAGCGGGTGGGTGTTTGGGGCGGAGTCCCGGGTAGGAGAGCGAGAACCAGCTCCAGTTGACCGGGAGCGCGAGTGTCTTGAGGCGAGGGCAGAAACGGGCCAAGTGGAGGAGCCCGGAAGGCGTCGCTCGAGGATAATCATCGTCGTCCTCGGGCGAGCGTTCGTCATCGGGACGGGGTTCTACATTGTAGTTCCATGAAAAGACAAGTTCCACAATGTCCGTACAGCACTCCGATAGGGATTGGAGTAACGGGTCGTCCACAATAGTGGTGCACTGTCCTTTGATGACGAAGCGCTGCAGGGCCCGCAGAGTTGTGAAAAGAGGTGCGATCTCTTCAGACCAATAAATTGCGCCGTCGTTGTGGGGGCCTTTCTCGCCCTGGGGAGTCCCGATGGTGATGATGAGGTCGGAAATGATTTCGGCGGAAGGAAGGAAGCTGATTATAGTACAGAGCTCCTCCAAGAGTTCCGGATCTGGCAGTTCGTGGGGTTCGGAGCGAACGGACAACCTGCGTAGCGACGTGGACGAGAGAACTTGTAGAAACGCCGCGCACCAGTCGAAGCCGATTTCGTAAAGCGCGAGCTGCTTCAGGTTCGCGAAGAAGTCGTCAGACCTTTCGTGGGTCAATGCGTCCCAAGCGTATTCCGCTGCAGAGATATGCAACACCAATGACTCCAGATGGGGTAGGCGGCTGAGTGCAATGAGGGCGTCTGGTGCGACGCGCACAGTGCGCCCCCTGAAGCTTGTAAGGCGATGGAAGAGGCCCAGCTCCGTACCAGACAGAGAACCTCCATGAAACTCAAGCTCGGGGCGTCGCGACGGTACGGCCGCTATGTTGAGATGCTCCAATGTGGCAGAAACTGTACGCGACAGGGCGCGGACCAGCTCCGTGGCATGATCAGGTTCCCGGAAAGGGGTCGTGTATTCGATGTGTGCTTCCTTCAGCTTCGGTCCGAATAACAGGCTGGCAGGGTAGGATGAGATGTCACTGCCGACGATTCTGCCATAATGTGAGCTAGCGACTTCATCATCTCGTTCCCAATGGGAGAAGGACTGCAAGCTGGGGAGCAGAGGCCTGGGCGCGAATCCCGACAGGAAGTCCCACACCATGAACGGGATACGGTAATTGCAGACTAGAACCCGTTTAGGCGAGCTGTCGTAGAACTCGTTCCACAAGAGCTCGTCGGTGAGAGTGTCTCGTGGAATAGGCCGCCGTTCGTGTGTCAACTTCTTGACGCGTCGAGAGTATGTATAGAAGCGCACAAAGTCTTGCTGTACTGGGGCTCGGAGGAACACCTGAATACGCCGGACTTCAACACAGATGCACGCGTGTTCAGAGGGAGCACTCACAAGCTGGGTTCCCATCACGGGGTTATCATCGCTGGATTGTACTGGCCGACGTACGAACGGGACAGCGGTGCATAGGTCCTCGGGCAAAGTGCGCAGTAGCGGGCCCGGCGAGTCCAGTTTGTACCAGAGCGTATCAAAGGCAGGCTCGCTGAGCAAACGGCAGGTAAGAGCCAAAGACTTCAGGTCGTTTTCTGGGCTGGAATGTGCAGTCGCCCGGCCGAGCCAAATGTTCTGGCATATGCACAAGAGAGTTTCCAGAGGTAGGGTGCAGAGAGTGGGCGAATGCGGACCCATAAGAGATGCAAATGTTTGTGGCAGCGAGTCAAGTTGTGGAAGACGCGTCGATCGGTAGCATTATAGTGGCTGTACACCTGATACGAGCAGCGTCGGGATCACGCCAGGAGGAGGAGGAGGAAGATGGGGGAAGAATGTACCAGCTCGAAGCTGAGGACCTGAGTCCCAGCTCGAGGGTGCTTTATTCAGTCGGCGAACAAGACTTCGTACTAATCCTACATAAGTAAAGTAAGTCTCAAAGATAAGATCCTATTGTAATGCAAAACTAGTCACTTAGATCGACATAGTAAGGGGCGTAGGGGCCGTCTGCTGACGCTCTTGGCTCTTGACCTGACCTCGATCGTAACAAATACCCCCCGCTCAAGAATCGTGTCCTCACGATTCCGTATCTGCTTCCACTACTCCAAGCGTCCAATACTGTTGCCTACAATGTCCGCGCCAGCGATTCCATCGTCCTTCCCAATACTCCCAGTGTCTCTCATCCGGATCCAACAGCTGCAATCGGCGAGAACGCGGCGCGATCACGATGGTCGGCATGCGGGGCGCAGTCGGGTTTCGAGCATGGAAGGCGTCGAGCAGTAGCTTGTGAGTCTTAGTTAGACTGCTGCGTTTCTCCCAGGTGTTCTCCGAACGCGGTTTGCCCTTCCACTTGACTAGATACTGCAGGCCTCCTCGCACAACCTTCGAGTCCAAGACGTCCTCGGGTTCCGATAACACGTCTGTCACGTCGGGGGCAGTGGTCTCCATTCGGGGCTGGCTCGGGAAGGTTGGCTGGTGCGCCGGCGACAAGAGAACTTCATTGAACACAGGATGAATGGCTTTCCACTGCTTCGGCAGCTTGAGACGGTACGCTCCTTGGCCCACTTTCTCCTGGATTTGAAAGGGTCCGTAACGTTTGTCCTCCAGCTTCTTATTAGGCCGGTCGCTCGAGATGTGGAACGAGTCAAGAAGCACCCAGTCGCCGACACGATACGGTACTGATTCGCGACGGTGTTTGTCATATTTTCGCTTCATCGTGTCCTTTGCCACCTTCAGCGCTGCTGCAGCCTGCTCCGAAATCCCCTTCATCCGTGCCGCAAACTGCTGTGCCTCTTCTGCCGCTACTGTCTTCTTCGTCTCTACCCCGGTGAACGCTTCACGGCCATGCGTCATGTAGAACGGCGAGAAGCCGGTGGCTGAGTGCTTCCTGTTCCGGTACGCAAACATCGCGAGTGGCAACCAGTCGGACCAGTCGTCCTGACGGTGGTTTACAAAGATGCGCAGGTAATTCTCAATCTCTTGGTTTATGCGTTCTGTCTGACCATCAGTTTGAGGATGATAGGCAGTGCTTGGGTTCCCTTGAACGCCTAGCTTCCGATAGAGATCTCGGATGAACGCAGAGACGAAAATAGACCCTCGATCTGAGTACACACGTCGCGGTAGTCCATGGTTTGCGTACACATGCTTAATGAACAAGTTTGCCCAACCTTCCGAGCTAAGCTGGTCTGTACAGGGGACAGCGATGAAGTCCTTAGACTTCATGTCTACAATGACAAGGATCGCATTATTCCCGTGTGAATCCGGGAGATGAGTGATCATGTCAACTGAGATATATTCCCAGTTGTACTCTGCGATTGGGTTCGGGTTCAGCGGTGCGGCACGGCGTCGATGATCAATTTTAGACTTCTGGCATACGGCACATCCTTTGACGTATGCGCTGATATCTTTGCGCATGGACGGCCACCAGTAAGATCTGAAAATTAATTCTTGTGTCTTTTCTCGACCCGGATGTCCTGCACTGACTGAATCATGATGCGCGGTGATGATGCGTCCCCGCAAACCCTTGTCATTGGGCACGACTAACTTCCCCTTCCTGTAGACAAGACCGTCCTTGGTCTTCTCAAAGTCACCATTACGACCCAGCTCATTGATGACAGATTCTTCCAGACGCTCTCGCAAGGAGAAGCAGTCCTTTCGAATGTTGTCCTCTCCATCAATAGCTATTGGCCGGAACCATTCAGGCTTGAGCAATGTAACATCATCATTCGCACCGTCGCCGATGTCGTGATCAGGTCGGCGTGAAAGTGCGTCCGATTTGCCCATGGTTCTGCCTGGCCGATGCATGAGCGCAAAATCAAAGTCCTGCAAGGTTACTACCCAGCGCGCTTGACGTGGATTAAGGCGTTGAGGCTTCCTGAAGTATTCAAGATTCTTGTGGTCTGTGTGAATCTCGAACTTCTGTTGGGAGCCTTTAAGGAAGTGCCGCCATTCGTCCAGCGCAGTCATAAGGGCTAGCATCTCGCGGTCATAGATCTCATAGTTACGCTCAGCAGGCGAGAGAGACTTTGACAGGAAGGCGATTGTCCGCCATTGTCCATCCTGCTTTTGCGCGAGCTCTGCTCCGAGCGCAAACTTTGAAGCATCGCATTCCACCCTGAAAGGATCGTGATCATTTGGAACTGCGAGTACAGGTGCAGAGGTAATCGCGGTTTTGATCCTATCAAAGGCTTCCTGTTCTACTTCGGACCATTGCCATTCTGCGAGACCAGTCAATCTGTTCAAAGGCGCTGCAATCTTGGAGAGGTCTTTGATGAACCGTCGATAGAAATTTGCGAATCCGAGGAATCCCTGTACGTCCCGTTTGCACTTGGGCGTGGGCCAGCTAGTTACACCAGCGACCTTAGCAGGGTCCATCTTCACAATTCCAGGAGCAATGATATGTCCGAGATACTCGGTCTCCTGTACTTCGAATTCGCATTTTTCTGGTTTCACCGTTAACTTATTTTCTCGCAATATTTGCAACACTTGTCGAACAATCGACCGATGCTCATCCAGGCTCTCCGTGAAGATCAGGATGTCATCAAGGTATACAATAACCTTGCCCTTCAAGATGAGGTCACGAAAGATGTCGTTCATCATCATTTGGAAGGTGGAAGGGCTATTCGACAGACCGAAGAACATGACGAGAGGATCATACGAGCCGCGATTGGTGATGAACGCAGCTTTCTCCTCATCGCCCTCCTTCATGCGAATATTATTGTAACCCCACCGGATATCTAACTTGGTGAAATACTTCGCCCCCTTCAGTCGGTCAAGCAGCTCCGACATCAGAGGTAACGGATACTTATTCTTTTTCGTCATGTCGTTCAACTTCCGATAGTCCTGGACTGGTCGGAGTTTCCCGTCTTTCTTTTTGACGAAGAAGAATGGTGCACCCCATGGAGACTTTGAAGGGCGTATCCGTCCAGTACGAAGATTTTCCTCCAAGAAATTGTCCAGAGCATCCTGCTCTTCCAGTGTCATAGGATAGATCTTCCCGCAATAGGGCTTAGCTCCAGGAAGTAGCTCAATGACGTGGTCATAGGGACGATGCTCAGGAAGAACATTGAAAGTGTCTTCCGAAAATACATCCCCGAAGTCCCGGTATGGCTCCGGGACTATGTCATCGAGCGTGCGCTTTCCTTTCGCCTGATTTTGTTCGATTGCGATGTCCATTGCAACCGAACTCTTAGCCCTTATATGTACTGCATTGATCTTTTCCTGACGAGACTTTAGGTATGATGAGGTGTTAAGCTTAAAGACAAGATCACCCTCGTCTACGACGCGCTGACACGAGGAAGGACAACGGCTGAATTCGACCGTTTTCTTTTGCCAGTCAATTGAGGGATTGTGGTGCTCAATCCACTCATGGCCCAAGAAAAGGTCAGCCTTCCCCAAGTCTGTCACCAAGAACTGAACACGTTCTCGATGATCTCCGATGCGCAGCCATAGGATGACGTAGTGGGTAATCGAGCCGCCCGCATTCGCTGTACCGTCCGCATTGTAAACGGCAATCGGTTGCTCGAATGGGTGCATTGTAAGCCTAGCTCGTCGAACCAAGTCTCTATGAACACAAGAGCCCGTACAGCCAGTGTCCACCAAGCCCACTAAGTCCGTCTTCTCGCCCGTCTCCGGATTCTCAATGGTCAGCGGTATGTCCAACTGGCGCCTAGCGCCGGACCCGCGAACCACCTTGAAATACCGGGGACCCTCCCTTGTGATACTGAATGCATTGGTTTTGGTGTCCGCCGCACTCGGACGAGGTTTTCCGATTTTTTCAGAGTTTTTATTGATATGTATCGTACTAGTACAAGTAGATGAAAGAAAAGAGGAATTAAGCACCGGTTTAGACCGCCGGCCACGCTCGAGATGAGACGCCTCTTCGGTATGAGTCAACGGGGACCGAGTCGAGGTCGCCGTAGTCGATGAGAGAGATGTCGAAGTCGAAGAGAGAGGTGATGAAGTCGAAAGGGAACCGAGACCAGAGATGACAGAGATGCGAGGCGAAGGGGATGAGACATCGTTCGTGGTCGTTATCGTACAGGCACCGAGAGATGGGGAGCGTGTGGGTGCGGTCACGCGCTCCCGAAGTCGAAACCCTGCGCCGTGAAGTCCTCGGGATCTTCGGCGGCGAAGTGGCGGATCGCCTCGAGGAACTCCTCGCGCGCGTCCTCTTCCTCCCACGCACGGCGGATGCGCTGTTGCTGAGGGCTCCGGTTGGGGACGTGCCATGGGGACTGGCAGGGGCCGGCCTCGGACTTCTTCTTGCCGCACTTGATGCAGGCGCGGTCGAGGTCCATAGGTTGGCCGCGTCCTCCGTACGTGGTACCTGTGCCGTCGGTCCGGTCCACGCGCGGCGTCGGGTGCTGCGCAGTGGTCACAGTCGTCGACGAGGTCGGAGGGTGCGAGGTAGAGGAAGGGGGGTGTGAGGTACGAGCTGTCGAGCTCGTTGTTGTCGTAGTGGTAGTGGGCGCATTGCCGCGCAGGACGATCTGTCCCTTGCGCCAGAGGGTGTCGATGTTGGCTATGCGCGCCTTCCACGCGTCATAGTCGGCGGGCTCACTGCCGGACGCGTAGATGGTCTGGATGATGTTCGTGCGAGTGTTGCGTTGTAGGAGGTCGAGAACGTGGAGGTCTGTGGTCTTGAAGCCAGCGAGGTCGACGAGCTCTTCGAAATCTTGAAAGAACTCGTTCGCGGTGCGGTTGCCCATGTAGCAGCGTTCTAACCGCGCTTGTGCGGTCTTCGCGAGGTTGGGGTCGACGAAAATCTTGTCGAGTTCGGTCCAGAAGTTGCCGGTGGTCGCGAAGGTCCAGGTGCCGTCCTGGTGGTGCTTCTTCGAGAAGGCCTGTCTCCAGCGCTCGACGCGTTCTCCGCGGATGAAGGAGACGATGGTAGTGAGGGCTCGATCCTTCTCCATGCTTCCCACGTAGAGCTGAACCTGCTGCTTCCAGGCGTCGTATCGCGCCTTAGTCCCATCGAAGGAGTCGGGCTCCTTGATCTTGGGCTGGGACGTCGGGGCTTGGAAGCGTCGGAAGAGCCTTTCGATCGCCGTGTCGACGTAGGCTTGCGTAGCCGGGTCGAGTGGTGCCGCCATCGCTCTTGCTTGGCGAGGAGCTTCGGGTGAGGGGGTAGGATGGTCGGTTTGGGTGGAAGGAAGGGTGGCGGCGGTGGGAGCAGGGACACGGGAGATGGGTGTGAGGGAAAGGTGCGCGTCGAGGCGACCGAGCTGCGAGGTGACGTCGTCGAGCCGGTGTGGACAGAAGGGGGTGTCACACGGGCGGAAGTCGTCGGAGTCGACGTCGAACCAGTGGTCGTGCTCGAGGTCGGCGTCGCGCGCGTGGAACGCGTTCGCGCAAAGCAGTCCGAGAGGGGGAGAGGGAGTGCTTCGCGAGGAGGGGGGAGAGCTAGAGAGGACGCGCGAGTCGCGCGCGTCGGAGGGGGAGTGGGCTCAGGCGTGAATGACTGAAGAAGTAGGTCGTAGTCGTGGTCCATGTAGCCGTAACCCCAGTCCACCGTCTTGTGCACGGTGCGCCTGCGATCGAGGTATTTAGTCTCGACCCGGACAGGAGACGGGGTGTGTACACGTGAGGAGCTCGCCGAGTGGCACTCGGGGGCTCGAACTCCTCAGAGGTCGTAACGCGCCTGCCTCAAAAGGCTGACTGACGCGTGGGGGGGAGTCTTGTAGGGTAGGCTATCTGGTACGAACGAGAACAATTAGCTAAAATAAACGAAGCGAGCACGATACCGTAGGTGCTAAGGTAGGTCGGGTCTCCGGATAGTCGAGTAGAGGTTGTCGAGGAGGGGTGCCGCAGCGTCGGGAAAGGATCGTCCAACGTCGCGAAAGGTGTCGCCTAGAGCGTGTGAGAGAAGCAGAGAGTCGTCGCGTAGCCGAGGAAAGTCGTCTCAGAGCGCGAGGACGCGAGGAGGAGGAAAGGAGTCGGAGGAATGGAGAGGTCGGGTGATGGTGGTCGAAAGAGGAAGACGGGCGCTAACGCTGTGCACCAGCGGTCGCGTGAGGAATGGAGGCGCCCTCGAGTCCGCTAGATGCCACGGACGAGGGAGAAAGGGGGTAGCTTCGAGCTTATGATACGAGCAGCGTCGGGATCACGCCAGGAGGAGGAGGAGGAAGATGGGGGAAGAATGTACCAGCTCGAAGCTGAGGACCTGAGTCCCAGCTCGAGGGTGCTTTATTCAGTCGGCGAACAAGACTTCGTACTAATCCTACATAAGTAAAGTAAGTCTCAAAGATAAGATCCTATTGTAATGCAAAACTAGTCACTTAGATCGACATAGTAAGGGGCGTAGGGGCCGTCTGCTGACGCTCTTGGCTCTTGACCTGACCTCGATCGTAACAACACCCGTGAGTCGACTTCTGCGAGAGGTTGTATACTGTGTTGTGAACTTTACGTACCAGACACGTTTGTGGGGGGTTCCTGCGAGCATCAGACCATACCAATTAAGGCGTGTGGGGATGATTGAGAACAGACTGGATGGTCAGTGATGCTGGCGGTGACGAAAAAGCAAAAGATATTGACGACAGTGGGATTCGAACCCACGCCCTTTCGGACTAGATTAGACTACCGCCTGATTCTAGCGCCTTAGACCGCTCGGCCATATCGCCTTATGTCAATGGGCTTACCATAAGGATCCATCGTGATGCCGAACGGTCCACGACTTTCGGATGTGTAATATTGTTCCCCCGATGAGCAGAGTTTGAGGCTCTTGCAAGTACTGTCAGGTACTGTCTCATGGACATCCTAGAACGCTAACAATCTCCTGTGTTGCTCACTACTGGTCATCTACCGGCCAAACACTCAGGAACGGGTCTGACGTGGAGAAGTACATGTTTGCGGAACATCTGGTTCACACCGTTGCAACTTGCGTCCCTGCTGAGCCGCTAGTATTTTGGCTGCGACCTGCAGCTCTATATGTCTCGCTCCGTGAAAGCAGCATCGAATGGGTCTACTCAACGCTCAGACCATGCTGAAGGTGACAGGGAGCGACCGAGAAAACGACAGAAGATTTCACCCCGTGAGTCTCGAGCTTAACTAGTACTCCCGGACTGTCACCTAACGCATCCAGAACCTCATTCTGCCTACAGCCCAAGCTTTCAACAGATCATACTGGAAGAAATCGACCTCGAGGTAGCAATACGCCAACGTATAGCTCATACGGTGCAATCGCGCCTCACATGGGCACTGCTACTCCAAGAGTCTCTGGACAGGAACGCTGGATCTCGTGCGTCCTCATCGACTTCGTGCCTCCCCACTCTGCCTCAACTATCAAACAGGTTCAGATGAGTTCCGCACTGCATCTTTGGACGCTCTGGACGCTATCGAGGCTCCCTGCGACCTCCTTTTCAATCGGGACATCAGGCTAGCCCCCCAGCCCCTTCACCGTCCGGCAAGCATTCCCCCTCCCCCCACTCTTCCATCTACGGAACTGTCTTCCCTACCTCTACCCAACCTCCCTTCGCGATCTACACGCACCCGCGGCCCACCCCGCGCTGCACCCGCCCCCCGCGAGCGCCTCCTCTACATCCGCAACACCGCGACCGACCCCCCAGAAGTTGCCAAGCTCGCCTGCCATGTCTGCGCACGCTCCGACTTCTCGAGCTTGCAGGGCCTGCTCAATCACTGCCGCCTGCGGCACCAGATCGAGTACGGCAGCCACGACGAGTGCATGCAGAGCTGCGCGGTGCTCGTGCCGCAGCATGAGCGCGACTGGGTGGTTGCGTGCGGGATTGAGGTGGGCGGGGTGAGTCTGCCGAGCTTGAGACGACTGTTCGAGATTGCCGTCGGTGCGGGCGAGGGCTTGGCCCTACCGACGAGAAGACCATCCCCTGCAGTTGCACCAAAACCTGAAGCGGCGCTGGAGGAACCTTCGGCCTCTACAGAAACAGCGAAAGTGCATGAACAGGCTCCGAAGGAGATTTCACAGTCAAGCGCACACGTTACGAAGACTTTGGGATATCACGCCGATACTCCTGCGCTCGCGCCTTTCCTCGGTCGTGTACCGAAGAAGAGATGCATCAACGTCCGCGCTAACGAAGACGAGGTTGTGGATATCGGAGATACTTCTGGAGGCTCTGGCCTACACGCGCGACATGTCTGGCGCAAGCCATATGCGCACCGGAACATCGCTCGTAAGGAGTTAGATGAAATCGTCCCGCTCAGTACACTGCCCGACAACGTCCCCGCGGAAGACCGGGCACCCGAGAGTAAATCTCGGCCTGAGGAAACGGATGGTAAAGCGAGCTCTGCACTGCAGATGCTCTCTGGAACCCGGTTTCACATCAATGCACGCGTGAAGGTTGCAGACCACAGTCTTTTCCTTCCTCCAAGTACGTCTTGTTGATATTACTGCCATATATTCGTCTAACTGAACATCATAGATCATCGCCCTACGCAACGTGCGGATCACACCCACCGGTGGCGACTCACAGTGACCTCTCCTCCATACGTACGTCTAACCCCATCTGGCCTTGCTTCCTTGCTCAGAGTCTCTGTAGAGTCTCCCAATATCGTCGATCCTGCGCACGTTGACCGTCGCTTGTGCGACCGATCAGCCGCCCGCCACTCTGGTGGAGCCCATCGTCGTGTCCAAGCCGCCATTCATCGTAACGGGTACGGCGGAGAAGCCCTTTCTTGCACGCTTGACGTTTACGTGGGCTGGCACGATGAACCCCCCCACGGAGATCGAGCATTGGGTCGAGGTGCGTTTTATTCCTCCCATGCAACCGCGTTTTATCTAATTGCGCGTGCAATAGCTGGACCCGATGCACTATCTCAATCCTGTAGAGGGCGATGAGCAGATGTTCGATGTCGAGTTGGACCGTAGCACCGAACTTCTCCCCGTTCCCGCTGATGATCAGGAGCCCTCTTTGGAGGACATGCACGACGCGGATACTGCACCCGATGCGCGGGAGGCTGCTCAGGCCGAGGAGGAAGTTGAACTTGGTGAGTGACGTGATTTGTACGCATGTACATCATACTAAGCATCCATCTGTTCAGAATACGCGATAAAGCTGCGCACTCTGGTGCCACAGTTCCCAATGACGCTGAAAGGTACATTTTCGTAGCACATCTGGATGTCATCTCGACTCATCGTGAACCGCTAGACGTGAAAGGCCGCTTCTCCACCCGCCTGCCGTACACATTGGCTAACAGCCCGGCCCAGCTCCAGAGCCTTCATTATGGTCGTCAGAAGTCCATCGAGGTCAGGCACGATTCTATCCTGCAAACGTAAACGCACTCATCACTTCTTTCGCTAGATGGCTCGCGCCCGTGCATTACGAGACGCATATACCCGTCTCAGCGAGCAGAGCCCCGGCACGGATCTCATCCCGCTCACCACCGTGGACGTCTTCCGCTGGCTCGAGGACGAGGGCTTCTATCCGCGCGCCAGTCCCACGGCTTCACTATCAGAATCGCAGAAGCTCGCAAGATCATCACGGCGGCAGCGTGGCGCGGGCGCGGGCGCGCACGACGGCACCGCGTTCTGCCGCACATGCGGCCTGCACCGGACGTACCATCCCAACGTCGCGGACGAAGACACGAAGCCCGTGGACATCAAGCCGGCCATGCTCGGTGCGGCGTTGGAGCGGGGCCTGTGTATGTCGTTCGCAGGCACAGGCGCGGACGCGGAGCCCACGCGCGCCCCCATCTTCGACGTCCATTCCCTGCTCAAATTTGCCCCGACAAGCGCGGAGGAGCCTGCACCATACGGGCTCGGCCGCGCGATCTTCGTGGCGCCCCCGCAATCTGGGGCTCAGGCTGAAACACCGTTAGGCTCGCCCGCCACGGACTTGGTATCGGTCGCGGACCCCGCGCTCGTCGTTGCTATCCAACGCCTCACCAGCCTGCCGCGGCGCCGCCGCAGCGCCCCCGCTCTTGGCCACGATGACGACGTGCCGGTGGTCGCGCCCGCCCTAGGCTCGATAAGCACGATGGCGCGTTCGGCGGCTGCGGCGCACTTGGCGCCGTCGGCCCTCCTCGCGGTCGTGCTCAAGCCGCTCGTGCGGCAGCTGGTCGGCCGCGGAGTCGATACGCTACGGCAGGACGAGGCCGCGTTGCGTGTTGGTACGGGGCGCCACGAGCGCGCGCGGCGCGCCACCACCGCTGTGGTGGAGGGCCCGCGCAGGGTGCTCGCGCCGTCACACGTCCTGCGCGGGGTGGCGGGCGTCGCGCGGACGGGGACGAGCGCGACAGGGGGCGCGTTGCGCGTGTGCCTTGCGCGGCTGGGCGAACGTTGTGCACCACTATCACAGGGAGGGGACCCGATAGACGGGGCGTTTCATATATGGAGCGGGGCGTCTAGTCACCGCTACTTTTGAACAAGACATTGGACACTTCAATTCTTGCCCAAATCCTTATCCATCTGACCAATCGACTCCTTTTCATCAGGGGAACAAAACGGTCAGAGGGATTTCCAAAATTCTCAAAACTGACCGAGTTATTTATTTTTGGGCCCTCCAATTTTGCCAGGGATGGGAACAACCTTCCATATATGGTAATAAGCGCTCGATATGGCATTTAGGCGCTCGATCCGCATAGGTGACTGTACGCAATGGTCCCCGTTGTGCAGTCCAAATAATCTACAGCGCAGCTTTGAAGGTGCAGCAGATTTCATACTCTGCCCAAGAGGTCTTTCTCAGCTCACGATGGACCCTAGGTATTTGGCCGACTAAGTATGTCACCCCCTAGGGGCCCAGTTAGGCGCCGACCCTAGGCTAGGGTTAGCCCTGCTCCCCGCCCGATTTTGCCACTGTGCAAAGTAGGCGCCGACTAAGCGCCCCGCTCCATAGCAGTAGGGACTGACGCGGTGGCGACGCGTGGGGGAGACGCACGGGGGGAGAAGGATAGCGCGACATTAGGTGCGCCGGGCGTTGTTCTGCCGGAGGGTGTGGTCGTGAAGGAGGAGGGTGTGTGAGGGCTCGGATCGCGATCTGGCTGCCATAATGCAATCTCGACCTCATCGCTGTTTCTTGGCTCAGGCTTGGGTGCGTCGTTCGCAGTGTGCGGTGTAGGATGCGTGTGTAGCTGGATGAGAGCTCTGACCGTCTTTCGCCAGCCAGAGAGCGCGAGCGAGCTGGCCGCGAGTGGCCGGGCGCGCGCGGAGATTGAGGGCAATTATGAGGGCAAGATCTGTCATCTGCGATGTTTACCTCCGGAGCCGAAAGCGGACAGGGATCAGCGGGAGTTCGTTCTTCCGTCGATCCCTGGACGGGCGGAGGCTCGGGGCAGCTGCTGCGTGGGCCCTCGGTCTGGGTGGACAACGGCGAGCGAATTTGGTGCACAGGGCCCCATCACGCTGCCCACATGTCGCACGAAGAGCCCGGCGCTCGCGTCTTCCTCCAGCCTTCTTCTCTCCCCCACCCCTCGCGTCCTCGCTGCGCGCAGCCTGAATTCACCCCTCAGACTCCCCGCGGCTCGAGACCCCACTGTCCTTACGCTTTCTTGCCGCGCTCACCCCGTCTCTCGTTCTCTAACCCCGGAATTGGGACAATATGGAGTCTTTCAACAAGGACAACACGTTCGGCGCGGCCTTTGCTGGCTTCGCCGCCTCCAGCATGTACGCGCCGCCCCCGCACGGCTCGCGAACCCTTCCTGACTTTGGCGTGCTCGTGCAGCTGCCTTGGCGTCCTCAGCACACAGGCGTACACATACTTCAAGCGGTACCCGCTCGACAAGCCGTTCTACAAAGCATTGGTACGCGCCGCCAAGCCCGTCGCCTATCCCGCGCGAACGCTCGCTAACCGCTCTCGCTCCGCGACGTGCAGGTCGTCGGTCTCTGGTGCGCTTCGCGAGGCGGTTGTGGACTCCTGTGGGCGCTGACGTCGGGCGAAGGTTGATCGAACTCGCGGATCAAGCCCTCATCTCGCACGCCGTCTACAGCTACCTCGTAACGTGCGTCTGCTCTTGCTCGCCATCATGGCATTGCCTGACCCTGTATGCACAGCAACTGGGGGATTGTCACGATCCTCGTAGCGAAACCTATATGGTCCCTCATCGTGAGTGTTTCTACCGCGTATGTCGGGATAGGCGCTCATGCATTTGCGTAGCTACAAATCACGTTCGGAGTGAGTGAGCTGATCTGAATGTGAGAAGTGTTCGCTCATGCACTGCGGAATTCTCAGGTCGTAACAGGAACCATCGTTAAAATGTGAGTGATCCCCGCGTTGTCTCCCCGGATGACCTTCAATGCTCACGCGACCTATAGCAACTTCGCGCTACGCGTATGGCGCTGTAAGCTGTTGCACCCTACCCTGGAGTCTGCGAAGCCTTCTCACATTTGATCTCTAGTCAGCAACCAGAATGTTCTGGTCACAGGCCTCATCGTAAGCTCGTTTCTTGTGCATCCCATCAGCTCGACATCTGAACTTGTTTGTAGTTCCTGTTGACTTTCGGCGAATTGGGTACGTTCCTTACAACACTGCGCAACTCCACACACGCTGATTGCCTCTCCGGTATTCTAGCTGTTGCATCCAGTGAGTTGCCTCTGCACCGATTTTGATTGATGCACAGTGCCTGATCGTGCCGTACCTCGATGCTTAAAAGTCTACACCGTCAAAGCGTGCGTCATGTCCCTCTCTCGTGGAACCTGCACGTCCCTGACTTCGCATGCAGCTTCCGGTTGGACAGTCTATCACACCTCGCAGATATGAAGATCATCGGCACCTTGTCCCTTGGCATAGGCATGGCCACAGACGTCGTCATCGCCGCCTCGCTTTCCTTCTTCCTCTGGAACCTGCGGACAGGCCACAGGAAGTGCGCGTCATTGACTTTATTCACCTCGCGGTCCGCAGATTTTGACCGCTTGTTGCAGAGATGACTCTGCGGTTAACTCGTTGATTTTCTACGCCGTCAGCACAGGCGGCCTGACGAGGTACGAAGGCACAATATCATGCCGTACGCAGTGCTAACCGGAGGGGAATATAGTGTGATCAGTCTGACTACTCTGATTCTGGTGAGTCTACATAGTGATTGCGGTGAATGCACGCCAATGCTGATGAGCACAGTATAACTTCATGCCCGGCAACTTCATCTTCATGGCGTTCTACTTTGTCCTGAGCAAAGGTAGGCTCCGCGGGGCTACCTCAATGTTGCCAGTCTAACATCTACTCGCCCGTAGTATACGCCAATTCCTTCCTCGCTGCGTGCGTCTTCCGTGACAATCTTTTGCAATCCATGCAGACGCTCACATGTAATTCAGGTTGAACACGCGCAGGATCAGCCGCGGCCGCGGTACAGATGCAGAGACCACCACGATGCCCACCTTCCTCATGGTCGGCAAGGTCACGCAGCGCACCGTCAACTTCGACGCAGACAACCAGTTGGTAAGTCTCTGTCCGACATTTCCACTATATTTCTTGCTGAGTTAGCTGCAGCAATCAAACATGTCACCAACGAAGGTCGACAAGAGTCATCTTACCCACGTACGTCCCTGTTCTCTCGCGCCGTATCTCATGGCCCTCGCTGACACCCCGCACAGAATGCCAGCTACGCAGAAGCATGGTAAAACGCTCGCGCACAAGCTACCCCCTGTACCACTAGATCGTGCGCTCCCCTCCCATCCCATCCCATTCCCCGGTCCCCGTCCCCGCATAGGCCCCGTATAATCGCTGTCAGCCACCCGCCTGTTGTTTCCGGGGGCCTGCGCGTGCGGGGCGTATTCTCGCGGGCGGCCCCCCGCACGGCGCGCGCCCTCTCGTTGTATCTTTACTACCTCTCGCTGTGCGGTGCATGGGCTCTTGATCTCGTTCTTGTTTACATTTACCCCGGCTGTGTCCATACCTGTACTGTCGCTGATATTCGATCTCTGTTTTGGTTCGCTGTTTGCAGGGGGGCTTTCGGATTGCTGGGTATGTGGACTAGGGGACGCGCTTCAAATGGGTTTTATGAAATCCGAAAGCTACACCAGGTCGCCTGAGGCCGACCGTCTCTCTGTATAGCTTCGGGAGTAGGTGCCATATCACATACGACTGCCACGCGCGAGTCAGACGTATCTGGTACGTAACGTTCGATGTCGCCGGCACAGCCCCCAGGGTGCACGACTGCACTCCCGGATCTACTTACATTGATACCATCGTCCTCCCGGTGACCCGTTCCACAGACGTTTGCACCCGGTATGGGTCCCAATTCGCCAACCCTCAGCTCCTTGCCTCCAGAGATTGTCACGCGCATATGCCAGATCCACTTGTTGGACTGGTACAAGTCTCGACAGTCTGATCTACGCTGCGACCTGACAGCCTTGGCTCTCACCTGCCGTTCTCTCACCGATGTTGTCTTTGATACGCTCTGGAGCTCGCTTTCCTCAGTAGCACCACTACTGCGCACCCTGCTCGAGGATTTATGCACCACCGCTCCGTTCATCCATCCGCCCTCGCACGGTAATTATAATGCGCCTGGCATCCAGGGGACACAGCTCGTGAGTGCTCCCCAAGCTCTGAGCACTTTCGTTGAAGCTAAATTGTTGCGCCTCCAGGTGATCCTGCGAGCTCCTGTACGACAAGACTTCGATCGTTTCGTCACATACGCGAGGCATGTCAAGAAGATTGGGCGCGATGTCCCCCAATATGACTTCCTCACCGATGAACTGCGGCCCTCTGGCATGGGTGAATATACTCTGCACTCCTTTCACCGCATCCCTTCCGCGGTGTGGGACTTCCTGTCCGAGTTCGCGCCCAAGCCGCTCCTCCCCAACGTGCAATTTCTCCACCATTGGGAATGGGAAGTGCAATATGGTATCGACTACCGGGAAACCATCTTTCACCCTGCCGACGTTCTTTTCGGGCCTAACTTGAAGGAGGCAGAGATCCACTGCACAAACCCGCACGCGCCTCCCGAGCACCTCACAGACCTGGTTCGCACCCTGTCCGGTTCCGCTACTTCCCTGGAGCATCTCAGAGTAGAGGCCGACTCGCAATTTGCCAGCCGTCCGGACAGCGGCTCTCTCCACGGTCCGGAGTTGCGCTGCTTCCACCAACTCACCAGCTTCGTCGGCAACACCGTGCGGGTTGCGCCAGACGCGCTCTTGGCTCTGGGCCGCCTGCCCCACCTGGAGCTGCTGCTGCTGCACGTTGATTCCGCAGAGTACACCTGGGACGCACTCACCCACGAAAGGTCCCCGGACGTCTTTCCGGCCCTGCAACAGCTTGTCCTGCACAAGATCAGCTTCGACTGGTGTACGGCATTCCTACGCGTGCTCTCGTGCGCGTCGCTCCGGGGGCTCTCCATCCGCTCCGAGCACCACGAACTGCCGCCCCCATTGCTCCTGGAGGAGCTCTGCATCGTGATCAGCGAGCTTCCTTCGGCCCACATCATTACCGGACTCTTCATCACCATCGGCGCCACCCAGTTCCAGTCCGAGCGCTACGACCTGAGCGAAACGTACTGGCCGGGAGACATCGCGCCTCTGTTCACCACCCTGTCCGCCCTGCAACGCCTCGACATCACCGGACAGTGCGTCACTATCATCGACGACCCCACGCTCGACAAGGTATCGCAGAAGTGTCCGGACATCGCAGAGCTCACGCTCGCGTGGGACCCCGAGGTACATCCAGGTTTCGACCACGAACGCTCCCGCGACGACGACGACTTCCCGTACGCGACGCCCTGCGGGCTCCTCCACCTCGCCCGGCGCTGCTCCCGCCTGACGAGACTCGCGCTCGCGGTCAACATGGGCCATCTTCCCCCGCCCTCTCGTACCGCTGGCGCCCGCCGCGGCGGGCTCGCGCATGCGCCACCGCTACATGTCTCGGGGCCGGCGGTCTCGCCGCTGCAGACATTCATCGCAACGGGGTCCCTGGTCGGCGACAAGGCGCGCACGGCGTCGATTCTCTCGCTGCTGTTCCCGCGCCTGGCCGAAATCTCGAACCGCCTCGCGATACAGGGCTGGTGGGACATCAGCCAGAACCACTCGCGGATCGTGCGGGTACGGACGCAGGAGAGGGCGTGTGCGGAGAGGGAGGGGAAGCGGATGAGGGAGCCGGATTTCAATGTCGAACTCGGACAGGTGTTTGGCCTGGGGGAGGAGCCTGTTTATGGATGACCATTCGCGCGTGCCCTGGCATTATTGAGATACACTATCGTCGTATTCCGGCAGTTGTCGGAGATGAAAGGGGGTGTTGGCGCACTGCACACCGGACAACGATATATGAACGAGGTAGCAAGTTCGAAAAACGTGGTGTGAGCGTTAATTCGTGCTAGTGCCGCCCATGGCCGGCCCATGGCCACCGGAGTCCGATCGCAGTGACGAGGTCGACAACCAGCTGGCAACTGCCATGCATTCCACCAGTGGAGCACCTCTGAAGGCCTCAAGCTCAAGAGCCACGCCCTCAAGCGAGCTCTCTTTTGACCTTTGTAAGAGCGTAGTGGAAAGTCAATCCACCGGTACAACTTTCGGAGGGGACTTGCAACAACTGCGTGCACAGATCTCGGTCGGACTCCGTGTCTGAGTCAGCCGTGTGTCTGGTGCGGGTATGTATGATGTTCAATGCACGGCCTGTCGCAGCCGCATTAGATGAATAAACTCACAGAGGTGATACTTCCGTCTCTCGACCCCACCCCCACAAACAATCACACCCAGGTATGGGCCCGAACTCGCCCACTCTCTTCTCTCTGCGTCCGGACACTATCCGTCGCATATGCCAGATCCTTTCGTTTGGCGATGATGGGGGTGGACGATCCACTGCGCGCCGTGATCTAACCTCTTTGGCTCTTACTTGCCATTTCCTCAGCGAGCCCGCTTTGGATACGCTCTGGCACACGCTCGACACGCTCGCTCCATTGCTGTGCACGCTGCCCCAGGATCTATGCACTACTGCCCCGTTCGTTTATTTAGCAACGAGCGGTCGTGAGTCTTTTACAAGGACTAAACTAGTGAGTGCTTCCTATGTTCTGAACCCTAGGCCTCTCGTTGTCGAACACTGAATTCTGGCTCCTCCAGGTGTTCCTGCGCGACCCGGTACAGGGAGACTTCGAGCGCTTCCTCACGTACTCCAAGCGTGTCAAGAAACTCGGGCGTGAACGTTTTCCGCGGGACCTCCTAACCGACGACCTATTGTCCTCCGCTGGCGCAGATAAAATGATGTTGGTCTCCTACCATCGTATCCCGCACGCGGTGTGGAAGGCCTTGTCCGCATTCGCACCCAAGCCACTCCTCCCCAACCTGCGGTCCCTATACCACTGGGAGCGCGGCGCGCAGCCTGGCGCCACTTACTATCCCACCGACTTCCACCCCGCCGACTTGCTCTTTGCGCCCGAGCTGAGGGAGGCGGACCTCTTCTTCAGAAGCCCGTACGGCGAATTCGGCCACGCCACGGACGTGGTGCGCACTCTGGCCGGTGTGGCGCCCGCCTTGGAGCGTCTCAACGTCGAGGTCAACTCCCAGCTCCCCTGCTCCTGGGACGCCGGCTCTCTCCGTTGTACGGAGTTGTGCCTCTTCACGCGGCTTACGAGCTTTACCGGGCGCACCGTGTGCATCTCTCCAGACGCACTCATGGTGCTAGGCAGTCTCCCCTGCCTGGAGTCGCTGCTGGTGCACATCTACGCAAAGGACTACTCCTGGGACACGCTGCCCCACGAAAGACGCGCCGACTTCTTCCCAGCCCTCCAAGAGCTCGTGCTGCACAAGATCGGCTTCGAGTGGTGCGCGTCGTTCCTGCGCGTGCTCGCCTCTTCGTCGCTGCGCGCGCTGTCCCTCCGATGCGAGCACCACGAACTCCCGCCTCCGCTGCTCCTGGAGGACCTCTGTACCGCGATCAGCGAACACCCCTCGTGCGGCGCCATCACCGACCTCCTCCTCATCATCGGGTATACGGAGTTCCAGCCCGGGCACGAGGACTTGGGCCTGAGCTCGACGTATTGGGACGGCCAGTACTCCGAGAGCGAACGGTATCGGTCTGCGAACATCGCCCCTCTGTTCACGGCTCTGTTCGCCTTGCGGCGCCTCGTCATCAAAGGGGCGTGCATCACCATCATCGACGACGCGATGCTTGACACCATAGCACAGCGCTGCCCGGACATCGTCGAGCTCGTCCTTGGGTGGGACCCTGACGTAGAGCTGCGCCCCGAGGACGAGCGCTCGCCCGAAGACGACGACTTCCCGCTGGTGACGCCCTCCGCGCTCCTCCGCCTCGCACGCCGCTGCCCGCGCCTGCACACCCTCGCACTCGCCGCCAACATGGGCTGGCACCCGCCCTCCGACAGCGGGCTCCCTCCCGCGCCCCCGCTGCACCTCCTGGGGCCTGCGGCGCCGCAGCTGCGCAAGTTCGATGTGACGGGGTCCCTGTTCTGCGACGGGGTGTGCGCGGCCTCGGTGCTCTCTTTGCTGTTCCCGCGGCTTTCTGTGCTCTCGGGCCGGTTTGCGGACGAGGAGGACGGGTTGGCTGTGCCTGAGCTGTACTCGCATTCAGCGCGGATACGGGCGCAGGAGAGGGCGTGTGCGGCGCGGGCGGGAAAGCGGCTGAGGGAGCCGGACTTGAGTGTAGGGCTTGAACGGGTGTGTGGGGTCGTGGCAGCACCTCCCTACGAGGTTCCTTGATCAGAGGGTGTATGAGTTTGTCGGGATACGCCGCTGGTATTGGCATGTATGTGCATAATTGCGGCTCTTGAACGCTTGGGCGAGCATTACGATTTTGGTTTGTGGTTATCGTTGTCGTACATCCAGTGATATACGAGCATTAATTGCTGGTATTACAGGCATTTTGTGGTCTAAGGGGGTATTTACCCTGATGTATTGAGTACTAGTATGGCTTTACATCCACGCCTATAGTAACGCGAGCTTGTAAGTCAATATATATTATATCCCGAGCGACGCGTTGAGGCGCGTCGTTACCGATGGCACGTGACCGCGTTTCGCTAGCCGCCGCGCGTCCTTCCGCAAGCGTCTCTTTCTTCTCGACCACCATGTGCATGCGATGTACGTTCTCGTCTGCAGCTCTTTGAGCTTAACCAAATTTTGCCAGTGTACAGGGATACAGCTAGAAGCTTGCTTCGCCCTCTGCCGTCACTAGCATGCGTCAGTACCTCCGCCTGGACTTCGACTAGCGCACGACACCCGTCGCTTCTCCTCAGTACGCGACGCGCGTCGCCCGCGAAGGACTCGTGTCGACGTATCGCGCTAGATTTGTGTCCAAAGCTTCGGCCGGCTCCCTCTAAATTTCACTGCCATAGACATCAAACTGTGATATCATCCTGATTTATCTGGCGCGTATCACCACACGCTTTCAAAGATATGAAGTGATCGTATTTTCCTTCACATTTTGGATATGACGCTCGTGTATCTCGCAGACGACTCAACTTAAGCGAGCCTCTCCACCACTCGCAGCCGCCAGCATCATATCATAACACGACAAAAGAATGTATTTCACGTCCAACAAGAGTGAGTCGGTAGCGTATCGGAGAATCCGTGCAAACTGTCCCGACCCAAGACTAAGTACCTCAGCAGTGCTATAATAGCGTCGTCGTAATGCTATACGTCCGTCGCAGCAGCAGAAGCAGGAACAAAGGGAGCACAGCTACGCTCTTACAAGTTGTGCCCGGGGATGATGACGTCGGCGATGTCGGTGGGGAGGCTGGGGAGCGCGGACGAGGCGGAGCTGCTGGCGGCGGCGGCGGTCGAGTTCGTGATGGTGAACTTCGGGGAGGTGTTGCCCGAGTCGCCGAAGACTGTTGAATACGAGGTGAGCATGGTGAATGAGGTGATGGGGATGGTGTACGTACGGACGACGACGTAGTCGCTGCGCTGGGGCACAGCGGGGACTGACACCTCGATGGTACCGGCGGTGATAGGGAAGCCCGACGCAAGAGCGTTCGCTGCACATCATCGCGATATCAGAAAACTGCCATATCATTATGGATGCTCCACGTACCAGTGTCGAGGTGCTCGTTGCCAGTCGCGTCGCCCTCCTCGACGTAGCCGAGAAGGATGAGCCCAGTCTGGTTGCGCGCCTCCGCTGGGATAGCGGAGGTGTCCCAGGTGATCGTCTGCGTCGACCCCGCGGGCCACACGTCGCCCGCAGTGGGCGCGGTGACCTGCGGGCGGAACACGATGTCGACCTTGCCGCCTGAGAAGGTGGCGGGCGCGGCAGAGACCGCGGAGGCGGCGACGGCGAGGGCCGCGAAGAGAGTAGTGAGCTTAGTGGAGAACATGGCGAGCGGGTGGTATCGTAAGCGTGCGACGGCGAAAGGACAGGACAGGTAAGGGAGTCGGACGGGGCGTGAATGGGGACAGTGCAACGGGGTGCGATGGGGGGGAGTGCGCTGCCTCCTCGGCGGGGGGTTCATATACCTCCCTCGGCTACCCGCGAGAAGCCCTTCTAGCGCCGATTCGTGGGGTGAGGCGCGGACATGGGTGCGCGGCAGGCGGCGGGCGGCGAATGTTGTATCTGTTTACCAAGGATCGTCGGCTACCGGGTGCGAATTTCATGCTGCCCGACGCGGCTTTTAGACGAGATGACGCGGGCTTCCCTGCATCCTGCGCGTAAGTTCGGGCAATCTGGGATGTAGAATGAACCGCACGCACTCACGTGTTTCCCATGATTGGCCACTTGCCTCCCTTGTAGGTATCGCTGCACCGCCGACGTCCATGTGCGGCGGGAGGCGGCAGACGGGCTCTGTGGCGGATCTGCGCGGCTTGAGTGCGTCGGGTGACGTGCGTTCGTGCGCAAGGGAGGCGGGCGATGTGGATCTCGGATGCGTTGAGCTCGGATAGAGCGGTGGCGGTGCCAAATGGGCACGAGTGAGACCACTTTGACGACAGGACCCCCGTCGCGACGAGCAACCCCGGGGGACGTGAAACGTTGCAAAAAACGGACATCAGGGCTTCTGAGATGCGGAACAGCGTGATGTATACAGTGCAAGACATTGGATTGCGCATAACGAGAGGAGCATACGGAACATATCGAGGGCGAGCGAGCGCGCTACTATTCTACAAAGTTTAAGAGTCTTGGGGTGCTTGTAACTATGGAACTATGGACAAGTGATGTGGTATGTGACATGAGTGAGTGGGTAGATGCAGTGCGAGTAGAGTAGAGTGGACGGGTCTTACAGTCAGGCCTATGTATGCAGAACAAAAACACCGGGAGACCGCGACAAGAAACGGGGGACAAAAACATACTACTCCCGAACCGAAGGCGAAGGGAGATGCAATCGCTGCGCGCGTGGAGCATCATAGATCGCTCCCATGCGCGGAGAAAGAAGAGAACTCGGACGCTGAGCGCGCGCGGAGGTTCAGTGGGGTCAGCCGCGACGGCTGCTCCGACTCGCTGCCCAGCCGCGCCATCTTGCGCACGACGCGCTGGCTGGACGGGCTGTTCGACATGTTCGAGTCGTCGCTCGGCGGGTCCGAGTTGAAGTCGACGTGCTGAACGCGGCGGATGGCCGGTGAGACAAGGCGGTGGGGTGTCACTTGTCCTATGGCCAGATGGGGCTCATCATCGGAGGGCGGGAGCTCGCATAGCTTGCTAGGTGAGGCAAGCATGATAGAGTCGTCTGTTGGGCATGAAAATATCAGCGACGGTTGCGCAGGTTATTCCCGTTTTGAGACACTCACCACTGCCAAAGAGCTGGGCGTCCTGCAGAGACCGGGACGGAGAGGACATCGGCTCCGACGCCGCCTCCTCACGCAGCTGATGTGCGCGTCCCATACGCCGTTTCTTGGGGGTGTACGGGAGCCTCTGGAACTCGGCCTCCTTGCCCAGAAGCTTCGTCGCCGAACGCGTGCGGCGCAACGCGGGAGACTTCGGCTCGCTCGCGGGGGTGCCGCTGTCAAGTGACAGAGATGTACCACGTAAATCGGCGCTGAAGCGACGCTTCGCCCGCAGCACTTCGGCCACCGAAGGGACGACGACCGCATCCAGGAACGAGCCCTTGCGCTTGCGCGAGCCCGAAGCTACAGGTTGGATGATCTCCTCGGAGTCGGATGCTGAGGACGAAGACTCGTCCTCCTCGAAGACGGGCTTGTCGTCGGTAGAAGCAGATGGCGCAGGCCGTTCTGACGTCGACTCCCTGGGGACGTTGGAAGCGTCGTGCATGACCATTTGGACCTGGACAGCGTTCGAAAACGCTGGTGGAGGCGCAAGTAGCGAAGCATCGAGTCTGCCCTTCTTGTACACCTTCTCCGCGAGATCCGCGTCTTCGAACTCGTCCCCGCGAGGCCGCTTTCCTAGAATCGACTCCAGCAGCAAAGGCGAACGCATGGCAAGACGTTCTGTGACCGTCGCGATACGCAGGGAGGGAGACATGTTCTCTTTGTTCCGGCTGGCCTGTGAGCGAGCCGAACCCGTACCGTCTGCTTTCGCTGGCGAACGCTTGGGAGTGGTCGGGGCGCGGATTGGAGAGGAGGCGGGAGAAGCATTGACGAACATCGCATCTTCGATAGACCTGACGGACCGCAAGGAGGCGTGGGGCCGCTGTGTACGAGGGCTCGACTTCGGAGTGGAAGGTGCCAGCGGCAGGGAGGGCTCGGGGGATGAGAAGCGGGGGAACACAGCAGGCCTGAGCAATGGAGCTGCAGAGAGGCGGGACAGGGTTCCAGGCGAAGGCAACTCGACAGATCCTTCGTCGTCGCTATCAAAGGATTTCTCCGAATCTTCACCAGTAGCGACTTCCTGCTGTGCGGTAGGCTCATAGCATGGGCTGGCACAATCTTCGTCGAGAGCAGTGAGGTTCTCGACGCTGGCTTCGTCCTCCTGCTCTCGTGCGACCGCCTCCAAGCACCGTACGATCTGCTCGGGCCACCCGGATGAGGGTTCCGGCATGGACGCGAACGTCTCCTGCCAGAAGTCCGAGAATGCCTCGACAACGCCGGCATGCTTGTCTTGCCGGCCGCGGAACGGTGCCTCCAGGATGGGCGCGAGAGCTTCCAGGTGGTATGCGTTCTTCTCCAACGCTTGGAAGCTCACGAGCACTGTCTGGTACAATGGCAGGATCTGCGCGGGAAGTTAGTAGGGCGAAGTACGCAGTGATATGTCGGGTACGTACATCTGACGAGTACTCGTCCGCCGTGCAGACATCGAAGTCGTCCGCGATCCAAGTGCACAGGCCTTCCAAGAGCAGCTGGAGGGCCGAGAAGCACAGCTCGTGTGGGCAAGCGTCGATAACGCGCGTGAGAGAGCGAATGAGCCACATGCACATGACCTTGTGCCGCGGGGCAGGCGGGTACGCCGCATGGAGGGTGTCGCTGGTGAAGTCAAGCAGCTCGCTCGGGACCTCACGAGCCTCGGCGACCTCGAAGTTGGACAGCAACAGGTCGGCGACACGCACGGAGGACGCCTCCCCGGGGGCCTGGCCGGCGGCGATGGCGCCTGCGATGTGGTCGATGAGCGCCGGAGCGTCGACGCCGCAGTCGAGGGCAGCGTCGATGGAACGCTTGAGGAACGCCTCCCAAGCGATGAGGTCCTCGCTTGCGAGCTCCCAGCCGCTCGTCTCGATGAAGGGGACACTGAGAAGGACGATCGCCGCCTCCCAGCTCTTGCTGTCCTCCCACCGGTCCACGAAGACTTGCCACACAGCGGCGCGGACGTCGACACACCACTCCGAGTTCCGGTGACCGTTGCTGGGCTTCCCGAGGGTGTTGGCCCAGAACGCCTGGAGAACGCTGATATCGCATGCAAGAGTGGCGTCGGCGCAGATAGAGGCCCACTGTTCGCGCACTTCGTCCGAACATTGCACGTCGCCGACAAGAAGCGCTTCGTTGGTGTTGAGGAACTTCGCAATCGATTCTGCGAGGCTCGCGAAGACGTCATCAGGGAAGACCGCGTGCGCGATCGTGAACAGGTCTCGGACGAGGAAGAGCTTGACGGCGTAGTTCCATCGCGACTCCGGCAGAGGTTTCTTAGCGGCCTTGTTCTTCGTCCGAGTGCTGGTCGGCTTGATGGGCGATGTGGGAACGTGCTCGCCGAAGTCCTCCTTGCTGAGCGTAAAGTCGAAGGAGTCATCCTCCAGGACCTCGACCAAGACATCTCGCGTTCGCGCAGCGAGTTCCACCAGACCTTGGTGGTCATCGGCATCTGTCATCACGTCAACCTAAATGCTGCACAACTATGGTTTGGAAGAAGACATACCAAGGAGAGGGCCGGCATGACTCTTGAGGAGGTTGAACCAGATTTCCCTGATCTCGGTCTGCGGAGAGATCGTTAGCCCGGACGTCAACAACAAGAATGAATTCTCGACGTACCGGAATCTCCTCACTGCCCCACTGCAACCGCAAGACGGCCAGGCCATCTTTCCAGACAGCCAGGAACTCGTCCCACATCCCGTCCATCCCGATCTCCTCATAGGTAAGCATGCGGATGTCCGAAATCTGCGGACATTGCTCCAGCAAGCCTTTCACAACCGTGCTCAGAACCTTCCACTCCGTAGTCAGGAGGCCCGGGTTGGTCGAGAAAAGTCCCGGTGCGAGCAGTTTGTGGTGATCCCACTCCGGCTCCAGGTGCTGCTGACGCGACGCGACGACCCCGAGCAGGTGCCGCGCGATGTCCATCGCGTCCTTGCATGTGTGGCCGCCCTTCTTGCTCATGGCGCGTAGAATCCGCAAAGCCCCTCGCACATGAATCTCCTCGGTGATCTCCTGCCCAAGCAGGGCTCCGACAGAGCCGACACCGGCGCCCATATCCACTACCCCGGCGAAGTACTTGAAGCTGGCACGTAACGCGTCGTCGTGCTTTCGGCGCTCTTCCATCAAGTCGTCCTCGGTCGCGGAGTCCTCGGCCTCGTCGTCGGTGTCCGTCGTGATGGTCAACTTCACGTGAGGGGGCCTGAAATACGCCCAAGTCATAGCCCGCCACGCGAGGCATCCCAGCCCCCGCACCGAACTTTTCGGATGACGCATCCCAAGCGAGAACAACGCCATGACGACGCGTGTCAGTTCCCCATGAAGATAGACAGTCGGTCCGAGCAAGACAATGAGGTGTGCAAGGACGGTGAAAGCCCACACTGGACCTTGAGCGGCGTGTTTCGGTTCCAGCCCTTGCAGTGTGGTGCGGAGGGTGCGAACCAGCAGCGAATCCTTCGACGGACTTGCGAGTGCCCCCCGTTTGGCTGGAGACATGGGTCCACTAACGTCGACTTGCTTGACTAGCCGCGCGGCCACGGCGGTAGAGATGCGGGTATGTACCTCGCTTGGGGGAAGGGAGGCGACAGCGAGCGCAAAGCCACCCAAAGCATGGCATGCTTGAGTGCGGATAGGTAACGTTGGTGCAAGGAGGTTCGATAATATCGCCGGCAGCAAGGGTGCGAATGTGGGGACGAAGATGGCCGGTTGGTACAGCGAGAGGTCGTGGACGGCCTGACACAGATCAAAGTAAGCGCATATATTCAGTGCTCTCGCTCTGCACGTACCTTAAGACCGTCACCAATCGAACCCTTCTTGCCCTCCTTCCCAAGTTCACCTTCAATGCCACGACGGAGAGCGTATGCGATCCGGTCCTTAGCTGGTTCAAGGACTTCTGCGGGAAGTCGTTGCGCCTGGATGAGCCAGATGGCTAAAGAACAGGTTTTGCGAGCGTTTGGAGTAGGAAGCTCGTTTGCCAGAGGAATTGCGAGGACTTGAGTTAGAATATATCCGAGTTCGTCATCTGTAGTTCCAGACAAACAAGGACGCGTCCGGTGCAAGATAATTCGTGAGCTATTGGTTGGGAAGCGAGCGCCCGTCACGTACCGGTGAACAATTGGTAGAGCGCTGGTACGGTGGAGACCAGAATGAGCAACTTTAGCACTGCTTGGCAAACCCCACACAGGTCGCGGGCACGCTTGACTTGCTCCTCAGACATGCCGTGCTTCTTCTTCGGGCTGTCTCTGGGAGAGGGTAGCGTGCTGGGTTCGCCCCGTGGCGATTCGATCGAGTCTGTCGAAGATGCGGCTTCTTCCACGGGGTCGACGAATACGTGACGGATGTCCCGTACCATTGCTTCCACGAATAGGTCGCGTTGCTTCCTGAGGGGTTGGAAAAGTGGCCAAGACGCGTCTGCATCCGTGTTTTCCGTGACGCATGCTCTTAGACGCGCTGTTAAAACGAAGTAGGCCTCAATCAAGTCGCGTAACGACGCGTCCGGGGCAAGGATTCGCGATACTGGGCCGTCCAAATAGTGTAGGTCGGTGAGAGGATCTGATGGCTCGGGGGTTCCTTCCTTCGCGTTTTCGTCCGCTCGGAGCGTAGTGGGATAGACTGGCTTCTTCAGGATCGACCTGGATGGACCCGCCCTCGACACGGTAGATCGGGCAGATAGTGTGCGGGGTGGACTGGATGTTATAGGGTGGTACTCGGCGGTCTCACACCAGGAGACGCGTGAAAAGCGGGGAGCCCGATTCTCCTTCTCTTCCCGGTGGGACGTGCCGGGGGGTGTAGGGAGGCTCATTGTCGCGTAGTTTTCGAGAGTTGGTCGCGTGCGGCCCGCGGGGAGAGATGCGGACGGTCGACGGCGACGACGACGAGGGATGGGAGAGACGAGAGGACAGGTGCCGGGCGTGGCTTGACGTACTGCCAAGCGCTCGCTCGCGCTTAATGAGTTGTTTAGACTTATTGACGCGTTTTTGTTGACGCGTCAGTCACGTGGGTCGTGTATGTGTGTCGACGCGTCGCGTCGGACTCGGTCGTCACCGTTCTCCTACGCTGGTGTGGCAGGCGCCCGGCATCTTCATCTTAGACTCCACCTCCTACCTCTTCTCTCCCTCCTCCGAACTTCTCCTAAGCTTGCTCCCACTGCACTTGTTATCGTGGCACCCTTCTTCTCTGCTGCTAAACATTCGTCAGTACCGAACTGCTAGTTGGTAGTCATGTCTGCAGCTGCGTTCCAGCAGCTTCCCCCGCACATCTGGGAGTACGTATGCCGTGAGCTTATTGGGCCGGAGGACGATATATGGAATACTCGTGAAAACCGCATAGGTTGTGGCACACTCGCTGCCCTCGCGAGGACGTGTAAGTCGCTTCATGGTCCCTCGTTGAATGTGCTGTGGCACACCATCCCCGATATCTTCGTCTTCTTCTACGCCCTGCCCCGCACTTGTTATCGGAGGGAACAGATCTATGACGGGCATTTCCACGAGGGGCACGAATACTTCGTAAGTTCCTTCATTGTACGTTCCCTCACGCTCACTCACTCTCCCGTGTCTCCAGAGCTTCAAAGAACCGGTACAACGCCTGGATCTTATCCGCTTCTTTGCCAATGCCCACCGCGTCCGAGCTGTGAAGGCGTATGTGTGGCACATTCCTTATGAGGTGTCCCGATATCAAGCCGCGCCGTCCGCATATGATTTCTTGTCCGAAGTCCTGCAGTCTCAACCGCTTCTGCCCAATGTACAGGTCGTCCAGCACTATGCGCTTGACTCAGAAGACTATCCCGAAATCTTGCGGTCCCTCCATATCCTCTTCGGCCCGCAGCTACATACCTTGCACATCCTGGGTCGCGCACTCGGACGGTTTCCTCCCCTCCCGGACAACCTACCTCTCCTCGACAAAGTCGACTCGGAGGACATGATCGCCAGCTTGTTCTCCAAGGTCAAAGACCTCTCTCCAGGACTTCGCGAGCTCAATGTACTTTTGGACCCATCTAGCCGTGTCATTGTTGCGGCCGTGTCGTCCATGATTTGCGGCTTGAGTCACCTCACTACCGTCGAGCTCTCGCCCGAACACTTTCCGATCACCCCACTAATGTTTGTCCACCTCGCACTTCTGCCTAATCTCCGTGTTCTCCGCTGCAGCTCTAACGACATGTTCTGGAAAGAGCATGACTTCGGACCCCTCCCCTACGCCCTACCCGGTCGCACCTTCCCCATGTTGCAGGTACTCAGGCTCACGGCACCCACTTTGCACTTGCCCGCTCAATTCCTGCGGTTCGTCATGTCGCCCACCTTCGCCGAATTCACAGTCACTGCGACCGCCAAAGTTCCGCGGCGCGAAATCCGGCCACTGTTCTCCGCCCTCGCCGCGCTTCCTTCGCGCGATACATTCCGTACGCTCTCCGTCAATGTCGAGAAGGTGGTGCGCAGCGACGAGCGCACAGACATCGCTCCCTCGCCGATCTGCAACAAGACGCTTTTCCCGCTCTGGGGCTTGCGCAATCTCCGCGATCTGTGTCTCGATATACACTGCCCATTCGACGTTGACGACGCCTTGCTGTGCAAGAGGAGCAGGTCCTGGTATTACATCACGCGCCTCTACCTGAACACCAGCGCCCCTTGGGGCGTTTACGGATGGGATGCGCCTGTCGAGGATCCTTCGGACAGTGTCAACACCTCCACCACACCGGCGGTCAATACCAGCGACGAGGCCGAGATGGGGGTAAACGGGGACGACGGACACCTCGGACACGCGAACGAAGACGGAGAGGCTGTCGAAGAAGACGCGGATGGAGCTGATGACACCCGCACGGGTCCCATGCCCGCAGGCTGGCGTAAACCGCGCGCGACGCTCCCCGGACTGGTACGCTTCATCGCCGACTGCCGCTACCTCGACAGCCTCGGCGTCGAAGTGAACGCAGACACCTCCTTCATCGTCGTGAGCCCACGCGCGCGCCGCCCTTGGCTCGGCCGCAAACCTTACCCCACTCTCAGCTGCCTCGCGCTGGGGCTGTCCCCCATCGACGACCCGTATGCCGTGGCGGCCTACCTGTCGCATGCGCTCCGCGACATCAAGGAGGTGGAGAGCTCTTGGCTGTCGCTCGAGCCGGATGTGCCTGAACACATCCAGCCGATCGAACGGGAGTGGTGGTCGTGGGCGCGCAAGCAGCGTGTCCGCTGGGAGATGGTCCCGGCCGTTCTCCCGTCCTTTGCGGGGATTCGCGTGCAGGAACACCGATGGAGGATACGTCGGATGAAGTTGGCGTGGTATGCGCGTTTGGCACAAGCTGGAGAGCTAATGTCGTAAATCTTAGGCGACTTCCGGGACGATGTAGGGAGACCCGACATTACGATCGGTAAAGCTGGGCCGCTTCTCATGTACTGAGTACTCGCAATTCCCTTCCAAAGCGTGTTCATGAATCATGATGACCACCTTGTACCAAGCCTACGGATACACACCATAATCAATGTCATATAGGACAATCTTGCAATCCAACAGAGTTGCGTCTTTCTGGCCGACGTTGACACGACGCGATCCCGCGCCTGTGTCACCTCATACATCGCCAGTCCGTCTCCCACATTCCCCTCTTTCACTCTCTACCCTCTCCTTCACTACTCCTCGCGCTTTCATCTGCGGGCCATCCGTTACAAGGCCAGACCTAGACATCGTTGAGAGATCGTAAAGGTCTCCGGCGACGTCACTTGGGCGCCTCCTCAAGCTGGTCTGCGCCACGCTGAATATGTGACGCTCGTGGCGCAAAGCTTGAGACGCACTCGAGACAGGCTCCAACCAGCCGCTTGCTTCGAGGTAAGGGGCGAATTCAAGTAGCGTAGACATATTTATTCCGACATAACTAGACCAGCGCTTACTACATACAAAAACATCACGTGCACACTCTCCCAACCTTAATTCCCCTTACCTCTCAGCAGTAGTGCTGGAAAATTACTATTACTTACGCCAGAGAGCGAGTAAGTAATGATACAAAGGAATACGATTACTTGCGAGGCCCGTAACCTAATGAAAGCGTAATGTAATCATATTGTAATGGTAAGGTAGTCATATGAAATGGTATCTATTGGTGTATAGAAATATGTTCGAGGTAGTTCACGTCGTCTCCGAAACCTCTCTTGAGCCACTCCTTCGTGATGACCGTCTTCGAGGCAGAATCCGCGCTGAGAGAAGAACGAGAGTCGGACAAAGTGTGTCGACAAGAGGAGAATAGGCGCTCGACCGCGATGCTGACACCAGGGATTGCAAGGACGTCGCGCGCAATGCGCGACAAGATCGGGAAGTCGGCCGTATGTTCCTGGGGATATACGTAGGTTCGTGAGCATGGTGAAGGATAGCAGGAAGTGCGCGGCGCGGACAGACCTTCCACCACTCGAGAGCGCCGTGCTCCTTTTTGCAAGGGTATGTGTCTCGGAAATAGGCGTCGAGCTCGGACAAAGACTCGAGGGCGGGATCGCCACTGTCCCCGGCCATATCCCCGCGCCCCGCTGCTACTGAGGCCCCAAACGCCGACTGATACTGCTCGTCAGGCGTTGGCTTGGGATGCTTAGAGTGCGCCGACTCTGTGGCGGCCTTCTCTGTATATTCCTTGAAGAGCTCCTCGAGCAGCCGACGCGCACGCACCGGGACAATCGGGTCCCATAGGTCGCGGTTTTCGAAGTATTTGATCCGTGTAAGCGGGTGAAGAACTAGTATAGAGCGTAATTAGTACAGTGCATCCATTGATTTTGAAGAATGAGGGAATACTAGTAGAGCTCACCGGCACCGATCAGGACATACTTGGACTGCAAGGCGATGTCCGTGTATGTCTCGAGCTTCTCGAGCGCCTTCTCACAGCCCATACGAAGCCGCGCCTCTTCGGGGCGGCGGAACTTCTGCTTGTAGGACTTGAGCTTCGTCTCGATATGCTTGTACAACGGCAGTGTCATCGGGATCGTCGGGACACCGCCCTTCGAGAGGAGATGGGTCACCTCGTTGAGCACCTTCAAGCAGAAGAACAGTCAGTAATCAGCACGGTATGGGTGCGCAATGAAAAGAGGTATACTGATAGTGTGTCCCGGACGGCGATAAGATGCTCCCAGTCTTGCGGGGAGAGATATAACCGTTTTTTCTTACGGGTAGCAGCCGCTTTCTTCTGGCCTGTGAGGCCCTTCTCCATCTGTTCAATCCATGCATTGATAGCCTATATATGCGCCGTCGTTTAGGGGCAGACTCCTTGACACATCGATACAAATAATCAACTCACCGGTCGGAGCAGTAATGCTCGCTCGATCTCAGCGTATGTTGTGTTCCATCGCACAGGCATGCTTCGGACGGGCACCAAATGCCGCACCGACTCATCGCAGAGCTGGCGAATGAGGCGGCGCATGCGTGCGCGGCGCACTTCAGAGCGTAGGATGTCGACCACGATTGTGTGGAGCTGTGAGAGCAGGTATCAGCCTGAGCTTGCGCGCTGACACGGCACGGCAAGAAAGCAAACCTTATCCACAACCGTGAGGATCTTGCCAGGCTTCTTCGGAGGCTTCTTCGACGCAGTAGTGCCTGCATTACCACCCGGGGCGGCTCCAAGCCCAAGAGGGTCGTCTTCTTCGTCATCTGAGGCACCTGAGGCATCGTCGTCGTCGTCGTCGTCCGTCGCATCGGAATCCATATCGCCAGACGGGTCCTCTTCGGCGGTCACGGAGACACGCCCCTCCTTCTCCGCACGCAGCTCCTCGAGTGCAATCTTGCTGTGCTGCTGAAAGTCCTCGTCCTGCTCTGGCTCATAAGCGAGAGGGTACTGTCGAGTGCTGAGGTAGAGGTCTTCTTCATCTGGATTGGGTGCGAGTCCGAGGCCGCACATGAAGCTTCTGTCAAAGTCGAAGAGAAGCCAAGATAGTGTTAGCTCGATCGGTAGGCGTTCAGAATGGAAATCACTTGTGAACGTACTGTGATACCAGGTTTATTACGTGCCCTGCACAGCCAATCTGTATGTCTTCAGCGATCAGGAAGACATCTGTCTTACGGGCGATGCGTCGCGTTAGGGACCGGTTCATGGTGCCGTTACTCTTTGCATTGTCTGCTGAGCTTGCGGCTGTTTACGTTGTCAACAAAGCAATCAGTAAGCGTATGAGTGGAGAATACATGCATGGTGACTACTCACCAAGCTTCTCAAGCACAGTTGGACGTGCTTTGAGGTCGTTGTAAATGAGCTTCGCCGCACGAGCACCAGAATGATCGCCATCTAGTGTGAGTAAATTAAGGGGAATCTCTACGAGACTCCAGGTGTCGTCGATGAAGAATACGACAAGACCGGCAAAACCTATGACGGAGTTTTTGCTGGTCCATAGATCACTCCCGATGGCGATCATGGACAGATTCATCTGCGTAAAGACAGCATTGAGTTAGTATCAATCATGTATGAACTTGCCAAATTAAATATCAAACCTGTAGCCTGTCGTTGATTTTCTGGTTGATCTCATAGTGCAGGACGTCAAGATCGCGCCGGACAGCCTTTCGATCAGGGACCTTGTATCCCTTCGGGAGTATGTACGTGAAGCAGCGCGACATGCCGCGCCGCTCCCCAAAGGTATATGGGAGATCATCCTCGATGACGCCCTTGACGAAGTGCTCCCGAAAGCCCTTCTTCGTAACCTCCTTCTCAGGGTTCTCGACAGCGCGGTGCTGGAACTCCTTCATCATCGCGACCTGGCCCACCCGTCCGCCCATACGTTCTGCAGTTACGCCGCCCGGCACCGTGATGGTGTCCCCGTTCGATGTTCCGGGCTTGCCTTGCTTACGGGCCTCCCATTCCTCGAAAGTGGATTCCGGTGGGACACGCTTGCAGGCGCTCAGGTGAGAGATGAAGTTGCTCGGTGGCGGGCGAGGCAACTTCTCCTTTGAGTAGTCCTTGCAGCCTTTCGTACGTGGCGAGGTACGGAATGTGCTTTGCAATAACATATCAGCGTGCTGGAAAATGGGAGAGACGGGGAAGCGGACGCACTCGCAAAAATTGCACGTCCATTTCCAGATTGACTCGCTGGTCCCCGGCTTCATCACCGGAGTCGGCACGTAGTGAGCAAACGCCCACTCGCTCTTTTTTGGCTGGCGGCCACGTTTGTGGTGCACGGGCCCGGGGTCGGTAGTCTCACCCTCGGATTGGGCTTCGGAATCGCTGTTGCTGGTGACCTAGCAATGCGGACGCCACTGCATTGTTAGTATATGTCATTTGTAGCACATGCTTTGTGCGCACCTTCTTGCGCTGTCGCTTGGTAGAAGGTTTGTTCCCGGAGTCTGTCTCCTGATAGCGTGCATAAGCCGGAGAAGCAATGCTTCATTTCATAGTTAAATGCGAAGCTTACCTTCTTCTTGCGCTTCGTCGGCGCCGGATGCTGCTGTACAGCGTCGCTCTTGTCAGCCTGTGGCTGCTTGGGACCTGGGATAAGAGTGAGTCGGCCTTTGAGACCCCGACATGAGTCCTAAGTAGATAATGCACGTACGGGCTCCGGCTTTGCTTGACGAGACCGTCGCAGACACCGGCCCCTGCTCTCGACCGTTTCCTCCCGTATGGCTGCCGCTTGCGTGGACAGAGGCCACTGCATGCAGCTGGGCGACGAGGTCGACACCCATGACCTTATGACTGCTGAGAATCCTATGCAAATCGAACACGGTGTTACCAGTGCGCTGAGTAGGCTCGTATTATGGTACTCACACTTGTACAACAAGCTTGTTAAGCCAGTCAATCCGCTCAGCCAGCAAAAGCAGGCCGTTATGGGCTTCCATAGAAGGAAGACCCGCAAAGGAAGAGAGGCTCTTGTAGAGAAAGGGCAGCCCATACTGGCCGCGAGAGATGAGACGAGATTGCTCGCTCTCCGGGACTTGGAAAGTACGGACCCACGCCCGGTCGAGCGTATAGTATGGGCCCTCTTCGGGGTTGATGTCGAGGTCGCTGAAGTTGCGAGCAATCGGACCATCAGCGGCTCCCTCTGGCACAGTGGGGGGGAGTGTATCGATGAGATGCTGGAGATCGGATAGGCCGGCTTGTACGCGCGCCTTCTGGTCGCTGACAGATGGCGTGTGGGAAGCCTGAGGTGCGTGGGCCATGGCCGACGCAGTTGGCCAGCGCTCAGTTGGGCGGTGACCAAGGATGGAAGTTGAGAAGACCAGCTGGCAGCGGCCTCGCCGGGGTTGCTATCGCCCTGGGGCCTCCGAAAGTCTCCGAAAATGACCACACCAGCAGTCCGGTCCAGATCCGACACCCACGCCAGCCAATAAGGCTGAGAGTTGGCTCCATTTCCAGGGGCTGATGTCGTCCCAGAGCGTGCGTGACGGTACCACTACATATGATTACTTACGAGGATCATAACGTATTATAATCGTATTCTATTGTACTGTAATGCTTCATAGGGGAAGTGATTATGCTTACGCCCGACGGTGTAAGTAATTGGTAACAGGATTACTTCTCAGATTATAATACATTATAATCGTATTCTTGGCCAGCACTACTCAGCAGCGGCTGGCTTCAAACACGAACAAACAACGGGGCTCGGTGGTCGAGCGCCCGCATTCGACCCCATTTGGAGTGCCATCAACCGGGGGCGCTTCCGAATTCTCGTATTTCTCGTTCTCGCGTGCCATCGCGCATCGTCGCGCGTCGCATTCTCGTACTTCGTGAATGGCAGAGGATTGGCCAAAGATATGGATAGCATTATCATGCACTGTACGCCGGAGACAAATCCTGTATGGAGCAGGGTTTTGCACACAGCACCAATTAATAGTGCTGACACTCATCCACCCTGCATGTATGGTGCACCAAATGCCATCTCGCGACAGCTGCAAACCGTCGCGTCGCCGTTGAGAAAGTTGGCATAAGCTACATAAATGGCCCCGTGCGACGCCGTTGAAGCGCAGTCTCAAAGTAATCCCTTAACAAGTGCGCATTCGCGTGAGTAACTGAGACAGACGATGTCGGTGATGGCGCGCACGACATTTGCGGTTCGCGCACCCCATACTTTGCCACCATGGGTTATATACCCATACAGATAGCTTTCTTGATATTTTTGTGGTCGTGAAACCCGTCGAAAAAGCTCAATCCTTAGTTAGAAGCATAAGAGGCCTCGTAGCACTGAGGGGCTGTTTCGACAGTCTGAAGAGGCGCAGCTCTAGCGCGAACTTCATATACACTTTTAACTCGTATTTAAACCAGCGCGCGGGTGTTTTACAAGTACATCATGCAAGCGGAATGGCTGCGCGACGCGCGAGGCCACTGCGCGGTTGATGTGCGCGACGCGCGACGATGCGCGATGGCACGCGAGAACGAGAAATACGAGAATTCGGAAGCGCCCCCGGTTGATGGCACTCCAAATGGGGTCGAATGCGGGCGCTCGACCACCGAGCCCCGTTGTTTGTTCGTGTTTGAAGCCAGCCGCTGCTGAGAGGTAAGGGGAATTAAGGTTGGGAGAGTGTGCACGTGATGTTTTTGTATGTAGTAAGCGCTGGTCTAGTTATGTCGGAATAAATATGTCTACGCTACTTGAATTCGCCCCTTACCTCGAAGCAAGCGGCTGGTTGGAGCCTGCACTCGAGAGAGCGATCGTTCCAATGCACTCGAACGACCTCACCCAAGCATCCCTTTTGAAGTTATGTCATGGCTCCCTACCATGACGCCACATTATAAAGTCCCGCAGCCTGCGCTACTGCAAGCCCCGAGTAGTACACGCGCGCTGCGCAACATCATCGGCCCCTCCATACAGCTCCCCGGAAGCACTCGGGATCCCGTCATATGGCATGTCATCGCCGCTCTGCGGCGAAACTACAGGTCGCTGTCGCACGTCAAGCAATTGCACGGATAGCGCTATTCCCGTCGCTATTTCCATCCCGCAGTCGCCTCACTTCCGCTGCGATGAAGAACTCAAAGCGAGGTGCCGAGGTGCTTTACAGGACCGTGTCTTGAGCGTCCCCGAGTACAGGTACGAGCTTGTTCGGCGCGCACTCAGAGCTTCGGGGGCGCTCCGCTTATCGAACCGCAGTTGTAGTATTCACCGGGGCGCGGTCCTCATCTGACGGTGCTATATGTGCGGCTATCGGGGCCCGGGCCTCCATCGACGCCGGGACATGGTCATAGGCTGCCGCCTCGCGCTTCCAACAATCATGATAGCATGTCGTGCTGTATTCGTACGTATCCAAGTCGTTTGCAGAAACAGCCGTGGGGATATCGAGGTTCGTATCGGTTCATATCATATTCCTGGCCTTCCTTGGATATTATCATTGATTGTATGTTGGGACAGGAGGAACGTTCGCATGCGCTCGCAGCGAGAGACTGTTGATGAAGATACGGGCGTATATGCCTCGAACGTTACGGTTCACCGCCCCCGGTATTTCTGCTCTGCCTGGCTCTTCTGTCAGGCACGTGGGTTCACTAGTGAGGCCACCATCAGGTGCGGAATACGTACCTACCGCGCGTACACTCATAGAAGTTAAGCATTTTCACTTGCAGGCGAATCATGTGTTGAAGCATGGATAACGATGTCATCAGGTGTACAATACCAGGACTACACACTCCATCCAGAGGTGGTCCATACAATATAGAGCATAAACCAAAGGAGCCGCGCTCTCCGGAGCTTGTGCACGACCGGTACGTCATAGCATTCTCTACAGCGTGTGCGTGGGGAGCGATGTTGATGGTGCGCCATAATCTAGCAGCACATCTCGCACGGGCAGCCTGCGCAACAGTATGTTAGCATCCCGCATCGCAAGACTATCACCGAGAAGGACGTACAGATGATGTCCGCGCAGCACTCGCAGCAGTCCTGGAAGGCGGTGTTAAGGCGGTAGGCAGGCATCGGGCCGCGAGTAGACTCACTTTGCAGCACTCTGTAGAAATACGAACGTCAGTGGAATTGTCTCGGACCGAAGCGCAGCAGACGTACCGAAGCAGAGGAAGCACTCGATCAGGCCCAAGAAGCAGTCCTAACGACGACGGGGTGAGAAGCCGGCAACGGCAACAGGAGTATTGAAAGCTTACCCGCCCAGCTCCTCCACCACGCAGGCGGGCGGCGAGGCCGCGCTTGTTCTGGCACTCTTCCGAGTGCTGGGTGCTCTGGCGAGCGGGGGGGTTCATGGCGGCTGCAAGAGCAAGATACCCGGTTAATCGTCGTCCTCGTCAGGAACAACTGTTACGCACTCATCTGGACGGCCTGGGGCTGGGACACGGTGGTCATCGCGGGCTTGGGGGCTTCCATTTCGTGAGGAGAGGCGCGGGGGAAAATACGGGAGTGTTGGGGAGGGCGAGGGGGTAAAGGGGTGCGGGATGGAGGAGGATGGGAGGGATGGGGAGGGATGGGGAGGTATTTATACAGCGGCTAAGGGGCGTGGTCTGCGCCCGCCAGCTTCAATCAATACATGCCGTGAGGTCATAGGCGCAGTTCTATTAATATCTTCCCCTGTGTGCGTGCGCTCGGATCGTGAACGGCTTGGAACGATGTACGACATGGCGATATGGCCGAGCGGTCTAAGGCGCTAGAATCAGGCGATTGTCTAATCTAGTCCGAAAGGGCGTGGGTTCGAATCCCACTGTCGTCATGCGTTTTGCTACTTTTTGGATCGCTAGGGAACACACATTTCTCGGAATGTCCTGGTCTAAGGCTGTAGTAGTGTCGGGCTTGAGGTAAGTTGGAACGAGCGGAGAGCTCACCTAAAACCCGATATATGTGGATATGTACGTGATCCAGTAGAGGAAAGATGGGATTGGCCGCCGTACATTTGGACTACATACTAGACCAGCCCGGTACAAGAGGGCGCCGTGATGCTGTTCTACCTAGACACCGGTGTATAGATGCGTACGCACGGAGACTTCTAGTCGGAGTGATATTCAGCTGTTGTGGATCCGCCGGAAGGAATAGCTCACTTGTCTATGGTTTGGTTGCCATCCAAAGAATTCCAGGAATGATGTAGAGCAGGCCATATCGATATCGTACATGGAGGTGTGGTCGAGGAAATTACGGAAACAAGCAACGAAAATTTAATAGTTACAAGTAGTCCATTCGAAGCCTACCGGCGGCACGCGTGACCTTCAGCGGATGCTTAGGCCTCCGCCCCACCTTTCTCCCCCACTTGCGCTCCTGCTTCCGTATCTGCACAAAGCGCGGCAGGTACGCCCATTCCACCTCCGCCCAGCGATCTGCATGCACAGCGTCGGCTCGTATCTGCTGCCGTTCGTCTTCGTCTCCGGGTCCCTGAAAGTAGAGCAGGTCTTCCAGAGGCGAGAAGCCATGCGTGATCTCACGCAGCTTCGGGAACAGGTCCGACAGGAACGCCGCGATCGCGAGGGGATCCTCGATGGGCGACCGCCCGACCTCGAGCTTGACCAGCTTCCGCTGTCGCATCCCGAGCCCCGGGCGCATGTCGGTGAAGTATGTCGGGAGGTGGTGCGGGTTCGTGTCGAGCGCGAGTCCGAGCGAACACAGCTTCGGGCAGTTCTGCGCGAACGCGACGAGTCCGGCAAGCGTGGAGAGCGGCTTTGGCGGGTCTTTGAGTTTATGGGGCACAAGGGAGAGCTGGCGGAGGTGCGGCCAGGCGGTGGCTATGGCGAGCAGCGCGTAATCGTCGATAGCATAATGCTCGAAGCCGCCCACAGTCACCGATGTGAGCTCGGGAAGCGCAAGGAGCGGCTCGATCGCGTTGAACGTGAAAACGTCGCCTGGCTTTTGAAACTCCATAGGGACGCCGACCTTCACCTCCCGTATGTGTGAATGCCCTGTTCGGCTTGCTATGGTAGTGAAGATGTCCTTGACTTCTTGCGCGCGGATCAGGCCCTCATCTACCTCGACGGTGACGCAGGCCAGGGAGGGAGAGGAGACTGCCTGGAGCATAACGGTGGGAAGCGCGAGGCTGGACGGGTGCACAAGAATGATATCGCGTAGCGTTGGAAAGTAGCCCTTGTCCTCCGCGTGCTCGAAAATGGCTAGGAATTGATCTTCACTGTTGAGCTGCATCCGGCATTCGAGGACCTGTAAGGAGGCAAGCTTGGCGAGGTGGAAAAAGGCCTCGGGGCTGATAGGGATGCTTCCGGTATGCACGTCCTCGAGGGAATTGAAGCTGCACAGCATGCGCGAAACAGACACCGCGAGGGGGAAATGCCAGATCGTTTGTTCAATATTGATGGATAGCAGTCCCGGGCAGGCCTCCGCCAATTTCACCAGAGTAACATCGCAGGCATCTTGTGGGGCACGGTCGGTAGCGATCAAGAAGTCCAACAGCTTGGGGCCGTAGAGGACGTCAGCGGAGCAGAGGAACATCTCTTGCCCGGCCGTATCGCCGTTGTCGGGGGGTTCCAAGCAGAGGGTGGAAAGGTTAGGCAACATGATCTCTCCGGGCATTTCCCGGAACGCGTCTGCCAACGCTTTGAGGACGGAGGGCCGAGGCTGGTGATTTTGTGCTCGCTTCGGGATGTAGTCGATGTCCATCGGCCGCATGAGACGTTTAACGCGCCAGGCATAGTGCTTGAGGCGGATGAAGTCGGCTGATACAAGTGGTCGAATGATTGACTGCGACACAAAGGGTTAGGTAGGTGGTGAATACAGGCGTGAGTGGCGTACAAGTTCTGTGATGGGGGTTACATCCGGCTGCTTGAGTGATTTAACTTCTGCAATCCAAGCATCTCTGGGGAGTGTATAGAGGAGCATGCTGTATCCGGGTAGAGTGTGCCATATGGCGTTGAGCGCATGCTCGTGAAAGAATCGGGATGTCGTTGCTAGCGCGAGGAGGGTGGCGAACCCTTGGATCCCTTTGTGAGCCGACACGAGTTTATGCTGCAGCAGGAATTCACAAATCATTTCTAGCGCATCTCGAGGCAGTCTGTGTAAGGCAGACATTCCGATGAAGAGGTGCAGATACAGCGAGTGGTGGTACCGTGATGGAGAGCCAGAATAAAGGTCTCGTGTTTGCAGTGCAGGCCTGCACGTTCTTTAGCGCTGGCACCTCTGAGCCACCGAAACTCGCTGACGGACATACCGGATCCCTTCATGCGGCATGCGATAGGGACTGTGTGTTACATGTTAGTGCGCTGTCATTATGATTAGCTTAACTAGAGCGGACAAAGGGCTTCACAATGTTCAACGGAGGCAATGGCTTCAGCCCCACCTTCTTGGCCCACTTCCGCTCCTGTTTTCGTATCTGCACGAACCGCGGCAAGTACTCCCAGTCCACCTCCCCCCAGCGGCTCCGGTGCACCGCGTCCGCGAGTATGCGTTCGCGCTCATCCTCGGTCCCCTCGAAGTCTTCCCAAGCGTCCTCCTCGAACGCGAAGTCGTTCTCGATGTTGCACAGCTTCGGGAACAGGTCCGACAGGAAGGCGGCGACCGCGACGGGGTCCTCGATGGGGGACCGCCCGACCTTGAGCATGATTAGCCGGCGCTGCTCCATCCCGAGCCCTGGGCGGAACGTGTGGAAGATCTCCGAGATCCGTCGTGTGTCCGTGTTGAGCCCGAGCCCGAGCGAGCGCAGGTCCGGGCAGTTCTGCGCGAACGCGACGAGCCCTGTGAGCGTCGCGAGCGCCTTGGGGGCGTCGGCGAGCGTTTCGGGCCCGAGCTCAAGCCGACGTATGCGGGGCCAGGAGGCGGCCATCGCGAGCAGCGCGAGGTCGTCGATGGCGTAGCGGTGGAAACCCTTCACGATGACCGAGGTCAGCTTGGAGAGGGCGAGGAGCGGCTCTATCGTGTCGAACGTGACGGGGTCGTCGGGCCCATGTATGATGACTTCGACCTCCACCGAACGCAGGCGCGATTTTCCTTTGCGGCTCGCTATATGGGTGAAGATATCCTTGACTGCCTGCGAAGAGACGCGACCCTCGTGCACCGTGACGCTAATAGAGTTCAGATGGGAAGAGGACACGGCCTGAAGCATGACGGTGGGAAGTACGAAGCTGGACTGGTGTGAGAGGGATAGCTCGCGCAGGCGCGGAAAGTAGCCCTTCTCCTCCGCGTTCTCGAATATGGCCAAGAATTGTTCCTCGTTTTCAAGTGCTATCTGGCAGACCAATGACTGTAATGAGGCCAGCTGGGCGAGGTGTAGAAAGGCTTCGGGGCTAATGGGCATGCTTCCGGTGCGCACGTCTTCTAGACGGTTGAGGCTGCATATTGTGCGGCAGGCGGATAGTGTGTGGCGGGTGTACCAGGGCGTGAAGATGTTGAAAGAGACTAATCCCGGGGATATCTCAGCCAACTTGTCGAGGGAAGCTTCGTAAGCGTCTCGTGGTGCGCGATTGGTGGTACCCAGGAAGTCACGCAGCTTCGGACCATAGAGCACGTCGACGGAGCGGTAGAAGACCTCCTGCTCTGCTGTGTCGATCTTGTCAAGTGATTCCAAGCGAAGTGTGAGCAGATTGAGCAACATTGTACCCCCCGGCATCTGTCTGAACACATCGCCCAAGGCTTTGAGGACGCAAGGAAGAGCTTGGTGGTTCCGCGCTCGTTTTGGGAAGTAGGGACAGTCCATCGACCGCATTATATGCCTCACACGCCAGGCATAGTGCTTGAGACGGGTGAGGTCGGCTTCCACGAGAGGACGAACGATAGACTGCAGGAGATTTGTGGGTGTGTGCTGAATGCATCCAGGAGATGGCGTACCAGTTCCGTGATGGGGCCCGACCATGCGCGGTCGAGCCGTGTGACCTTCGCCGTCCATGCATCCCTCGGAAGCGTGTAGACGAGCAGGCTGTAGCCTGGCAGGGTGTTCCATACGGTGTTGAATGCGTGCTCGTGAAAGAGGCGAGACGTAGATGCCAGCGCGAGAAGGGTCGCCAGGCCTGTGTATGTATAGCCGTAGTCCTCCGCACGATCAGGAGGTAGCAGGAAGTCGCATATTATGATCAGAGCCTCTTGAGGCAGTTTCTGCAGAGCAGACATGTTGATAGGTACACAGAGAGAGAAGGTGGAAGCAGAAACAGAAACACGAAATGTCGAGGGAGGCCGGTCGACAACGCGGTGTGCATGAATTAGCGCCCGCCGTTCCGGCGGTCCTTCGAGGTCGACTTGCTCTCTTTCTCGTGGTGATTTTGTGCACTACATCCACAGCACACATCTTTCATCCTTCCTCCTCTCGTCCCGAAAAGAGATGAGTTGCAGGAACCTGGAAACTCGAGTCGCGCCACTACGGTACTCCTGGCCCATGTGATCACATGATCGGCGCGAAGCCGACCTGCAGCGCCTGCGCGAGCATCTACGGCTGCGAGCCCGTCGCTTCAGGTCGCTTCACCCACGACCGACCTTCGAAGACGTCTCTTTCTCCTCCTTTGGACCGTCATCATCCCCACGACCGACGAGCGATTGCGCCAAGCGGACGAACAGCCAACCCGCATCATTGCCACACCGGCCGTGACATCCCCTTCGAGCCTCTGCAGCGCGGCGCCCTAACATTGCTTACGGAGAACCGACTTCTTTTCTGCTCGTTGCCCGATATTGACTCAGCAGCGGTCCATGGATCAATATGTCGTCGGTCAATCCTCGTGTCTCAGGCCTCTGGTCTACCTCTTCCCGCATGAGCTACGTTTCAGTCCCCGACTCCTACGATGAGGACAGCGAGGACGGTGACATCGAGGCGGCCTTTGGGTCCGCGGATGATCTCGATGGGAGGACACCCCTGGATCGGACGATTGACCGTATCGGCATGGGTGAGTCGTTCTCGCCTCTGACCCCATATTCATGTTGTAACGAGAGGGCATCCGCCGGTCAGGGAGCTACCAGTGGACGCTCCTATGTCTATGCGGCTTCGGTGAGTGATCATGCTCCCAGTATCATCTGCGATGCTTATCTATTTTTAGGGTGGATGGCCGACAATGTATGTAGGCAAAGCTCCACAGAACGGTATATTTGACCTATCACGCAGATGTGGATACAAGCAATGGCCATCATCCTTCCAAGAGTACAGCAGCACTTTGCTAGTGAGTGAAAACGGCACGCAAACGAAATTTCGTCTAACGTTCGGGTCCAGTACGTGACACTTACGTTGGCACGCTGTCCTCGTCTATGTTTGCCGGCATGATGTTCGGTGCAGTAGGCTGGGGAACATGTGAGTACACCCGAAAACCCGCTGTACGTTAGCCTGACAGCATGTCTACGCAGGCTCCGACCTCATGGGTCGCACCACTGCATTCAACGCGACGCTGTTTTTGACGGCGGTATTTGGTATATTCTCCTCGTTTGCAGGCACGTTTGCGTGGCTTTGCGTCGCCTTGTTCTTGCTGGGAAGCTCTGTTGGAGTATGCACTTCTGCTTTCTTTGTCGTTCTCGGGGCTTACCGCTTGCGCAGGGTTCCATGCCAACCGACGGCACGCTCCTGCTCGAGCATATGCCGAACGGCAAGCAGTATCTCGTCACTGCACTGTCTGTATTCTTTTCATTCGGCGCCGTACTGTCTGCGGTCATCGCTCTGCTCGTCATCCCGAAGAATTCGTGTCCTCCGGCTCCCGCACCATGCGACGTAGAATCTCAAAATATGGGCTGGAAGTACCTCCTAATTGCCTTGGGGCTGATCGTGCGTATACACCGCGATATGTCACAACAGGCGTGTCGTAGCTTACAGAAGGTTTTCGCAGACGCTGTCGATGTTCATCGCCCGCATAGTCTTTTTCAGATTACACGAATCTCCCCGGTTCCTCGTGCATGCGGGGCGTCCAGAAGAGGCGATGGAATCGCTCCAGCTGATTTCTCGCTTCAACGGAGAGGAGCTGGACCTCGGCCTCGAAGATATCGAAGATGTCGAGCTGCCTCCCACCGCGACTACCGCAGGACTTGCTAACGACGCGCCAAAATCAGACGACAGTTCTACGACGGCGACCCTCATCAGCCATACCGTCGAACGCAGCGAAGACGCCCTCCGCGACCCTGCCGCAGCGACGTCACACTACAACACGATGTCCGAGCCCGACGTCGCGCTCGACGCGCACAGCTTCGGCACTCCCCTGCCGCCTCCCACTGCTCGCAGACTCTCCGCGGCGAGCTTCGACCCGAGCCACCTATCCTCGTCCGGTCCACCTCCCCTCACGCCCTCTAGCACGGCGCAGCTCCTCCCGCGCGTGCCATCTGCTCCCGAACTGTCCGCACAGGGCAGCGAACTCCCCCCGCCGCGCCCTCGTCCGCTTTCGAGCTTGACTCAGGGCAGTCGGCGCATGAGCAGGCGTTTGTCGACTGCCTCTTCGTACGTCGAGAGCAAATCCGGGGGCATATGCAAGGCGCTGCCGCGGTGGGTGCGGCGCCCGCTGCTGGCGTGGATCGACCGCATCGCGATGGTGCTCTCCCCGGAGTGGATACGAACGACGCTGTTGGTCTGGGCGGCGTGGTGGGCGATGTCGTTAGGTAAGTTTGGATCTTTGTACGCGGTGTCGGTGAGATGGCAGGTGCTGATGATGGGCCTAGCGTACACGATGTTCAACGTGTTCCTCCCGAAGCTGCTCGAGACACGTTCGACCTCGACCGACACCGATGGTGCGCCGAAAACGCTGGAAGACAGCCTGTGGGACGTTGTCATATACTCGCTGGGCGGATGTCCCGGTGCGATTGTCAGTCACTTTCTCATGTTTCAAGTCCGAGCTCCACGATCTGAGGCGTCCTTGTAGCTCGGCGCGTGGTTGATAGACTCGCGGCTTGGTCGGCGGTGGTCGCTCGCGGGGAGCACCTTCGTGACTGCGTTCTTCTGTTGGGTGTTCATTGTGGTCGAGCACCCGTGGGCTGTGCGCGCGAGCACTGTCGGTATCAGCTTGAGCGCAACGGTAAGCATACCCTCTAGGCGAGCGTACAGACCTATCGTACTGACGAAGCTGATAGGCAATGTGGGCCGTATTGTATGGGTGGACTCCCGAGATATTCGGGACCAAAGGTACGTGTTCTCGTCTGCCGTCGCCGTCGTCCAGAGGTTCTAACATGTTACGTGCGTAGTGCGTGGGACGGCCTGTGGGATCGCCTCGGCGCTCTCCCGAATGTGAGTCGCCCGGCCTCTCGCCTGGCCGGTTGAATTTTACTGACGGCGCCACCTCGTACCAGAGGTGGAATGATCGCTCCTATGCTCGGCGGGACGCTGCTCACGATCGACCACTCCTTCCCCGTCTACGCGAGCATCGGCATCTTCATCTTGGGAGGCCTGTGCGTGATCATGTTGAAGGAGCGCGAGGGTGCCCGGGGCGGGCAACGGATATTGGCGCACTGATACGTGTGTATGCTTCATCGGTGTGTGCGTGTAAAATGTAGAACAGTTTCGGCTTACGGAGCATTCCTGTGCTAGAGATAGCAGCTAGATCTTGTGCGATATACTCGACTTATCAGTACCCCGAGTGCGCAACGACGACAACCAAATGTTCATCTGCGCATTTCAGCAAGTCCCACCACACCTGCTCGAGCTGCTTTGTCGTCGCCCATGGGGCCTTATGTTGGAGACCACATATTCCTTCATCTTGGCATAAACAAGGCACGTCGTATTTTAAAGGTTAGATCGCCGACGTTGTGGATTAATGAGAGCAGATAGCGTCTCTCGTACGCCGCGGAGCGTTAGCCTACGGGACGCGATCACATGATTCTTTGTCCTTTGCCAGCTGAGGTGCCTTATATTATACGCCGCGTCTGCCAGTGGCACGTTTCTCTCTTGCCTTCCTCCCCCGCGACGTCGGTCAAGCTGCGGCTCGAAGATGTCTCAAACTGCTCTCCAGCGCTTGCCCCTGAGCGTCAGGGAGGACATATGCCGCCAGCTTATCGAACCCGGCAAAAACATCCACTATATAGATCTACGAATCGGTTGCGGCACACTCGCTGCCCTTGCAAGGACGTGTAAGCTGTTTCATGACCCCTCTCTCAATGTCCTATGGCATTCCATCCCCGATATATACGTTCTCTTTTACTCCCTCCCGAGCACTTGCTACCAGATACAAGTGATCAACGACGACCGTCCACAAGTTGTAAGCTTGATCTCGACCATCCCCCGTTCTTGCCGCGCCTGCTGAGCTACTCTACGTTGTTTCTAGCATTTCCGGGAACCGGTGCGGCAGTTGGATCTTACCCGCTTCCTCGCCAATGCTCAGCGCGTTCAAGCCATCAAGAATTCTTTGTGCCACCTCCCCGAGAAAACGGTACGGTGCAAAGCCTCACCATCCGTGTACGAGGCTTTGGCGAGCATCTTGCAGTCCCGACCGCTACTCCCCAATATACGGGTCGTCGAGCATCACACGTTCGATTCGATCTACTCCCACAGGCTCCTTCGGTCCATCCACGTCCTATTTGGCCCGCGGCTACTTACCTTGGATCTCGCAGCCCGCGCGCGTGGACGCTGCTCTCCTAACCCTGATCGGCCAGGGTTCCTGGACAAAGTCGACTGGGAGGACGACATCGCGTGCATGCTTTCCAAGGTCGAACGCCTTGCACCTGGGCTCCGAAATCTAGACCTGTTCATAGACCCGTCGAGCTGTGTCATTGCGGCGGCAGTGTCGTCCGTGATATGTGGGTTGAACCACCTCACCAGTGTCCGGCTACGCTCGGATCGCTTCCCGCTCACCCCAGCTGCATTTGCCCACCTCGCTTCTCTACCCAGTCTTACGACTCTCGAGTTCAGTACCGACCACACGTTCCTGCCAGACAGCGACTTCAACCCCCTCCTACATACGACCCCACTCCCGTTTCCCGCGCTGCGGGACCTGAAGTTCACTACGCCGACTCTGGAGCTGCTCGTCCGGTTCCTGGCGTTCATCACCTCCCCCTACATCGTCTCGCTCTGGGTCATGGTGACCGTCGATGTCTCCCGGTGTGAAATCCCGTCCCTTCTCTCTGCTATCGCCGCGCACCCCTCTTGCAACAGCCTACAAATCCTCTACATTGACGTCAACAATGTGGTTCGCAGCGACGGGCGTATAGACATCGCCCTTCCCCGATATGTGCGAAGACGCTCGCACCGCTCTGGGGCTTGCCCTTGATCCGTGAGCTTAGGCTCGACGTTCACTGCCCATTCGATCTGGACGACGCGCTGCTACGGAAGATCGGCTTGAAGTGGGTCAAGCTTAAGCATCTGATGTTGGGGACTGAACACCCCTGGGGCATGCGTGAGGGGGACGCTCCTGTCGAGGACTCTCCGGGCAATCGCAATATTTCTGCGACGCCCACTATTATAATAGGACAAGATGCTGCGATGGAGGTAGAAGACGAGGACGCGGACGCGGACGAAGAAGAAGGCAACAAAGAAGAGGGCGATGATGACGAGGACGAAGAAGAGAGCGACGAAGAAGACGAGGACAAGGACGAGGACGAGGATGACGAAGACGACGACGAAGAGGCCGACGGAGAGGATGAAGAGGAGGATCATGCGATGCCGCCTGGATGGCGAAGACCACGCGTAACACTCACCGGACTGGCTCGATTCATCGCCATCTGCCCTTTCCTCGACTTCCTAGGAGTCGAATTCGACGCGGACGCATCCTCCATTCCGCCGAACGAGTGGACCACGCCACCCATGTCCGATGTGCTACCGCCAAAGGGCTACGTATACAGCCCATTTTACATATGCGCGGGGCTCTCTCCAATCGACGACCCCTACGCCGTGGCTGCCTTCCTGTCAAACACGCTATGCAAGTTCTCCAACGTCCCGGTATTTTTCGAGCCTCTGAAGTCAGTCGAACCGGACGAAAATGACGAAGACGACTCGGAGGAGGAGGAGTGGTGGTCCCGGGCGCGCAAGTACCGCACCCGCTGGAAGAAGTTTACAAAACTATTTCCGAAGTTTGTGGCCATCCGCAAACAGGAGCGCCGGTGGAGGCTGCGGACTAGGCGAGCGGCTCATGACAATGCACTGCAGCACATCTCAGATCTGCAGCTCGGGCTGGTCGCGGAGCCGGACGAGTGAACAGAGGTCTCTGAGAACTCGGGGGGATCACTGCGACGGAGTGCGAGCCTTTGGTGGTGCCGCTCTGAGCGTCGACGCTGACGAGTTTGGACCGTCATGGACAGTGCAAGGCTTTCTGCCGCAAACGTCTGGTTGAAAAACTATGTATGTGAGCTCTTTACCGTACTATATGCACTCTTTGGCATATGATTATACATAGTTATGCCCAGATTGTATGCCCCCTAGGCGGACAAAAGCTCCAACGCGAGCGGTCAGGACAACGGACTATCGATCCTTTACCAGCTGTGGGCGATATAAGTCGCGTCCTTGGGTGTCCACAGACAGTCTAGCACGACGTCTCTAGCACGTCCTCGCGAGGGCTGCGAGCGTGCTGCCACTGCCACCACCGAGTACCATTTGGGTTGCCAATGGGATTCCATCGCCTTCATTGATAAGCTGACGGCATACAGTGACTTACAAAACTATTTCCAGAAACGGTCACTCGGCGCCTTTTGCTGAATATCTCGGTAACGGCTGCGCGTAATGCTACGATTCAAATTGCATTAGGTAGACATATGTCTTGGCTTTCTATAGGTACTTGTTTCATAAGAATCGGGTGCGAACTTTCAAAGATATGATATGTTCTTTACCCACATCTTCTGGAAATAGTTTTGTAACGCGCATTTTGGCAGGGAACAACTGGGTCGTTTTTGGCCAAGCGTGTTGTGAATGTCACATGATACTGTGGGAATATATTATATAATGTTTACTGAGGTGATGCCACATCAGCGCTGCTGGAATACTCCTCCACCTCTGCCACCACCATGCCCCCCGCACTCTCTGAAGCCACTCGCAACACCATCATCCAGCTTTGTAACCAGAAGCTTCCCATCTCCATGATACACACTAAAACTGGTGTCAGTAAGAGCCAGATCAGCAAGATTCGCTCTGCCAACTGCCCTGGAGTCCACAAGTCCAAGGGCGGCCGTCCATCACTCCTTTCCCCCATCGACATCCGCCACGCTACCCGCTTGGTTGAGACCGGCCAGGCCGATACTGCCACTCAGGTCCATGATACCCTCAAGGACACCTTCCTGAGACGTGTCTCTGTCCAAACCATCCGTCGGGCGCTGAAGCGGGCTGGGATGCTGGCCGTGACGAAGAAGAAACGGCCGCAGCTTACCAAAAGGCATCGGGAAAAGCGGTTCGCCTTTGCTTTAGCTCACAAATACTGGACGGTGGAGGACTGGAAGAGGGTTGTCTGGTCAGATGAGACCAAGATCAACAGAGTAGGGTCAGATGGGAGGAAATGGGTGTGGAAGAAGCGGGGGGAGGGGCTCAGTGACCGCCTGGTAGAGGGAACACTCAAGCACGGTGGAGGGAGTTTGATGTTCTGGGGCTGTTTTGGATGGGATGGGACAGGACACTCATGCAAGATCATTGGGAAGATGGATTCCGACCTATACGTGGAGATCATTGAGGACGAGCTACGCAATTCCCTCTACCATTGGGACTACAACGTCGAAAATGTCATTTTCCAGCAAGACAATGACCCCAAGCACACCAGCAAAAAGGCCAAACGATGCTTCAAGGAGAACAAGATTCAAGTCCTGGAGTGGCCTGCACAGTCCCCAGACCTCAACCCCATCGAGCATCTCTGGGGTGTCCTCAAACGCAAGCTCGCCACCTACAAAACCCCGCCTACATCGATGGAGGAGCTGTGGACAAGGGTTCAGAAGGAGTGGGAGGCAATTTCAGCAGAGGAGTGTCAGAAATTGGTGGAGACTATGCCTAACAGAGTTGCAGCCGTTTTGAAGGCCAAGGGGGGCTATACCAAGTACTAGAATCATGTATCTTGCCTTTCCAAAATGCGCGTTACAAAACTATTTCCAGAAGATGTGGGTAAAGAACATATCATATCTTTGAAAGTTCGCACCCGATTCTTATGAAACAAGTACCTATAGAAAGCCAAGACATATGTCTACCTAATGCAATTTGAATCGTAGCATTACGCGCAGCCGTTACCGAGATATTCAGCAAAAGGCGCCGAGTGACCGTTTCTGGAAATAGTTTTGTAAGTCACTGTATGTGCTCCTTGACGCTTAGTGGTAGGCGTTGGAGAGCAGTTTGATACATCTCCTCTGAGTTGCAGCTCGAAAAGCGGTAGGCCAGGGAAGAGGGAGAGTAGAGAGGTTGTTCCATGAACCCGCGCTGAATGTCTTATGGCATTCTATCCCCGACATATTCGTCCTTTTCTATTCTCTTCCTAACACTTGTTACCAAAAGCAAGTGTACGACCACTCACCCTGGGTCTATACACGATATGTAAGCCTGCTCTCGATAGTTCTCGTTCCGCTTCTCCAATTGATCACCCCCTCCATTCCTAGGTCTTCCAAGAACCCGTGCAACATCCAGATCTTACCCGCTTCTTTGCCAATGCCCAGCGGGTCAGAGTCATCAAGAGCCATTTGTGGCATGTCTCCCGAAAATTGGAGCGGCATTATGCCGGGCCGTCTGCCTATGATTTCTTGGCGAACATCTTGGGGTCCCGGCCCCTCCTCCCCAATGTGCGGTCCGTCCAGTGCTCTACCATTGGTATCGACAACTCGCACAAGATGCTCCGATCCGTACACATCCTATTCGGTCCACGGCTACATGAGCTGCAACTTACAGGCCGTACATGGGAACATCTTCCATCTCGCTCTCAAGCACAACTCCTGGACAATGCCGACTCGGAGGATGATACCGCACGCATGCTTTCTAAGGTTAAACACCTCGCACCAGGGCTAAAAAGCATCTACATTTTCTTGGAGCCATCAGGCCCCGTCATGGTGACGGCGGTGTCGTCCATGATATGCGGCTTGAACCACCTCACCGACGTCCATCTAGGCTTCGACTCGAACTGCATCCCGCTCAACCCACAGGCGTTCGTCCATCTCGCACTTCTGCCTGACCTCCGTACTCTCTGGGTCAGCTCCGACCGCGTGTTCTGGAAGCAGGGCGACTTCGGACCTTTGCCATATACACTGCGGGGCCGTACATTCCCCGCACTGCGTACGTTCACAGTCTGGACACCCACACTCCACCTGCCGGTCCAGCTCTTACAGTTCGTCACATCGCCGCACCTCACCGAGATCTACATCACGACAACTGGAAAGGTCCTTCGGCGCGACATCCGGCCATTCTTCGCTGCCATTGCCGCTCATCCCTCGCGCAAAACGCTGCATGGCCTCCGGGTCGAGGTCGACAGGGTGGTACGCAGCGACAGGCGCACAAACGTTGCACCGCTCCCGATCGGGGAGAAGACGCTCGCGCCGCTCTGGGGTATGCCTGTGATCGACGAGCTTGTGCTCGATATACACTGCCCCTTCGACGTCGACGACGCTCTGTTGCGCAAGATTGGCGCGACGTGGGCTGGCATCAAGTCTCTCTGCTTGGGTGTTGAATCTCCTTGGGGCATGCATGCTCAGGACGCTCCTGTCGAGGACTATCAGACTGATAGCGGTGCATCCGAGATAACACCAGCACACGGACTCGAGGATGATGCTGAGGAGGTCGATGATGTCAGTGAAGAGGACGATTACGAAGAAGATGGCATGCCACCAGTGGGCGAAGATGTCGAGGACGAAGAAAACGAGGACGGAGAAGATGGGGACGACGAGGATGTAACGGACGAAGAGGATAAGAATTCCGAGGACGATGAACTTGATGAAGACGACGAAGACGAGGACGAGGACGAAGATGAAGATGAAGATGAAGATGAAGACGAGGATGGCATGCCGTGGGGATGGCGAAGACCGCGCGCCACGCTCTCCGGACTCGCGGAATTCATTTCTTCGTGCCCCCAACTACGCACGCTCGGGGTCGAATTCGATGCGGGCGCATCCTCCTTCTCACCGGACAAGCCACCCAAACGACCCAACACAGCTCCAGGCCGGCAAAACAGCCAGATCTTCAAGTTGGACGGTCTCAACCTGGGCCTCTCTCCTATCGATGATCCGTACGCCGTGGCGGCCTTCTTGTCGAATGTCTGTGGCGAGATGGGTTACGTGTGGATCGAGTCTTTCCTTGAAGTGGAGCCGGAAGGAGACTATGATTACAACCCATTCGAGGCGCCGTCACTCGACCCGGAGCAGGCGTGGTGGTCCCAAGCGCGAAAGTACCGCACTCGCTGGGAGAGGTTCCACGACTTGCTCCCAAAATTTGCGGCTATCCGCCAGCAGGAGCGTCGACGGAGGGTGCAGAGCTGAATATATATGCTTACCACAGACTCGTTAATACGATACGATGCCACTGGTACTACGGCATCAGCTCGCGTCGTCGTTAATCATAGCCCATATCCCATATGTAACCCGTCCCTTTCCTTCCCTTTCGCTACTCATTACTCGGACCTATACCGGCTCTATATTGATACAGTATGTAAATTGGCCACACGCTCATCGCTTGAACTCGGACATGTCCACTATCACTATGATACATCTTTTGCATCTCGTCAAGTCTGCGACTGAGGGTCTGAGACACCACTTCTACCTCTGCCTTGAGTAAGTACAATTACACGCATTTTCACCATTGACTTCCGGTACATCCTCCTAAGCTTTCGAAGCGGCCGCCCGAGTCTGCTTCCATTTACGTTCCTGTAAACGCACCGCCGAAAATTTCGGTATGAGGTCATATACGGCTTCCCATCCCTCGCGAAACCTCCGTGCCTCGCCCTCGTACTCGCTCACGGGCGGCTGACGCCACTCGTCCTCCATGTCTTCAATTCCGGGAAACGAATCCGACAGGAATGCGGCGACGGCGTACGGGTCCTCGATAGGCGAGAACCCCACGTATAGCCAATTGAACGCGCCGTGCGGCGCACCTCGCCTGGAGCAGACTTCGAGGCGCGATGGCGGGACGCGCGAGAGATCCGCGTCGATTTCTATCGTGAGGCCGCGCATGCGGGGGCAGTGTTGCGCGAATGCGAGTAGGCCGAAGAGTGTCGCGCGGGGCTTGGGCCACGACCGGGCGGGATCGCCATCCAGCATGACCAGTGCAGGCTCTTTGGCGGTAGGCCCGCCGGATGTGACTCCATACGTGGGCTCGGGTGTTTCGTGCAATCCCCAGTTCATCGGGCCGGTCGGACGAAAGACAAGAGTTGCAAGCTTCGGCCAGCTCCCAGCGAGCAGGTCGAGGAACTCGTCATCAATGTCGAACCTACAGGAGAGCTGGAGGGAGAGGTTCTCCAATCCAGATAGGAGCAGGAGCGGGGCGAGTGTCTCCTTGTCCATGGCAGAAGGCAGTCTCCGGACATGGTTCATCGGCGGCGCAGTGGGGCAGATCTTCTCCGCCCACACATTGAGTTCTCGCAGGTGCTCCCGGGCGCGCATGCGGGTGATCGCAAAGAAGAGCGGGCGGATGTCGCACCGCGATACATGCGAGGTGGCGGTGACGGTCAGCTCTTGGAGGTGGGGCGACTCGAAGAAGCGTAGGAGCTCTGTGGGCTGCGCAAGCGTGGAGGCGGTGATTTCCAGCTCGCGGAGGGCGGGAAAGGTCGCCACCGCCGCATCGCCTGTGGCCACGAGCGAAGCGAGTTCGAGAGTGCGAAACGACGCACCTACGTCGAAGCGCAGGGAGCGCAAATGCGGGAACCGCCCGAGACTTGCAAGTGCGGCTGGGGTGAGCGCACACGCCTTGTTCCTCAGGATAAGCGATACGAGGTGCTCCAGTCCAGATAATGCGGACGAGACCGCTGCTGTCATTGTGCTGCTGCTTCCAAAGGGCTCGCCGCAAATGGACAGCTTTTGCAGGTACGGGGCGGTGTTCTTCAACTTGTTCCACATGAAAGCAAAGCCATTCTGGTCTTTGGTCGTCGGGGTGGGTACAACATGAGTATTCACGGTCCAGGGATCATGGTCGTATATGCGCAGGACCCGTAGCCGCGGGCTGAAGAGAACAGGCAAAAAACAGAGGAGCTGCATCGGCGAAGCCGTCCGTCGGCAGTTGTAATGAATCTCCTCTAGGCTCGGTAGGGGCACGCGCGAGCCTAGTAGTTTCGCTAGAGTGTCGTATGCTGACGGTAAAGCACTGTGATTCGCGACACGCGTCGGGAGGGTGCCGCTGCCGTCGATGCGCCGGACACGTCGAGCATAAGAGAGGAACCGCTCGAATTGGGATGCTTCCGGGATGCCATTGAAGCTCTGAGCCATTGGTCCAGGCAGTTAGTTCATGGCGTATTACTAGTAGAAAATTAAAGATACATACGAACTGCAGATAGCCTTTGGGCCAACGATTTTTCTCTTTTGGATGTCTCTTCTTGTAGGCGTCCTCGGGGAGGGTGTGAAAGAGGACAGCTATGTCAGGGATTGTGTGCCAGAGAGCGTTGAGGGCGGGCTCATGAAAGAGCCGAGCAGTTGACGCAAGCACAGCTACTGTGCCGCATCCGACGTGCTTTGCTAGAAACTGCTCTGGAGGAACGAGGAGTTCACGACATATTTCCTCGAGAGCCTGGAGAGGCAAACGGCAAATGGCGCTCCGGTCCGTACCAGAAGCACTCGACATCGTGTTGACGTCCGAAGAGAAGGTGGGCACAAGAGGTGGTCGGCGTGCGGAAGAGAGAGAGGAGAGAGAGAGAAAATTGCGTTGCTCGAACGGAGGTGGACGTTAAGACCAACCTGAGACGACGGAGCGCTCAAAGCATCCAGGGGTGCAACGCGCCCACGTGACCCAGCACAGCTTCGCACGCGTCGCTTCCGTCCCGAGGCGTTTATACAGACGCGCCTTCGCTGGCTCCGTCCCCCATCTCCTGCACCAGCCATGGCCACCAGCGCCATATCCCGCATCCCGCAGGGGCTTTTCGAGCACATCCTCCGTCTGCTCATGCTCGAGCCTTGCGACAGCGACGGGAAAATGGTCGGGTGCCGCACCGTCGCACGCCTCGCTAGAACCTGCCGTCACCTACACGAACCCGCCGTCAACGTGCTGTGGCACACCATTCCCGACATAGCGATCCTCTTTTTTGCGCTGCCGCGGCACAGGTACCAGGTGCAACGCCTCCTGTTGGACGAGACGGACAAGACCATGATGGACGAGAAGATATACGCAAGTGTGCTCTCGTCTCCAGGCGTACCGAGCTCTGACGAGTGCCACGCGTCTCCTCCAGGCGTTTGCGGGGAGACCCGTCGAGGCCGGGCTCGTGCGGTTCTTCGCGTATGCCCACCGCGTCAAGGCCATCTCACACCGCTGCGTTCATCTGCCGCCCCAGTTAGGCATCCTGTGCGCGAACCCCGAGGCGTATCACGAACTCGCTAGGGTTCTGCAGGACCGCCCCCTACTGCCCAACATCGAGTCCATCGAGTTCCACCGCAAGCCCGTGGTGTCTACGGCCGTCTTCCGTTCCTTCCACATCATGTTCGGCCCCAACCTCAAGAAGCTCAGCATCTACAGTCGCGAAGGACAAATCAAGGAGTACGCCTGGCTGTGGCGCGACCCGGCGCTCGGACTGGAGCTGCAAGAGGAGGAGGACTTCAAGGGCATGCTCGCAGAGCTGGGGAAGCGCGTTCCACGCCTGGAGACGCTCGAGCTGAACATGTACCCCAGCGGCGCGACGATGGCGCTCGCGACGTCGGTCGCGCTCGCCGAGGATAGGTTTGAACATCTCACCACACTGCGCATTCAAGAGGACTGTCTCCCAATCAGGGCGGACGCGTTTATCGCCCTGGGCTATCTCTCTCGTCTACATACGCTCGAAGTCAGTTCGAACATCGCGTTCTGGACGGAAGCCGAGTTGCTGGACATCGCCTCCGAAGACCCGCTCTTCCGTGACTTGCGGAATCTGAGCATCACGGGGAATATGATCGGAGTGCCCGCCGCGCTGTTGCAGTATGTGAGCTCGGCCTGCCTGGAGTCGCTCACCGTCGGCACGGACGACGACACCGTGCGGCGCGCCGTCGACATCCTCATCCGAATCATAGCCGATATGCCCTGCCGGGACAGCCTCAAAGTGTTGAACGTGCACGTCCCGGACGTCCTGCACGAGACAGTCATGGTCGAGGCCGCGCGCGTTCGAGCTCGCTATACCTCGGACCCACAATATCGACCGTCACGCCGCCGCGCGCGCGCACCCGAACCTCTGACCCGCGCGACGTTCGAGCCGCTCATGAAGATGCACAGCCTGGAAGAGGTCGTGCTGGACATCCACTGCCCGCTCGACCTCGACGACGCCCTGCTCGAGTCCTTCGGCCTCGCCTGGCCGAACCTGCGCCTCTTCAACCTCGGCGCCCCCTCCCCATGGGGCACGCTCACCACAGACGTCCGCGTCGGCGAGGTGCACGAGTTCCAGCCGTTCGTTCCCCGCAAACCCGCGCCCCAATCCGAGGGCGAAGGCGAAACAGACGCCGCCCCGCCGGACGACGACTCGGACACCGACGAGGAGTTCGCGGACATCGAGATGATGGGCGCGTGGACGCCCCCGCGCGTGACGCTCCAGGGCGTGCTCGCCTTCGCCGCGCGCGTCCCGCACCTCGCCGAGCTCGGGCTCGACAGCTTCGACGCGACGCTCGCCGCGGTGCCCCCCGCGCGCCTCGAGCAGCGGCCTGCGCGCGGGGTGGTTAGGGGGGAGCTGAAAACGCTGCATGTGGGGCTGGCGCCGATTGCGGACCCGTGGGCGGTCGCGGCGGTGCTGTCGGACGCGTTCCCGGGGCTGGTGGGGCTGGACTGTCGGTGGAAGTCGTTGGAGGACGATGAGGATGAGGATGGGGAGGGGGAGGGGCCGGAGCGGGATTGGTGGACGTTGGCGAGGTTGTATAGGAGGCGGTGGGCGAGGGTGGAGGGCTTGGTGCCGCAGTTTGCGAAGGTGCGCGGGCATGAGCGGATGAGGAAGCGGAGGGCGGTGGATGTGTGTCCATCGGAGGACATGCAAGACGCCTGGATTGACCTGTCTTGAATCAAGTCTGTGAGCTGGTTTTGTTCATCATCTACTATACTATGGGTTTTGTACATATGCCCTACTGACTGCATTATAATTTGGGATCTTGCTGTTATCGGTGGACTGGCCGCGCACTCGAAGTGCGACTAAGTGGTGCCCGCGGATTGACGTCGATGCGAATTCCGGCGTTCGCCGCACGTCCGCCGTCCGGTGCTCAGCGCTTCTCTTTCTTAGGTGGCCGCCGCTATCTATAGGCCTCCATGGTACGCGCTCCTCCGGCTACTGTATGCATGACCGCAAGCAAGTCGAGACGGTCCCCGACGAACTTGTCTCGATGACGTAGCTTGGCTTGCCGGTATAGACGCAACCAATCGGCACTCGCCCAATCCGAAAGTTCGCGTCGCGTGTTGATTTCTTCCAACGTTCTTGTAGCAATGCACCTTCTTGGTCCCGGCTCGGGACGCTGAACACGCCGAGCAGTGGATGGAAGGTGGCCCGCATGGCCCGCTGCACTCGGACTCTGACCCTCCACATCGGCCGGTCCATCGCTCGAGTCACGCGAGGCATGGGATTTAAGAGATGGCAAGATCTTCTCCATCCTCTCCCCAGGATAATCTTGCAACCTTGGCAGGTACGTTCACGCGACCTTGGACCGGCCAGTATGCTTACCGTCGCGGGCTGGTGCATATAAAACCTGCTTTCCAGCCACCGGCATCCAGTTCGACCTACAAGTATTGAAGGACAGCTCTAGATATCGATGGACGCGCATACCGATACTCAGGCAAGCGGACCGCCCGACCTTCGACGGGTGGAGTCGTCGAGGTCAAAGAAGGACTTCGATGTCGAGGCCAAAATCCTTTCGGTTTCATCTCACGACAGTCATGACATCTACGACGGCGATGATTCGACGGTGGACCCCGTATACAGGGCAAAAATCATGCTCATCAACGATGCATTCCAGGAGATCGGGATGGGCAAATACCAAGTGAGCGTTCCTCGTGTCTTGCGTTAGAAGCCATTCATTACGCTAACGGACAAACTTCCTTCAGTGGTACCTCTTCGTAGTCGCCGGCTTTGGATGGTTTTCGTTAGTACTCCATCATCTCCTCGTTCTTATTTAGAGCCTCAAACGTTGCATCTTTGAAGTGACAACTTATGGCCCGTGGGTTAACTGGCATATATGCGCATAGTATGCGTCTGACGAGCTCATGCTCTCCATAGATCGTCACTGGGCTCATCCTTACGCCCACTGTGAATGAGTTTGGGTACCAAGGACCGTTCATCAAGCTTGGCCAGGCCATCGGCATGCTCATCGGCTGTGTGGTCTTCGGCGTAGGTAGCGACATATGGGGACGCAGGTATGACCATGCTTGAATTCCTAGCAGCTCTACACTGGACAAATGACGCATACACCCAGGTGGTCTTTTAACTTGACCCTTTTCATTACCGCCCTATTCGCCATCGCGGGAGGCGCTTCTTCCAACGCAGTGGCCTTGTGCGCTTTTGTGACAGTTTGGAGCATCGGCGTGGGCGGTAATCTGCCTGTGGACTCCGCCGTATTCCTCGGTAGGTCAACACTGGGTTGACGTAGTATAACCTCTACGGGATGGAGCTCATCACCCCAATCGCAGAGTTCGTCCCGGCATCTCATCAATACCTGCTCACCACCCTCTCCGTATTCTGGTCGATCGGCCAGCTCGTCGGCAGTCTCGTAAGGATCTCCCCACCCCATACATCCAGACCCATCGCTCACGCCCAGACTGCAGATCGCCTGGCCGCTCATCTCGAACTTCTCCTGCGCCTCCGCTGCAGCCTGCCCGCGCGCGTCCAACCAGGGCTGGCGCTACTTCACCTACACCGTCGGCGGGCTCGTCATGCTCCTCTTCGTCCTGCGCTTCTTCGTGTTCCACCTGTACGAGTCCCCGCGGTACCTCGTCGGCCGCGGGCGCGACGCGGAGGCGGTCGACGTGCTGCACAGGGTGGCGGCGTACAACGGGAAGGGGTGCCGGTTGACGGTCGGGATGCTCGCGGCGGCGGGGGAGGCGGCGCGGCGGAAGATGGGAGAGAGCGCGGATGTGGATGAGGTGCGGGATGAGAAGGGGAAGGAGAAGGAGGTGGGCGCGGTGAGGGCGGGGCTTGCGGCGAGTCGGCAGGTTTTCAGTGGCAAGCATGTCAAGGCGCTGTTCGCGACCAGGAAGCTCGCGCTGTCGACGACGCTGCTGATCTTGATGTGGGGTACGTCTCTCGTCTTATTTCTTTCCGCACACTTCACTGGAATGACCATGGTCGCAGCGCTCATTGGGCTCGCGTATGCACTGTGAGTGTGCACGGATGCAGTGTGCCTTTTGCAAGCGGCGTGAACTGACGACAAATCCCAGATACAACAGCTATATTCCCTACTTCCTGCAGACGCGCGGAGCGGACTTCGGGGACGGCTCGGTCTACATCACCTATCGCAACGTGCGTACCCTCGTATCACGCTATACTATTACCAGCCCGGAACTCACTCACGCTGGCATCTAGCAAGTCATCCTGAGCGTCGTCGGCATCCCGGGCGCCTTCCTCGCGGGCTGGATGGTCGAGCTGCCCTACCTCGGACGCAACGGCACGCTCGCGATCTCGACCAGTACGTCGCCCCTCCCCCTCCCTCCCTATGCCGTTCAAATTCGTCAACGCTCATCGCTCACTGCGCAGTCCTGACGGGCGCGTTCCTGCTCGCGAGCACGACCGCGCGCACGTCCGACGCGCTGCTCGGCTGGAACTGCGGCTACAGCCTGACGAACAACGTCATGTGGGGCGTGCTCTTCGCCGTCACGCCCGAGCTGTTCCCCGCGAAGGACCGCGGGACGGGTAATTCGGTCGTCGAGCTGGGCGACCGCATCTTCAACCTCTTCGTGAGTCCTGTCTTGTCCTGTCCAGGAACCTGCGTGCGTGGGGTCGCTGATGGGGTGTGTGTGTGTGTGTAGGCCCCGGTCATCGCGTTGTATGCGGACTTGACGACGGCGGTGCCGATTTGGTTGTCTGGGGCGCTGTTCATTGTCGCTGGCTTTCTTGCGTTCCTCTTGCCGTTTGAGCCCAGGGGCAAAGCGTCGATTTAGTAGAAACACTGACGTGGCGTGCGCGGGAACGAAGATGGTGGTATGTATTATACAGCTGCAGGAGAGGTACTGATACACATGTGCAACGCGAGAGCTGAAAGCGAAAGTAGTAGACCGCCATAAGATACAACACGTCCGCCCGATTACTGCGAGACGTCGCGGAGCCAGGTCATGAGAGTCGTGAGTCGTGGGTGGGTGCTGAGTCGAGGGAGTGCGGAGAGGAGAGCGAAGACGGATTTGCAGAACTCGAGGTAGGTCGTGCGTTGGAGGGTGCCATGCTCCAAGTGCTGTGTCGTGGGTCAGATAAAGGGTAAGTGCGGGGCAGCGAAGGGTACATACATCGAGAATATCCCTCATCGCCGACATGAAGCCGATGACCGAGGTGATGTGGATGTTGTTGTGCGCCGTGAGACTGCTCTCTCCCTCGGCCTCGGCGTTGAGGTTGTCTGAAAGGTTGCGGAGCATCCCTGGATGCGCTCACAATCAGCACACACTCCTTGTACGATGACAACGATTCACTTACTTTCTAGGAACGCAAGCCGCTTCTCTGCGAACTCGTGCTTCGTGAAGTGATAATCGCCGTCTTCGCCTGGGTCACCGACCGGCAGCTCATGCAAGAGCGGATGATGCAATCTATCAACTGAGAAAAGGAGTGAGGCGTAGTCATGTTCCAGCGTGACTACGCGAGCGGCCAAGCATTCGAACAGAACGTTGATGAAGCGGTCGGTATAAGTCTGAAAACACAGTCAGAGATTGCTCTTCGGTAATAAGTGATCCACGAACCAGATAAGCGGGCGAGTCGAGTTGGAGCAGCATGTACATGAAACGGAGGCCGACACGTCGCCGCCTTGTTGCGTCGGCGATCGTCTCCCAAGACTGCGGCCCAAAGCTCAAGTAGAAGTTCCAGTCCTGTAGATCTCGTCAGACCCGGCCAGGTAGTCCTGCATGCGCATGCACACACCTTCTTCCCGTTCTGCACCACAACACTGGCACAGCCCACCCAACAGTCGATCCAGTTGTCAGCATCGTTGAAGTGGAGCTCTCCAGGTTTCTGGTAAGCGGGATCGCTGAAGTGCTTGCACACGAGGCGGTAGATGGCGGGCGAAATCACTTTGTCGATGACCTCGCAGACGGCCTTCTCCTTCTCCTTGTTCTGCGCGTGCTCCGAAGTGCCAACGTCTTCGCCGAGGGCAGCCAGCAGCTCAGGGTCGTCTAGATCGAGATCAAACTGGTCGTAGTCGTACTGGCTCTCCTGGCTATCTTCCGTGACCACCCGGGGTTGGGGGCGACGAGGCCTAGGAATGACGAGTGCTCGGGCGTCGAGGAATGCCTGCACAAAGCGGCGGATCTGGTCTCCTGTGGACGTGATGGAGGAAAGGGTCGTCGACGTAGAGAAGACACGGGTGACCCATGCTATCGTCAACGTTGTCAGCATGTCACACGCAGTCAAGCAACAAGCTTAACTTACGTCCTTTGAGCAGGGCAGGTTCCGGATACTTGTGCCGATTCTCTTCAGGATTCATGGATGCAGTCTCCAAGATACGCCGGATACCCCCAAGCAATAGCTGAATAGAGACCACAACCCACGTCATAGAGACAGCCGACGCGGTCGCCTTGCCCTTCGCTGGGTCCGCCTCCTGATACTCGTCGATGAGCGTGTTCGTCATCTGCGCCATCCAGTCCAGTATGTCCGTTAGGGGCAGATCGAGGTGGCGCAGGAGGATGCCAAGTTGCATAGCGCCCCGGATACAAGCTCGACGCGTCTCATCGTCTGTGTCCTCGAAGTTGACATAGCGTCGCGCGTTCGACAACCGGTACTTGAGGTTGGCGAGTGTGGGCTCCAAGTAGATGGCCACAGCAACAGCGCTGAACCTGTTGTACAGCATCGACAGCTCGCGCATGGTGGGCGGACTTGCTTTCGTAAACGGCACGGAACCTACAGGGACCGCGAGGGAGAGGATCTTCTTAAGCCGGGCGGGGATAGTGGGCGCCCGTGCGAGCTCCGGATTCTGCTTGCGCAACTCGTCGGCGGCGCGGACAACCAGTTTCAGGAACAACGTGAACGCGGTATCGTTGCGGTTGCTCTCGTGGAGAAGTAGGAGGTTGTTGTGCAAGAGGAAGCCAGGGTAGTCGCTCGGCTCGTCCTCGAGGCTCGCGAATCGCCGGCTCTTGAACACGTCCAGAAGTCGGTTGAATACGAGCGATGTGTCGTCGACGTCGAGCCGCCAGTGCCACTTGAAGTTGAGCCAGAGACACCGTGAGACGAGCACGCGCACGTACTCGTCCCGCTTGCGCAGGATGCGATGGGGGATGGCCTTGTCTACCACGGGATCCGCAGCCAGTGGTGCACGCTCGAGTACGGAGGCAACCACTTGCCAAGATGCGGGGAGACGAGGTGCCATCGACGAGTTGCCGTGGAGCGAGAACTGGGAGAGCGCACATAAGGTGAAGAAACTCCGCCACATTGCCTCGCGCGCTTTGAGGTCCGTTTGAGGTGTCTGCAGACCCTTCGTTTGGAGAACTTGCAGGTACAGCGTCCAGAACGAAGCGCCATGGGGCAGATACGAGGATTCGAACATCTGGTCGTTGGCGAGGATCAGTAGGCAAGTCCATAGCTCCGCAACCTGCTGTCCCTCGGAAACCGTCGTAAGCCCCTCCTTGCTGAGCTCGATAGGAAGAGCAGCGTCGCCGAAGCTGAAATCCCAGAGCTTCGACATGAGGGCCTTGACGCACGAAGAAACCATGTCCAGGTCGGGCACCTCCATCTTTCGACGACGGGCGCACGCGAGTCGGCAGCTTGCCTCTACCAAGAACCATTGGATTTGCACGACGAGCGGGTTTGGCTTCTCGTCGTCTGGTAGAACCTCCACAGGCTCCTCCATCAGGCTAGAGAGCCGCTGGACCAGCGATTGAGTGTCCGTCAGCATTGCGGCATGGGCCCCATCGTCCGACTTCGCGAGCAGCCAGGAGAGGTGTTGCGCCAGTGCGTGCAGGAACCCTTGCCACTTGCTGCACGTCTCGTGGTCCGCGGGGTTCGACGCACCCAGGATCAAGTTGCGCACCTGGTCGTAGACGCTGTCCAGACACGCGTTGAAGACGTCCACGGCCATCTCTGGGTGGAGAGCGCAGTCAAACATCGAGCAGGACGGCGGGGACGGGACGTCATGCGTTCCGGGAAGGAGGTTGACGAGCTCATACAGCCATCCGCGACCCAGGTACGTCGTGTTGGGGAACGCGATACCTGCTGGAAGCGGATGGATGTCCATGTGAACCGTGACTCGGTGCAGACTCTCGATAGCCCGGGTTTGTTGCGACAGCTGGGGATGGGCCGCGGGCGCATCTGGTACCACGAAGGAATCGTCTGATTCCTCGCCGCCGTCGCCGCCCACACCAAGCGTCCAGTATTGCTCCAGTGTCGGCGCATGCCCGGCTTTGGATGATGGCCTTTTCCCCTTCGATTTGGACTTGTGTTTGTGTCGCGCCTGGGGTTCCGCACCGCGCATGTAAGGTCCCCCGCGAGCCGCGGACTCTTGGTCGACTGTAACGTGTGCCGAGTTCGTTCGCCCGCTGACCAAGTGGGCTCCTCCGGACGTGAAAACGTACAACCCTGCCACGGACTTCTGTTTGCCCTTCTGCTTCTTCGCCTTGGACTTCTGCGGCGCTTCCTCTCCAAACTCGACGTGGTTTGATGGAGGCGAAGGGGGATCTGCAGATGCAAATGTCACACAACTGTGCGTCGGAACAGGAAGCAGATACTTACCAGGAGAGTAGACGTGCTCATCTGCGGCCGAGTCAGGCGTTGGCAGCCGCTTGAAAGGCAGCAAAGTCTGCTGGCCTTGACCATATCGCTTCACGCCTCCTGTAGTGATATGCAGGCGTCCGTCGTGCCCACCACCCCCACCTCCGCCGCTTCCACCTCCTACACGTGCACGATGGCTTCCACTGCCACCTCCATGGGCGCGGTGACCTCCATTGCTCCCTCCTCCATGACCCCTACTTCCGCCGCCGCCGCCACCACCTCCAGCTCCCGTATGCCTCCTCCGCTTCCGCTTCGTACGCGTTCTTGACGATAAGTTCGTGCGCGACAACATCCGGTCAATCAAGTCGCCCTCTCGCGCCTCGCCATCATACCTCGACCGCCTTCGCGCAGGTCCCGCATCCTCGCCCTCGCTGCTGCTGCTACTAATGTCGCTCACATCAGACTGCCTCCCCAGCTCTGAGGTGTCCGAAACCGAGATGGGGGACCGGGGACCCCCATACGACCGCGCGCGGGGCCGCGGCTGGTGCCCAACAGGCCTGATCTCGTCCGCCTCAGCGTCAGACATCCGCGCGTTCTCTCTGAGATGAAGCGGCTCGGGAGTACCACGCTCGGGCGACGGTGCCCCCACGTCAGCATCCGCCATGTCGACGTCCGAGCTCTCCGAGTCCCCCCTGATCTCGATGCTCCGGCTCGACAGCGTGTGGCTGCGAATACGCCTGCGGGACTGTCCCGGGCGCAGCGGCCTTTCCTCCTCTTCCTCCTCCTGGGAGTGGTTCTCGGAGCGCGAGGCGGAGCGGTGCGCGCGCCGCGCCGCGGAGTCCTTCTGCTTCTGCATGAGGCGGTTGATGAGCGCCTTGGGCATCATGCGCTCGAGGGCCTTCATGCGCCGGCGGTCCTCCTCGGCCATCGACTCCTCACCCGAGCGGGAGCCAGAGCCCGATCCTGACCCGGAGGGGGACTCGGATTCGGACTGTCCGGACTCGAGGCCGATGGGTAAAGCGCGTGGCCGGCGACGTAGTGTCAGGTTGAGCTCCTCGTCTTCGTCGGAGGTGACCTCAATGACGTCGGGCGGGGTGGACGATACCGGGGGCGGCATGTGGCCCTCTGAGCTCGTACCGTCGTCTGTGCCCGCGGCGGGCGTTGGGGGCAGGGGCACGGGGCTGTCAGGGCGCGCGAGGCCGTCGTCGAAGGTGGGGAGGTCTTCGTCCCACCCGGAGAAGGCGTCGTGAGGCGGGCTGCGGACGGGGGATGTGAAGGTGACGCTGCGGTGTCTGTTCCAGGTGGTGGAAGGACCGGCTTCTGGTTCGTGGGCTTGTTCTGGCGCGGGTTCGTCTGCTTGGATGGGGGAGGACGCGACGCGTTGGCGTGGACGGGGGCGTGGCCTTGGTTGAGTACGGGGGTGGGGCGGTGATGGCTCTCGCGAGGCCTCTTTCTGGTGCTGTCGAAGAAAGTTAGCTCATCGTTCACTCTACTTGGTATGAGTACCCAAACCTGCATTCGCGCTGGAGACACGGACGACTGCATATCCTTCTTACTGAGCGGAAACCGGTGAGGTTTGTGTTTCTTCCGCCGCTCCTCCTTCTCCTTCTGCCGTTCCTCTTTCTCTTTCTTGCGCCGCTCCCTCTCATACTGTCTGGCGAGCGCATCAAGGGCGGCATTGTCCTCTTCACTGCTGCTTCCGCTCGACAGGTCCTTCAGAATGTCCGGCAGCCACGCCGGTTTCTCCGCGCGACCCCTTCGCTCTTCCGGCATCGAATCACCAGCGCGTCCCTTACCCTTCAGCAGCCTCCGCTCCCATCGCTCGTCCTGAACCAAGCTGGCATCGTCTTCTGCCCCGCCGTGGTACTCATCCTCGGCGCCAGACGAGCCATCCGCGTCGTTTGCGCCCGCACTGGTAGAGCGGTGGTGCCGTCGCGGCCGGGGTGGGCTCACGACTTTGACAATAGCCTCTGGGTTCGCGCGCATCTGTTGCTTGTACAGCCGCTTGTCGTACTCGTACGGATTGAGTTGTCGCGCCTGACGCGTGCGAAGCGAGTAGCGGCCGTCCCCATGGTCAACGGGTTCTGCTACTAGCTGAGGGACGGGTGGAGCGGGGCGGGGTTGTGGGGGTGACCCTGAACGGGATGGGCCTGCTTGCTCCGGCCCACTCGCCGCGGCAGGGCTAGACGCATGGGCGGAGGCTTGACTGCCAGGTTTACGCCGTTGATTTCTTGGAGAGGATATTGGTGTCAGTGGTGATGATGCGGGTGAGCTTGCTGTAGGTCGACCAGATGGTGAGGAGCGGTGTTGCCTCGGAGGCGTGAACAGGGAGAGGGGGTCGGGCGATGAAGTAGGAGAACCTGTACTTCTATCCGCATGGGCTGGACGAGGTAGGGGATCTTCGTCTCGTATGTGGAATGAGGACAAGCCATCCTCTGCGTCTGCCACAAGAGGAATGTCGGGAATGGGGTGCGATCCGAACTGGGTGAGTTCATCGGCTTCACTTGGATTTCGCGCAAGATGCGGAAATGGAGGGAGTGATTGGGGACGGAGTGGTGATGATGATTGCATCACTACGGATACCGAAGGGCTTGCCTGACTTTGTGGGAATGTATGGACTGGGCGAGTGGGCGAAGAGGATATGGAAGCCGACTTTAGACGCGGCAGGTTCGTGGACGGTAGAAGGGGGGATGATGCAGGGTGAGGTGGATCCTGTAAACCTCCTTCAAGCTGCAAATTTTCAATACACACCATCCCATATAACCAGTCATTCCTCGCACCTTCCTACGCTTCGCCGGCGGCCCATCGCGACTGGGTGAGTGAGAGCCAGACGGTTGCACCCGACGTGGCGAGGATGCGATGAGAGAAGCGTCGCGCTTTTCAGCTGTGATAGAGACATCCCCGCGTCTTCGTGCAATTTCACGCGTAGCATTACGCCAGTAGTCGAGATTTGTTGCAGCAAGCTCCTCGAGTTCTTCTTGGTCGGATGTTTGAACCACGCTGTCTTCCGCATCCATATGTCCTCTTCATGCACACACACAGTGTATATTCTTGACAGAGATTCGGAGGACTCGGGGCAGTCGAAAGGGCGAAGAAGGAAGAGGCGAGGCGCGTAGTAGAGTATGAGGAGGAAATGGGCGGAGCTGCCATGGCGCGTGCCTGCGGTAAGCCACGCGTGTGACCTGTGCACGTGAATTTGTCACACTCGCGTTTATTGGCCTGGCGCGCGGTGTTTGCAAGCGCCCGAAATTTCTTCTCTCAAGTCCTCCCCATTCCAGCATGATACACTCACCCCGGCGAATCTGTCGACGCCTCTAACTATGAAACTCTCTGAACTATCATACTGCGCTTTTGACACGCTGTTAACCGCAAGTTTGGAACCTACGGATTTATAATTCACGCGCCGAGCCGTGCCACCTTCAGCCTGACCCTGATTCACCCCGGGGACGGCTAGGCTGTGCGCAGTGGTTGAAAGACAGTGATCGCTACCCAAGTGCCACCGGTGAGCGGGAATCGCGGTTGAAACCCGCTTGGGTACTGAATTATCTGATATGCTCTCCCTTTCCCCATCAAACTCACGATGGGCACCAGAAAGAATATAATCTACGGTCAGGCGAGTGCCGCAGATGAGCTATCGGCCCCTACACTACGCGTGTATGTCGCTAGTACATTTATGTCCCCGAAAAAAACCTCCAAACGCTCATCCAATCTGCACCGAGTGGTGGGGGACTGTCTAGACATTGAGCAAACCCAGGCACGACATCTACAGGCTATGTTTTTCTGGGATGATGGTGTGTATCCGGCAGGCATTATTGAGGTACAACGCATAACTAGGCGTGGGCGTCGCAATACGAGAGGCCCTCGATCGCGAGAGACATGCCACTCGACCGCAGGGAGTATGCTTAGTGCCCCGGGCTACGTACGGGGGTGCGCTCCACTTCCCCTGGCGCATGCTGACTATCTATCCTCCTTCGGCGAGGAATCACGATCGACACGGGGCAATGCAACAACTGCACATAGGGGACATGCATCTAGACCCGTGGTCTTGTCGAATCCGGACACAGCACCCTGCAGCGAGCTGTTATTCGTCCGCTAACACGAGGCAGTTGCCTGCCTAATTGAGCCTCAAGCCTCTTTTCGCCTTAGTCGGTGAGCAGTTTCGGATGAATAATCGTGATTCGTATCTCATCGCTGATCCAGAGTATACCGCAGCGACATGATGACAACACGTGCAGACAAAAAACAAGGCTACGGTGATGTGCCGCCGCCGAGCGATCCCGGACGAGTACGCAGCAACTCTGGTGGACGAGGGCGCAAGCCGTGGACGCCACGAGGCTCAGCCTCCACTGAGTTTCCAGCCGCGAGGCATTTATCCGCTCCCCCGGGCTCTGGCCTTGGCGGTCCAGAAATCCCCTTCCGGTCTCCCTCTCACTCTCCCGCCCAAATCGTACTTACTGCCACTCGACGGACAAAGTCTTTCGGCCCGATAAAAGGACGAACCTCCATGCTCACGTTTCCCCCCCGGATCCCATCCACCCTGCATCATCGTCTTCCCTCAGATTCCCACATCTCTCTCTCGATCATGTCCCCTTCGCGGTCCTACGGCCGCCCATACGTCCCACCCACGGCGGCGCCTGGCAACCCGTTCGTCACCGCCGACTGCTCGTTTGTGCGGCCCGCTTCTCAGGCTACGCACGACTATGCGCACAGCGATGGGCCCGTTGCCAGATGCAGAGGAGCGCTTCCGAGCCACGCGAGCCTCGACATATTGTGCGTATATCTAGGCCCTGAGATCTGGGGTTCCATGATGTCTAACCCGTAGCCAGCGGTGCGCCGGGGACGTCTACTCTGCCCGGTGACGCCGTGCCCTCGTTCCCCCATCCCTTTTCATCAGCGATGGAATCTCCGTCCGAGGCTTCTGCTCCTCCCTACGCGGGTTCATTCGGACCGGACCACCCCCATCCTCTCCCTCCCGCCTCATCCGTGCCGGCGCCGCCGCTCGCGCCCGCTTCAGGGCCCATCCGTACCACGCGCAGGGCCGGGTCAAGAGGGGGCAGGCCCACCAAGAAGCCCGTCCAAAAGCGCGTAACCAAGCCCACGAAGCTCACGGGCATCATCCCGCGCCCGCCGACCCCTCAGGCCACCCCCAACGCCGCCGGCGAGCTCGTCCTCGTGTGCCCTGTGGGGCAGCAATACTGCGACTTCGTGCAGGCGAAGGCGGATCGGCTGGTCGACATGCGGCGCCATATGAACGCCCACTTCCCCGCTGCTCCGGGCAAAAAGGACTTCTTCTGCAACGGCCGTCCGGTCGAAGATTTTTCCCAGAAGATATTTGAGGCGCTGCCGAAGAACCTGAGGGAGATTCGCACCGAGGGGGACGTCGACCTCGTGGGTGGATGCGGGAAGGGGTTCGCCAGGCTGGACACTCTCCAAAGGCACCTGAATGAGTCGTGCACGTGTGAGTCGAAGGTGTACTGTGCGCTTGTGGATCTCGAGGACGGCACCATCTGAACGTGTAGGCTTGTTCGTTCCCATGCATCTTTTTATCAGTAGTATTATCGTTGCGCTCGTGTATTATTTGTGGGACACTTCGTTCAGGAAAATATCAATGCTGGACATGAATTGACATCTTCGAGGGAGTGTAGCGGCTTCAGTCGGAAGATTCCGCCAGGATAGTTACTATTTTCACGCAATATATTTCCCCCTTTTGCGCCGGGTCTGCCGGGTGACCTAAGCATATCAAGCTTGCCTGAGTCCCTACGTTGCACTGACGTTACCTCTATGATCTTCGGATCGTCGCATTTATTCATCGGCTATTAGGTCACGCCACGGCTCTGGGGTGCATTTGAGACCGGTCGCGCTATTCAGCTGGGTTAGAGACCGGGTGCGGTCGCGAATTGGCCAACGGGCAACCGTCGAGCGCCTGCTTTCCGGCGCTTTCCGAGGCGTTCAGTATCGCACTAGTATCGCGCGCTCGACGGCGCGTCGAATTCGTACTCGATCCTCCTCTTCTTCGTACCACCACGCTTTCTTGCTTTTAACAACGCTATGTTTCTGTTTCTTAAACAGTTCCGCCTCCTCTTGCGATTTTGTGCGTAGCGTCTCGCTAGCAGCCCAAATACACCACCTAGTAAGTTCAATCTTCCGACAGTTCTTCTTCAAGGTCGGACGTCAGAATCTCGCTGTCTTTCCCCTCCACATGCACAGTCACAATGTGCGGTCGTAGTGTTAATCAGCACTACAGACCTCCGTGACGCGTGCGCGCCATATTTTCTCTCCCGTTTGCTTGCCCGGGCACTCTCTGTACATGCGCCCGACCGCGAGTCCTGGCCAACTCTCAGATCTCAGGAAGTGTCCAGATCTCTGATAAGACTTGGATCTCGCCTCTGGTCGCGTATGGCTGAAAACCCCCCCAGAATGACATTCTGGGCTCGCGGCACGCTGCAAGTCGACGTTTCATCTGCTGGTCTAGGGAGCACGAATCTACAATACTCGCATTTACGAGCCGTGCCTCCTGGGATGCGGACGGCTCGGGTGCAGTCGTATTTGATGGCCGCCGAAGGCTGCTGTTGTCATCCAAGTGCCACCGGCCAACAATATCGTGAACACTGATAGAGATCGCGGTCGAAAGTCCTTGAGGCTTGCGGGCTGCCTTCGTTTGGCAGTCTCGCCCTCTTTCTAACAGACTTACAACGGACATCAGAAAGTTGGAAAGGGTCTAGGTGCTACAGCTTCTAGGGCTTTCGACGCTACATCACGCGTGTAAGTCACTAGCTGCACCCTCAGGGCCTCACGTCTCATCGAGATCTACCTGAAAGCAGCCCGGGCCCATCAAATCTATACGTCTTACATGCAGAAGAACGGCCTGACAGACAGACGCGCGGCATCCGATGTCAGCCGACAATGATAGTACTTGCGTATTCGGCCCGCACTGAGCTGGACGACGTCGCTGCGCGCATCTGAACGGCGGGTTTCACCCTCCATTATCGCAAATCCGGGGAAACATCGATCGGCCGAGAGGTGCCACTCGGGTGCAGAAAGTAGGAGATGTGCCACTCCGTGTCGAGCGCAGCCGGAGTGGGAGGTGCGCTCCTCTTCCCCCCGCGCACGTCGACTATTTATCCCCCTTCGGCTAATGAGTCCGATCGATACGAGATAGTGCGACAATGCACGTCAAGCGTTGAGGACATGCATCTGATCAGTTGTTCTGGTCGGGTGGGGACATAGCACTGACGAACTCGGCTTCGTTTGTGGATGCACGCGGCCGCACAAACATGACGAGTTTAGGCATTTCCCCGACACGAGCGGTGAGTAGTTCTATATGGAACATCCGCCAAACACCTTGCGTCGCTGATCCAGACCCATACTTTAGGCACAGCTCCACCTACAGCCGGACGACTAGGACATTGCTTTGTGCCACCCGGGCCGTCGAGCAGCTGCAGTACGTCTAAGGCTGGTAGCCGGAACGTTCGAGCTCTCCACTCATCTAGGCTCTGTTCCTGGCAACCCACAAAGGATTCTCTCGGTCTACCTATCCATTAGCGGCCGTGATCACGACTTGTGCCACTCGATGGACGGCCGCTTCAGCCTCAATATATGATAACGTTGCGTGCTCACATCTCCCCCACGACCCGTCCACTCTGCCGCCCTCGTACCCCATCAGGGTCCCGCACTCCACCCTGCCCATCATGTCTACACCAGAGCACGACCAAGCTGTGGATGAGCGGTGCGTACATTCTGATGATGCTCTGCAGGAAACCATATCTGACTGGCTCCTTGCAGTCTCGCCAATGAGATCGGGGCTTTGCGACTATCCCCCCACCCTCCTGCTCCTCGAGCCCCGTCCCCGCATGCGGGTACTCCCCCAGACCCTCCCTCTCTGCCCCACCTCCAACGGGCTACTAGAAGGCGTATCCGCATCCTCACGGGCACCGGGCCGATTCCCCACTCGCCACTCCTCAAGCCTGGCCTGGACGCGGCGGGCGAGGTCGTACCCGTGTGCCCTGTCCAGAACTGCGGCTTTGTGTCGACGGACGCGAGGCCGCGAGTCGAGATGGAACGGCATTTGCGCGCACACTTCCCCGACTCATGCCCGTTCCGTTGCGTTGGTCGTCCCGTCCACATGTTCTCTATCGCAGGCTTGCTGGCACTGCCGTCCCGGTGGTCCGGTAGATACGTGGGTGACGGTGTCGATCACGTGGGTGGGTGCGGGAAGGTGTTTTCAAGGAGGGACGCTTTGTGGAGGCATCTCAATAGGGGCGACTGCTTGTCCATGGATTACTGTGCCCGTGTAGACAGTGATTTCGGCGGTGCTTCTGCCTGAAGGCCTGAAGGCTTGGAATTATATGATTTTCACTTCGTTCTTCTAATAGACTTCATTTTGTTATTGACTTCTAGTTCAGGATGGGGCGGTAATTACGGGGTAGTAGTCGAAGCCGGGCCACGCTAGTGTAAATCTTACAATTCATTCTACACTACACACATCACCCCTCGTGTCGAGTCCGATTAAATGAGCTGTCTGATTCGCCGCTGGCAATAAGTACTTCTGTATACAACGAACATAAGTCGAGGCCGTAACGTTCAAGTTCCGAATTGACCTGGCGTTTATTTCCACCGAAGTACGTCTGTATAGCGCGTGGCAAGCTCCTAGAGCCGCGCTGAAACGGCGCGTGGCTTGTGCAATTCGTGACACGTGAAACCCCCGGGTCGCAAGAGGTGTGCCACTCGCAAACATATTGAGTTTCCTTTGTCACTCTGAGTACACGAGGCTACCGGTTGATCCGGCGTCTAACCAAACCTTAATTGGAATAGGTGAGTACCGATGCACGCAACAACCGGTACCATCACTCTGAAACCGCCCACATCGTCGACTTCATGCAATACCGTGGGCTATGATAGAGTCATTTACCATAGGAGAAACTGCGCTCTGCACTGCGTCGTTTCTGCTGTTGTGTGGTACAGTTCGTGCACGGTGACACAGAACAGTTGCCAGTGTGGCCGAAGCTGGGATCAAAACCTGCCATCACGACACGAAGTGACGAACACGAGGCTCTCGAAGCCCAAGATACGACCGCCACTCCTCTTTGTCAACGTTCCTTCTATCCGACGGCCCGGAATTTGATATTGGCAGCGAACAAAGGACTCTTTGGCGCCCTCCCCTTCTTACTGCGGCTACTGGGCCACACTGCGACCAATGCTACCGACGCACACTCGCGGTCTGGGAGAGTATAAAAAGGAGATATGCCCTCATCGTCCTATTCATCTTCCCCTTACATCTCATTTCTCTCCCAGTCATCGCATATCCCGAAGACCGCGTCCTCCCAGCTCCTGCTCCGCCCATCCATCTACCACACGCGTGCCCCCTGAACAACTCTCTGCCATCGCATCCATGGCATCCAAAGAGCTCGCGTATCCCCCCGCTGATCAAGACATATGCATGGCCGAAGATTTGCTTCGCCTCAGGTCTCGACTGACCGCCGAGGATGGGTATGGCAGCAGTGCTACTCCCAGACTCGCAGGCAGAGGACCGTCGCCTGGACACGGCCTTGCCGACGATTTGTGCGTACATCCTGGCCATACAGCTCAGCATCGTACAAGTTCTGACCCGTCTTTTTTAGTCTTGGCGTGCCCGTCATCATGGCACGCAGCCCATCCCGATCTCGTCACGCACAACTGGAGTTGTTTGCCAGGTGGCCCTCAAGCGGGACGTCTACGACGACGTCCTCGGCCGCCAGCTCCCTTCCTGCGAGTCACATCGCACCCGCGCATCCTCCTCCCTTCTCCCCTCCCTCTTCCGCGTCTGTGTTCTCTACCCACCCCGCAAGCCGGTTTAGGCGTCGAGGGCATATCGTGAAGCTCACGGGGGTCGTTCCACGACCCGCAATGCCCAGGCCCCGTCCCAACGCGGACGGTAAAGTCGTCCTCGCGTGTCCTCTGCCAGATCACATCTGTGACTTCGTACAGGCGAACTGGCATCGGCGAGTCGACATGACCCGGCACCTGGACGCTCACTTCCCGGCGGCCCCGGGGAGGTCGGTGTATCGCTGTGTCGGATGTGCCGCCCACCGCTTTCCGCAAGAAGTATTCGCTGCGCTTCCGAAGGGTCTAGACGTCATACGAACTGTTGGAGGCGAGAACTACGTGGGCGGGTGCGGGAAGGAGTTCGGCCGGGCGGACTCTCTCAGGAAACATCTCCAGGAGCGTCGCTGTGTGTCGGATCTATCCTGCACGCAATTCGGCGGACTGTGGCCCGATGATGATGGCTATTTTGGCTCTTAACGTACACGCTTTCTGCATTGGGTCTTCGTCGGATTCGAACATGTCAACGCGTCGGACGGGTAACCGGTTGGAATCGGTACTTACTAGTTACTACTTATCCTGGCGACACCGTTGCTGTTGCGTCTCTACCCTACTTGTTAGCATGACTGTATTTGTCGACCATGGTTTTGTGACTGCCTCAATATCAGGCTTCCTACCGTATCTCGCTGCAAATTTGGACTGCAGAGCGCAGA